CATAGGCGACGGAAATTTCGTAAAGTTATGCATCCGGAAATATTACCAATCGATAGCGGCGAGCCAAAACGATAAACTTCACCACGGGACAATTAATTAACAGTTAATTGCTTAATTAACGGAGTGTCGTGTGGCATGAGAGAATCTTCGCTCGCGATTCCATGAAACCGGTCGAAAAAAACATTTCGATAAATTTATAATTGCGCGACTGTTGATAGCGAATCGAAAATATTCGAACAAAAATGTGCATTGGTCGGTGAATATAGCGTGACCACTGGTTTATCAGCTTGCAACAGACGTTTCTCGATATAATAAAAAAGCGACCAATTTACACGTCCAATTCGTCCAAACGCACCTGTACAGCGATAGAAACTTATAATAATTTTTTTACACTTTCTTAAAATTTATAAATTTGAAAAATATTGTAACGTTGAGACAAAATTCGAAATACACTAACAAAGGTACAAACAAATTTTATCCGGATAAAAATAAATGTAATTAAATAAAAAAAACTACAATATATAAGTGAACGTTAATTATTATCTTCGATATCTACCGAAACTGTACAATGACATTTATTGACTTATTTTTCGTGTAAAAAGTTTATCCGAGTGTAAACACGTTTATATAGTTTTGCAAAGAATAAATATGGAACGTTCGATGCCACAAAAATGGCGTCGATATATCGTAATAACAAATACGTCTATTAATGTATAACTGTGGATGAAACACGTAGGTTATGTTCCTTCTCTTTTTAGAATATCGTTACGAATTACGTAAACTGTTTTGTTGTGGTATCGATCGATAACGGAGCTTCAATACGTAAAAAGATATTACTGAGATGAGGGAGGTGGGAGGGGGATGTACATATATTTGGAGACCTTACAGACTCAACGAAATGACTCGCCGAAACCTTTGAGCATGCATGCCTGACCTATGATACTGACGAAAGACTTTACAAGTAGCAGATTTATTCTTTATTATCTCAATTATCGTATTTAATGCTGTCCACTCTTTTATATTTAACACGACCGAGGACATCGTCTCCATAACATTCAACTTTTCGATGTATTTAAATTTATTAGTTGCCGTAATCGTCGATATATAAATGAAATTTACTGCTTTATTTTTACAAATAATTTTTATTCTTGTGAGCTTAAAACTCTGTAAGCAAAATATATTCCAACGGTTGTTAGAACGAAAAAATTAAATATTGTACTTTGAGGTTAAGCGACCTGAAAACTGTGTTGCGAAAACTAAGCAAACCTAACCCCTACCTAACCACAGCGTAACTTCTATTTTATGTAGAGAGAAATTCACGGAGCTGTTTACCCGGCGAAATGTAAACATTTGATCAAAAGAAAAGATTGCACTACCGACAAAATCATCGCAACCGGTTTACCTTTATGGAAAAAAATCGCAGGCGCCGCCGTAGAGATAGTAGAGAAACCGGTTAGCAAAATTTGAATATTTTCTTTTTATAGCGCGACGTTTCTATCGCGCGACGACCGTATATCATTAAGAACAGCCTTGGCGGGTATATGTTAATCCCTCATCCTTGAGAATATTCTTATTAAGACGAGCGAACAATAAATCACTATCTGACCCCACATCGCGAATCAGGAAGTCCGACGAACACACAAACGAAACGATATTGTCGAGAGAAAAAAAAAAAATAAGTTCAAATATAACTTCGAGGTCCTTCATAAAAAATAATGGATGTTGCGTGAATGAAAATTCGGAAAAATAGGAACCGATTAGGTTAGGCAATAAAAGTCCTCTGCACGATCTATGTACCTTTAAAAAATTATTCGATAAATGTCCCTAGCTACGCACAAATCTATGCAATAATTTATGCAATTGATTACACAAGAAGTTGACATAATATTGATCTGTTAATCTTTCAAAAAAAAGAAAATAGTTATTAAACATTAAAAATAATCAAAGTAGAAAAATAGCTATAACTCGAGAAAATCAAACGAGATACGTGTCTCATTATTTCTTTAAATCTCCGTTAGAGATGGCTAGAATAGAGGTTAGAACGACGAAGCGCCGTAAAATTGCGATACCAGGCCACGAGCCGAGTACATGTCTGTGGAAATACGTATTTCTAATATTTTATCTGTTGATCGCGATGCACGATTTGCACTAGTGTCATTAGAGCGAAATATTAGAAATGACTAATGTCATTAGTCGTAACAATTCTCAGACCTGTATTCTTTCAACGATCGAAGGCGCCACTGAGGTCGAATCCTCCGGTCTTATCGCGTCGTGTTTCTGGTTCGAAGCAACCAGATAACCGACATATCCTTGCCGACATTTACACCCTCGAGCGCGGAATCTTACCGGACAAAGTTTAATCGCCGAAACCATAAAGAAGAGGCGACGCATCGCGTAGATCGGCGCGAGATGCTTTTGTGTACCCGATAAAGGGAAAAGTGTCACGAGATAAACGACCGAACGACCACGACTCGAACGCCGATGATGTTTGACCAAGTCTCGTCAAACGCGACACGATTTATCTCCGGGGCGAATTAATTTTCGTTCTAGTTGGTATTTTTTCCAAGACCTCTGTCGATCATTTACTGAATTACCAACAAACGTTCGATGTTATCGAGCGAGATAAGAAAAAAACATCTGACTGCGTGGATAAATTTTTACGAGACCTTCGGAGCGCGTTCTCCTTCCCACGATACGAAGAAGACACGATGTTCAACGATACGAGACGCGTGTCTCGATTAATGCGCGCGAAACAATTATTTATATATGTTGTAATTCTATATTTACGCCTCCGATAATGATAGACTGCGCGCTTAGAATGTAATTATTTCAAGCACATTGGAATCTTTGCATGGGCAGAGATAGCCTCTTGACTTTCGCTGATTTGTATATGGAACAATGTGCTAGCAGACGATGATACCCAGATGTACAATACTAGATAAATAGCGTAACGGCGTTGTATACGTAAATATCTTTCGTGCTGCACGGTAAATATTTTAATCTACGCGATTCATTTTTCTCTACTTTGTAATATTCGTATATCAACGTACAATTAAACATTTCATTTTCTACAAATAAAAACTAATAAAAAAAGCTCTGAAATACCTCCTTAACGCGAAGGTTAAATCACAGAGGGCCTGGAGACACAGTATCGTTCCTGAATCACACGTAAGCGCGATCCCCCAAAACTAAATAGTCTGTTTTAAAACGAACGACTGTTACGTAAGCCCGAATGGTGCGACAAACTCTATCGTACATTCACTGCAACGAACTACTACGAGGGAAGGGTAACATCGATCAATGGTCCCCTATCGTACAATTTTTTGTCTCAGAAGTCGAGTATAATTTCGATCGTAGAAGGTTAACGCGTGAAACGGCACGCAACGCGTTAACCTTGGTGCAACCTCGCTTGCATTTATGATTTTTGCGTTCGAGCTTCTAAAAACCACCGTAGGGGGTCCGCGTAACGTGTCCTTAAGCCGATGCACATTGCAACGATTTTCTCCTCGCTTTCTCCGGAAGCGCATACATCGCGGGACACGCGTGGGAATTGTATGCGCAAACAATTCGTCTTGCGTCCCCCGTTTGCTGTTTTCGAGTAGGTGTCCGCGAGATACGAGTGACCGGAAAACACGCGTATATACTTGTGCGGGGGCACGAGAGCACACGCGGCACGCGTACTTAAAAACGAACAAAATGCATTTTAAGAGAGTAGTCAAGCCGGTTACCAGAAGAAATCCGCTGCTAACAAGCCTGGAACGCGATTCATGGGAGACACTGGTAACGTTATTTTATATTCTTGGTTCGTTTCGCTGGGTTCCGTCCAAACGAGAATGGAATTTTTCGTTAATAGGTTAGGAGGAACTACGATTAAGCGAACAACTTCAAGTGCAATTTTTTATACGATCGCTTCACGAATGGTATTTTGAAATACAAATATAGACTATAGCCTGCAATTCGATGCTTTTCAATAATTTCTTGGGACTCGTATCACGATAAATAGATTATAATTAGTTTTTGGATTAGTAACCTGTTGAATCTATACAACGATACTTTAATTGCTCGACATTTAAAAAGAAGAGTGCTTACAACTGATGGGGAAGCAAAACGTTTCTAGTATTTCTATCGCGTGAGTTTGGCCTACGTTGAGTAGCGTGCGTTAAAAAGCGAATGAACCAAGTTACTACGAATATTTATTCATTATTTCCGTTGTGTCGTGAGGTCAGGAGCCAGCTAATCGGTCTCTTGTTCGCGTCGTTAAAAACGTCCGAGATTAAACAATAACGCTACCAACAATGTTCTTCCCGCCCATAAACGTCTAATCGGTCGAGTCGGGTGTTCTTTCTTTTATTCCACGATAAAAGCGTTTCTCTGAAGCGCAGATAAACCATGGAGGCCTTTCTGGAGCTTTCGTTCCGCACGTACAATCCTCTCGTTTTGCTCCAACGATTATCTCATACACGTGTTCACGGGAAGCGTGCTCGCGCGTGCTCCTCGTATTGTCCTCCATCTAACAACGAACGCGTAAATTTAAACCCCGACGATCGCGATACAAATTGTACGAGATAACGCGCCGCGATAAATGGCGTTCCTTTTCTGTACGACACACTCGTGACATTCCTCGCGAACGTTATCGCACAGTTTGTTTGTAAACAAAGGGGATCTGGTTCGCATGGAAAATAATACACATCGACGACAGGACTGTAAATTAATGTTATCTCGAGCTATAGCTGCATAGCCGCTGCAATGGATAACCAATTGTGTAATCCTACGCGTTTGTTTTACATAAGAAATTGTTGCAGATGCGCGACGGATGCATTCTTGGTCGCGTGCACAGATTCCGGATGTAGATCGATCATGAACTTCGCGCAGACGAAATTGCTCGGCGTTTGAAACAACGTGAAACGAACGAAAACGAAGTTCACGTTGATGTCACGTCGCGAAACAACGATTTGGCCGATAACAATTCCATTTTACGATACAAAGATATAATTACTCACGTATTTGTTTGATTTGAGAACCGTTCCACTGTGCAGTGAAACGAAACCAAAGGACCAGATTATCTCCTCGCGTAGGTCTGGCGCCTAAGACTTTTCCTCCGCTTCCTGACTTCTTTGCTTCTTTTCCCAAACACGCACAAATCTCGTCTACTTTCTTCCGAAGGCTTCCGTTTGTTTCAGTCTGAACTTGGAGATTGTCGGTAATTAGTATCTTCGATTCTTAACGCGATAGAAGGCAATCTCCAAAGGAACTTTCGAATATAGTTGAACACATCGCGTATACGCCGGTAGTTATTCTTAACGTTGAGTTTCTTTGCACGAACACCGTGAAAAACCGATCACTACGAAACGAACGGTTCGAGATCGTAAAATTACCCGGCGTACGAAACGAGGTGATTGAATGGACGGTTTTCACGTGGCAAAAACGACGCAGTGCATCGCCGGTGCCGATTTATCGAGCGTCACAAATCTTCGTTCATTCTGTTTTGCTTCGTTATTGCGACGCAAGACTGTTTCCGTTGGACGTTTATTTTTCTTTTTGTTTCAAGTTTGACCGTAAGAGGTTTGCGAATTACCTCTGTCGTTGGTCACCGGCGCGAATCGCGGCGTTCCAACTTCCTCCTCGTTCCAACCGCTTCTGAGAGCACCGGCGTAAAGTGTCATCGGTCCATACGTCGCCGACGAGCCGGTGCCCCGTGACGCGCATGCGCCAACACAGCCTCATGCACTTCACGTGATTCCAACGGATCGACGAATCAGGGAACGCTGGCTCCACGTGCTTGCATTCTTACAACGGCGGTGCTGGCGACAAAGCCTCGATTCCTAGGCTAGAAGTTAATAGGAACCAAGAAAAGAACGAAACGATTAATTGTCGTCCAACGTTCCTTTTCATTTTAATCTCTATTACAAATTCTGCCCGGGCAGCTCCTAAAAATCAAATCCAACATGCACTTTTAACTCGAATACGCTCGAATACCATATTGCATTTTTCAGCGAACATTGCGAACTGTCAGATGCTAATTTTTATGTGTGCAACTTGGCACAAATGTCCATTGGTCCAACCATCCCCATTGCGCGCATACCTTGTTTTGCAATTAAATCAAACAGTATACATATTTTTAATTAATTTTGAAAACAAGTAAATGTTAAACATAAAGGTATACTGCAGCAATTTTACGAAACAAATCTACGAACAAATCATTACAAATACTACATAATCAACATGCAATTGGATTTCGTTGTTCTATTAAATATTTAAATCACAGATTTCAAAATTACGCAATTATTTTTCGTGTCAATTACGAGAACGTACATTTGAATTTGACTTTACAATAAAAGCGGAACGTTTATATAGAACGTAGGGATGATTATATTACATAGAAAAGTATAAGGTAAAAATATAATAAATATTACAGTATTGGTATAAAATAGTACGCGTTGTTTATTTTCAAGTAAGCCTCCCTATTATATATAATGTAGAACCGGTAACTATTCGATCGCCGTTAACTGAATTTTTTGAGGCATCTTTCTGACTATCAGGGGCATTGTGTACAAAAGCGATGAATCATAGAACGAACCACAGGGATTTGTTTAAGCTCCCCGGTGAGTAATTTACAATATTCGTCACGGGGTCTATAAATTACGTGTATCGATAGAAATTCTACTACCACTATTTGTCAATAAAGTAACGGTATCTGATAACGCACAATTTGCGAGCGAGTGCACGACTCCGCTCGACAACGGTGCATCGCAGAAATTAGACAGATTTGTTTCCTTCTTTGTAAGTATCGCGGGTACGGGTAAATGCAGGTATAAACGAGTTCTCTGGTAACACGACACTCCGCCATATTGCTTCAACGCAAAGATGGTCTATTATACTCTAGTGTGCTCCGTTAACTCCATTGTCACTGTGCGAAAGATTACAAACACCTTTAACATGATATACCGTACTCAGGACAGCGTAAACCTGATTTCGTTTTACGTTCAAAAATAAACGAACATCGCTATCCGATCGTTAATCGAAAATCACTTTTTACGAGAAATCAATCGCAAGGCGAGGAAACAAAAAAAAAGAAACTACCGAGCGTAACGGTAAAAAGAATTTTGTTTTTGTTTCTTTGAGTCAGTCCATTTTCTTACAGTTAAAGCATGATAATCGAGTTCGATCGATCGACTGCTGGTTTCGAACGCGACGAACACAAGAACTGAAATTTCGGTACGTTGGTTCGCAATACTTTGTTCGCCCGTATCTTTATGCAAGAATGCAGAATTAACGATCGTTGGATTTGTTGCATCATCTTTGAGCACTTACTTAACGAACACATACTTGATATATACACCCATAAATAAAACCATCACCTAAATAATTGTTAGGAGTGTGTTGAGATAATATTGAAAACATCTGTTTCGCTTATCTCACACTCATACAAGCTACGCTATTTGCATATTTCCTTCCCTTTTTTTCGTTGGAGATACAAGAGGTGGTTTCGCGCCACGATGTACACATGTACGTACCAAACGATATAATGCCGCGAATTATTTGAAGCAACATTATTCCTATTATTTTAAAGGAGATCACGGTAGCGATATCAACAAATAATGATACGAATAGTTTCCTATTTATAGAATATTACGTCGATCGTTGCGTTTTATATAACGGAACAGAATACTCCCAATTATAATGAAATTGCTTCATACAATTCATATTAAAATAACTTTCGTTTCTAAGTTTTAATAACAAAATGAGACTTCGTTGTGTATGTTAACCAAGCATGTAATATGCTTGGTATTGGAAATTTAACGGAAAGCGTAACATGCACAATTTGTTTATCACCTGAGAGAAACCAAACCATACTCGTTTCAAAAAAAATTAGCGCGAATAAACAATAACCAAGTGTGTTTCGTTGAAAAGAAAAATGCACGTATAATCGAAGGTACACGTATGTACAATATTTCAAAATTACTACGAGCTTATAGGAACCCTGTTGATAATATCGTCAATGAATGAATTATTCTATGCCCGAACTATCAACCGAATATAGAAAATACTCGCATACGTATATACATGTTAAAGGTAAAGTCTAAAAATTTAATCGAAATGAGCGTTTCAAGTTTGTTTTAATGAGATGAAAAGATAATACCGTGGAAATGATACGAATACTACATAATAATACCTTTCGTTGTGTAAATAATCTAATTTTTGTTTAGAAGTGTCGGTAGCTATACACCAACATGATTCGTTCGATTGTGCTCATACGCCTATATGCGAGAACGTACCTATAATTATTTACAAATTAAATGTTTGTTCGCAGACTTTACCTATAACGCATATGATTAAAGTAGTTTGTTTCAACCAGCACAATTATTTACTTCAAAATTGACACAGACGTGGAACTACTATGTCTTCGTTTCAAGAAATACCACATCGCGCCATAATTGAACGACAATTAGGCGCGATGATTAAAATTCATTACGTTACTTGCATACACGTATGTGTACGCACGCGCACATATATTTGTAACGCAAGTAATTCTTAATAATGACAAACGTACATTTACTGATTTACATTTAAAAAATCATGCTGGTTCTTTTATATTCTAATTAATTCATGCTGATATATACACCATAATCAATATACATCAATAATCAGTCGTGTGTACGATTGCGTGGTCGATTGGGACCATTACGTTATCACAAATAAATGCTAAAAATTAAATGTCCTATCAATTGTCTTCTTTGAACTTTAAACGAACGGATCCGATAAATATTGTTAAAATTCACCTATCACTGTTTACAAATTCATCAGAGGCGACCAATGCTTCGACTAAAATAGATAACAAAAAAAGAATGGAAGAATTGATCCCGAATGAGATGAAATCGTTTCGACCATTGTTTAAGACAGAGTGTTACACGTTCGCGATCTCTGACAGCAACAGAGACATCGCAGCCTTGCCGCAGGGCTGGACTCTTCCGATCACCGTTCCTCGACACTTTCGCTACCACCGCTTTCCTGTTGAGGCCTCGCTATCTGGTACGTAATCAGATATTCCGGATATGCTTGTTCGCCTCTGTAGACCACATATTCAGGGAAAACTAAGCCGCCCTGCGATGGCCTACCCATTACACTGTGATGACCCGGTGGTGCATGAGCCATCTTCATTGCCGAGAATTGCAAGAACGACTTACCCAGTGTAACACGGCACAGCAACAAATGTCTACAAATGGCAACACACGTTATATGAAGCATCAAAAATATTAATCGTGAAAAAGCTAAGTCGGATCAAAGTTGGGTGCTAATTGTTCGATAGCTCATGAATTTTACTAATAAGAAAATGTACTTGAACAATTATTATTCAATAATTTAATTATATATAATTACTATATACACTGATTATAATCAGTGGTATTATCAATACGGTATTGTTCCCATTGCTAACAAAGACTGATTCAGATTTGCTTGGTCTACGATCTCACCTGTGGCAGATGTAACAACTTCTATCTTTATGAGCCGGGCATCCAGTACCGCCGCATATGCCGTACACATACTGATTGCTTTTGCTGCTGTGCTCCGCGAAATAAATCCCAGCGCCAAACATGCCCCCAATATACGCGTGCCTCTCGTCGAAGCCTTTCTGAACGATGGCGTTGATAAATGGACTGCCGTGAAACAGCATTCTTTCGTTCGCTTGGGGCAACGTGGAGCCAGGAGTGGTCCTGGAGCCAGTGCTCGGAGAGGAAGGCGCTGCTGCGCCAACTTCCTCTGCGACCTCCTGTCTTCTGTGCGCGTAGCGCTCCCACAGTTTGCGATTTTGCACTTTTTGTATCTATATTTTAGAAAAATTTCAATTAAAAAATGCTAGGTAACTTTTCGTTCGATGCAATAATGGACGTACCCTAACTATATTGTATCGAGAAAATATGCCACCAGAGTGACCATTGTCCCTATGCTGTCTAATGGTACTCTGCATTTCTTCCTCGACGGCTAAAAATTCCTTGTCCTCGGCCAACAGATCCACCAACAATGTTCCAGGCGCAATGGTCAGCTGCCACGGAGTACCGGCAGTCGTGTTGAGAAGTTTCTCCATTCCTTTAATCAATTTGTGTCTATAGCCATACGCGGATACACCGACTTGCTTCAGATCCTCGTGGCCCATCTCTGCCAATATGTCCAGCGTAATTTGTTCGCGTTCGAACAATTCTAACAAGTGTTCTAAGCATAGGCTCTGGAGGAAACCAGCAACGGTCGTGATGTTCGAGCTGTCTTTGGACGAATCTTTAGAATCTCTTTCGGAGCATGTTTCGGACGGCGGCATTGGGCTTAGACAAGAAGACGGTCTTGCAAGTGGCACGCATAACGTCATGGCGGTTCCAGAAGGCATAATGACGGTTTCTTGTGTCAATGGCGGTGGTGGGGTAACTGGAACTATAATGGTATAATGGTTATTCGACAAAAATTCAAGCATTTGTTTTTTATTCTTTAAAATGTAATTACCTGCTACGATACTAGGTGGTCTGCTGTTAATAGTATTATTACCATTACCACTCAAGTTAATGGCAACTCCTACGCCACTGTTACCGGATGTTACCGTTGGTACTACTTGCTGCGAAGCCATAGCATCTTGCAATAAGCATCTTACGTCGTCGGCGCTAGCTAAATCCACAGGAGTTTGACCCTCCTGATTCTTTAAGAAAGGATCCGCTCCGTGTGCCAACAAAAGGGCGCACAGTTGCGTTCTCCCTTTCTGCGCTGCCTCGTGAAGTGGTGTAAAGCCCCATTTGTCAGTCGCATTTACTACAGTATTATATTTAATGAGTAACGCAGCAATATCTAAATGGCCATAACTCGAAGCATTATGCAATGGTATCAATCCTCCTTTATCTTGAGCATTAACATCCGCTCCGCGTTCAAGCAAAAATTCCGCCACTTCCAAATTATTGTACCCAGCTGTGTTAAAATACGATCGGATTAGAACGTACGAAATAGCTTTGAACGTGATAGAAAATCTGAGATAAAGCGATGCAACTTACCAGCCAAGTGTAACGGAGTACTGTTACGACCTTGAGCATCTCTGCAATTGATATTGTCTTGAGTAACGAGTCGCTGCACCCTGGCCAAATTGCCTTTCTTCGCTGCGTCCAGAAGTGCACTGTTTCCACGTAACAGATCCGCCACGTCCTGATCGCCATCTCTCACCAGATCCAACGGGGTTGCTCCGTCCCTGTTCTTTTTCGTAGCGTCTGCACCGTGTCTTAACAGCAACCGAACTATCTCGTATTTTCCTTTAGCAGCAGCCTCGTGAAGCGGCGTGAATTTCCACAAGTCCGCGACATTTACCGACGCACCATGTTTCACTAATAATTCCGTTACCTCGTAATGACCATAAGAGCAGGCATTGTGTAAGGGAACCAGTCCACTAAAAACAGAAAATTAACCTCTTTTATCGACAACAAAGAGTTTCTTTTTCTATGGCGTACTAATCCCGTACAATTACAATAAACCAGGACAAAACGACGAGAAATTTACATGTTCTTACGATCAGTTCATAATTTGATAATACATACTAATAGCTTTTGTATTTGTATTTGGACATAACATCTGCTACTTTTTCAGTGAATCGTCTCCTGTCTTGTACGCTATCAATCGTTTGAGCAATCGGTTATAACTAATTATGTTCTGGTACATTGTCAAATGCAAGAGGAGCTTGCAGAATCACTGGGAGTTACGCAACAAGCAGATTAAAATCCATGGGAATGATTCACAAGCAAGGCAATTGGTTTTTTACACCGAATTGTAACTAGGGATGAGAAATGGATATTCTACGATAATCCCAAGAAGAAATATTACGCTATGCCTGGTCAATCGTTGTCATCGACCTCAACAACAACATCAAAGCCGAATATTCATGGTTCGAAGGTCATGCTGTGTATTTGGTGGGACCAAAAGTGAACTAATTTGTACTCCCAATAATTTTTTAGAATAAACTTACCCTTTATCTTTGGCGTGTACGTCTGCTCCATGTGCCAATAAATATTCGACTACAGGCACTCTGTTAAATCCCGCTGCGAAGTGCAGCGGTGTGGAATGCCGACCATCCAAATCGCGACAATTAACTGCGTGTGGATTTGTTTGTAAAATTCTTTCGACCGCCGCTAAATCGCCAGATTTACTTGCCTCTAACAGCTGCGCTTCCGCGTCGTCTGTCCCGCTCGGTGGATCTGCAAAACAAAAACAAGAAGAGAAAAACATTATTCGGCTAAACAATTATTCTGTGTCTGAGGTAAGTTAGACTTCGAACCTTGTAGTATTTTAAGGACATTTTCTGCAGCTACTTGTGCCGCAGTATAGCCCTGAAGCGATACTATAGACTGATCAACATTGTACGATAACAATATTCTGCAAGCTTGCACATTGTCTTCTCTAACACACCTGTTTATATAATAATAGTTTTAATAAGAAAAACTGTTGATGTTTTCTCGGGAAATAATAATGGAACATTTGGAACGTTTTATACTGTGCACGATACCTGTGTAATACAGTTTGCCCTAATCCGTCTAAAGCATTGATTTTTGCGTTATGTCTAAGCAGCACATCCATTGCATCGTAATGAGAATGATCAGTGGCCAAGTGAAGCGGTGTAAGAAAGTCTTTATTTTTCTCGTTTAAGGCAGCATTTTTTCTAATCAAAGATTCTATTACTTGTTTTCTCTTGGGATAAGGAGATGCAACGGCACAGTGCAGCGGTGTGTCCCCAGTATATGGGTGTTTAAAGTTTACAACTTCTTGGGACAGGTACTTTTTTAATTTAGTAAGATCTGCCTGCCTGCAGGCATCCAAAAGGCAGTGGCCCTTGTATTCGTCTACAATTAAATTGTATCTAACAGAGTCACGTTCTGTGTGTACGTTTAGAAAAACACAATACGATAATAGGTGAACATACATGCTAATCTTTCTTGTAATTCCAATGTCGGGGCCACGTCAATGGCGCTTTTACTGTGGCAGTTTAATTGCGTTGGATCCGCGCCCTCGCTTAAAAGTAACGAGCACACCTCGGCTCTGGATTTACTAGCGGCTTCGTGCAGCGGTGTGAATGCCCACAAGTCGCTTGCATTGACTGCTGCACCGTGTTTCAGAAGTGCTTCGGTCACCTCGAAATGCCCGTACGAACAAGCGTTATGGAGCGGAACCAAACCTCTGTAACATTATCATTGCAAACAAATTACTTTGCGCCACAAAAGACATTTAAATTCATAGTTACACCATGTTGTTCAAATAAAGTATTAAAAAATCTAACAATTCCTATAATTATTGTTAAAGATATTTACCCCTTGTCTTTCGCATGCACGTCAGCTCCATTTTGCAGTAAAATTTGCACCACTCTGGACCTGTTGTATCCAGCAGCCAAATGCAACGGCGTGGATCTCCTACCGTCGCTCGCGTGGCAATTTACATTTAAAGGATTCAGAAGTTGTAGAAGACGTTCCTCGTTTCCGGACCTCGCTGCTTCCAACAACTCATCCTTCATATACTCTCCCGTTAATACTGGTTTAGTTGCAGAATCTGCTAATTCTAGCGCCGTCTTCCCTTCTGTGTTTCGGATATTTGCATCGGCTCCATGCTGCAGAAGCGCGATGCAGACATCTATTTTACCCTACAGAAAATGTGAAATTTAATATAATTGACAAATAGATTGAGAATTAACACGTTAAATAGAATTTGAAAGTACCTTGATCGCAGCTTCGTGTAAGGGAGTGTAATTCCAATTGTCTCTGGTATTCGGATTAGCCCCTGCTTCTAGCAGAAGTCTGACAACGTCAGAATGTCCAAAAGAACAAGCGTTGTGCAGAGGATGCAACCCTCCGTCGTCGCGAGCTTGAATGGATGCTCCGGCAGAAAGTAGATACTCCACTACGTCCCGTCTACCATAACCTGTGTAATAAGAATAAAAGGACACGAATCGGATCAGTAACCAAAAATTTTGGATTATATATTTTGAAATAAATGAAAAGTTTCTTGGATGATATATAATTTAATTAACGATTAACAATTACAATTATAAATGTAATTTCAGAACGTTACTCTCCGAAGACTCTTTAGAACTACTAAAAATATAGCGATTGTTTAATCTTAACAAACTTGCAATCAAGTTGTTCTTAGTAAACGACATGACATATACTAATAAACGTGTTAAAGATTAGGCCAAAGTTTCGACTATTAATTTGTGTATAAATTAATATCACGTAGGACTAAACGGTAAAATACCTTAAGTAGTATGATTGTCGCGAGTCTCCCCCATTTAAATTGCCGAATAACAACATTCGAAACTTGGTTGTCGAACTATTTCACAGTCGCGACGTGACACGGAAACATTGCATTCTCGATCGAAAATTTCGTGTCCGGGCAAAGTATAATCCGTGCATTGTATTTTATTAACGAAAGACAATGGAAAGAGCTGGTATAATAATGAACTTACCAGCTGCAAAATGCAGGGGGGTGGACTTGCGTCCGGCAGTGTCTCGAGCATTGACCGTCTTCGATGTAACCAACGCCTTTACCTTCGCGAGGTCTCCAGTTTTGCACGCCTCGAAGAGCTCCCTCAAAGGATCCGTGTTCCCCGATCCCGACAGGGAATCGGCATTTGTCAACGTTGATCTACGTCCTGCCATTTTACACCGCCATTTTCACGCCACTATCCGACAGATACACTTCACTGGCTCATAGTGTTGAAAGCTTTCACGACGACACCGAGATGAGTTGCTATGGCACAACCCAGTGGCGCCGCCTTCCACCCAGAAACGCTCATTTTTTAAAACTCTATCGCATGAAGCAATTCCATCTGCATCAGAATGTAGAAACACAAACATAAATAACGATACTTATTGAAACCGTTTAACAAATTGTCCACTTATACTCGTTAAATATGTATATTGCATAACCAATGCATATTTTATTTAGATTTTGCATTTATAATTTGTATACAAACATTTTCTTTTTCAATGTCATTTGAAGGAATTTATACGTAAATTACAATTTACGGATAGTAAAAGAGATCGTTCGTGTATACGTTGTTTGAAGTTGCACGATAAATGTAAAATATAGTAAAATATGTCGATCGATGCTTCGTTTTATAAAAATGTGCTTTTACTTATGCAAGCTGTGCCCGCATCGTTCGAATGTAAAAAACAGTTTAAAAAGGTATAACACAATTAAAAGAAAACACTGTTCTCGATAATTACGATCTTGATAAAACTTTTTAGGGAATGTTTAACAAGCCCAATACTTGTGGTTTTATCCATGTTTCTCATTATTTATTGTCTGTACATAATTCAAAGCAATTTAAAAAAATGATCAAGTGGCCAATCATAGAAAAAACTAATGTAAAACGGTATCGCGCGGAAATAAAAGATTATTTAGAAATTTTAGCAGAAGAAAATCCGGATATAAATTTTCCACCGATACTTATGTGCTATTTGGTCCATGCAGGGGGAATAAGGTTGTTAAATATTATGTGGAAAATATCAGTAATTAGTCTGCGTGCCTACATTAGTAGAAAATGTAAATGCTTAAAATTAAAATTATCTACGCCGTTTCCTTACATACCTGTTAACTTTATCTTTTTTTTAGATCATGCAACATTATTACAGGCTCCTAAACCAGGGGACAACTACAATATAACTAAAGCATATTTAACCAAAATAAATCTAAAAAGGAGTATTGCTATTTCAAAGTGTTACGAGAAAACAAAGCTTATTACAAAAGTTTTTAAACTCATTCTGCAGTATAAGTCATTTTTATTATTGTCATACTTGTGTATGAAACATATATTATTTTATACTTTCTATGAAAATTTGTTTTTTTCATTTTTAGAAGCAGAATTGATAATTTAAAAAATATACAAACTGACATCTTCAACACAATGGAAAATATAGAAAAATGTATACACATTGCTCCAGTTAGATCATCGGATAAAACAGAATTAAGAAATACTGAGAATTCAGAAATTATAAATTGTGTGTACAATATAAAATTATTTTAAATTAATAGTAATTTAATCCGAATACTAAATTTTAATTTGTCTAAACTTTTAGCATGGGAAGCAAGTATTAACGAGAGTATTAAATTTATTCAAAAACAAAATGCCGATTTAAATAAAGTGAAAGATCTTAGTAATACATTATGCGATTTAATTTTGAATTTATTTGTTGATTGTACAGTTTTCGATGGTAACAACCTTCCGAATGTAAATACTGAAATACTACCTCTGTGTTTCAATAACAATGTACAGGTATTCAAACTAATATAGAATTATAGATATTATTAATGATTTAATTGACATCTAGTAATGCATTTCATTTAAAGCACGTTAACGATGGATTATACAAGAACGGCTGCTTAATATTTCACACTGTATCGTTGATATTTAACCAAGTATTAAAACACATGAAATGCTACCTAGAAAATGATGTTCCGATAGATATATCAAGCTGCGAATCAACAATTATCGAGCATTGTAAAATAATGAAGTCCGTGGAAGAATCATTTCGGAAACTCATAGTGGAAGTTACCGATACGATATCCGACAAAAAATGTAGTTTACAACGGAAGAGCGTAAACTTTGCTTCAGAAATAAATATTCTTCGTTCTACGAATCTAAAAATAATTTTTAGTCCGTTAAAATTAAACTTGTCTACTAACTTGTACAATAATGTTGAAGAGTTGTACGAAAGATTATACTTTTCTCCGGAAAAAGGTAATATTTATTTCCTCTTAACGTAAGCACAAAGATTAATACTTTTGATTTCACGAACGATCTTTAGGTAAATACAAGCACTTGTTTAAAAGATATCAACATAATACCTCCGATACATCCAAACTGATCAACAGTGATTCAAAATTATGAGGTGCAACTTTAATTTAAAACTAAGCTTTAAAGCGATTACGAAATAAATGTATTTTAAAGTAATTTATATATGTAAGTACATGGTCAGCGAATAAACATTATATTTTCACGATAATGGTCTTATTTTCTTAGACGTTTTTCACGATTATTGATAATCCCAATGTTTGCACTGTTGTAGTATAACCATAATTACATCGAACACATTTAAAAAAATTGCACATATCGTTCACATCAATTACATCACACGGAAGATATATATCGACATGCTTTCGTGGATTCCCTTTTTCAGTAAGATTTGTGTAACCTTGTTCTAATTTATACACTAGACGTACATATAACGAAGTACGTTTAGCTACAACAGCGTTACCAAATGGCAGACCGATGCCCAAAGGAAATTCGTAAAGCTAGCAAACGTAGAAAAGTCTTTCTTTCCTTACATGGTGTACAGGATTGCTATTATTAACAATTTTCCCGGATATTTAAGTAAACATAACCAAAACCATTGGAAACATTAAGCCACAAGTTTCTACTTGTTGCGCAAATAAAACACCAGATGGCGTCATTTAAATTAATAAGTTGTTAATCCACCGAACCGATTATTATTTTGTATTCAATACGTAAAATAGTATTTTAATGTGATCAAGATAAAATACATAAAATACTGTTTATATGTATCAAATATGTTTAATAAATAATAATTTAATTCTTGGATTGATAACATATTTCAAACCCTGACTATCATAAAGCACTTATTGTAATACGTTATTCCATAGCGATACGTACGATACATGCAACTCACATGCGGGTTAGATTTATCAATATTTAGTTTTGTACTGTAATTATACATATTTAGTAAATAATAGTTTAATTCTTGAATTGGTAAACTATTATAAATTTTACACATGGCAGAATTGTTGGTGGAATACTGTTCTTATTTCATGTGCATATGTGCCTGAGTCGAGTGTATCGGAATTTTATTTTGAATATGCGATCGTATGTATCGACAAATAGTAATAATTCAATATTCGAATCGATAAACTATTTACGTATTAGAAAGATTAATTAATATCGTTTGGCGCTTTAACCGCACGATTACTAAAAGTTTCTTGTATCGAAAAGGAGGGAATTGGTATAATAGATTACAAACCATTATGAATGTGTGCGTTGGTGTGTTTTACGAAACAATATCAAAGTTAGTTTCCCTTTACAATTAAATGTGTAAATGTTACGAAAATGTATAATAATGACAGATAAATATTTAGAAATGTAAAACGGAATAAGAAATCGATGTATTGTTATATTATGAAATAATAATTTACCAAGTAAATTAATTTACTATTGTATCGCCGGTAACATATAAATATTCGAAAAGGTTGCAATTAAAAATATTGTAACAGAAAGTTGAAATGGCTACAAAATTAAACAAATACTGTGACAATCAGATAGTTGCACTTCTTAATTCACAATCAGATTCCAATTCCAATGAAGAAGTTAATATGGCTCCAAATAAATTGAAAAGAAGCAAAAGATTGAAATTACGGAATACAGAACACAATACCTCGGACGTGTCTTCGGATATAGAAAACATAGAAGAAGATAGCAATTTACAGAAAGAAAGAGTTCAGCTTAGAATTAAATTAAGACGATCGACAGAACAAAGTTTATATAAAATTGATAAAAGTTTTAATAAATACAAGGGAACCAGTCTTAAATCGAATAATAAATGTCCGAAACAGAAAACCATGAATTATTCCGAAGAAGAAAACAGAAAGGATAGTTCTGGTAATGAAGATAGTTCTGGTGAAAGTAAAGTTAAAGATAAGAATAAATTGGTACAAATTCAAAATGAAAACGAAGTATTGACCAGAACTAGGAATAGAAAACCACCGTTAAGACTCGCTTCGTACCATTGTGGTCCGTTAAACAGAGTTAGAGATACAGATTCCCCAGGAAGTCCTTCGTCGCGAAGGAACAGGAAAAGCGTTAATTACAATGAAGATAAATTATTTATAAATGCTATAATGTCTAATCTAAAAGTAGATGACAAACAAAACACACAGATGAAAACAGAAAACAAAGATGTTTCTACGGACAAAAGTAATTTAGAATCCAGAACAGTGAGGACGAATGTAAGAAGTACGAAACAAAATTGTATTCCTTCCGTTAAAGATGACAAGAATGATTGCAATACAGATTCTGAGATAACTAAAACAAAATCAATAAAAAAATCCAATCAACCAGAAAGTAAAATTGATGATAAGTTGAAAAAGGAGACAGCAAAAGAATCTGATTTATTGGATACACCTATCAGGAAGAATAAACATAAAAGAGTAATTAATATGAAAGGAAATGAAGTTGTTGGTAATAGCACGGATGATGGTAAAATAAAAATTTTGGAAGATACGATTAAACATACTGAAATTCCATCTACGGCTATAAATCTCACACCTGTCAGAACAGATAAGAAAAGGAAGATGAAGCCCGAAGATACACTGCAAAGTGTACATTTTGTTAACAATACCGAAAGTAATAGCAAAGAAGAAGATTTGATAGATATGTATAAACGTACTAAAATTTCATTGTCAAAGAAAAATATTTTAACACCGCAGAGAAGAAATAATGCACAAAAAGATATACAAAAACAGCTAGAAGAAGTTCATTTGAGTACTCCGAAATCTCGTCCCATAAAATGTAGCACTTTAACACCGTCGATGAGAGAAAGACACGGCACTTTAATGAAACCGGCTACACCTTTGCAAGAAGCTAGATCAAGATTACACGTTAGTGCTGTACCAAAGTCTTTGCCTTGCAGAGAGGAGGAATTCAATAATATTTTTACATTTCTCAAAGGAAAACTGGAAGACAAAAGCGGAGGGTATGTTGGAAAAAAGACATTGTTTCCTGTGAAATACAATTAATAACTTGAAACTGTTTGCAGATGTATGTACATAAGTGGAGTGCCTGGGACAGGTAAAACTGCAACTGTAAACGAAGCTGTAAGATGCTTGCAAAAGTTGACAAGTAAAGGACAATTAGATGATTTTAATTATGTCGCGATCAATGGTATGAAATTGACAGAGCCGAGACAGGCTTATGTACAAATTTTGAAACAGCTAGAAGGTAGATCTGCTAGTTGGGAGCAAGCGTATCAAATACTTGAAAAAACATTTCACAGGGCCCACTCTAAGATGACGTTACTCCTAGTAGACGAAGTACTTTTGCTTTTTAATTTCTAAAGCAATTCTATTAACGTGATTGCTTTGTATTGCCGTTTATTAATGTTAATTATTATATTGTAGCTCGACTTTGTATGTACAAAACGCCAAGATGTTGTGTACAATTTATTAGATTGGCCGTCAAAGGCAACAGCACATTTAATCGTTCTTACTATAGCCAATACTATGGATCTACCCGAGAGGGTTTTAATGGGCCGCGTTACATCACGTTTGGGCCTCACCAGATTAACTTTCCAGCCGTACAATTACAAACAGTTACAAGAAATAGTAATGTATAGACTTAGGGACTTTACTGGTTTCAGAAGCGAAGCTATACAACTTGTTGCACGGTATTACAATGGATTTATAATAGTTCTCGATATAATAAAAATCAGTTGTGTTTATAGAATATCTATGCTAACCGTTGCTTTATTATAGAAAAGTTTCTGCTGTATCCGGTGATGCTAGACGAGCTTTGGACATATGCCGTCGTGCTATGGAAATTGCAGAATCCCGAAACGAGCAAACAATATCTCTACAAGACGTAAGCGAAGCTGTATCTGAAATGATCGCATCCGCAAAAGTTCAAGCTATAAAACATTGCTCGAAAATGGAACAAATACTTTTACAAGCTGTATCTGCGGAGGTTACACGAACCTCTATTGAAGAAGTATACTTTTATGACGCGTATAGACAGCTCCAAGCGCTTTGTTCTTTTAACGGTAAGTCTTTTGTTTGTTCGATACGGTAACACCTTGACAATTACGTTTACTTTTTTATGTTACAGGTTTACAGGTACCTGCTGTAACGGAAGTACTTGCTATTTGTGTAAGATTGGGCGCTAGTAGGTTGCTGATATGCGAACATTCGAGAAAGGACATATACCAAAAGATTTTACTGAACGTTTCCACGGACGATATTCATTATGCGATTCAAGAGATCGATTTTATTTCGAAATGATGAATGTAATTCTAATGCATGATCGCGTGTGACTTGACAAGTGCCTTAGTAAAAAATATGATAATTCGGTTTCTATTTTTGTGAATGATATTTGTAAATTAAATTATTTATTAATTAAATTCTATGCTAAAGAAAAAACATTGTTGATATTTTATACGACGTTAAAATAATTATGGTTGGTTGACTTGTAAAATTTAATGATAGACGCGCTGTAGAATTTATTTTCGATCATCTTTCATTTAAAAATTATTTTCACTGATTTTTTAAATTCTAGAGTTAGCCATATAATATTCAGTAATGAATTTTGCAAATGCAATATTAACAGTTATAATTAAGTAAATAAATGATTTAAAAATTATTATTATTTTTATTATTCACGATTAGGTGTTTTCCTCTAAACTGTAAAAGAAGCAAGGAATATTCTTTTAAACTACACAGTGAGCTTAAAATGGTTAAGAACAAACGAGAATTATATAATTCAAGGATCTAACATATGAATTTTCTGTACTATTAATAAACAATCTTCGAACGTATTCTGAATCGAAGCAGTATCTTATTGGACTCGGAATCGTGTTTTATAGTTTTTAAATTTCCCTTTGCTCGTGATAGCTATGGTTAACGAAAACATCGAGGAAACGATACTTGCGCTCCACGGTCAACAAAAGTGGCAGGATATCGCTAATTTAAGTTGTACTTTGAACGAATTTGAAAAATGTAGACTATTTTGGGTACTGCCAACCATTAACGATTTACATTGGATAAAAGAAATAATCGACAAATACAACGTGTTTGGATTAGCAAGTATAGGATGCGGGTGTGGATTGTTCGAGTGGTTGTTTCAAAAATATTCCGGTAAGTTCATTATTACTCTTGCAGTCACTCTTTTCCGATCAAACATTTCGTGTAATTGTACTTTTCGAGAATATTCGCGATTCCTAATTATAAACTTTTCGGATACTATATTTTTAACGTTCGATCGTTCTGTTCAAGGTCTGGACGTTATTGGTATAGAATTAGATCGGTCGTGGTGGTGTAGCAAATATTCTCCACCTTTGTTCTTGGAAAACGTGGCCTTTGTTCGTGAAAATGATACGAAAAATTTTCAAGTATCGGAGAAATACGCCCTTCTCTTTTGTTATTTCAACAATGCATTAGCATTTTGCGATTATATCGAAAGTTATAAAGGAAAGCTTGTTTTTGTCATTGGACCCAAAGAAGGTCAACATCGTTCGACAGATCCAATGCCTTTCGATAATAAATTTTACGTGCACGGCTGGAAGTTATTAAGCAAGAAAAAACTCGATCGATCCAGCGATTATATTACTGTATATGGTAGATGATTGATGTTTACCTTCGACGAATACTTAAACTACAATCACCATGAAAACATTCGAAATATGTTACTCTTACGTGTTAATTTCCACAATTGAAATTAGCTTCGATAATCGACGTTTGGCTATTTGATTATCGAATTGTCATTGGATATTGTGCTATAGTATGTTTCGTCACAGATGACTCTAGAGCGAATCATGCTGAGCAAAAGGCTGTAAAGTTTAAAAGTCCAATTTTGTTCTAAATAGACGGAGACACACGATGCTGCAAATACTTTCTAAGTCAGAATTTCTCGACACGACATTTAAATACCGAAAGATGCGATATTTATTAAATAGCTTCCATTAAATTATCAGAATAAATTTTGATGTCTAACCTATGTCCGACGCGTCGCGTGTATTGCTACAAAACAACAGAACCGTGACAATAATTACAATGTGGCGTGTAAATTTTTGAAACAAGTTATATAAGAATGAATTGTAGTACATGTAAAGAACATTTTACATATTCTATCGAAACGATATATATATATATAGAAATGTATTTAATAAATGATAACCTACACTTATTATAAAGCTCAAATTACGCCATCTTGTGTTTAAACTGTGCAATAATTAGAAGCTAGCCGTCCAGGAGAAGGGGATGTGTTTGGCGTGCCGTATTCCCCTCAAACGGAACGAATTAATGAACCTCTGTGTACATAATATCATTTTTATAATATAATTGTTGATTTTTATAAGAGACCGCATTTGTTTGAAGGAAATTTTTTTGTCAATATTATAATGTTAACCTGCGAAGCACACGATTGTCTTTCGAGTCAGGATACGAAAATTGACGGAAAAGACATATCATTTTTCCCTTTTCCCGACGACGTTCTGTGAGTATTTGTTACTCTTGTCTCTTATAAATATTGACACGTCATATTTACACACGTTGTTTAACGTTTTCAGTCAAAGGAATCAGTGGTTAAAAAATTGTCAGTTAGGTGACACTGCTAAAAGCGATAAACCACTCTACCTTTGTGAACTACATTTTGAAAAAATGAGTTTTACAAGTTCAAAGGAGTTAAAACCTAATGCTGTTCCAACTATTTTTGATAAAGTAGAAGGTATGTGTAGCAGCAACAACATTGTGCTTGTAAAATATATTTTTAGCAAAGAGTAATAGTCTATTTATTATAGAAGGACAGAGGAAACGTAAGGCTGAAAGCGTACCCGAAACTGGCTCCAAAAGGCCCCCGCTAAAACAGAAAAAATGGAACGAAGATACGCATAGTTTAGTTACTCCACCTCAAAGCCCCTGTGCTCAATTAATAGGAAATGTAAACAATATTGGATTTTCAAGTTTAACGTATTTAGAGGAAGAGTTTATTAAACAAGTGCAATGTTACAGGTCGAAGAGATGAATGGAGAAGATAAAATGGATGTATCTTTTGGTCACGATATCTCATTGAACGGATCTACTCTTTTAAAGTCTGAACTATGTCACGACGTGGAAATAGGAAAGAAACAATATCGTTTGACGATACAAATAGATAAAATTTATGGTAAGCCGTGTCCTAGGTCAAAGAAGCTCATGATATTGGCACAGTTAAAGAAAGAAAGGTTACAACTTTCCAATAATGTAATTAGTATGGATCAGAGAGATCTATCTTTACAGAAAGGTAATAGAAAAGCAGTTTGCGTAAAGGGTGGATGTAAGTTGAAAAAGTCTGTTTACGAATCTCAGCCAGCTTTTCAGTGCGAACACTGTGATAAGTATTACGTAATGAAGAAGTGTGATAATCAAACAGAGAAGAATAATATTTGTGCTATATGTTACAAGACTTTTCCATCTCCGCAATCTCTGTACCTTCACACTAAAAGTCATTTTATGTGCGATATGTGCCAAACCGAATGTAGCTCGCAAGTTACTTACGAGAAACACATAAGATTACACGTTAATTCAGATTCGTTGTATCCGTATAAGTGTCACCAGTGTACAGAAATATTTGAACTGAAAGAAGACGCGAGGCAACATTATTTAATCGTTCATCCTACGATAAAATTACAAAATACAATTTTACAAGTGACTGCTTCGCATTTAACCCAACAAGTACCTCAACAACAAGATTATCGTTGCATCAGTTGCAACATAACGTTTAGGAACGAACAAGCTTATAGGTAGGTTTTATCATCATAAATGTACATTGTAAGATATCTTTTATAATTATTTAATATGTTTATAGGAACCATATAAGTTCTCATAAAAAGAAGGAAGGCTTGAGGTGTAGTATTAGCGAGACGAATAATATATTTCCAGTACCCAATCCTCTAACCGGTAGTCAAATAGGTATACTTCGAGCTGTAAAATTCACCTGCAGAGTGTGTTCGATGGAATTCGATAACGTCGGCGAGGTCGACAAACACACGAGAACACATTTAGAAGAAGATAACGAAGAGGAACGCAAGTGCAATATTTGTAAAAAGCTATTTAAAACGAGTGCACGGCTCAACGAACATTTAAAGTTCCATCTATCGCGAACGCATTCTTGTCCCGTATGTTCCAAAGCTTTTATTAATAGAACTACCCTGAAAATACATTTAAAGACGCACGGTGAAGCATAAATCGTAGTAATAAATTTATTGAAAAGTTTTAGCGCGAGTGTGAAATTGTGTATTCACTGGTTTCACTTCTAAATGCGTCTACGGCGATGTGTCGCATCTGTCGCTACCCATAGATGGAAAATTCTGTATAATGTGTACAAAATTGTTTGTTAATTTTATTGGTATTTGTAGCCAATGGCAAATGTACGAAAGATTATGTATGTTAACGAAGAATTATTAAATTCTTGAACAGTAAACCTTCAACGTTGTTCTTTATTTCGGGCAATGATTCGAACACGCGTTTACGATCGTGATTTTAAATTATACCGCTTGGAAATTCCTATTTTAACACGTTCACTGCCAGAACAAAACAGTATAATATTTAGCAAAAGTAAAATTCTGATTTTAGACCATTGTAAGCTACATAACCTAACATTTGTTTCGGTACTTATTTTTGTAACCTCGTTGAAATTCATACATTCTATCCTTTATTTCCCTCGACGTCTTCACTTGGGAATTAATTTTTCTAGCGTCAAAGAAGCAAACGTAATAAATCTAAATCGAAAAGTAGCATTCGTACAGATATTAGCGCGTGTCCGGAGGAATGTTACGAGGCGAGAGCGTAGCATTTTCGCGACAAGTGTAAAAGAGGAGGACCGACAGGAAAACGAGCCTGAAGTCGCTATAGATTCACCGAAGAATGAAAATAAAAGGGAGCGGGTTCCTTTTGGGTGTGCTCCACCTTGTGCCCGCTCGAGGCTCACGGAACGCGCGTAGAATAATCCCGATTTTTCCGACAGAGACGCTCGGAAGTCATCGGCGACGTGGAAGGGGAGGATGGTAGATGGAAACGAGGGCAAACGACCCGAAGTAAAAGGGAGCCGCCGACCAAACCGCGGGAACAATTGCACCCGATGTTCACGGTCATCCTGTCAACGGGGACCACTTCAAACGTAGCCGTCCTCAATGTGTTTATTTGCCCAACGTCAAATTTACTCGTTGGAAAAGGAGAGCTGCTCTAACCTTTCTGCTTTCCGTCCTCCCGTGGTCGCTGTTTTCTCGCGTCTCGGTAAAATCGGATCGTTTTGTCGCGCTGGATCATCGACGTTTGGGCGTGGCTCGTGTTCCCTCTATTGTCGACCTGCTGATTTTCCATGCCTCGAGTACTTATTGTTGCAGTTCTCTTTAACGCGCCGCGCCAACCGAGTCAACATTCTTGAGCATCTTACTCTACTGCCATTTCTTTAATAAAAATTACAATTCGAATTAGAAAATAACAATTCGATCGAACGATAGTCTCTGGTTAGAGTTTATCTTTTGTTCGTTATTTGTATACCGAGCATCCCTTGATTCGTATTAAAGTTGCGCATAGGTGGTTGCGCGTGTTTAGTAACGGTCTGTTAGCGATGAAATGTGGCGGGACGGTCGAGCAGGTATTATCGAGGCGAAGGAAACCACTCTATAAATTCGCTATGGTTTTCCACGGTAGCTAAGCGACGAACCCTGCACTCGTATACTTATAACCGAAGGTTCCGTGAAAATTGAGGCCAATGGTGGGCTGTCGCGTGACGAAACGCGTGACTTTTCGTAAATGACCGGGAGGATCCTCTGCGAGAGGAGGAACGTCAAATACATTTTAATCCGTTGCTGTTCGAGACACACAGGAACATCAATCGTATTTAATACTTGTTGGAATCAAATCGTTTAGGGTGTCGTTCGATCGAAATACGCGAAATAAAAAGTTCTTGGTTGTTTTCGATAAAAATAACTGAATTAATTCGGATGATGGAAAGAGCTGACTCGCCATTTTTTAAGGACTGGACTTCGAAGAGATCCGATTGGTGAAACGATTTGGTTGATTCACAATCACGATAAATTCACTCACTGAATAACAATGCAATTTAACTTTAAAATGAGACGAATGTACGGAATGTAAAGGACGACGGTATTAAACGTAAGAGAAAGACGATATCGCGTCTAAGAAATAGACGGTTCGGATAAAACAAAGCGCTTATAAACACGGGTAATGCAGCGCGCTGTATACCGACAAAATTTGCCCCGAAATATGGGTTTACGAAATAAGGGATTTTGCCTTTATACGAGCAGCTTTTGGGTCGGATGAGGTCTCATTCGAAAGAGGAAGGTCTAATGCAGCACGCGCTGGTCAGTATCGAACGAGATTGTGTTCACATTTATTGATATCAACGTCGAAAGTCGAGAAAAATATTGACAAAATACAGCTACAGAATCGAGGTCTTTTTAGGTTACTAAAAGAGTTGTGGGATTCCAATACTGACCAGCGTGTACTGCATTGGACCTTCCTCTTTCGAACGAGACTTCATCCGGCCCAAAAGCTGCTCATACAAGGACAAAATCTCTTATTTCGGGTTATTGCGACGTGTCCTGGTTCGGTTTCACGCGTGGACGGAACAATGGCTCCCGAAATTTCGAGTACTGTCGCCAGGTCCCTCGCGCGCATGCTCGCGAACGACTAACATCGCGGTTCGCCGGCGGCGTGCGCCGATCGTCGCTGATTGGCGGAATTTTCCGCACGGCGAATCTGAACAATAATTTTTATTGTCCATCTCCGGTACCGGCTCTAAACAATATCTAAACAAATTACCATTAATTCTGAGAATGCAAACATCTTTGGTGGCTCGTTTCACGCCATCAGCGTGAATTGGTTTAGACGTGGCGATCGATTCGCCGCGTGTTTGTCGGTTTTTCGACGCGGCTCCTTTTTTTCGAAGCGTCGAAAGGAAACGCGTTGAAAAGGGACGCCCCGCGGCGAAATTTGCACGCGGCCACTTGACTGTACACGTTCCGCCAAAGGGTTATGCTAATTCACGGTAGCGTTCATAGATCTGTCGTTCATTCGATGTCACAGCTGTATGCAAGTTCTACTCTGTCCCTTACAAAAGAAAAACATTCCTTTCTAACCTTATTACTCGGATTAATTCTAGCTCTACTATAAAAATAAATTCGATTTGTACTCGTATTTTGCAGTAATTGTAAAACCGTTCGATTCAGAAATTTCCATCGATCCCGCGCGATCGTAGCCGTGATCGAAGAGTCGGGTCGGTTTATCTCGTCTGCCATTAATCAAAAGGGCCGGGAACTTCCGCGCGAGTGACTCCTTCATTGAAGAGAGGACACCGGGAATAGATAGATCGTATAAAAGATCGTTCTACCAGATGGCCCGTGCCCGCAACGAAAAGAGACCCCAAGTCTCCCCCCACCCCACCGCCCCCCTGGTCCCTCTTTTCATTCTTCTTCGACTTTCCGTAGAATGACCAAGCGGCGGTGTCTTGGACGGTTGTCTGTCTTAAAATCGCGCGTGCACACACGTCCCGTGAACCCACAATGCCTTTCATCGACGATCGAGCGTGACTAAAGCGATACGTATAGGCGTTGCTTTCTGCGTTTTTATTTATACTTTTCCAACTAACGTTGCTCTCTCACAACGTGTTTTCTATGTTGGAAATTGTTTATAGTTGTTCGTAATTGATAATATGTCACGATTACAGCAAACTTTTAGATCATTTAAGCACACGCGACAGTGTACGATGATCTTGGAACAGGGTGGATGGTTTCGAATGGACGCGACGATCGCGACTCGAATGCTCGCGTCCACCGTTTCGAAATCGAATGAAGGTTGATAGTACGCGTCGATCGTACGCGCATGCGTGCCGGTCCGCGAGTAGACGACAAAGACAACTTGTCGTTTGCGGCGAGGCGAGGCGAGGGTAGGAAAGAACGTGGCATAAATCATTGGCGGGTACCAGAGCGATGAATCCCGTTGGGTTCATCCACGTGGAAGGGGCATAATCAAATTTCCAGCCCGCCATGCAAGGGGCGGCGACTCTGCGGTTCTGCACACTTTTCAACCTTTTCTGCTTACCAGGAGGGTGGGACCCGCTCGAGGGCTATTATGGGGCTTGCCTCGGCTTACCCCTCGAGCAGTCGGGGGAATTTCTACGATCACCCAACCATGCAACTCGTGACGCGTCGCGACGCTTGCGTCGGACGTGCCGTGTGAACGTCGCGTACCCGATCCTTTATCCTCTTCCATTCGTTGCTTCGTTCGATCTTTCTTCTTATCGTCGCTCATTTACCCTGGAATTTTAATTTTATTTTAAATGGAAATATTAAAATTTTTAAATAAAGAAATTCCACGTGTCGCTACTCCCCTTGTTTAGCCACTGTCGATGTGCACGTTCATCTGAAATTTGAAAGAAACAATAGGTCAGAATCTCATTCAAATCGTTCGTTAATGTTGGATGTTATATAGAAATGTATGTTTTTATATAGTATGTATGTATGTTCTTTTTTTTGTTTTGTATCTCTAACTACACGTGTGTAAAGACCGCCATTAGTCTAGTATTATTAGCCAAGTGTGTCGATATTGTATTCGAAATACAGACAATTATTTGTGGCATAGATCCCTGTACACTAAATAATCCAACAGTTAACAATATTATATAATAATATACTGATGTAATTATTCATACTGTAGACTTCGTAATAGAGTTTGTTTCATACGATGAAAACGTTACATTAAAAACAAACTCACTTTCATAGACTAGCAAATATCAGTGACTTGGTACGTCATATGTACGCCATTGTTTTTTGGTGATACTGGACCACGAGGGTGATCGATGAGGATCGCGATCGGTCAGAAATTTATTTCCCTATTGTACATCGACGCTCCAACGATCGATCGTTCAATTTTAATCGTCCACGTGCTCCCGCGTCCACCATTCCTCCCCGGAAACACAGATTCTTCGTAGAAAAAAAATGTGTCCGCAAAATCGGAAAAAAGTTCGATGGATGCGTATCAATCGATCCGTCATTCGTTATTGACAGAAGTACAAGAAGATCTGACGAGGCATAGTTCAATTTTTTTTCTTATAACGCGATTTATCGAACGTCCAGTCTGTCTGGAATTCACCAAAAAAGTATTTCCAACGTATGGACACCGAGAATTAAACGTTACGCAACTTTAACGTTACAATTAGAGTTACGCAAACGATCTAAAGCGAAAGTAGACTATTTTTGTTATTTATTGTTTAAAATAGTACTTTTATCAAGATAAACTGTCCTTTGTTTTCGTACAGAGAAGACATACGCGATGGAAAAAAACGAAACGTAAACTCGTCACTGTCGAGGATGATATCGAGACTTTGAATAATACGTGATTTAAATAATTAACCATAAACAATATTTATAAGGTTCGATGAAATATAGTTATCAAGTTTTATTCGACGTTTTGGCAGCCTTTTTTCAGGACCTTTTCATATTATAAGAAAGTACATATACATATATGGCGTACTGTATATGTATAGCATAGATGTATTAGAGGGAAAAAGAATACATTTCTCTGTTTAAACATTTAGTGACGAAACTACGAACTGACCACGAAGAATATGGAAAAATCAATGCGTACGGTATTCAGAATAGAAAGTTTGGTATTGTCTGTAATATCGTAAATTTTTATGGGCCTCTGTGAACTTGGATTGCAAGTTACGTTCCTTGTATAAAGTTTATACGTGGTCGTGATGGGGTTGCAGGGGATCGTTTCATTTATTACCGCAAATTAGTCCGATTCTACCTGGAAAGGTACCCTGCAAGAATTCAATTAACCCAGGAAACTTTCAAACTGTCGTAACTTGAAAACCCAAATGACTATAGAGGCACCGAAGGTATACTAATCGTTTGCGTTCAAAGTTATTATCCATTATATTTTCGTCGTAAGAATCGTTCGAGTTATTTCTATCTCGCGTAACGTTTTAATCGACAGAAAGCTATTTTAATTCGAGTATCGATATATCGATCGCTTATACACCTGATGATTACGGAGAATGAAATTTCTCGTGTTAAAATTAGGCTCACGAAGTCGGTACAAGTTGCGTGAAACTTCTTTTCGTTCGACAAAAAAACGGATTAGCGGTGATCGAACGGAAGCCGAGGAGAGGAAATTTTCTCGACAAAACCGTTTCCTTTCTCAAAACGTCCAACTAGAAGTCGTTGTTATGACGTTCAGGATGGCAAGAAAGACGGATCGAGGGAATTTCTTCATCGATCCATCAAATCTTCCGCGACAGAATGTTCACGTTTCCTGCGATCCAAAGAAACTAGCCTTGTTTCCAGGATTTACTTCGATGCTGCCTTTCGAAGCGTGTTTTTATCCTTTCAAAATCGGTCAGTCGGTTTTACGCAAATTTCGTTCGAATCCTTTTCAAGCACGACAAAGCAGAAGTCTCTTTTTCTTGCGCAATCGATCGATTTTCGAATTTTAGACTCGAGTTTCTCTACTTTTGTCCATTGCTCGTCCACAGTTAGTTCCATGCGTATAAATGTTATTCGTCGATTTATACTTGTAGGAAAGACTTTATAATCTGGACTGGACGCCACAATGTCGTAAACGAATTCCTTTGAATAATTTCGGCGAATGTGACTTTATACCTATACAGTATATTTGGCAAGGGTCAAATTGGTCGAGGTACCTGATCGTAGCAGGTAGAAGGTGCCGTGTAATTGCTAGGATTATCATAATCGTCGACACCAGGGATCTCGTGGGTGATCATGGCGGCGTAATTACATCACCCAATATCACCAAATTCATCTGCATCGTTGTGGAATTCCCACATTACGCGTCCTTCGAATCCGTGATCTGATTATTTCTTAACTTTCATCGTTTCGATTTCACGTTTTAACAATTAAAGTCAAAAATTTCAAATCGTTCTGGAAAAATTATTTTCGGATGCGGGCGACAATTACAATCATTTTTTATCATTACACATACCCCCGAAATCCTACGCATTTTCGAGAAAAAAATTCAGCAAGTGGACAAATTTTTCGTCGAAATTAAAGAATTCCAAATCATAGTGAAAAAATTATTTTTGGTTGCGGGGGTCAATTACAATCATTTTCGGTGAACACACATACCTTCGAAATCCTACTCATTTTCTAGAAAAAAATTCGAGAAGGTGTGAAACTTTTCAATAAAATTAAAAAGTTTCAAATCATTCTGGAAAAATTATTTTTAGTTGCGGGGGTTGATTACAATCATTTTTGGTGAACAGACACACCGCCGTAACCTTGCGCATTTTCGAGAAAAAAATTCAATACGGGTTTCACTTTAAACGTTAATAACTTTTTAACGAAGCCTCTATCAATAAATTAGTATTCTTGATTTTCGTCTTATTTTGGCCTCTAGAATCTTCCATTAAAATTGCTCCCAGGGTTGACCGAACACAGTATAATAAATACTTAAAGTAGGGTGAAAATTGTTACATTTAGGGGTTGCGATAACCCTCTACAGTGCTCCTCTAATTCTATCAATAAAACTATAAATTTCCTACCATAAAAGAATTGCTTGCACGTTTAGAATCCTACGAATCTTTTGGCTATCCCTAAATATTATATTCAAATTTCTCATAATCGATCTCAACGACAGTCGATAAACTATACGTACGTATTGTATTTGTATACAAGACTTTATGGTCGTATCAAGAGTCACGTGTTTCCAACGATTCTCTGTTTACGTTTTCGCGGTGTACCCGGATATCGGGCGAACAGTCTTGTAAAACAAGAAACGCGACACGATAGGATCTAGAACGCGGTTGAAACGCGCAGAAAAATCGACTGTGATGTCGCGGGAGGAGCATCGACAAAAGGGAACCGCGTTATCAATGGTCCCGGGAGCCGGTTTTGTGCGAGAGTCGTTTCGACAGACGGCCACGAGGGTTGCCAGGACGGGATGAGAGGGATGATAGGCGGGAAACGAAGGCTCGACGCGACGCGACGATTTTCGAGGGTTGCTCGCTACTTGGAGTGTTACAATAAATCAACGACGCGCTTCTGGCGAGCTCCACCCTCGTAACTTGGACGGGATATATCCCATAGAGGACACGAATGCCGTTTCATTGTGTTTAAAGTGCCTCTCGCTCGCGTACCAGCCGTATAAACAATTTATTGTTGCTTCCTGTCACGCGTCTCTCCCAGATCGTTTGTCGAACGTTTCCGCTTCTACTCGGAATTTTTTTATTACACTTTGACGGTCACACAAGTTAGATTTTTAACATCGACAGGTCGTAATTTCCAAATAAAAAATTACGTTGTGTTAAAATTTATCTACAAAATTCGATTGCTCGAATGGAACAGTAGATCTACTTTCGACATCAGTTTAAACTGTTCCGACGTTTCGTGCAACGTGAATCGAATCTTGCACCTTGCGTTCAAGTAATCCAAGTGTTCCGTTCGCGTTAAGTATGTAAAATTAACTGAAAAAAGTGAAAAGTCAGATGTAGATCGAGTGTGTTTAGTTAGGGGTTGTTTCGATTCGAAATCTATCGTTCTCGTTTGCCCCCGCCTCGATCGTCCATGGATTCTTTTCATCCGTTGGTTCTCCAGTAGCCCCAGCAACAACGCTGACAAAAGAGCAAGAGCCCCGTGGCCGTGGCGAGGCGATTAATTCACGAGAAAGGGGGGAGGGGGTCTGGGTATCGTTCCGGCAAGCCCTCGATAGGCCTCCCCGAAACCCACCTTTGCCCTTACGCGAAGGGCGCTGTTACGCACACCCCCGTGCCAGCTTCGAACGACCCAATCCTGGCCAGAGGGTGGGAACTACCACCGCTATATAACACTGGCTCGAGCTTTTACGGAGAAACACTCGGTTTCGAGATCTCGCGCTGGAGTCGCCTCGACTTTCGTCAAAAGCAACGCGCTACGTGGAGTTCGGTGTATCGGGACAATTGCAAACGCGTACAATCCCGCGAGTAAGTGCGTCGTGAAGCTAACAGGCGTTTTAAAACAAAGTACAAATTTAAATTAGTATTTCGAGAAAGAAAAAAGAAGAAAAATGTGCGACGAGAAGAGCCCTGCGTTCTTCAGACCTTGGAAGGTTGTTGAGTCTGTGGAGTCTGTCGATGCCGGGAGAACCGATTCGTCGCGAATAAAACAAGAAACGGACAACGATCGTTTCGCGAGGATCTACGAAGAGGCCAGCACGTGTTCCTCGGAAAACGATGTCGCCATTGAGAGTATCCAATCGAGACGGAGCAGCGAGTCCTCATCCGTGGGAGCTACCAGCAGGTCCTGTTCCTCCACCGGGGAGGATCTAGCCGCTAGGAACAACCTGGACATGCTCAGCAACTTCGTCCATGGCTCTCCGACGAATACGAGCTTCTCGGTGACGTCCATCATCCGCGAGGATCCGTCGACGACTCCCGTCGGTTGTCCACTCCCGATACCGACTTATCCGATGGATTATCTTCAAAGGATGGCGATCCACGCGAACGCATTCGCTCCTTTGGGCGGCGGTTCCATGCTGATGACCGTCGAACCATCCGCGATCCAGGCTACGACGATCTCGACCACTGGAAGGCCGTTTTATTACGATCTTCCTGGCGTGTCCCAGCTTCCGCAATATCCATCGTACGCGCCCTCGATGGAACAGGCAGTCGAGCTGATCCATAGACAAGACGCAGCCGCCAAGCAAATGAAGAAACTTCGCCCGAAGAAGTTCAGATGCGAGCACTGCGACGTCGCCTTCAGCAACAACGGCCAGCTCAAAGGACACATTCGCATTCACACAGGTAACCATCTCATTCTTTCATTTGAATCGCGTTGCTTAACACTGGATTCCCCGAGGAAGTCATTTGGACTGCTTTTTAATTTCAATTGGAAAAACAATTATGTATAGAATGACTAGACTGCGGATCTTTATGCAAATTCATATTTTTATTAAGGCAAATCGACGTTATGTAGACACTTGACATGTGTATTTGCTACACATTCGTTTGTTTCCTTTCCGAAATAAAGAAATGCGGGATTATTTGATATTGTTTTGTCGAATCACATCGAATCTAATGACAAGTAGCATGCTACAGGTCGCATAGTGTTACCGAACGACATGTGGCATGTTACAAGTCGCATAGTATTGCCTCGGTGGAATCATACCTTAAGAACAAATCAATTATATTTGATTTTCATATATCCAGTGAAAATTATTATCTCTTTGGTTTGGACTTAAAAAGATGTCGACTGGAACTCGACGAAGGAGTCTCTGAGATAGAAACTGAGTCGAGTTACGTTCGACATAGGAGTGCAGAGGGTTAAAGGAAAGCAATGGTGGAAATAAATGTTAAAAATGTTTGTTTGTTCTGGTTGCAGGGGAGAGGCCTTTCAAGTGCGACGCGGAAGGATGCGGGAAGTCGTTCACCAGGAACGAGGAGCTGACGAGACACAAGAGGATCCACACTGGCTTACGACCGCACGCTTGCATCGTTTGCGGGAAATGCTTCGGAAGGAAGGATCATCTGAAGAAGCACACCAGGACACACGAGAACAGAGACCCGTATCGCATGTCCGCGGCGGCATTAGGCGTGTTCGCGTTGGGACACGCGTTACCTGGACCACCCCCGTTCCCCCCATACATGTACCCGATCTGACACGATCCGGACGACTACATTTTGCAAGACATTTACACGCTCAGATGCATCGAGATCGACAATGGATAATGGATCGAGGATCGATTTCCACAAAAGTACATATTTCTCACGAAATGCAATCTACTTTAACGAATGCGCGGAGGCTGAAACTACCTGATGATAATTGCCTTTTTCTACACTGTACATTGGACCAAGAGATTTTCCACGTCTCGTACGAAATTATTGTATAGTCAAATGATTCTACACGCGTGTAGAATCATCGCGAGATCGCCTTTCCTGGATGGTTCTACGTTTTATGAAGGACCATTCGGGACATCTTCGAAGAGAAGAGAATTCTATTTTTGATACATGGTTTTTCTCAGCCATATTGACGAGCGACAACCAGTGTTTCGATACTAGTCGAGTCGAATATTTTTACGATGTAAATATTGTAAATATCAGATGTTTATGTATACAAGATACGCAGAGTTTATAATATATTAACGACCAATAAATTGTTACCTATTTTGACACTGAATACTGACATTCATTTCATTCAACATTCCCTTTCCCGTTGATAGATAAAGAAGTACTTTTTCGTGTTCATTTATTCTACTTTTCGATTACAAAACTATTATTATCTTGCGACTACATAAGCGAGAGATTAAAAATTGTATATTAAAAAAAATTAAATGAAACAGATTTGATTAAAACAGGGATAAAAGGATCGAAAGATACGAAAATTAACTTCGTTTATAATTTCAAATAGAATAAATTATAATTATAATATAACTTTTCTATTATCAACGAGATATCGATTGAATCGAAACGAACGCCCTAGAATTAATTTTCCAAAATTCGACCAACGTCTATTCTATGCTCAGAACAAAATTTTTAATTCCGGTCCAAATCGTCACCACCATTTTCCCGACAATTAAATTCAAGATGGCGTCGTCAGAACCCTCTGGAACCCCGGGTGACAGAATAGGAAGTCCCCTTCCAGCGTTATAGGGCGGCTGTCAGGGAAGGGCTGGTTTCTGGGGGGGAACGAGGGTTGCGCCCTTTTGCACTCCGGAAGGGACGGTTACCGCGTGCAAGCCTATCTCTGCCCTTCTTCCGTTTTTTCTCTCCTCGCTTTGGATCACAATACGTTCTTGCGGGACAGCCAGTGGTCGCGTACATAAACGTTTCGGTTGATTTCAGGGTTGAAGCACCGAAGGGTGGCGCCCAGATTGAGGGCTGGGCAAAAAACTCGAATTCAATTAATTTCCTCAGCCATAGGGCGACTTCTAAACCGCGTCCTGGTTGGAAATTCGCTGCGTCGTTACCTATTACTCGCATATTTCTCACAGAATTTTCAATCGACGCTATAATATAATTTTCTAAACCTTTTCGCTTGGTATTTTATAACAAAATAAACTGAGACTCAAACTATTTTTTATTGCTGCCGTATTCTTAGTAAATACGTATTCTTGTTACGAAATTCCATTGCAATAATTTGTGTTTCGAAAAGAAGAAAATATTTGCTGTTGAATAAATGATTGATGGAAGATCGAATTTATGTTTGAATTTTGTTATCAGCAGCTTCCAACGCTTTCAAGTGTTTTGTTTGAAATTTACGTTAGCTAAAAAGTAGAGCAAATTTAAACAAATAGAGGAACAAACAAATTCAATTAAATATCTGTTTTATTTACATTATTGTTGTATTTTTTAATTTTCAAGTGTATGATCCTGAGATAAAAATTGACGTCGAATCACATTCGAGATAGGTATGCAAAGGGTTAACTATCGTACTAAAATGCGATTATTAACCATGGTTGAGGAGGAAATGGGCAGGAGAACTCGGAGTTTGGGACTACGGGAGTTCCGGATTCGCGTGGAAATGGAAAAACCCGGACAGTTCAGGATTAAGTGCATCAGATTCTCACACTTGGACACGCAGATTTTCGGTGGCACGCCGGGTAGAAGCAACCCCGCTGGGACATTCGTTCGAGCTCGTTGACACCCCCCTTCCGATCTGCAGATATATGACAGCACGACCTTCCGAATCCTCTCCCCATCTTCGGGGCCAAACCTCCCTTTTGCCAGCCACTGCTCTCACTCCTTTGCAAACCCGCTTCGAGACATTCGAATCTTAAACGACCACGGAAATAATTTTCCTCCTCTTCAACCCCTTTTAGCCAAGTTTCCTTCCTTCTAGTCTACACTTTTACACGTAGCAAATGTGTATTTCGTTTTCATTTTATACGTCCACCTTTGCAAACAGTCGTTTTGTTCCAGTAATAAATTATTTCTTTACCACCTAGGACCTCTCGTTCTTGTTTGCATTTCTTCGTTTCCCAACTTTTTCCTTCGTAATCCTTCTTTCTGGTCACCCCTCCGACGAGCACGAGTCTCGATCCAGCTCTAGCCAGTAAGGGATGGCTTTTATTCTATGGCCAGGGTTAAACGATCGCATAAACGTGCCGGGGATTACAGCGATCTTAGGTCTCCTTAATCTCCGATTACAGAAATGCTAGTATCTTGATGCCTTCGGATTTCGGAAGGCGTAGCCATTGTTGTTTGTTGTCGACCGCGAAATAAATATAACTTTCCTTTACGGGGTAGACCGACGACTAGATTTTATTAATTCGATCAATGAAATGGGAGCTTCATGAAGGGTTCTTTCAACCCCTGAATATAATAATTCCTATCTTAAAATATTTCCTATATCTTTGTATATCGAGTGCATTCTGTAGTCAAAATTCTCCATAAACGCATGAACTGCGTATGTCCATTCACCAAAAATGATTGTGATCGACTCTCACAATCGAAAATAATGTTTCCAGAACGATTTGAAATTTTTTTTTCCCCCGTTGAAAAATTTCACACCTTCTCGAATTTTTTTCTAGAAAATGAGTAGGATTTTGGAGGTATGTGTAATGACCAAAAATAATTGTAATTAACCTCCGCAACAGAAAATAATTTTTCCAGAACGATTTGAAATTTTTTTTCCACGTTGAAAAATCTCACACATTCTCGAATTTTTTTCTAGAAAGTGGGTAGGAATTCAGGGGTATGTGCAATCACCGAAAATGATTGTAATTGACCCCCGAAACTGAAGATAATTTTTTTAGAACGATTTGAAATTTTTTTTTTTCGTCGAAAAATTTAGGCATGTCGATTTTTCTTAAATTTCGTTTTTCAATTTTAGTAATTTTATTTGACGCCGTACAGAAAAGTTGACTAATACTTTTTTGTAGGCACCCATGAACTCTACTTGAGAAAAAAATTTTAATGAGATATACTCACTATTGTGGGAGTTATGACAATTTGAAGATTGGGCCATTTTTATGGGGTTTTTTGCATTTTGCGGGGTTAAGGAGCAACTTTTCGAATATTTTTGCGATTTCTATATATTCTTCGACAAAATACGCGTTGTTTGCCGTTCGAAACGTTACAATCCTCCAATCCGTTCAGGAGTTATGATGTTTTGAAGGCAAGCATGAAATTTAGGGCAACCATTTTCGGTAAGGAATTTTTTTCTAGAAAGTGGCTAGGATTTCGGTGGTATGTCTATTCACCCGAAATAATTGTAACTGGCCCCTGCAACCGAAAACAATTTTTCCAAAACGATTTGAAATTTTTTTTTCCGTCGAAAAATTTCACACATTCTCGAATTTTTTTCTCTAAAATGCGTAGGATTTTGGAGGTATGTGTAATGACCAAAAGTAATTGTAATTGACTCCCGCAACCGAAAATATTTTTTTCACTATGATTTGGAATGTTTTAATTTCGACGAAAAATTTGTCCACTTACTGAATTTTTTTCTCGAAAATGCGTAGGATTTCGGGGGTATGTGTAATGATAAAAAATGATTGTAATTGGCCCTTGGAACCGAAAATATTTTTTTCACTATGATTTGGAATTCTTTAATTTCGACGAAAAATTTGTCCACTTGCTGAATTTTTTTCTTGAAAGTGGATAGGATTTCGGGGGTATGTCTATTCATAAAAAATGATTGTAATTGACCCCCGTTACCGAAAATAATTTTTTACGAAACGATGACCTAATATTTCGTCACTGACTCGCGATCTCTGCCCAGCGCTCTTGCAAATCGTTATTTTTCACCTACCCCGATTCCGTAGCACCCTCTCTGTTGACAAGAATCACGTCGTCTCCACGGTTCGGATTTTTCTCGGTACAAAAGAGCACGACGCGTCCCCAGGACTCTGAAACCACCGCGGGTGGTCTTGTATATCGAAATGTTTGCCCACGTCATTGTTGCGTATCCAACACTCGATACCTTTCCCCCGTTTAAAAAGCGTTTAGTCCCTAATAGCTCTGACTGGACACCTCTGTGATCCTTCAGGTGCGTCGCGGACGAGCGTCCTCGCGCACACCGGGACGCAACGCACACCCGGGGCGCGTTGACTTTCTGATATATGGATCACCGTGGATCGTGTATTACCGGAATTGTTCAATGCGATCTGCTCGAATATCGGGGACGGTTTCGTAGCTCCGGAATTTTCAATGGACTAGGCCTGGACGACGCCGTGAGAGGCGTCCCCATCGAGTAGAAGACGTATCAGGGGAAAATATTTTGTAAACGCAGTTAAAAGTAAAAGTTACGGAGGCACCGCGGTGGCCTCGTTCGACATTTTATTTGATAGCTTCCTGGAAACTCGAGCCAAATATCTTATCCACCAAGCAGAGGATTATATTTACCGTTGTTTATTGTTAGATTCGTGTTAGATGAAATTCTTTTCCGTTAGTTTCTCACTTGGTAGATCGGCTCACCTATCACGTTCCCGGCTGGACCGTAGTTGCACACCAAGTAATAACTGGTCCATCCATCTTTCTTGAAAACGACCTTACCACAACCGATTTTGTTCGTATTCGCCCAAACCAGTTGAGTATAGTGACCGATGGCTCCAATGTTCGTGTTCACATTCCTGTTCAAATTAAACGCATTTTCAGCGACCCTCTGAATCGAACTGTTCCAGAGATCACCAAAGTTAAGATCCTGGGTGCCCGCTAGAATCGACAACTGCTGTTTCGAGCTAACAAATAACTTTCAGATTCTGTGAAACGAAAGACTCACGTGAATCTGGTCACCAAATTCCTGTCCACCATCTCCACTTCGTTGTACCACGACACGACTATGTCTGACGGCTTCGTGGTTTGAGTTCCAGTGGTCATCGTTATCCCCACGTTCTGTCCAACGCTGAATCGAGCTGCAAAGCCACTGGTTAACAATTTGTAATTCACGGTAAAAGATGCTACAGTTTACGAAACAATTTCTTTATAGTTTGCCTGAGAAGTTTTACAAGACCTGTTAGTCCTGCAAATTCAGTCGCTTGTTCGATCAAAGTACGAATTACTTCGTAAACTATGAAAGATGAAGTAAACTTACTGGCATAGAAAGTTAGTCTTACCCACATCTCTGCAAGTATCGTGTCCGAATTCGCATTGGTTGGCCCATCTCTGGGCTATCTCGGCCAATTCGTCGTCCCAAGACTGAAAAGATTCATCGAATAATATAACAAACACTGAATTTAATTTCTTACTTAACGATTTAAGAAATAGAAGCAAGGTGAAAGAGGAATGTTTGACGAATTATTGCTTTGTAATCTCTTGCATCGTCATCTTTATAACTCTAATATTTCTAGGTAAAATTCCAGTGTACAGTTTACTGTTTTACGTAGAAAATGGTCCATCGTACCACATTCTGCATGTTCGTTGCTGCAGGTTGTGGTCCTGGAGATCCTCTTTTCTCTTGACCACTGGCCACGCGTTGCCTGAGTTCGTTATGCTTGTCAACGATCTCATCCTTCTCAGCCTGAGTGAGTCCTGCACTTAACACCGAGACACACGTGCTCGCCGGTGCTGGGTTCTAAAACAACGCTATTTTTTAACCAAATTACCCAACACAATGGGTAATCAATTAAAATACAGGGTGTCTCAGCAAAAAAAAAAAAAAAATAGAATTTGTTCGTTCGAAGTTTCGTGAATATTCGCTATGCCTTGGACAAACAGATTTCGATAGAGACTTTTATTGTTGTCTTGCCTCATTATCTTCGATTTTGACTAACTAATAAAATATTTCAAGTGATACATATTTGTCTTAATATTTTCATAGCAAACAGCATTTTTCTTATCTTGTGACTAGACTTGACTGTTGACAAAATTTTCTCTAAAATGGACAATAAAAATAACGTAAATAACGCAAAGCAGGATTTTATAATATTACCTTTTCATGTATCTTTTTCCCCAAAAATAATTTTACCCGCGAATAAGTTACAATGAACAAACATAGCGAATCAAATGTGTACGCGCGTTAGATACATAAATTCACGGTTTAGGATAAAATATCCCCGATAATTGTAAATTCTTAAATAACACCGTCGTCGTTGAGGATTTAAAAGGTCCAAAAATGTAACTTTTCAAAAATTCGAGCCGTAATATGTCTAGAAATAGCAAATTCTTTCGACGAACGGAGAACAATTTTTTGATACTAACCGGGTACAAACATAAAGTGTGCTTTCCTCTGTTGCCCGAACACAGATTACTATAGTTGCCGCAGCTTCGAGCAGCGTTTGATGCTGTCAAGTAGGCTGTAATTAAAACAGCGAACAGGTAGCTCTTGGTGGTTGCCATTTCTCTTCGTTTCTACCTTGCGTTTGCGATCGCTGCTGGTTAACGAGGGTATCGCCAACGAACGTGCTCCTATTTATCAGCCGTCTTATCAATCGTTCATAACATTAGATTTTCCTTTCCCCGCTTCCTCCTCGACATTTTCCTTCGCGGAGTTAGTATTCTCGTTATGCACGCGTAGATACAACGAAAACAACGTTAGAGAAACGCAACATGGACGAAAACATATGCACAATTTTGCGCAATCAATTGTTTGAGCATTTAAGTCGTACGAGTTGGAAATTTTCCTCAATTAAAATTGTTTATCCAACACGCGTACCTACTTGTGCTCTAATCGCTTTGTTTGTTCTTTTAACTCGTCCACGTGGGTGTGAAACGACGACAAAAGGTTTAAAAAACGCGTACTTTCCTGCTTTTGTTCGTCACAAGTAGACTGCGGATCTTTGTGCAAATTCATATTTTTATTAATAGAATTAATGAAATCAGAGCTTTATAGAGCTCTGTCTCAACCCCTAAATATAATAATTCGTATCTTACTTTAAGTATTTCTTATATTTTTGCATATTAAATGCATTCCGTAGTTTTTTCAGGATTAAAATTTTCCATAAATGCATAAACATCCGCAGTCTAATTACAAGATAAGAAAAATGCTTCGCGTGAGTACACTTTTCAATTGACTCACCTCGATGCTTGGTGCAGAATTATAATCCTGTTTGCTATGAAAATATCGGGGCAAATATGTACCATTTGAAATATTTTATCTTGATTATTCTACGAGGAAAGTACGCATATATTAATATTGGAAATTGTAGCTCGAAAGGCGAGTCAAATTGACCGGAATATTCCCCGGTTGTAAAAAGTGTCATAAATATTTGGAACGACCAAGTTTACGAACTGTTGGGGAAGTTATATTATTTTATTAGCGACACTTGGCCTCTGAAAACAATCGTTTTACCCACCGCAAGGATCATCTGTTCTACCTGCGAGCGAAACTTCTTGATTATTACGCCATTACAGCCTTCTAACCATCGAATAGGGGGCAAAATCTCCCAAACTCCTGGACAGTTCTCGTTTTTTAATTAACAAACAAATTCTATTTATCCTTGTACTCTATTTCGATCGCAAAAGAAACGAACTTTGAACGTACCATTCTGTGATTCTCTTTTTCTTCCACTTCGGAGACCTCGAACTTGACACACTATCGGAAATCGCGTTACTGCGCGCTTTTATCATCGGTTTTATCATATAACTAACAAACCTTAATCCTTTGGCTATAAAAAAGGGTAGTTATATCTCGATAGATAACTTTGTTCGATTCGTATCAATTCACGGAAGCGTAAATGGAGTCGGGATACTCGGCATCTACAGATTACGCGAAAACGGGGCTCGTTAATAATTTCGTCAAAGAAGGCAAAAGCGGTCAGAAGGGAAATAAAATTTTAAGAAGCCCTGTATTACAACGTTTGGAGAATGAGTATCGTCCAGTAACGCCCATGATCGGCCTTTTGTAAACGGGAATTACAATTTTTCACCGTTCACGCCATCGAACGTCGAGCCCTCCCACGATAATCGGGATTCCAAGAGTCTTTGGCTACGATTTTTATGTCAGGTTACCGCACTTTGCTGAAATATCGTCTTTTTCGAGTCTCGTCCGTTGCTCTAGGCCACTTTGTCTCCTTCTTCGTCGTTTTCTTAATTCCCTGACATGGAAAAAAATGGGCCCCGGTGGGCGGGGGTGGGTCGGGGAAAGGAAGTGAATGGGATCGATGCGGAGGATCCATTCATCCGCGCACCTGACTCCTGACTTCGATCGTGAGAATCGCCTCGGAGGCTTTTACAGATCTCTTTCTTAGCTGGTGTTCATTCAACGCGGTCCAAGAAAACGACTTCTACCTTTTCCTTGCTGTTTAGACGGATTTGAGACTCTCCAGAGCATCGACAATCGTCCCGTTCGTCGAACAGATTTTTATAACAGATTATGGATGTTTACGCTTTTATGGTAAATTTTAACTATCGAAAAACTACGGAATTCACTCGATATAATTTTAATAGGAGATTCTAGAGGCCAAAATAAGACGAAACACAAGAATATCAATTTGTTGATCGAGGCTTCGTTAAAAATTTAAAATAAAAAATTTCAAATCGTTCTAAATAAATTATTTTCAACCTCTCAATCAACAAATAAATATCCTTGATTTGTGTCTCATTTTGGCCTCTAGAATCTCCCATTAAAAGAACCCTCTACGAAGCTCCAATTTCGTTAATTCTATGAATAAAAATATGAATTTTAATAACGATCCATAATTTACCATAATGTTTAGTACATTACTATTTTTAGCTAGCAACGATAATCCTGATTCCAACAAGTAATTATGTAAGAGATAGAAAGAAAAGGGGGCTGATAATAAGCTTTGGAAAAGCCAAGAGGTTTACGACAACCTTTGGCGAGCTTCTCGAAATCTATTCACCAAGAAAATAGATCAATGGTCGGATGTTAAAGTGCCCCACGCCCAACAAAAGGGGCGCGTTTTCGGCACCTATCGTTTCGTTTTGTAGGGAGTTAATTCCCATCGATCCAATACAATATACAGGCTGTTCCCTTTGGGAGAAATTTTAATGGGAGATTCTAGAGGCCAAAATAAGACGAAAATCAAGAATATTATTTTCTTAACTGAGGCGTCGTTAAAAAGTTATTAACAATTAAAGTAAAAAAGTTTCAAATCATTCTGGAAAAATTATTTTTAGTTGCAGGCGTCAATTACAATCATTTTTGGTGAATACACATATCCCCGAATTCCTACGCAGTTTCGAGAAAAAAAATTCGAGAATGTAAACATATTTTTCGACAAAATTAAAAAGTTTCAAATCGTTTTGGAAAAATTATTTTTAGTTACAGGGGTCAATTACAATAATTTTTTATCATTACACATACCGCCGAAATTCTACGCATTTTCGAGAAAAAAATTCGAGAATGTAAACAAGTTTTCGACAAAATTAAAAAGCTCCAAATCATTCTGGAAAAATTATTTTCGGTTGCGGGGGTTAATTGCAATCATTTTTGGTGAATACACATACCCTCGAAATCCTACCCGCTTTCTAGAAAAAAATTCGAGAAGGTGTGAAATTTTTCGACAAAATTAAAAAATTATATTTACTTACAGGGGTCAATTACAATCATTTTTTATCATTACACGTACCCCCGAAATCCTACCCACTTTCTAGAAAAAAATTCGAGAAGGTGTGAAATTTTTCGACGGAAGAAAAAAAATTCAAATCGTTTTGGAAAAATTATTTTCGGCTGCGGGGGTCGATTACAATTATTTTTGGTGAATAGACCCACCGCTGTAATCTTGCGCATTTTCGAGAAAAAAATTCAGTAAGGGCGGAACTTTAAACGTTAATAACTTTTTAACGAAGTCTCCATCGATAAATTGGTATTCTTGATTTTCGTCTTATTTTGGCCTCTAGAATCACCTATTAAAGTTTTTCCCAGCCAGGACAATATCTCTATTAGGTTCCTTATTACGAAATCTTTCGAAAATTCCTTTCATCGTGGATGGATAACTATCTCGCAAGCTTCTTCTAAAAAAACAAAATCGAACCGAGTTTCAATATTCGGAAACAGTATTATTAATGTGGTCCAATGGTATAAAAATAGTATCAAGGTTTAACGGTATAAATATAGTGATTCAGTTCCTCTTCCTCTTCTTACCGGAAGATGCACGTTTCCCCTGTTTCTTCTCACCATCCACGGTCTTGTCGATCTTGGTCGTTTCAGGATCCACAGACTGTGGCCTGTAAACACTCTCGCTGTACTCTAATCGTTTCTTCGTCGACCATGGTCGCGCAGTCTTAAACTCAAGATCGATATTTTGGCCATCTTTGGCCCTCCTCCTCACCCTGAGCAGGAATATATTCGGATTCTCCTCGAGATCGATGGATCCGATCTTAGGCAGTTCGTCCTCCTCGTCGTCTTCGTCCGAGTCATCGTGCGGCGCATGCGCTCGAGGATACAAAGTCACCGTACGATTTCCAGAACTCTGCTCCTGCTTCTTTTCATCGACGCTCTGTCCACCAGGTCGAGGATCCTCCACGCAGTCGCAAGGAGGATCGTACTCTTCTTCAACAGGTTCCTTTTGCGTCCTGATCACCAGTCGATTCTCGTTGATAACAGCCTCCAATTGTTTATAGGGAAGCCCTCTGTCCGCGATCTCTGAACGAATCTTTCGCGAAGTGAAACAAGAAGTGTCCAAAGGTTCTATCGGACAGCAAGCTGGACCCTCGACTTTAGGCCACTCGAGTCTTCTTGGAGGATATTCCCGTTTAGTTTCAACCCCTTTCCTCGAAGCACAACACGGCGAACAGGGTGGCTTCTTCTCCTTGGGTGGACATCCGCACTTGTGTGTCGCCACGATCATCTCTCTCGATTCTCGTTGATAACAGCCTCCAATTGTTAGTAGGGAAGCCCTTTATCCGCGATCTCTGAACGGATCTTTCGCGAAGGAAAACAAGAAGTATCCAAAGGTTTTATCGGACAGCAAGCTGGAACCTCGACTTTAGGCCACTCGAATCTTCTTGGAGGATATTCCCGTTTAGTTTCAACACCTTTTCTCGAAGCACAACACGGCGAACAGGGTGGCTTCTTCTCCTTGGGTGGACATCCACACTTGTGTGTAGCCACGATCATCTCTCTCGATTCTCGTTCATCTTGTCAGAGGAAGAAGGAATTCGGGTCTGAGGAATGAAATGAGGAATATGTTTGGAATCGTTTTAAATCGTCGGAGACGGCGCCATGATGGACGCGTTGGCTGCGCGACCTGAACGTCTCTGAACTTTACAGTGCCGTGAACGACTCGATTCAGAGAATCGATTCAAAAACCCATCGATTCCATCGCTTCTTCAAACATGTATTCAACCGATCATTGTCCTTAAATTCCAAATTCTACGAGTTAGGCTACGATTCTTCCTAACGATCATCGAGGTAACGATTGATTAGCTGTCTCTAATAAGCTGGTTTTATTCGCGTATACGTAATTATATAACTTAAGTCATTACGCGATTCGAAAGCCTCGAAACCCTCTATGGACCGAATTTTGTTCTTAAATATAAGCTTGCAATGCATTTACTTTGATATTTCAGGTTGATGGTACTGTCAACCGTCGTCAATATTGTTATCAGTTATCAGAGAGACATTATATAATTAAGACGTATACGTAATCTTGCGAGAAAACTAAAATTAGTTGGTAAAATGTCGATATATTAACATGTGATATGAAAGTTTCACGGGCCCATAAAAAGTTAAGCTTCGTTTTAGGACATCGTCGTAATATGGGAAAGTACAGTGTTCAGTGATCGCTAAATACATGTTGGAAGATGTATTCCTGTCCACCAATGCCTCCCGCGCCATGTCCGCCAGCGTGCAAACCGAAAAAGTCGACGAGAGATGTAAAATCGAAATACTATCGAGAGATCGGGACAGCCATGATCGGGAATCAGCTGATAATTCGCATGGAGAGGGACAAAAGTAAATCGAAGAAATCACGAGATTGGGACCCTCCGTGTGACTGTGACGTGGTGGAAATACAGAGACCCACGAGCAAGGAGGGCCCCAAAATACTGAAGGGCTCGGATAACAATCGAATCCTGTTCCGCGTAGAGTCAAAGTCTCGAATAGGCAAGAAGGACGACAGCGACTCCATGCCTCAGGCTATTTCTTACGAGGTAATTATTTAATTATATTTATCGATATCGAGTGTGACTCGACATCGATTTTTATCTCAGAAGCTCCTTCGTCAAGTCCCACTCGACATTTTTTCAAGTCCAAACCAAACAGATATCATACACTTGAAAATTACAAAATACAACAACAGTGTAAATAAAACACTTATTTTTAACAGGTAAATTTCAAATAAAACTCTTGAAAGCATTGGCAGCCGCTGGTAACAAAATTGAAATATAATTCGGAGTGCAAAGGGTTAAATCAACCCCTCTGTTTTTCATAAAATTCCATTATTTAACCCCTTGCACTCCGAATTATATTTCAATTTTGTTATTGGCAGCTCTTTTAAAAGCAACGCTTTTGAGTGTTTTATTTGAAATGTACATTAACTAGAATATAGGGCAATTTAAACGAACAGAGGGACAAATAAATTCAATTGAATACTGTTTTATCTCCACTGTTGTTGTATTTTGTAATTTTCAAGTGTACGATATCTATTTATCGACATAGGAGTGCAGAGGGTTAATATTTGTTTCGTTCGTCCAGGTTGGCCAGTGCAGAGGAGGCCCGAACACTAACGATCAATGCAGAACGTTCACGATCTACCCTGTGATGGATCGTCCAGGATCGCAGGAAGTGCACACGGATCGCGTAACCGACGGTGATCAAAATGTCTTTATGTTAAAAGTTAAAAAGAAACCAGCCAGCAGCGATCAGCCAAGGCGTAATATCGAGCTGGAGCTGAGAACTCCGAAGCCTCCGACGGAACCGGAAGTGCAAAAAACACGAGGAAGAGGACGTTTTGCAAGAAACACCGCGAAAGGGAACGTCGACTAAGCGCAACAAGAGATTATGCGTAGCAAATTGTAACTTTCAAACGATTATTAGGAAAAATCGTCTTAGAATAGCCTTATAGTGCATGTCATTGAGCTGTCATCGCTGCACGTTTTCGTTCGCTCAGAAAGCGTCGAAGTACGTAGAATTTTAAGCTCATGAATAATTATCAATACAAATGGAACTTTCGTATCTTTTACACGCATTTCTGTTTACTAAATATTATGAATGTTGAACTTGAAGCAGTTGATATTCGTTCGGAGAAGTTGAGCACGCCAGGTACTAGAAATCTTATCGGAAGAATGAAACGAAATGACTCACAGAACGCTATAAAATAGCGTTTAAAAAATACAATCAATGTCTTATGCAAGATAACACGTGTTATAAATAATTCGTTGGAAACAGTTACACAATGTAGCTTAGTTTGTTTTTTAAAAGCGATCGTTTCCAAGTATTTCAGATACTTCGATTTGATAGCGAATTTGTCACCAAGGCGATTGTAGCGGATTCTGCCTTACATAGACGCGTCTCTTCTATAAAAGGAATCTTTGGAACAAACTCTACAATAAGAAAGATTCGTCATCCAATGGCTACATTGCTAACGAACGTTTCAGCAGTGTCTAATGTTCCAAGAATTTAGATCAAATCGTGGCAACCGTGAAGGGCAATTTTCGAGTCACGATATAAATTAGAAAAGCAATAATTAACTTTTACAATGAATATTTTTTAATTTCATTTATCTGGTCTAAGAATGCTTGATTTAACTGTATATTTCATTGAATGTTATAAATGCAAGCGTTTAAGTTCTTTCGCGTACACGTTGGTCTTATTGGTCATCTGCTCGTTGGAATAGGAGTTTGCTAGTCACCGGGCAACGAAAGATCATCGTGGTTATGCTTGTGGAGTATTCATAGATCTTTGAACGAACCTCTGTCGACAGGATTTTTGAATGAAGTTCGCAAAGCGCGAACAGGTCACCGAAAGTGCACCAGCGTACTCTCGGGCCCATTCATCCCGAAGACCAGCGTAAAATTGCTTCGTTACAGAGGAACCGTCCTTTCCAGCGGCTGGAAACAGACCTGCCGGTTGCTCAATGAGCCACCGTAGAAACGACACGACGATTGATGACGCGACGCCTCCCGAGACACCCCATTCTCGCCTTTCAAAGCGTCCTCGTAATTGCCCTCAACTCCTTCCCTTACATTTCTAACGCTGTCTCATAATGATCTTAGTACATGCTGGACATCGGTGCCTGCCATTGAGAAATTTCGACTGGCACTCAGCGGGAGAACCGACGCGACGGTTCTCGTTGCGTTTCCACCTCGAACAAATACCACCCTTAACCCTTTTAGTGCCGAACGACGATATATCTACTGAATTTTTTCGATGAAATTAAAATATTTCAAATCGCATTAAAAAAATTATATTTAGTTACAGGGATCAATTACAATCATTTTTTATCATTACACATACCTCCGAATCCTACGCATATTCGAGAACAAAATTCGAGTAGGTACTGAACTTTTTAGATGAAATTAAAATATTTCAAATCACGCTAAAAAAATTATATTTAGTTACAGGGGGCAATTACAATCATTTTGTATCATTACACATACCCCCGAAATCCTACGCATTTTCAAGAAAAAAATTCAGTAAGTGGACAAATTTTTCGTCGAAATTAAAGAATTCCAAATCATAGTGAAAAAAATATTTTCGGTAACGGGGGTCAATTACAATCATTTTTGGTGAATAGACATACCCCCAAAATCCTATTCACTTTCGAGAAAAAAATTCGAGTAGGTACTGAACTTTTTCGATGAAATTAAAATATTTCAAATCGCACTAAAAAAATTATATTTAGTTACAGGGGTCAATTACAATTATTTTTTATCATTACACATACCCCCGAAATCCTAAGCATTTACGAGAAAAAAATTCCTTACCGAAAATCTAATTAGGTGCCTAAATTTTTCGACGAAAAAAAAAGAATTTCAAATTATTTTCAATTTAATATTTGGTAGATATATTTTCGAGACTACATGCTAAAAAACAAGGCAAAAAAAAAAAAGAAAAATTCGATTTTTTAGATCCCACAAGAAAGGTCCCTTAAGGACGCTAGAATAGCGAAGGATCCACTCGATCGCGTAATAGTCAAGGTTGTCAGGATTATTAAGGAGGAGGAGAAAAAGGAGCAGGGAAGAAAAGGCGGGCGACACGAAGCGTGGAGGGTTGATAATCGCGATTGTCGTGGGAGTTCATAAAGGTGTCGTTCGAGCTGTGTGGTCCGGCTGACAATGGCGGTGTGGCCAATAAATTAGGAAGCCACCAGAAAGGACATGCTCTCGATGTACGAAAAATAGCGTGACACGTATGATCGCGGCGCGACGGCTGCTGGAAGACGCTTTTCCCGACGCGGAGACGCTCGTAAAGAAAAGCCTGCGGTCGCCGTTTCAATGGAACGACAAGTGGCCGCGATATTATACGCGATGGACGAGTCTCTTCGAACAGAGAAAAGATCTTCGACGGAATGAAAGAGCTGGGCTATATTTCACGACCAGAAGGTTCGAGCTCACTGAATTTTCGCACGGTTCTGATACTTTTCGATCGTCCCTCGAATCGACTCGAAGCGATACTCGAAACGTGTTACTAAATTTTTATTTTAATCTAGGGGGAGCTCGTATTTGACACTAGATTGCCCGAGGAAGTCATTTCGACTGCTTTTTAATTTCAATTAGAAAAACAATTATGTATATGACACAATTTCTTAGAATTCTGTGACTTTTTGTATAAATGCGTTTATTAATAATTGTAGTTACATCCCCCCTCCTTCATTTCCGGTTTATATATGTGTGTTATACCTATATTGCCCAAAAGCAGTAATTTTGACCTAATTTTTCGACGGAAGAAAAAAAATTTCAAATCGTTTTGGAAAAATTATTGTCGGTTGCGGGGGTCAATTACGATCATTTTTGGTCATTACGCATACCCCCGAAATCCTGCGCATTTTCGAGAAAAAAATTCCATACGAGCGGAACTTTAAACGTTAATAACTTTTTAACGAAGCCTCCATCGATAAATCGGTATTCTTGATTTTCGTCTTATTTTGGTCTCTAGAATCGCCTATTAAAATTTTTCCCAGGGGTATACTAAGTTTCAGTCTTTCTAGTGTTAAATACGACTCCGAGTACAGAGTGTTCCCGAGTTGTTATATTTGCAAATTTGATCAACGTTTCCTATAAATCGAAGGGCTGGGGAATCGATCGGAGGAATTGGTAGGTTCGCGTCGATTAATAACGTTGATCGTCGACGGGGTAGGAATAAATAAGTCGGCGGTCGGTCAGGCGGCAGGTGGTGAGAACCAGGCGCGAGATCACCACCGAGGGTGGTCCCCCGGTACGGTGTTTTCATTGTGGCTTGGTTTTCATCGTGAATCGTAAGCGCAACCGACGGAACTCGGCGACACCGCGCGTAATATCATCATTATAACGCGTCACACAGATGCGCCGTACACATCGAGAACTCTCCTTTTTTCTCTATATTGCGGTTACGCACGGCTTTGTCCCGTATCGCCTCTAAAGAGCTGCCAGAAGGACCCCCGGTGAGGGAAAAGGTCTACGTCTCTGCGGGGTCGAACGATCCTACCTACCCCTGTCGACAGCTACGGTAATCTGTACACTCTTCCTGCTTACACCCCTCTATACTATCTATCTCGCCACTCCTGGAACCATTACCTGCCAGTTACGCGCACTCCTTCAACCGAAAATCGCCTTTTATTCAATTTATTTATCACGCGAAATTACTGTTAGGTTTTCCACTAAAAATCAAGTACAAAATTAATCGGATTTACTGGTCTCCTATGCTGAAGGAGAGAGATATTCCCTCGTAAGATTCGGTTTTCTGTTCATTCAAAGATGCGATAGGACCTCGCATAAACACAGAGGTTTTTTCTGTACGATTGCAGTTTAGTTCTGTTGTAAAACTCATATAGAAAGGATGTCTCTTCTAACCGTAATAGAAACAAAGTGTTTATAGAAAGGAAATCACATTACAAATAGAGATTGCACTTCTCAAGGAATTTAAAGAAACTCTACGCGAGTCGACGACCTCGAAGAGACGCAGTTAGCGTAATTTCGAATTTTATTTGATTAAAATAAATTTAAATGGATGGCAAACAGCAAGAAAACGTGTCAGAGTCGTTCGTCAGATATTTCACGAGCGAAGAGAGCGCCATTGCGCGCACCCGATCGCTTCCGTTGACGTTTAGAAATTTAGTTGCGTCAGTCGAAATCGTCGTAGGCGTCCTCGTTACCATGTTGGAACCACTGATAGTGCTGACAGTGTTGAATTGCTTCTTCATGTTCAGCTCAACGGTCACGACCTGCGCGTTATGGTAACCAAAATCTCGTCGTTTTGGTCGTTCTCTGCTTGAAGCTATCGACTGCTCGACAGGTGGCAATATCGTAGTCATCGGTGCTGCTTCAAGAAGGACCCGAGAGACGGTTCGTCCAGGTTGAAGAGCACCTATGCTTCGAAAGCCTCGAAGAAGCCTGGAAGCCCGAGGCAGAGCGAGGCTGGACGCGGCTCCCCGAAGCAAACCGAGAAACCGATCGTTCGTCGCAAATCGAACACGACGGTGAATCGCGAAACGAGGAACAGGAGGACGTCCAAGCTGAAGGCGAACTCTAATTCGAGGCACCCGACGAACATGATTGATTCGACCAGCGAGGAACGCGTCACCTCCATGTAAATGTTTCTTTATCTCGTTGGTAAACTGGCGAATGTTAACCCTTTGCACTTCGAATTGTATTTGAATTTTGTTACCAGCAGCTTCCAAACGCTTCCAAGTGTTTTATTTACGTCAACTAAAAAGTAGGGATTCAATGAAATATCTGTTTTACTTGCACCATTGCTGAATTTTGCAATTTTTAAGTGTACGATATCTCTTTGGTTTGGACTTGAAAAAGAGGGAGCTGCTGAGATAAAAATTGATGTCGAATCACACTCGATATAGGAGTGCAAAGGGTTAAAAGCAGGACTGTTGCAGGGAAACGATCGGAAAGTGGGATCCTATGGAGGAGAGGACGAGAATGTCGGAGGCGTCGCAGACCGCGAACGAGGGGAAATCAGCGGTGGTGATGGAGTACTCGACCGTGCAGAAAATCGTGCAAATTCTCGACGACGACACCGACATGGCCGCCACTAAGTTGGCCATGAGAGACTTTAATGCCAAACAGACCGTCGAGGGGAAGAAGCCCGACGCGAAAGTCGACGAACAAAACTCCGAGGCTGTGGTTATGCTTGCGCCGGTCTATCAGTCCTAATTCAACAGTTTCTTTTATAATCTATCGCGCTAGAATGGGTACATTCAGATGTTTCTATTTATTAAAATTTATTTTCTAAACTACGGTCCATCATTGCTGTTTATCTGAGTCATTTCTTTCGAAAATCAGCAGCGTCATTTTCTGGGAATGGTTTCTGATTGTTCTGACGCGTTTCGTTCGACGGTTAGATCGCCTTTGGCAATAAGTCGAGTGTTGACGGAGCTCAAATTACATTGAAAAATGCACGATATCTTTTTGGTCTTTCCCGATATTTTCAAACCGCAACAGTCGATGGAATCGACCCCTCTTGGACCACGAACGAGTCTTGGAAAACTAAGTTCAGAGTGAAATTTAAGCTTCTAGTTTATTGGGTGATGGAGTAATTTTTTGAAACTTTAACACGCCAAGATTCATCCAAACGCGCCGGAAGTTCGCGTTGAGCGCAGAGTAGACCGACGATGGTCGTAACATTTCCTCTGCTCGCCATGTTTATTTAATAACTCAGATATTCGTTAACACGTAACGAAATATGTAGCTGCAATTCGATAATCTCAAAAGTAAGATTCCAAAGTTCAAGCATTACGAGCATTGTCGATCTACTCTAAGTCTGATCGTTTTTACCAGCTGGAGAACAGAATGCACCAAAAATGCAGGCTATGCAAGCGGTGTTGCATGGAAGAAAACAACCCAGCATTTTGCAACATGTCCGAATCTCTTCATTTCGGTCCCCAGCTCGACGACGTTTCCGATAATTCTAAGAATTTAACAGGGACTTCCGGCGTGGAGCGCTGTCAACGAAACGTTGCAAACTTCCGTCGGGGAACGTATGATTTTCTACTCGCTACAGCGAGCAACGACTCAAAACACGTTTCGGAAATAACATGGTGAATATAATTTACAATATAATTAAAAGAAACGTCTCTCTCTTATTAGAGGACGCTTTGATTTTTAAACCCGGCGTCGATCGAAATAAAATCCGGTCACGTAGCGATACTAACGATACTGTTACGACAACCGTACGTGCATCCAAGGTTCCAACCATTTTTCCACCAACACCCATGGTGTTTCCGCGCGGTTTTTACGCGCGATGGTGGGGAACGCGATGTGCACCTGTTACAAAAGAAGAATCGCTCTGCTTCGAACGAATAGAAATGCCGATACTACGTACGGAGACGCGTGCAGTTCGATCTAGAGTCTCACACGCTTCGCACAGTTCTCACACACACTTTGTATCACACTTGTGACTCGTTTCTAAACTTTTGTGCTTCTCTTTCGTTCTCCAGACTCTACCAATTCACACTGGGTAAGTAAGTAAGACGTTTAAAAGTAACTTCTCGATTGCTTCTATTCTATTCTATTCTATTCTATGGATTTCTCTAATCAGAGATAAGTCGAGAAATGAATTTTCATTTCTTCTTTGTCGATGATTACGAAATCTTATGTTTATTTCTTATTCTTTTATGTTTATTTCTGTTAGGGTGTATACCGTGGATTCCAAGTTCTTTTCATTTCTTCTCTATCGATGATTACGAAGTCTTATGTTTATTTTTTTTAGGGTGTATACCGTGGATTGCAAGTTCTTTTCATTTCTTTTCTATCAATGATTACGAAGTCTTATGTTTATTTCTTATTTTTTTATGTTTATTTCTTTTAGGGTGTATACCGTGGATTGCAAGTTCTTTTCATTGAATTTCTATCGATGATTACAAAGTCTTATGTTTATTTCTCTTAGGGTGTATACCGTGGATTACAAGCTCTTTTCATTTCTTCTCTATCGATGATTACGAATCTTACGTTTATTTCTTATTTTTTTATGTTTATTTCTCTTAGGGTGTATACTATGGATTGCAAGTTCTTTTCATTTCTTCTCTATCGATGATTACGAGATCTTATGTTTATTCTGCACCAAAATATTAGTGTTCTGGAGTGTGTTGTCTTAAGGTGTATACTATTGATTGCAAGTTTTGAAAGCAGTGACGAAAGAGTCACGTTTACGAAACAATTAAATTTGCCAATTCGAAAGACACCAGTGATTTTCTCTTTCTTTATTGTTTACAATCCATCACACGGTTACTCCCGTGCATCGTAATCTCCTCGATCCTCGTGCCACTGTAATTTCCACTCACGTATGTCGCTCGATCGACCAATTTTCGATCCCCGTGCGTGTTTCGTGGGTCTCGAGACTAGCTTTCTACAAAAGTGAAGTCGACGAATGTCGATTGACTTACAAAACTCTCCCCCGTTAGCATTCAGAGATATTATGCAATGTTCCAATGACATAGAATTCCAATTGTAACGAAGTTAAAACGAAAGTTTCTATCTTTTTTCATAATATTACTAGATTTTTAGGAACTCGAAGAGAGATCCTCGAACCCCACGAAAATATGTCTTTGGCCCATTTTTTATTATCTTTTATCAACCCTTTGCACTTCGAATTATATTTGATCGCCCTAAAAGTTTTCACAATGCTCAAAGTCCCTCAAAGAAAGATCGAAACGTCCATCCGTAAAGAACGTTGCGTCGAAAGACGATGTGTGACGCCTGTCAATATTTAATCTATCGCTTGATAATGTTCCGGGAAGTTCGAGACTCTCGGAACTTTCGCAACTTGTAACGAGAGTTCCAAGGTTCGACGAGCTAGAGAGACTTCTCGAGTGAAAAACAAATTTGTTCTTACAGTTCGCGATGACGCTGTTACCGCCGACAATCGAGCAACAGAAACGCATCGACGAGGAAGTTCCCTCTGACCCGGAAATGAGGAAACGCGACGTCGCTGCTATACGCGACTGGCTATCCAAACAGCCTCATCTCCCTAATCACATGGGTCTGTGCACTAATTACACTTTAAATTTAACATTTTACAACCTCCTCCAATTTACTTTAGCAATGATTAAGATAAAGGTGCCAGTAATTGATCGAGCAGTCGTTCCAAGTCTCGGATTTTCGATCGCGTCTTCGCGAGATTCGAACGATAATTTTAGTAATTCTACGGTTTTCAGATGACGCGAGACTGGAGAAGTTCCTGTTCGGGTGCAAGAACAGCATCGAGAGATGTAAATTAATTTTGGAACGATATTTCAGCGTTCGTACAGCCGTGCCAGAATTTTTCTCTATGCGAGACCCATTTTTACGGGACATCCAACAGTGTTGCGAGGCGATGTAATTAATATTCTTCTATTTTCTATAAATTTAACTAAGCTTTCACGCTGATTTTCTAACGTTTACTCTATCAACCTTCAGTCAGTATTTTGTTCTACCATCTTTGACGGAAGATGGACACAGAGTGACCGTCTTACGCTTACGAAGCCTCTCGATAGATGAATTTTCCATTCAAACGATTTCTAAACGAATCCTCATGGTCCTGGACGCCCGTTTAATGGAGGAACGTTGCCTATCGAACATTATGGTCATCGATCTCGAGGTATCTAAGCAATAGATACGTAATATACAGGTTTACTAGACTCTTTGCAAACAAGCATCGTCGTAACGCGATTTTTTATATCTCTTTGTTATCTCTGGTGTAAGATATTTTAGATATTTTCCCTTTAATATCTTAATACAATGGTTTGCACGGAAAGCTGACTCGAACGTAACTAAATTATTATTAACGAACGATTAACTAATAAAATGAACAACTTCTAAATGAATACTTCACGCGAACACACATAGTCGGCAATGCCTTTGATCGAAACTCTCGCATAATGTAACTGCACTCATTACAAACCTAAAGGTTGCTTACACTAGTGATATAATATTTCTTTTATATTTCGAACTAACGATATAGCGTATTGGAAGCTTCGATTTATGTGTTTTGAATCTGTTTTGCGTTCAGGGATTCAGCGTGATGCATTTCACAAGATGCAGCCCAACGCACACCATCGTTCGAAAATCGATGATGGCGGTGCAAGACAGCATGCCGTTACGACTCCACAGAGTTCACTTCCTGCACGCGCCAGCATTCATTGAGAGCATCCTCAACATATTCTACCCCCTTCTCAAGGCCAAACTCGTGCAAAAAGTGAGCAATCCTATACAACATAACGAGTAGCAACTCTGTACTATATTACATTTTCTTTCTTTCTTTCAGTTTCGCGTGCATACTGGTGGCGGAGAGGAATTGCATCCCTACATGGACAAGGATATATTGCCAAAGGAATGGGGAGGTCTAGCAGGCACCTTCGACGAGTTAAATGGTGAGTTACGTTAAGGAATGTGCATACAAAGTGTGTGCAGGACTAATAAGGGTGCAAATGGCGGAGGAAATCAGAAAAATGGCGAGATCTGGAGGAAAGCTACCCTTGTTGCCTCAGTAGTGACCTCTAGCGTAATTTAGCGCTTACTATAGTTCCTGGTGAACCCCCGATGCTAATATAATTGGGGAGTTCTTATCGTAGACGAGGTATACGAGCAGACCTTGCAACTTATGGACTTTCGCGGACTTTCTGACTGCCATACCGACCTGAAAATTCGGAGATTTTAGCGCCCTTTTCTCATAGATGGTGGTCAGTTGAGAAACTATTCACTGAATTAATAATAAGGGCTGATAGCTGTAGTGTGTGCATAAATGCATGTGAGTTGACTATGCAGGGGTTGAAATTCATTTCTGAATCTGTCGGTAATGTTGCGAATGACACGAAAATGGTAATGGGGGTTCAAGATCCCATAAAAATGGGTCGAAAAATACATTGAGCGAAAGATCTACTCTTATACCCCGTCTATGACAATAGTCTAGAATCTTTGATGAATCAATGAGAATTGAAACTAATCTAGCGAAGAAGCTCTATATTTATGATGACCTATGCAAGGGGGTCGCAGCCAATTTGCTAATATTATTTAGATTTCAATTAATAATTGCATGGCCCAGCTAGGAGCGATACGATTATTGATTAAACGATAAATAATATTACCCAGGTCTCACCACGTGGAGGTTGCTGCGAGTGGAGACCCGAAGGGAGATAGATGGAATCAAAGTTCCATCGATCTCCCTTTTACATTCTTACAAGCTAGATTACCAAACTAGAGAGATAGAAGGATGCAATGTTCCTTCGATCTTCTAGTTTGGTTGTACCAAGTAATTGTTTCGTTTGAAAAGGGATGAAGCTATATCGTGGGATACGTGACGCGACGCGACGCGATACGACGCGATGTCGATCAGCAGTGATCGACGCAAGGGACGAGATACGCGACACGCGAACCGAGTACCTGGTCAAAAGATTCAGCTCCGTTGCCTCTTGGCAAGTCCAATCGAAGGGGAAGAGCATCGACGCACCCGACACAGAGGTTCCCCATTTCTCCCACGCATCCTGTTGGGAGCCAGATGGACCCAACTCGAGATGACTGACTGAGAGAGGGAGCGTGTGTCGGGGCTACCGTAGACAGGAACAGTCCCTGATCCCCTCTACGGCCGAAGTACGCTTTCCCTTGGATCGTCTCGCCAGAGGACGGCAACTGACCCTTCGGATCAGCTAAACGGCCGATCACTTGCTTTCTACATCAAAGCAGTGGTGACCGGAACGAGAAACGAGAGAACGGGTGAACGGGAAGCTAGTTGGTAAAGAATTACTTGGCACATACGCAGACGCATACATAGGAGTCGTCGAGGCTTATATCTAATTTTACCAAGCAATTATTGTTTAAAAAGGGGTGAAGCTAAATTATTGGATACGCGACGCGACGCGATGGTGATCGAAGCAAGAAACGAGAGAACGAGTGAACGGGAAGCTAAGTTAATAATTGCTTGGTATCGCGGCCTTAAAAATAAATTTAACCTGGAGATAAAAGTCCCACGATGCCCCACGATGATAGAGGCCTGTAAGTAATCTGAAACAAACTAAAGAGGGTGGCATTTGCGATTAGTTAAACAATTAAATATAATGAATTGGTAAACACGAAGCTGTGAAATAAAATAAATGGACCCAGAGAAACCAGTGACGTGAAATAGACATGGACAAGAGCACGATATATACAATAAGCAACATTTAAGACAAGAATCCAAACAAATGAGAACGAGGAGAAACGATAGATCGAAGCCCAGCAGACATTCGAATGTCGAAAAAGAAGTGAGAAATTGGAGATTGAGATATCACTCACCACTGTGTGGATAGTGGTCAGTGAAACAGATTTGTGCATGCAATATAGAATGTGCATCGAACAAACCAAACAAGGAAGGAACAAGTATTGAGATATGGAAGGAGACCAAAGAAGTAAAAGCAAAATGAAACCCCATATTGAAGCCCAACAGACCTTCGAAGGTCGAAAAAGAAATTAGAAAGAGGAGAGGCGGAACTCGCTCGCTACTGATCACTAATGGTCAGTATTGGTCAACAAAGTTGACCAGTGCTCGACCAGTGGTCAGTAGTGGCGAGTAAAGGTGGAGCGCAGAACCACGGAGGTTCCGTCACGTCCGCCAGCCCAGAGAGAGAATGAGAGAGAGTGAGTCACCGGCAGCTAGCCGCAGGCAGAAGAACTAACGGGGTGGGGATGACCGTCCTTGGCGAGTTCACCAATCAATTAACGGTTAACCGTGCCTTTGACCGAAAAATAAATATTCTATGCAAAATGGTATTAAAACAATTATTTATGCAACCCACGCTATCGAGCATTATTTTAACTATTGCCTGATGTTAATTAATAATTATCGCAAACAATAGGTATGGAAATATGGACAAATTCGAGGAGACTGAAAGTTTCTTTGAATTTCTGTCGAGAACCAAGGTCGTACATCATGTATTCATTTCTCCGACCTTCTGTCCTCTGTACGATACTTTCTTTTGTATAACTTTCCATCCTTCATTTCTTATCAGTAAATTAAAGAGGATTCTAACAAAGATACGTAAACAGCGTCACTGAAATCATTCCAAGCTACCGTTTTTTTTTTTGATGCTATGCTAAATACACACGAGGTATATAAATAGACCTGTCACCTTGTGGATTTTGATGATACAATCGATCTGACTGGCATATGGAGTTATTTTCGAAATAAATAAGGATTTTCGGTGTAGTTGTCAATGAGGTACATCCTTACGTATTTTAATAATCTTGAAATCTTTAAATAATCTTAATGGATTGGTTACTCCTATGAAATTAATCGATCGATGTTCAATTCTAGTCTGCACAGCTTTCATTCTGTTTAAAAAAATACTAAAATTTAATTCTCTGTCTCACTTCCACTTGTGTTTATTTCTAAATCTGTTGGTAACGTTGCGAGTGACACGAAAATGGTTAAAGGTCTGCTCGTATACCTCGTCTGTGGTTCTTACGTATTCATAATTTATTATTGTACTTTTGTCAGCGAAGAATATTATTTTCAGACGCATGGAGGAAGAAGATCGAAAAGAACAGAGACTGGTATCTACGGGAAGAAAAAGTCAGCCGTACGAACGAAAGCGCCAGACAGCCAGAATCTAAATCCAGGCTTCTGAAGGAGCTGGACGGGTTGCAGGGTTCGTTCAGAAAACTGAACATCGACTAGTAAAAATAATGTCTTTCGATCGGAAAAATAATTTTTTCTACCACGAATTCTATTTTATTTTTTTTATCAAATATATATTATAAGTTACCGTCTCGATGTAATCCGTTTTATTTGAATCAATGCTCCGTGAAATGGCTCCTGTGATAATAGTTGCGACGTTCTCCGAACGATGGCGCCACGGATAGTTTCCACCCGGCGGGCAACTTGCATCAATTTCAAATCGAAATCGCATCGATTCTGCATCCAATGTTTAATTCGTCCATCAATAAGTTTCAAGACTCTATCCTCTTCGTTACAATAAATAATCTGTAATTCAATTATTCAACATAAAACGAAAAAGCTTGTACTCTGTTAAGTTTGAATAAATCGTAATTGGAATAATATAAAATGTTGATTTAACCCGTCGCTTTTTTAACATTGTTGCGAACGTATTGGAAGAAAGCCCAGTAGAACGCGAGTCTGCCAAGCAAAGGCAGACTACTGCAGTCTGTTGGAACTCGCAACAAAAGCCAGATTTATTTTGCCACGAATTACGAATTAACTAGGTAAAAGAAAAATCACCCAACGAAATTCTGACGTCGTGAATGAAATTGTCGCGTTGCAGACTTCCGGCAATCAGGCTACACAGGAGGTAATCTGTCGCTCGAGAATTGCACACACTGGACAAAACCACCTCCAGACACTTAAGACCGTCGGCGTTCGGCATCTGGTTCTTTCGTGTCCGTTTAACTTGATAAGCTAATGGCGGTCCAGACAACGGACAACAGAGCATCGCAGGAATTCCTTTCTACGGTCCTCGCGGACCAATGCAACTTTACGATTGTTTGCTCGCGACCACGGCCTGTGGTTGGCCTCCAACGTCCGACATCTGTCGTTCACGGTTCGTCGTTTCTTCGCGAGGGACATTTAACGCGACGCAAACGTTTACTCGCGGTGGAAAAACAGTCGTTATCAATTATCATGCCCGAGGCGCTGCGTCGTTCCGGAGGACATAAAAGACCGTGTTTTTCTGGCCTCGTCAGTGAGAGTGCATCTTCACCGGTACCATCTGACCGATCAATCGTATGTATTCAGCGTAAAAATAATAGAAACTGTTGGTTACGATTCTTCTCAAATGGGGGATTCCCGTGTAACGAAGTTAAAACGGAAAGTTTTTAATTTTTTCGTAAAGTATTGCTAGATTTTTAGGAACTCGAACAGAGATCCTCGAACCCCACGAAAATATTTCTTTGGTCCATTTTTTATTATCTTTTATCAACCCTTTGCACTTCGAATTATATTTCAATTTTGTTACCAGCAGCTCCCACCGCCTTTAAGTGTTTGACCTTATGCAAAAGCAATTTATGACCTGACATATATGTATATCCGCGATAATGCAATTCTCTCGCGAGAAAGCGCTGGAGAAGCTTCGCCACCTGGCGGTAATGTGCTTCTGAGATAAAAATTGACGTCGAATCACACTCGACACAGGAGTGCAAAGGGTTAAATAACGGTTAAATCTTTTTGCTTTTGTCGCGAAGCTTGCATCGAGATACCTATTTTAGCCGTTCGCGGTGCGTCGCGACGCCTGCAACTCGGTAATCCGTAACCCATCGGTGCGTATAAACAAACGATCGACGTCGCGTGTTTCCGACCGGTCGAATTAAGCGTCCACGAGACGGGGGCCTCGTGTTACACAAGCATTATGCCAATTACACGGGCGTGTGCGTTCTTGACGAGCCAGAACAGCCAATTAATTAATTGACTAAACACTACTGTTCGAAGGGATTGCGTAACGATCGTTCAACAACGCGCTGCTTCGACCGGGAAATTACGAATTCGAAACACACCAAGCACACAATCTTTTTACACAAATTAAAATCACGTTCGTCTTTCACGATCACTCGTTTCTCACTCATTGTTTCAACCCTTTTGCACATAAATTAACATTGAACAAAACTACTATAAAGATAGTGGCTTTGGAGTCACGCGAATTTAAAGATGGCCGACTTTTTAAGTCTAAATTCGAGACAACGATACTCGAGATAGCGTATCGATACATTTGTCGCTAATTCTTTGGATCTACCGGAAGGAACAGGTATTATTAGATGAGATGATGAATCGAGGTGAAATCTAGATCGACGAAGAAACCTTTCTAATCCTAAGGAACATCGAAGAGACTCTAGACACATAGATATGCTTTCGAATTTGCATCTGTTCGAGTAACTTTGAACAGTTCGCCTACGTTCTCCGTTCTGATTGCATTTTCACGTTCCTTGCTACTTCCAATTAGTTTCCACGCGGTGTACTATCCAGTTACATCGAAACTAACAATTTAATCGCGGGTGGAATTCGTCACGCGACCAAACGTATACGTCAAACTCGTACGAAATCGATGTCTCTATCGATCTCTGAACAAATAGCTTCTAACGCGTTGGACCAACATTGTGGAACATTGCAACTCGATTCTTACGACTTCTACTTGTTAGATTCGATTAAAAGCATTCGATTGAAAAGCGTTCGTTCGATTTTCGAGGGTCAGCGATCGTTGGAGGAATCGGTTCCAGAGCAATCGATCGATTCGACTAATTCGACGACCGCGATAGCGAAATATGCGGGCGTCCCTGTCCTGGTGCACTGTACAGTGCGACGTGGTGGATTGATTTTTCGCTTCCTGACGTCACAGCGAGGCCAGCATGCGCAGCTCGATGCGCGGCGTTTCGATGCATTCTATTCCTACGTGGCGACTTTTATTTCGCGTAACAACCGATACGATACGTCGAATCTCGCTTTATACAAGTTCTGCCACTTGGACAGCCTCTAGGGCTCTAGCCAGTCGCGTTAGACACTCTCTAACACGCTCGTTTCTAGTCGATTTGTTCGTAAACGCTACGTCGACTCGCGATAGAGGGAAACAAATTATTTATAAAAGCTTGGGCCAAGTCTAGGGTAGCTTGGTTTACGAATAGATTAGATTATTAGTAGACTGCGGATCTTTATGTAAATTCATATTTTTATTAATAGAATTAATGAAATGGGAGCTTAGTAGATGATTGTCTTAACCCTTAAATATAATAATTCGAATCTTACTTTAAGTATTTCTTATTTTTGAGGATTAAAATTTCCCACAAATGCATAAACATCCGCAGTCTACTTATTACGTTCTCGATCAGGTACATTGCACGCTGAAGAATCTATCAAGCTCTTCTCAATGTTTGTTTAACGTTAACAAGGTCAATGAACTCTACGAACCGTGGGTCTAACGAAGCAGAACCTAATCTAATGCTTTCTAATTAAAAATCTCGTGATTTGTGGTTGAAAGAAATTGCAACGAGTCCGAATGGTCAGCCACGATTCGTAACGTTTGCTCGCGAGTTCTGAGATTACATTTTACCAATTTCTAGTTCACAATTTTACTCGTCTATCCGCCCCTCGACGACGATTCGTAAGAAAGACGCGTTTCAAATTAGCGATAGGATAGAATTTTCAAATACCAGTCCCGAATGGAGTAAACTCAAGGAACCCCAAAGTCCAAAGTCCAAGCAGAACGGTCGCGTCGAGTCGATAGTCGGCGAGAGTCGTAATCGCGGCGAAATCTGTTAAGAAACGGGTGGGGGACTGCGGAACGAAGGGGGGTGGGTCTGTCGAGTGGGTGGTAGACGGGTGGTTGTGGCTCTGTAGCGAAGCAGGACGTTGGGGTCAGAGACGAGTTCATTGAGTGTCGCGCGGCTGGTCGGCAGAGCACGTCGCTTCGAACGGTTCCCCTTCTCCCGGAGGGTTCCTCGTCAATTGATTCCCTGTTGGTGGCGTCGTGGCCGCGAGTTCGTCGTCGACGGGCAGCCAGGTTGCGCCCTATCTTGCGGGAGAGCCATTCGTCGCGTTTTAGGTGCACACGTGCGCCGCGAGGCGACGCGAGGCGAGGCGAGGCGCGTTCCTAGGCAGCTTATCGTTGCTCTGGTTTCGATCGACGACACGAAAGACTGGGTCGCTTCATGGCCTGTCGCTGACACGACTACGGTTGCGATTCTCGCGTTCGTGTTTCAACGAACTAGGAAAACCAGGCAGGCAAAGCTTGAAAAAGACTGGATCGCCGAGTGTCGCGAGCGACGAAATCCACGAGGGCCTAGCCACAGCCCCCGGTGTTCCCCGTGGTGGATGCCATGCCCCTCCCCACTTCTTCGATTCGCCAGGACGTCAGCTGGAACTTGCGTGGTGCGTGTTGGGTGTGCAGCGTGCCGTTGCAGCTTCTAGTCCATCGTCGCGATCCGAGGGACGACAGGTGCAATCCCATCCTGGATCGTTTCCCGTGATCCTCTTGACCGGTTCGCGCGAGATTTCGAGGACTGATCGCCTTCCGTGTCCTCCGTGTCGAAGCCATCCTCGGCGTGGGTGCGTGCGGATAAAACGTGATCCCGCGCGACCAGTGGACTCGTCGCGGATGCGCTCGATTCCCGTTCGTTTCGAGGCTGTCCGCGCGTGTTATCGACAGGGTGTATTTGGTGAGACCTGCGTGTCCTGTGGCGGATTCCCCCGAGACCAGCACTCCCGTTCCAAAAGATCTAGGAACACGCTACGATCTACTTCGGTGAGTGGGACCCTTTGATCTTGATTGCCCGACGATACACGAGTGAAACATGCGTTATGTTCCCTGAAATATAGACCGTACGTCTCTGTTTCTATGGCACGACTAATTTGTAATTACGCGCCGAGAAGGGGCACGCCAATAGGGCTCGGTGCAACGACAAACATGCACGAACGATTGGGTTTACCCCCTCTTCTAACTCTTTAACCCTTTTAGTGCCGAACGACGAGCGATGGTGCCTTATTCTTCGCATTAGGAGAAAGCTCTGTCTGAAAAAGAATTTGTAAAACGTTAGAAAGGGTCTAATTTTATTGCAAGAGCATTTAAAAAATTATTTTTGGGTTTAACCCTTTACCCTGGAAGCCTTTTTCGCTCGGGCGAACCAGCAACTCGACGCGACTTTGTGGCGGAATCGTGTGTATTCTGGAGTCGTCGTATTATACAGGGTGTTCGACCAACCCTGGGAAAAAATTTAATAGCAGATTCTAGAGATCAAAATAAGACGAAAATTAGCATATCAGTTTCTTGACTGAGGCCTCGTTAAAAAGTTATTGACAATTAAATTAAAAAATTTCAAATCGTTTTGGAAAAATTATTTTCGGTTGCAGAGGCAAGTTACAATTGTTTTGGGTGAATAGACATACCCCCGAAATCCTGCCCACTTTCTAAAAAAAAATTCCTTACCGAAAATCTAATGTCTAAAAGCAAAGGGTTAACCACGCGTCCAAGAAAACGCAGAAACCTTAAATTACTAATTATTATTCTAGTAGAAAGAATTTTTTGGAGGGAAAGCAGCATATATTCTATTTGTACCAAAGTTAGGCTCTTGGAACAAGTAGATTATACTTTCTATTAATTTCACAACCGTGTACTATCTTTTCCAATCAATGTAAACAAAGACCAGGTACCTAACTTGCAAATAGTTGAAACAAGCTTAAACAAAATGGTTCGTATCTCTGCAGTTAAAAACGAATGTACGGGTAATCGCGATTCAGACTCTGGGCGAGCGTTTAAAAATAAACCCGAGTTCCGTGAATGGAGCATCGAGAAATTGATTTAAAGCGACGCGAAAAAATTATACAAGATGGCTACTCAGGGAGAGGACTGTTGGCTCGCGGCCTAAAAGTTCAATTTTTTTGTTCAGCCTGTTATCCACCGGTCTGCAACGCTATTACCGAAATTGCTTGGTATCCGCGGCTTCGAGTTTATTGAAATTCCCGTCACGCGGAACGAATTTTTCAAATTCCCGCGCAGGCTGATCGTCCACCGAAAAGTGGAATTGAAAATTGAAATTCGAACGATAGTCTGGAAGTTATTCGAACAACTTTGATGATATCCTCAATTTCAGTGATGGCGTTTGAATCGTATCGGTGCTACACGAAATATCGACAAGTAATATTGATGTACTTATCAGTGCATCGCTATCGACGACACTTTATTTCGATAATCGAGACATCAGCGTAACGTTTGGGGATTGATTGCTACAGGTATAGGTATTTCATTACCAACTTTGAGATTAGTTTTCACACGAACGTTACGCTGATCCGAGTTTCATCGAAACCTAAGCTTCTAAGTAAGCAATAATGTTCTTTGTCGGTACGTTTGGCCTTCTAGAGCAGATTGTTGCGAGGGGTCAATTAACCACTGATCGTTTAGGAGACTCTGGACGCAATTGCCCTATGGTTATGCTTTGTTCGATGACGAAGAGCACTGTCCTCGCGTTTGTCGATCCGTTGTCTCGGTCTCTCCGCGTTATATCTCTTTGTTGGTTCCCCGTGGCGGTAACTTATGTAAGCTATAGCGTCTCTGGTGCAACGCAAAGTCTCGTTGCACATGGATTCTTCCACGTGCTCGTTTTTCTTCTATTATCTCTCGATCCGACAGGGGCCACGTAACGATTTATCGCGGAATCGGTTATACAACAGTGATCAACGCGATTGCTTCAACTAGTTGCGCACCGACTTCGACAAACACGTTTCTATGATACGCCAAACGCGTAAATTGGCTCGTATCGACTTCCTATTGGTGGAACGACGTGGATGTACGTAAACTGATTGGCTAAGATCATAGTGTGTACGAATACAATGGCGTGGACAAGGCATTTACACTCTGTTGTTGGATAGTGATAGGTCGCTGATGCATAATCTGACGTACTGCAGGTTTCATGACCAACTTGGAAGCTGGACTGGCCATTCGAGGATCAATTGGCTAAATTTTTTATAACTTCAACCCTGCAATGGAAGTATACTGAATCTGTTACAAGATCTAAAGCGTTTCGATTGATGGAAAATGACGATTTCACATACCCGTGTGGCGTGACCTCGCGACAGATTCAATGGCCCTAAGCGTACTAGTTTTCTGTACAATTTGCTGAACAAATCGTTACGTCCACTTCTAGGAAAAACAGTGTACGACCGGTTGGTATAACTTACCGCAGTGCAGAAACATTAGAGATTTTCACTTGTTGAGTAGCTCTTCTCACGGTCCGGTGCTGATTCGTCGATGCTCGTTGGGGAAACAACACACGGCTTGCTGCAACCGCCATCGCATGTCTTAGGCGGCTTCTCGAATGACAAATCGTCGCGTATGTGGTCTCCTGGTAAAACCTGGCGCATTGCAGGTTTTACGAGTGCTGTGTCAGAGCATCGACGTACAGAGTTCAGCTAATTCTCTGTAAAACTATAAGTACTTCGTCCTATAGGCGCGTACAGTATTTAGTAAGATTTAGTGACTAGGTCGGGTCGTTGCATCTTTAGAAAAAGTGGCTGTACCCTATCGTTGTCCATCTTAATAACTCGTTGCACGATAAATCGAAGGGGTCTGTGATTCTGTGACTCCCATCGAGGCGCGTCGATCGTCAAATCATTCGTTTCGTTTTTAGATGCAAGAGTTAACGAACAGCTGATCCACACGATCGATGGAGTGCCATGACTTCGCGTCTGAAACAGAAACAAAAGTTAACAACAAAGAAATACAAAATATCAGCCACTTGGAGCACAAAGGGTTAAAGTGGTTACTTTTTTAACCTGAACAAAATTAGTATCGAATAAGGATAGAGTTTAAGGGTGTTTAATTTGATGCTGAGAATCCTATTTTCAATAACTGTCGATCGTGAAATCATCCGTTTCGTCGTTTGATGCAATAGTTAACGGAGCGAATGGCTATTAGGTCCGCGCCTGGTGCGTCACAACAGCTGATCCACTCGATCGATCGACCGATTAACCCTATCCGCGTAGGTGCACCAAACGAGCCGCATACCACTTTGCATCTGAAATAGAAACAAAAGTTAGCAACAAAGAAATACAAATATATCAGCAACTTGGAATGCAAAGGGTTAAAGTAGTTACTTTTTTGCCCTGAACAAAATTAGTATCGAATAGGATACAGTTTAAGGGTGTTTAATTTGATGCTGAGAATCCTATTTTCAATAACTATCGATCGTTGTTACAATTGATTATGATATATACAGGGTGTTCCGCCATCTTTGGGAAAAATTTTAATGGAGGATTCTAGAGGCCAAAATACGACGAAAATCAAGAATATTAATTTCTTAATTGAGGCGTCGTTAAAAAGTTATTAACAATTAAAGTCAATAATTTCAAATCGTTCTGGAAAAATTATTTTCGGCTGCGGGGGTCGATTACAATCATTTTTGGTGGATACACATACCTTCGAAATCCTATCCATTTTCGAGAAAAAAATTCGAGTATGTACTGAACTTTTTAGATGAAATTAAAATATTTAAAATCACACTAAAAAAATTATATTTAGTTACAGGGGTCAATTACAATCATTTTTTATCATTACACGTACCCCCGAAATCCTACCCACTTTCTAGAAAAAAATTCGAGAAGGTGTGAAATTTTTCGACGGGAAAAAAAAAATTTCAAATCGTTTTGGAAAAATTATTTTCGGCTGCGGGGGTCGATTACAATTATTTTTGGTGAATAGACACATCGCTGTAATCTTGCGCGTTTTCGAGAAAAAAATTCAGTACTGGCGGAACATTAAACGTTAATAACTTTTTAACGAAGCCTCCATCGATAAATCGGTATTCTTGATTTTCGTCTTATTTTGGCCTCTAGAATCGCCTGTTAAAATTTTACCCAGGGGTGGCCGAACACTCTGTATAATCTGCCATCGTTCTAAAAGCAACTGCGTTCCTCCGCAATTATAAAATTAATAACACGGTGCAATTATCTTTATTGTTACTCAGGTTATTGGAGAAAAACATGTTTACCTTAAGTCAGAACACTCGTATCGTAGATAGGGTACAGGCATAAAGATAACTGTGGCGCAGACAGCCTAAACGTATGTTTCGATAATTGGAGGAATTTCTGCGACAATCGTCCCGGAAGTTGTTGTCAACTTCTGACAAGGTCCTATCGATCGTTTAACGCTACGTTGTTACGTGGTGCAAGAAGTCTGCCGGTGTCGCGTTGTTAGATTATTGCCTGTAAACGATCAACGATTCAGGAAAAAGAGGGGCCGCGTTCGATGGCGCTGCACTTGAACTTATCGCGCGATCGTTAAACGTGCAACGACGATGCCAAGCGTGACCTAGAAATGGCCACTGGATCCGACATGCTTTGCCAAACGCTGGATTTACAACTCATTTATTGCGTTCGCCATCGCGCGATGTTCACCGATAGCGTCTAATCGACGTTAGAAATGCATCGATTCGTTTAATCTACGAAAGAGGTTAGAAAACAGGCAAAAGTAAAGTACATTTGTTACGAGTCGGATGACGGTTCTAAAGCTGGTGACAAAACATCGCAGAAATGGTTTCCACGATTCCTGCGGCGCAATTTTCCCATAAATAATGACCCCTCGCTCTGGTCAATGTTATTGTGAGTTTATGTGGCGCCATACTTTATGTTGGCAACTCAGTGCATTTTGTACGTTTGATGTCGCGTCGCCATTTGTGACGACACTTCCGGTTTGCCCCTTGTGTTGTCAACGCCATCTTTGCATTCTAGCCATGCGTTACTTCTAACGTATCGTAAATATACTGTAATAAATACAGATATACATAGATGTATGTCACAAACGTAAACTCTGCTATTAATTTTGACAGTCAACCATCCCAATTGGACGAAGAACGTTTCGCTCGAAATGACTCACGACGATAAACTCGCGCATTACGCGATAAGATGCATTGCTCTCGTAAAACTGGCGTTGAAAAACAACAGGGAAAACGCGCGGAAACTTGGAACACGGGTTTCGCATTATCCGTGCCAAAAATCGCGCGATCGTACGAAACAACCGATATCTTCGTGCAAATAGAAAATTGCTGCCGCGAAACAGAACCTGAAAGATTAGAACGTAGTAAAACAAGTTTCGAACGATATGGCGTCCATTGTGGATGCGTGTTGCGTGCGTTGACGCATTGCAGAACGACGCAATTGGGAGGTCAGCGAAGAAAAAAAATAGCACGGAAGAGAGACGAAAGAAAAGAAAAAAAAGAAAAAGGTTGGCGTCGCGAGTTATAGAGACGTCTAGTCTCCGCCAGGCTAGTAAATCAATCCCGTCGAAGGGCGATCCAAGTCCAAGAATTGCCGCGGGGTCAACGACCCCCTCGCGTCGTCGACATTAATTGAGTAAACAGCGCTCTTATTGCTCGACCTCTTTCTCTTTCACTTAATAACGAAATATCGCGATTACGCGCCTCGTGCAACTACAATCCACCTAGTTTAAAACAAGTTCGAACATTACTGCTATTAGGGCTGTTTGTAATATACAGGGTGGTTCGGCCAACCCTGGGAAAAATTTTAACAGGTGATTCTAGAGTCCAAAATAAGACGAAAATCAAGAATACCAATTTATCGATGGAGGCTTCGTTAAAAAGTTACCAACGTTTGAAGTTCCGCACTTGCTGAATTTTTTTCTCAAAAATGCGCAAGATTACGATGGTGTGTCTATTCATCAAAAATAATTGTAATGGACCCCCACAACCGAAAATAATTTTTCCAAAACGATTCGAAATTTTTTTTTTCCGTCGAAAAATTTCACACCTTCTCGAATTTTTTTCTAGAAAGCGGGTAGGATTTCGGGGGTACGTGTAATGATAAAAAATTATTGTATTTGACCCCTGTAACTAAATATAATTTTTTTAGTGTGATTTTAAATATTTTAATTTCATCTAAAAAGTTCAGTACCTACTCGAATTTTTTTCTAGAAAATGGATAGGATTTCGGGGGTATGTCTATTCACCAAAAATGATTGTAATTGACCCCCACAGCTGAAAATAATTTTTCCAGAACGATTTGAAATTTTTGACTTTAATTGTTAATAACTTTTTAACGAAGCCTCCATCGATAAATTGGTATCCTTGATTTTCGTCTTATTCTGGCCTCTAGAATCCCCCATTAAAATTTTTCCAAAGGTAGGTCATCGTGCTTGAAACTCTGTTTCGTTGCAGTTGTCGCTCGACGAAGCAAAGTTTCGAAACGCACAATATTTTCTGGGACACCGTGCGATGGGAACAATAATCGTGGGGCAGGATTCGTGACCGAGTCGTGTATCGATTTTAGAAACTTCCAGGCTTCATTTTTTTTTTCATTTGCACAGGGAAAAACGTTTCTTGAGAAGTTTCTGAAATGCAAGGCTGAATCGGCATGCAATGGCCGCGCTAAATTGTTTCCTTCCACCTGGAAATTGTCGACCGAGCGCACTTCTTTTTATTCGACATAATTTTCTCGTCGGTTTCCCTTCAAACGCGTTTAACGGTTCTCTGAAACAAAAAAAAATGTCACTTTAGTTTCTTGGTAGTTATAATATTTATAACTATATTATATAATATTATAAATATAATATAGAGGGTTAAAGGAGGCATACACGACCTTGGAATCTTGAAAAAAAAATGATTACTTTACCGAACATTCTTCCCTATAACTATGCTCGTACTTTCGAATAGTTTAACTTTGCCTTGAACAGTGTTTTTATGCAGCTACGAACAACAGAGATATTTAGACGTTCCCGTTTAAATAGTTTACCCCGTGTGTAATGACATAATCATAGACCTAAGGCAGTTTAACGACTTTAATGATAGTCTAGAGTCAAACTAGAGTGATAGACTAGAGATAGATAAGCGTACGTGTAAAGGTAGAGATATAAAAATGTAGAATTATAAAAACATAGAGACACGAGTACATAGAAGCGAACAAGCAAAATGATAGATTAAAAGTAGACTAATAAGCTTAATGACAGCCTCGAGTGGACTAACAACCTCATTAGGATAATTCAACTACAACGAATACTATATGTTTCTTAATTTCTATAATAGAAATTTATAGATTTTAGTCGCAATCGATTCGAACAAATGAAATTTTCCAGTTATTCCATTACAGACACGAAACGTCGACCAAACGATTCCCAATTTATTTTCCGTAATCTCATTTAAGAACGATTCGTTTTAAGAGCGTGGAGCCATGACGATCGATAGCAAGATTCTTAAAATTGGAATGGATTCATTCACAGAGCAGTTCCAAGAAGCAGTACTTCGATTTTCACATCTACAAGCGACCGTTCTGCACGTACACACGTATGGACGTTGTCACCTAACGCCTGCTATCGACACGTCCGTTTCAAATACAATTTTACAGTATCCGCAGAAAGGTGATAATGTTCCTGGTGTCACGCGACTCTTCGACCTTTCCAGCTCTTATTTATCTCTGTGACGATGATTATTAAAACACTGGACGCAACCTTCGTTCCGATGGTGCAGATTCGATCCAAACCTAGATCATAGGCCTAGATTTAGCACGCGAGAGTGTCCATTACGAAGTGAGCTATGCATCGATAAAAAGTTACTCTCGTTCAACGAATTTTCCAAACGTTTGGTGGTCTTTAAAGATTCCTCGGATTCTCGGGAATCCTTCGAACGACGTTTCAATTCGCAGCTATAAATATTTTAATTGATAGGGGTTGTTTTCGCCGAAGCATCGAGAAACTATTCGAAACTATTTATATCACGGTATTACTGGCCGTCTACCGAAGTCGAACGTCACCGTTCAGCCTCGTGTTCGACGTCCAGATTTACCCCTGTATGTATATTTAACAAATGTCCGCGAATCGCTGTGCAAATGTCTGCCTTTTGGACCCGATATAAATAACCAGCAACCACTCGAACACGGTGCAAACCGGTCCGAACGAATGCTGGAACTTTTACTTTGGAAGCATGTAGCTTTGTACCGATCGAGGATAGACGAAAGCTCTGTCCACGCGTTCGTTCAGGGTTAAGGTGATATCGGGGTTGAGGTTGGCGTTGCGAAGGTTCGATACTAAATATAGAGAAGGCGCTTACGGGGTCAAATCAATAGACATTCTGCGTATATGTATATGCACGATGTCTAAACGTCTGAACGTTGCACGGAAGCTTGAAATACCACCTATGGTTAAGCGACCACCGTGGAAGATTTCCTCCTCGGTGATGCGACGATTATCGGTGTTATTTTCAGTTCCACGTTACTTCTGATACCCCTCTACGGTCCAACGAGTTTCTCTTTCAAAATCAATCCGTTAAAAGCTCACTTAACTCTTAACCAATAAGGCAGGGTCAACGTAACCCGTACCGGGGTCATCCAATCCTTTTTCCTTCAACTTTGAGCGCATCTCCAGTTCGTGTAGGCTTAAATTATAGCGTACCACACCTCTGGTGTATCGTGGAACACCTCCATTAGGTACAAGTAGCCTTAAACTCCTACATCCTGCTCAGCCGCGGTTCAAATTAAAAGCGACGAAACATCGTGCAGAGGGTTAACGCAGGGCTCCCAGCACGATGGACGAAAAAAATCCAAGCGTCGTTTACGGTGTAAAATGTCAGACAATTTCCCAGCAAATTGCCTCTTCTCTGCGGCGCGAGTTTTTCGAACTGACCACGATAATCCCCGATGATTAATGATTAAGACGGTTCTAGAATCTTGTCAAGGGCATCGCGTGCAAACTGTCCGCTCGGTGACGCGTCCTGCTTGATTTCTGGTTAGTTTCAGCATCGTAGACCGGGCCGATAGCGAGATCCAGGTCTAATCCTCGGTCGGGATCGGATGTGGTGGACGTGTACAGCTGTAGGTACGACAGCGGTTGCACCGACGGCGGAGCTAGCTGCGTGTTCGGACGACCTGGCGCGTGGAAGGGCACATTGGATGAACAGGGGTGATCGTCGGTGATGGACAATGAGCAGCCGCATCAGGAACTGGTCAAGTGCGTGGTCGTGGGCGATACGGCGGTCGGAAAGACCAGACTGATATGCGCGAGGGCTTGCAACAAACACGTATCGCTATCGCAGCTGTTGACTACCCACGTGCCCACCGTATGGGCCATCGACCAGTACAGGATCTATAAAGATGTGAGTTTAGATTAGTAAGTTATACTTTCTTCCAGGTTTCACGAGTCTCTGGGCAAATGTAACGCGTACAGTCACCTTATGTGCTTCGTACTTAACCCTTTAAAGCGTTGATCTAAAGCGTTATCGCTCCTTTTAGATTTAGTCCTATTTTATATTGCATCTGTTCCGGAGTCCCTGAAAAACAGAGCAATTGAAAGTTAGCGAAAAATGTAATTTAAAATAGGATCATCATTAGTAAAACGATGATTTTAGGTTCTAGAACGATCTTGGGAAGTAGTCGACAACGTGAACGTTTCCCTGCGTCTCTGGGACACGTTTGGCGACCACGAAAAGGACCGTCGGTTCGCGTACGGCAGGTAACCGCTCGATCGAGAGCTTCCACGACGAATTCGCTATCAAAACGCTGTCTGTACAGATCGGACGTGGTGCTGCTATGTTTCTCCATAACGAATCCCGTCTCGTTGCGGAACTGCAAGGCGATGTGGTACCCGGAAATACGAAGATTCTGTCCTCAGACACCGGTGTTGCTGGTGGGATGTAAGAACGACTTGCGGTACATGTATCGAGATGAAACTTATCTCAGCTACTTTCGCGACCGTAGTCCCTTCGTAAGGTACGTTATCGCTCTCAAATACAAGTTGTGTTTTCGTGTAACATTATCGATGGTTCTTCGACGACGACCCCCTTGGCGAAATGCGTCAAAGTATTGATTTCACGGTCTCCGCAGGCCCTCCTGATCACCCGTTATTTTTACTATTCCTATCGGACGGGGGAAAAAAAGAAATCCCCTGCCCTTTTGTTCAAAGACTCCCAAGTTTGTTTTCACGTCGATGCAGGGCTACACCCTCCGGGTATTTCCAGCTTACGTAACACCGAGTTCCATTTAGCGAACCTTGACGCGCGAAGGTAGGCTCCCGCGGGACTCGAAAAGTTCACCGTGACTTTCAGACAGTATTTCGCGACCGTTCTATAGTTATCCTCGTTCCATAGAGGCGAACTTTGTCGATACAATGTCACACCGATCGCAAACAGGGCGACGAGGAAGAGCGACTTGGTGATGCCCGATCAAGCTCGAGCCGTCGCGAGGGAACTCGGTGTCTGCTACTACGAGACCAGCGTCTTCACGTATTACGGCGTCAACGAAGTCTTCGAGAACTCGATACGCGCCGCCCTCATCGCGCGCCGGCAGCAACGATTCTGGATGACGAACCTCAAGAGAGTACAGAGGCCGCTGCTTCAGGTAGAAAATAGTCGGGTCAAGCTCGATTGTCCTCTTCGAGATCTCCTTCGAGATGAGAACTTTAATGTAGCGTCCAGTCTCTTCATCATAAGCCAAAATACATTCCTTCTTACTGTTCCTCTTCTCTCAGATTTAAAGTTGCCCGCGTAAGTCTTCATCTATGACACTCAGCGTATCTATAGGGAAAAGATTAATAAGTCCAGAAACCAGGTATTCTTCGTTTATAAAATCTATGTTTCATTCTTTTTGACGGGGTAAGCTTGAGCGTACCACGCGAATAAGCTGAAACTGTAATGTCTGACCTACCTAGCTTGACTCTCTAAGACACACTCGACCCGGTGAAGGTTAATTTGCCTGAGTACTCTATCGCTGGACTGTTCTCGCAGGCACCGTTTTGTCCGCCGAAACCCGTGCCGCCGGAAGTATGTCTCGCGACAAGCACCTACGAGGAGAACATGAAAACGCTGTGGATGAAGCCTGTTCACACCGACGTGACTCTGATAGCCGGGAACTGCACGTTCTCGACGCATCGGTGTTTGCTGGCCGCGGCGTCCCCGGCGTTTCATCGGCTCTTCACGATGGAGCTCGTTCAGGAACAGACGCCCAGGAGTTCCAGCGAGTCTAGCATGGTATCCTCCCCGATTCCTCCTAATTGGGCTACGTGTATCATTCCCCTGTCTAACAACGTGCCTTTTGCATTCTCTCTTCAAGGTGAGCACGTTCGGCGAAGCGACGGTCGGCGACTTCAACGACGACACCGAGTGCCTGATTCGTATCGATCAATCTAAACCCGCAAAGTGAGTTTATCCGACAAATCTGTGCAAAGCCTTGAAACACAGACGCACCATAGCGTCTAGATACTTTTACATTTCTGGTAACGTTGTTGAAACGATGTCTGACAGAGTTTGGGAACAACTTAAGCGGCGTTCGAGCTTCCAAGTGCTACCCACGATGGATAACCAAAGGAAATCGGCCGGGGCGACCAGGGAACTCAATCATCCTGCCTTCCAGAACATCCGTGTATGTCTGGTGAGAATCTTCTTCCTGTATATGGTACCCCGTAACAGCAGAAAATCAGTGGATCTCTAAAACCAAACGGGATAGTTTTAAGTAATTTTTAATAGAGCCATCTTGCTAATTCTTTTCTTAACTCGGTGGTTACAGACCGAAAGCACAAACGGTGTCCAGCAACCAACGACCGTGGTGACGCTGTCGAAGCTGATCACGCCACAGGCTATGCAGCAGTGTTTGCAGTTCATTTATACGGGCAGCTTGGATAAACGGTACCACGATCTGCAAGTAAGTTTCCATTAAATTTTCTACAGGGTCAAGCACACCCTACATCCATTCTTGTCTTGGTTGACGCTCGATCACGTACATTTGTATCTGACGGTATATGCAAACGAATGGAGAGGAAAGCTAATCTTTTTTTAGGAAATTAAATCGATCCTACTAACGGTTGCAAATAGAAAAAGTAAGAACATTGCAAAGCTGTGCGAATTTTTTTTATCCAAAGTTATACAGTAAATACTTATTTCTTTCTTTTTTTTTTTTTACAAAGTAAGCGTTCATTCTTTTCTTAATCGAGTCTCGTCTGTGCACATAATAGCGAATATTCATTGCTTAAGTCTCATGAGTTTAAGCACGGTGCTATCAGTGCGTTACACGGCAATTAACGCGGCTCTATTCTTTCAGACAGCTCCTATCGGGCTTCTACTGGTTAGTACAATGTGAAATACGTTTGCTGACACCAGGCACACACACATGCACGCACATATTAGTGGCATATAGTCGCAAAGGGCGTTCACGCTACGACAAAAGCGATACATCATCCGAGTAGTAAATGTATTTTCATGGGTGCATGGAATCGGTTCGAATTGAATTGTTCATTCGGTGGTTTATAATTCTCGTCGACGCGGAGTAGGAGACCCGACTTAAAAGAATACTTCCATATCGATCAGCACATATTCGTCCCGGTTTGTACAAAATGATTCTACCCGTTTCTCGCTCGCAGGAAATTAGACAAGCGGCCGAGTTCTTGGAGCTGCTGCAGCTGTTGATGGTGCTGGGAAGTCTGCAAACGAGAGACCAGTTCAACAGCGATCTCAACTATCGGTACAAGCAAGTGGTGAGGCAACGACTGGAAAACATTTGCCTGGAACAAGGTAAACAGTTGTTAAAATTGAATTAAAGATAAAAAAATCTTGGCTGATCGTTATTTATCGGTTGAAACTTCAAACACCTAGGGCTATTTGCTGACGTGGTGTTCGACCTGGACGATGGAAGCGTACCGGCCCACAAAGCGATTCTCACTGCCCGATGCGATGTAATGAAGGCCATGTTCTCCGGCGATTTCCGCGAAAGTAGCGCAAAAGTGGTAAGTATCCAATAGATTCCGATCTAGGACTGACTTCTACATTCCAATATCCCGCTAACAGATAGTATTTCCTGGCGTACGCGAATACACGTTCCACAAACTGCTGTGCTATCTCTACACCGACGAGGTGCCAGCAATCTCCTCCGCCAGATGCTTGAACCTCTTGGAATTGGCGAATCGTCTCTGTTTGCAACGGCTGGTGAATTTGGTAGAAAGCAGAGTGATCGAGGATCTCGAGAGGCTGTCGCAGAACGAAGGAAACGAGGCCGTGGAGAACTGCCTGAGGCTACTGGAACCGTGCAAGGTCGGCTCATCCTTCGATCACCCGCAGATACTCGATACGATTCTCTGTTTGCTCATTCTGTGTTTTGCGTGTCGCAGTTGCACAATGCCGACCAACTCGCTGACTGGTGCATGAACCACTTGTGCGTGAACTACAACAAGCTGTGCAAGATGTCTCCACGAAGCGTCAGGCTTCTTCATCCGGAGAACCAGGAGTACCTCAACGAGCATCGGTGGCCTCCAGTCTGGTACGCGACTAGTCAATGAATGGCAATAGTTGTCTCTGAAACAGAAAGGCAAATTATTAGGTCGATCGGAAAGTTCCGTTCGTTTTTTTGCGAAAAGTAAAGGTTTATTTAAGGAACAATACGAGGAAGTACATTAATCAAAATATTGTCCATCATTGGCGATGACTATCCAATCAGAGATCCATTTTTTGACATCTTCATATGTATCGAAGCATTCCTCAGCAAGTGCGTGTGCCATTGACTGACACAAGTGGTAATCAAAAGGGGTATAGTCTGGCGAATAAGGCGCATGAGGGTAGCACTTCCCAGCAAAGTGTTTTTAACGTTTCTTTGACAATTTTTGTTTTTTTATGCTGTCTCGTTTCATATTCTGGTCGTTTTTCGTGCAGTGCTCGGCTCAAGTGTATAATTTGTTCTCTGTAGAGATCTCCTGTGACTGTTTGATCAGATTTTATCAACTCATGGTATACTATACCTTTTTGATACCACCAAATATACGGTAAAGCCTTCATTCCGTGGATATTCCGCTTTGGCGTCGATTTTGAAGGTTGGCCTGGATCACAAATGGTTTTCCGATGTTTGGGGTTGTCAAAACATATCCATTTTTCATCCCCTGTGATGATACGGCGCAGAAACCCCTTTCTTCTTCATCTACCAAGCAGATGGTTGTTTGCTTTTCAATGTTTCTTGGCTCGAGTTCATATGGGACCCACTTTCCTTCCTTGTAGACCTTCCCCGTGGCTTTTAAATGATCAGAAATGACAGATCAAGCATATGATAAAATATATTCATATACTTTTATGCACTGAATTGTATTGAAAGATGTCAAAAGTGAAAAATTAACTTCTCCTTAGACGTTACGATTAACGACAGTTCTAGCTTCGGCTACTCGACACCAAATGGACGAAACTTTCCGATTAACCTAATAGCATAGTGTACCGAGATGTTTCCTGTTCGACAGGTACTTAAAGGACTACGATTATTACCAGAAGTGTCTCGCGGAACGAGACCGCGAGAACAAGCCTACGCTGAAGAGGAATCGCAATCAATCCGGTTGCCTGTGCTTCTCCGGCTCGAGCAAAACGAGAAGGGAGAGCTCCGCGAACGGCGGTACAGCGTCGTCGGCGTCGAACGACGCACAAGCCGAACGACCTCTGTTCGACGCGTCGATAGAATCGGGTGAACAGGTCGTATGACAAGAGCCAAGCGGCTTAAGCCGCTCCGTCAGATTCATTCTGATTCTACCCGTGCTCATGGTCTTCATATGCACCATTTTTACTATTTTGATACTCCTACAGATTTATACTTAAGGAACGTTCAACGCCGACAAAACGATCTATGCACACGATTACACAGATAAGTGTACCACGCGGATCCCCTGTACTTCGAACAGGCCACGCGTTATCAATCTTTCTCGTACGCGACAACACCGAGCGTTTCTGTTCCGCGTACACGTTTTTAGTTTCCGAACAAGTCCAATCGTTTCAGGTGTAGGTTTTCTAAGAGCAAGCGATACGAACTGTTCCGGGAAATTGGTGTATTTTTTCTACGGGAAAATCTTCGATCGGAGTATGCGTTGATCCGACTTCGCGTCGTCGTTGGGTGAGCCTGTTATAAAGATACACGCTGTATCTTTCGGAGGGACTTCCTGTAGGCGTCCATCGTTTCTGAACGAAACAAAGCTGGTGCCTTGTGTTAACGACGCGTCTTTGCCACTGAAGAACCTCGATCTGTCACGGTGGTCACCTGAAAAAGTTTTATTTTTTCGTCACGCACGATGCAAATTTCATTTTTTCGAACAATATGGCAGTTTATAATGTTCCAGACTTTTTAGCGTAAACCGTGCATCGACGTTGAAAAGTCTCGAACAGTACTGACTGTTTTGGTAGCTATTGTCATTTTTAATTCCCTCTGTCTACAGTTTACAATTGGTTCTACGAAAACCTTGTTTATATTAAAATGGGAACGTGAAATGAGATAATGATGAAAATTAAATTGAATTCGGAACGTGTAACTGGAAGAAAACATTTCCATCGGACGATCAAAATCGCCCGGTATCTTTTATCGATGCGTGTTAGACTGAAGAAAACGAGCAATAGCTTTAGTCGACGGTAGCGCGTTAAGAATAATTATAATAAACGGTTTATACAGGGTGCTCGGCCACTCTTGGGTAAAATTTCAATGGGGGATTTTAGAGGGCAAAATAAGACGAAAATCAAGAATATTAATTTCTTAACTGAGGCGTCGTTAAAAAGTTATTAACAATTAAATTGAAAAATTTCAAATCGTTCTGGAAAAATTATTGTCGGTTGCAGGAGTCAATTACAATCATTTTTGGTGAATAGACATACCCCCGAAATCCTACCCAGTTTCTAGAAAAAAATTCGAGTAGGTACTGAACTTTTTAGATGAAATTAAAATATTTAAAATCACACTAAAAAAATTATATTTAGTTACAGGGGTCAATTACAATCATTTTTGGTCATTACACATATCCCCGAAATCCTACGCACTTTCGAGAAAAAAATTCCTTACCGAAAATCTAATTGCCTAAATTTTTCGACGAAAAAAAAAAATTCAAATCGTTCTGGAAAAATTATTTTCGGTTGCGGGGGTCGATTACAATTATTTTTGGTGAATAGACATACTCCCGAAATCCTACCCACTTTCTAGAAAAAAATTCGAGAAAGTGTGAAATTTTTCGACGGAAAAAAAAATTTCAAATCGTTTTAAAAAAATTATTTTCGGTTGCAGGGGTCAATTGCAATTATTTTTGGTGAATAGACATATCCCCGAAATCCTACGCAGTTTCGAGAAAAAAATTCAATAGATGGACAAGTTTTTCGACAAAATTGAAAAATTTCAAATCATTCTAAAAAAATTATTTTCAGTTGCAGGAGTCGATTATAATAATTTTTGGTGAATAGACATACTTCCGAAATCCTACCCATTTTCCAGAAAAAAATTCGAATAGGTAATGAGATTTTCCAACGAAATTAAAAAGTTTCAAATCGTTTTAAAAAAATTATTTTCGATTGCGGGGATCGATTACAATAATTTTTGGTAAATACACATACCCCTAAATTCCTACCCACTTTCTAGAAAAAAATTCAGTACGAACGGAACTTTAAACGTTAATAACTTTTTAACGAAGCCTCCATCAATAAATTGGTATTCTTGATTTTCGTCTTATTTTGGCCTCTAGAATCTCCCATTAAAATTTTTTCCAGTGGTGGTCGAACACCCTGTATAGTCGTGTAAGAAATAAGACGTCGTACATGTAAATAATATACCAGGCGAGCCGTACTGTTACGATTAAACGGGATGCGGATTTTTACATCGTTTGCGCAGTATCCGAGGACGGGCCCTTGCTTTAACCCTACTCAGTTTCCCTTCCACGAGCGAGGTTACAGTTCCTTCGTGGTGCAAGGAGAGCATTCTCGTATTTGTACCATTTTGTAACGATCTACGACTACGCGTTATTACTATCGTCAATCGTCGATTATTTTTAAGCGGAGGGGGACACGTGCAGTTCAACCGATCCAGAGGGGGCTGGAGATTTGTCCAATAACAACTGCAACATATCGATCACGGTAATGGGTTACTGCTAGAATTACTAATCACAATCGCGTCGTAATAATAATTATCTGATTAACGAAAGGGAGAGTGAGCGTGAAAGAATCGATTATATTTGGAACAAGTATTGTTATACGTATCTAATGTCGATAGAATATTTGTAGTAGAGCGACGCTTTATCAGAGTGAATTCTCGCGTACCTAATTACACATTTTTCCCGGCGACTTGTACTTCGTAAGTGCACAAATTGATCCCCAGGGCGTCCGAAGAAACGTAACCTCGCTTCGTGATCGCACCTACGAAGTCTTCGGGCAAACACGAACCCACTGATAATTAAATACATATTAACGATCGGTATTAAAAGTCATTTAATAATTTCATGTTCATTAGCTCCATCCTCCTGTCGCGTTACTCGATCGATGCCATTCATTGCGTGCCTGAAACAGTGAGAGAGTGAGACAACGAAAGGAGAGATATATGATTTAGCTAGAGACAGGAGCGTGATACACGCTGTACACACCTACGCATTGTCATAAGTAATTTTAACCTTATATTCTTGTATACGAACCACATCACGTTCGCGCGCATAGCGATGTATTCCTGCTCGCAGATTTTCCAGCTATTTAGTCGTTAGGAACGTACGAGTCGCTCCACCTATCGTTCGTATTTTAAAACTGGTTAGAATATCTGTAACATTGGAATATCTTTGTACTAAAAATTCTTTCGTCGTAACGTTCGAGGTGAACTCGAATCGTTTCGACACCCCATCGCTAGATTCGCGCGTCGAACGTACCGAATAACGAACAAAATAATGAACGTATACAATTGTTAAGATACGCTACTGCCCGATCTGTAGAAAATTCTGTGACGGAAACGACGTACTGCAGAATGTCTGTTCCGGCGAAGGGTGAGAATAACGTCCCACTTGTACGCTACGTCAATTTCAATGTCAATGTTATCCTTCGTCGCTCGTAAATGTATATTTTCTACTGACTTGGTAAGAGTAGAGTTAAGGATACAGCCGTGTGTACGAACGCATACATATACATATACATATAGAACGATAGGGAGTAAAACAATGTTTACCTTCCACGCGCATTTTAATCGTCAGTTGTTGTGAATGAAGTTAAGTTAAATACTTGTCCACGCGTAAGAGGCATTTGCGGGCGACAAAAGTCCCCTTTTCACGTTCTTTCGATGCGGAGTTCTATGTATAAAATATCGTACGTGAAAGAATAGAGGTGTCCTCGTACCGTCGTATTTTCCAAGGAAAAAGAAAGGATTTCTCTGCCACCTCCGAAGTACTTAGATGCATTTTGTTTGCGTTTCTGTGTTTTAAATTTCGACACTTTAGCACTACCACGCTCGCAAGGCCTCCGAACCTAAACCGTGAATGCTTGTTGCGATTGCGACCTCTCTATCGAATCGTTGCAAACTGATCGATCCGTAGAAAGTACTTGCGATCTGTTTTACCGTCACGATCGATAATAAGTAACTTTGGTCGTGTTAACAGTTTAAACATAGATATCGGTTAAGAAAATTATAAACTTATCAATGCATATTACAACGTTCCGTATCGGCAAACGAAAAGTTTAAATATAAACGAACGAGAAATATTTATCGCGATGATAAAATTTGATTATTTTCGATCAACGTGCCGTTATCACACTCGAATTGAAATCAAGATTTGCGAGCACACGTTTACGTTCTTAATTCCAAACTATTTCGCATATTTAATTATTTTGCGAACACACTTTCAAATTCCAACATTCGAACGTTGATCGTTAAACGTGTCGTAATTTAACAGACACATGATAGACAACAAACGATTAGTACTATGTATCGGACTTTAATAACGTCCAATTTTATAATTATGTATTTTTAAGGATTGCGTTCCAAGATATTTTCAATGTCTCGCAGAATGAAATTAAAAACACATCAAAGCGATTGTTCGGAAAGTCTCGACCGACGATCTAAACCCGATTTTCGGATATCTTCGCGATCATTGATCGAGATTACAACAACATTTATGTCAGATTTAATTTTACCCGCCTAAAATAAACGCAAAGCTGTTGTATATACGTATGTATGCATGCCGCTTCGAGAAATATGATTTTTATCTTGAGCTACATTTTAATATTCTATTTTCAAATGCACAGGCGATAAATAAAGGTAATTTTTAATTAACTTCGCATAGAAATTGTGTTGGAAAATCAACTGCGTATTTTCCTAATACATACTACATTCCGTTTTACCTCTCGATGCTAAAAAATAAGAACGTTTAATAATTGCAGTTAATTTTCGAACACAATCGTGTAATGTGTACTTTATTCCAAATCAGAAATGTCTTCTGAACTGCAATCGTACAATATTTTAAATCTTTATAGTATTTTTACTTCGTTTTAGCTTATTTAAATATACTATCGAGGAAGAGAATCGTATAAAAGATGTAATAATGTGTATAACTTGCGAATCAAAGTTTGACGAAACTCAGGCATTGCACAAAATGTCTGACTCGATGTTTGTTTAATGGCAAATTCATGTACCCTATTTGCGATGCGACCAAAGGCACACAGTAGCAGGTATAACACTATAAAGGTGCCGATAGGGTCGTCATTGCAGATTTTATTTCATCGTAGAGATCTTTATAGTCTTCGTGTTCTTTTATGAGAACCATGAGACTTCCTCTTTTCACACCCATTGCACTTCCAATATCTTGCCTCGAAGGAGTGTAACAATACGGAATGTTCTTGTCCTCGCAAACAACAGGTAAGTGGCACATAATTTCTATAGGAAAAACATCTCCAGCGAAGATAACCAACCTATTAAAAAATAAGGGTACGTCGTATAAAAATGTTTCGAAATGTAATATATTAATAAAAATATAACTAAAAATTTAATTCACCCATGTTCTCCTTTACGAAGGTGCTTCTGAACATCTTTTAGTCCATTTCGAAGATAGGTCTTCTGCTTTGACGCTGAAAAGGTTATGTTTGCAAATTAGAAATGTTACGAACATTTTACAAAGAAACTTCAGCGCAAAAATAACATTTTTTTAAACATTTTTTAAATTATAACGCAATCACCTTTTCTTATACACTTGTAAATCTTCTTTGTTAATTTTTTCGGAGCCATAGGTTTGGCTATGGTATTTATGTACTTTAATTTATCTTCGTAACTGATTTCTGTTGAATCTGCACCATTGCCTTCCTTTACACTATCGTCTAATTCCATTTTAATCGGCGTTTTCTCCATTTTATCAAACAACAGCGACTATTTTAGATAGAAACCTTCTTTTATTTCGTCCACGTGCTTTTGTATTCCATCTACAGAATCGACGAACGCGATCAACGCTAACCTAACTTAAACTGAACGGAGGAAACTGTGTACAGGGTCTCTATCAACAGAGTAGGTTATGGACGTTTGATTTTTAAATAAAAATAATACGTGCATTTGGCGTGGATCGATTTAACATTGTAATCTTTTCTAAAGAATGTTGTTGCTTGTGTCTTTACGTTAGAGAAATGCTATTCAATTTCTGTGATCCGCGTTTACGGCCAGAAATCGAGTGTAGTACTGTCAGTACAGAAGGACATGAAGTCTCAAACTTGATAAACGAGTCTGACAAAGGTTTCTTGGCATATGCTTGCATTAAACCGCCCGTCAACATTGACATTAGTTTCCTCTGTAACGTATCCATCAATCATATTTTGATTTGGCCGCATGTTGGTTCCCAAAAGTCATCGGGCTTTCAATTATATGCCAAAACGAGTAATGACAACAGTGTACCTTATTCTTTATTGGGTAGTGGATTTTTAGACCACTCAAATGCCGGACTGCTATTCTGTTCATCGAACGTTAATCACGAAACGATTTCTGTTCCTCAAAATTTTCTGAAACTACATATAAAACCTTCTCTGAGATATTTAACGACGTATTTAAGTAATTTAAGAGTATGTATATGCAAGACAGAAAACTCTGTACCTGCGTTAGGTAAAATTGAAGTATGGGGAACTGTATCGCCACGTTGTGGGAAAGATACGGTGGCTAGTATTTGTACTCTGTGGTCCAAACAACAATCTTTTGTATCCGAGACTATAGATACAAATGATTCATCTATAAAAAGTCCTAAGCAGACTGAACAATCTGTTACTGTTGCGACTGACAGGTAAATATAACATCGGCTTTTTATAATGCACACCGCAAATACAACAGTAATCGTTTATTCTACAAATGTGTTGCGATCGTTTTAGGGAGGTGTTGGAATCATCTTTACAAATTCCAGAGTCCTTCTTAGATGCCATTACTTGGGAAATTATGACACAGCCCATACTGTTGCCCAGTGGAAAGATAATTGATCAAACTACGTTACAAAAGTACGAGGAAACCGAAGCATTGTGGGGAAGACGTCTGTCAGATCCTTTTACTAGTATGCCATTCAGCGAAGATCGTAAACCTGTTATAGCAACTGCTCTAAAAATAAGAATAGACAAATTTCTACTTGAGAACAGTAATGCGGACGAGATAAAGAAACTGCCAAGAGTTTTAGGTCACGCGTTATCTTCAAGTATCGCTGATAAAAAAGTATCAAATGTTCCTAAATATTTGTTGAAGCAAAATGTGTCGAATAAAACTTCAAACGACAATAAACCAAAGTTGCACTGTTCCGTAACAAATACTCAAGAGAATAAGATGTTTTGTCATAAACTGCCAATTGTTGTAATGCCAAATAAACGAAGTGCTTCTACTTTAACTAAACCGATAAAAAAAAGAAAAACTGTTAATTCTTGTGTATCGGTATATCAAATGGGATCTGAAACAAAAAGTGATAGCTCTACCGATGTAGTAAATTTAAATGTTAATGATAGCGCGAATTATGCCACAAATTCTACATTAAATACTTGTATTTGTTGCGTCGATGGAATATTTTATAAATTACCGTGCAAACATGTATTATGTAGAAAAGTCTTGACATCTATCAAAGATAATCAGTGCTCATCGTGTGGCATGTCTTATAGAAACAGCGAAATAGAACGTATTTATGAATGAATTAAATTATATAGATACACAGAATGATAAACATGAGATTCTCTTGGATCAGTTAAATCCTTATATTATTTGTGAGTGTTTTACATTAAATATTGTAAATAAAATGTACTAATAATTTTTAATAAATATATAAAATCTTTTACAATTTATTGCATTGTAATTACGAACTACTAAGTTTACGTATACCCAAACTTCTAGTAAATAATAAGCATGTATAACAATTAAATTACATTCAATTGTACTCCGAAGTCACAGAATATTTTCCCTTTACCAAATATTTTCTATATTACAAGTCTTTCGTATGTTATTTATAATTAATCTGTAAAATTGCACAGAATATATGTAAATCAAATGCAACATTGTTTATTCATTACTCTTGAATTTATATAAATACTTAATGCAGCTTGTTTACCATATGTACAATATATATTGTCCGGTAAATAAAGGACATGGAAATTTCTTTAATGTACACATTTTTTTGTATAAAAAATTGAAAAAGCATGTCTTTAGATATGAACGATTCTCGAATTGTGCATATTGTCATTAATTCCGTGTATAAAAACACATTTAGGATGTAATTCATAAATTTAAAAATCATCTATCGTATATCATTCGGATTAATTAAATTAAAAAATGTTAGTATGTACACAAACCTCAAGCAACCAGGATGTGTTTCGCGTATTGATCTTGATCAACAAATTTTTTAATTCAAAGCGTAATACTGATTTATCACTTTCCATTATCCAAAAATATTAATTATCCAATCCACCAGCGGATGCGTAAAATTAATCTAGCTTGTTGAAATTATTTGTTACAGTACTCTAAATCCGCTACCTTGACTTTGTCGTTTAGCGATGTTAAACAACGATAATAAATAATTACGCGAATCTGGAGAAACATAAAATGTAAGAGTACGGTCTGAATGAGGTGTAGCGTTCTCAAAAATATCAGATTGTCCATCACTGTTCGTGGAGACACTGGCTAACCCTGTACTACTAGTTCTCACGTATTCCGCTACTCGTGCTCGCATTTCTTGATCCATCTGTCGATAGAGAATTTCCAATAAGGAATGTACATATATGTATTACTTTTAGAATTAAGTAACAAAAGATAAACTGGACCTCATATGCGGCAGGTGATACGGGTCTGTTTGTTTGCGTCGTCTCAGGAGTACAGTACAAACATATTGTCGAATCAAGATGGTGGTCAGCACTGGTTAAGTCTTTCAATAAAAATATTCGCTCTACACTATCTTCGGCCACGTTAACTAGCAATAGTGCATGCCTCGTTAGAACTAATGTTATGGCACGATTACTGCCTTGTTGAATCACATAATCTGCATTGGTAACATGCAAAATATTGCCATGATTATTTTCAAGCAAGGGTAACAACCACCAAGCATATCTGATAGATGCACTATTATTGCCAGTTGTATATTGGACCACGGGTCGTTGTCGTGGCTGTAAAAATATAATGATCATTAATTTATTTCATTGATGTTGCTCAATAGCATTTCATTTCCGAGAACTGTTTACCGAGGGTAATGAATTCCAACCAGCACCCTGAAGTAGCCCTTGTCCAGTCAATGCAACTAATTCTGCAGCTCCGCTTAATGGTTTTGTAACCACTCCTACCAATCCAAGTCCAACGCCAGTTACAAGACTTTTGGTTGTCATTTCTCCTGACAAAACTTGTTGCAAGGGATGATGAGCAAGACCAGCCACCGCGGCTAAATAAGTGATATTAAATATGGTTATTATAAAAATACTGAACTGAAACGGTATTCCTGCATACCGAGAACGCTCATCCCGAGGCCGGATAAGCCTTGATAAAGTCCTTGCGCCATGCCTTGAGGTCGCATTCTTCTAGACTCCTCTTGTCTTTGCAAATGCTCTTCATCGAGCGTCAGACGATCTAAATTTCGTGCTACGCTGGACGCTAATTTCGTTACGGAATTTAGAGTACCTGTGTAACATTATTATATATATTTTTTATTTAACAAAACACTGCGCAGGTATGTACACACGTTTCAATGTAAGTTTTTAATCTTGATACCTGCTGTAACGTGTCTCATTAAACTGGCTGAACCGTGTGTTATTCCAACGATAAACCCCCATGGTCCTTGCAACAAACCTTGAAACGGAAGAGAAATAAAATCTCTAAGCCCCGAACCAAGAGCTTGCGCCAAACTTCCTGGCGAACCTAATATCTCTAAAGACCCGACTACCCAACCTGAAATATAAGCAATTTAAAATATTAAGATTTCAAGCTTATATTATTAGTAAATATTAGTTTGATATCTTTATACCTGCTCCAAATATCGCACCAGATAAATAATGCATTGTAAGTGCATTACCAAGCCTGTACGGTGTTGTCAAAACATTCTTTTTCTCAAATGTACCAAAGTATAGGGGTGAATGATCCAAAGCCACGTATAAGCGTACAGAAGTATGAACGCTTAGTAAGATAGATACGGGTTCTATTTTCAAATTCTGTAGCCTTAACGGAGCACTTAATATTTTTGTATCGACCATTATGTAATCGGGTATGCACACTCCAGTAGTTGAAATTAACGTCTGCGTTTTTCTTACATCATCTGGTATTAAAAATCTTGGTGGTACCATTGAAGTTGCATAAGTTAATAATTGAGCTATATACGTATCTTCGATGTAGGCACTAATCGGTGCAATTTTTAAATAAAGCTCTTTCGATGCTATAAACACATTATTAAAGAGAAATTAGTACACGTAATAAGCACGAAATAAATCAAAAATTTAAACTTACTGTTAAATACCTCTTAAATATCCCTGTTTCTCCAAAACGTAATCAATCGCTATCAAAGAGTTTTCTCTGATTTGTTCTAGCTTATTTATTAAACAATTGTTTATATAATATCCCGCTCCTTTCGTAACGAGTGGGCTTTGACTTATCAACACTACTGGGAAATCAAAACCTCCTTGATCAAATAATTGATTATCCAATTGTAAATCACCTATAAAAGTGCATAAGTTGACGATTTTAGACCTTGTAGTTGCAGTAACTATGACATCGGTCATGGATAAACTAGCGACTTCGATCCTTTGTGCATTTTCATTCATGTCGTGCATAAGGACAATGGTAACTCCACGAAGACAAACGGTTGCTGAGCCCTCTTTAGAATTGCTCTCTTCGATGGCCTTTGTGTCATCGATCGTATTAGTTTTTACATTGTCTATGTTTGTAATTAATTGTCGCAAATTTATTTGCGAAGGAGATGTAACTTCTAACATTGCAGTGTCATCTTGAGCCGAGAAGAAAGTCGTTATCGACGTTGAGCTATCAGAATTCTGTACATTTATCGTTGTTCTATCGTCCTCTGTCTGATCAGCAAACGTACTGTTTAGCATTTCTACATCTTTCGTATCATTCTCCTTGCGTACAAGTCGACTTCTAATATCTCGCGCTGATACTTCCACTTGTGATATGGGAACAATACTGATAAGTGTGGTATAACAACGATTCTGCATAATCAGCTTTACATCACCGTATGATGGTAGTCGTACATACTGGTCTACCGGTGCACTTGATATCGAAGACAGGTTTATACCCCTGGACCATCGCAGATCTCTGTTTCTCGATGGCTGCTCATTATGATTGTTCGTTACGGCAGAAAATAATAATACATTCGATGCGTTTAGGACAGGTACATCTGGTAATCTGTTACTAACAGATGGGATAGAATAATGGCACGTAGCGTTGCTTTCGATTTCGCAAATCCATGTGAAGTGACAAGTATCTGGTAGTACTTCATCCGCTGTTTCATTGGCCTGCCCCAGTAAAATTTTGAAAGCGCAAGTATTTTCAATTAGCAATTGCGGATGATGATCTATGTGAATCATTATGTACGTTGTACCTTTGTCCTCTTGCGTCGTAATGACTATTGGCATAGTACTAGAGCCATTTGGAATAGCAATACACTTGCGACTCATACCTTGATCGACTCGAATTGGACAAGACCATTTATGTCCTAAACTCAAAGATATGTAAAGAACAAGGGGCTCTACGATGTCTTCCATGTACAAAGTATACCATTGCGTGATAGGCATGCCCTGTTTCTGATCTTCCACAGGTGAAATATTAAGGCTGTAAAGGGTGAGGTCGTTAGGCAGTTCAAGTCTGGTTGCATCTTCGTGCACCGCCAATGTAGCAATGCACAATTCTTGTGGCGTTAAATTACTGATAACGTGACTGCTTCTTATACGTACGAGACGCATATCTTCGTGCATACTTGAATTGATGCTCATGATAGAGACACTTGAACCGCAATCGACACACGTTTTAATATTTCCATCGACAGGAATCAGCCCACCGATTCGTGGCATGTAAAAGCTTTGGCTCCAATCGGGTCGTGCCAGTTGAAGAGCTTGCGATGTATAAAACGTGTCACCAACGCCAACACATAAATGAAACGTACCTTCCAATTTTGGCGGCGTTACGATACCGTAATGAGGGATTTGACAATGTTCGGTATCTTCTGACACAAGAGACAAGTGACATCCCATGGAATTCAACATAAAACACCAAGGTTGCAATTCTAACAGCAATGTGCTCGAGACTAATCCAGCATCTTGATATTTTACTTGCACGTGTGTTTGTGGTTGCTCCGTAGATATCCATTCCTCTATCGCGTCTCCCTGGAAAGGCCATGCCATCTCGTCGCTTTCGCCATTAAGATCCTTTAGAATACTATCGATATCTTCAGTTTCAGGCCTCCTGAAGAACTTTCGTTGATCCACAGAACTATACGACAACGGTACGTATGGATTCGATGTAGAAACTCCGGATTCTAATTGAAACGTCAACTGATGAAAATGTTCAAACGTTCCAGGGCAGTACAATTGTTGTCGTTCGCCACAACCATTTACCATTGTACTTAGGGATATTTTCAACGAGGGCGTATCCATCTGCACTCTGACTGGTACTGGCAAGTGTGATCGAATCATATAAAGTGGGCTGAGCACAGCTAGTATCTTCGTTCTGTCCTGAATGGTCTGCGTCACTATTCGTACCCAAATGCTTAAAAATTGTCCACGTTCCTGCCATGGTACTTTAACTAGCCACGGTTGACCCCACTTAGCATTAGGTTGCAGGGGAATATCTCCTGTCCACGACAGGTTTGGCACGGTGGTAAACCGTAAACGTATTGCCATTTTCTTAGTCCCGTCGAGTATAATGGATGGCGGGCAACTTTTACCAGAAATTAGGTACACATCCTTTAATAGATTTACCTTCGATCCAACGTCAGATTCGTACTTAACCAATTTCATTTCAAAGTTGTCGATCAATTGATTGGAGATTATAAGCTGGCCAGAGAACGTCACGAGCTTTTGCGTGGCAGAGAGCGACGTAACGCTTACAAATGCCGCTGCTTTCGTTGCAGAATTGTTAAATTCGATTGCTTGAATACCATCCGTGCCTACGGAGAATGGTTTGCTCCACAACCAGATATTTTCTTCTATCGCTATTCGTATCATCTTGTTGCCGATATGTCGCCACGAGTAAAAAGTACATTGTCTACTTTCCAACAATATATTGTCTCCCGTACCACTTTGACCAAATAGAATATGTACATTACTGTCATTGGCTATCACATAGCGTGTGAATAAAATCATATTTTTGTTTTCCTCTTCTAAAAATGCAAACCACAAATGAGCCGAAACAGCGAGCGAGTGTGCTATCGTCGGTCCCAGTTTCAACGAGAAGGGACTACATGTTAAAGATACATCTGTTTTGTCCGACAATGACAGCTGAAATCTTGCTTCCAAGGGATCGAGTATTTCTTGCATGTTCAAATGACTATAATCTAATACGTGTACACTGAATATACCACTGATATCGATCAACATCGAACCATCTATCCACCTGTTAAGTACAAAGATAGCTTCCTTGTGCTCCAAGGCCATGAAGCATTGAATTTCAGGTATCGTACCTTTCAGGGTATATTGTTTCAACGGTGGTTGCAAATGATTATACATGTCGTTGTTAACATGATTGTACACGGAGATATGTATGGTGCCGATATTAAGTGCAGCTTGTAGATTCGGTATGATCGAAGAATTGAAGTACGAATCAATACGTAAGCATGCTGCAAGAACACGAGCTGAAATAATCGTTTTGGAAAGTGGTCGATTACTCATCGATAATAAAACTACACGCCATATGCAAGCAACTGCTCGTGCTGGGGCTTTTTCAGGCAGCTTTAAACGGTACGAATCTGTCTCTGACAAATAAAAGTCGATGTAACGCTGATAGGACATGTGGCAATCGCTCCAATACTCAAGAGCGCAAGGTACTTTATCGACATAAGCACTATCAGAATCCAATGTCTAAAATATATAAATTGTTCTCAGTACAAGGTACTGTTCGCATAAAAAACGTATAAATATATATTTTGCTCACTTCGAAGGGAACTGGTGATACATGTATTCGTGTCAACGTCCTTGGTTGTGGATATCTCCAAGCCATTGATTGTTGAGGGTAGGTAAAAAATATTACCTGAATTAAACAATATATCAGGAAATGTATTTACTTCTTAAAACTCCTCTTTCTGATACTAAAGTTAATGGTAGAAGCTATAAAATTACTGCTGAACTTACTTGATATGGGAAAGGTAGTTCGTCTGCATTACCGTTCACAAATTGAAATGCGCCTGCTTTAAGATCATCTTTATAATGTTGCTCGGTAGACAGTACAATTTGTTTCTCATTAGTTTTACATTTTGATGGGGACGTTGTCAATTCATTTAACAGCAATTGACAGTCGTCCATAACGTTCTTTAGAATTTTTAGGTGCTCTGGTCCGAAGTCTAAATAAAGACCATCGCTGTCTGCCTGTATTTGTACTTGGGTAACAGAGTCAGCATTTTGCCAAGGCTCCCAAAGCAAACAAACCGTAATATTGCAACACCATGGATTTAAGAAAACCTTTATACATTCATTGAGAATTGCTGATACGATTAAAGAATCTATGGCAGTGTTCGAGTATATTCTATCAGGCCTAAGAAGAGTCGAAATACTTCCGGATAATAAAGCTAAACTAATTATTATTTCTGCGCCAGAATCAGTCTTGAGAGACAATACTATTTGCTTTGTACATATATTTAAATCAGGCCAATTCAATTTTCTTGGTTTCGATACTGAGGATACCTTTGTATCGTTAAACTGTTCCGTTGATGTTGTTTCGTGTAGATGCATAAAACACGATAATATCTGGCGATAAATAAAAATGTCGATTAATTACGTCGATAACAGACACTCTAGAGTATCACATGATTTGTTACCTTCTTTTGCATAGCATATATCTGGTTTAGTCTTGACAAAGAGAAATAAACTTTTGTAGGTCTACCCATATCTATTGAGAATTGCGGATTTTTTCCTAAAGTTCTCTCATATTTCATTGTCACAAAAGATGGGGGAATGCCTGTGTCTGGATGTAGATCGCCATTTTTCGTTTCGATCATGAGAACTTTGAAATTCTTTTCTGTTGGTATTGAAATTAATTCTTGATTTTCCTTTTCTCCCAGTGCCATGGACATATCAAAACACGATATCTAAAACAGTATAGATTTTCATTAAAAAAAGTTTCTTAAAGAGCTATTTTACCGTTATTTAAAAGTTAGTGTACTTGAATTTTTTGCAACGGATGCTGTTGTGAAAAATAAATATTTGGTTGATTGACCATTATGTAAAATAGCGGTTGTTTCTGAGTTTCACTCTCATCCTCTTCAATTTCATTTATGTCCTGTGTGAATTTTATACTTGACGTCAGTTTTCAAACATAATTATTAATAAGAGACAATTCTTGTTAAATAATTACTTACAACTTCGTATTCTGTACTTGCTTTTTGGATATCGTAAAGTACAAATGTTATTTTGCCACAATTTACTAAAAATTCAAACGGCAAAAGTATAGAAGTCTCTTGATGCGTAGGCTTACCCTAATAGAAAACCATTGCATTTAATAAAATATATTTCATCGTACGAATGAATAAATTTATATTTACAAACAAAACTAACTATAATCGTCGAATTCACGCTAGATGTTTCAAAGTCAATGCCGCTATCCTTCGTAAAATCAACATCGACATCGTCGGAAGATTGCTTCGTCCAAGTAATTTGTTTCATACTTCCTACAGTCGATGAACTTTTATGAGGTGTATTAGTGGATGCAGTTGCATTTTTGTGTTGTTCAAAATTTCCCAGAAACAAGTTCTTTAATTCATTATTTAAGATTGAAATTAACTGAATTTGATCTAAATTTATTGTCACTTCGATATCCATGATACAATTCACTTCAACGGCACTTCCACACACTGTTATATCCGGTTTAAATAAAACGGGTGGAGCAATAATCAAGCACAAATCAAACCTATAATACACATTTGTATTAATAATTTTATAACACGAATAACCAATTCGCTGCATCATTTAAGTATCACGTACTTTGATAATAAAGGTAACATGGAAAACTGTTGTTCCAAACTACTCCCGTGGCCAAGTTTGTTCCATTCTAATGCAGGATTTTCATTCATAGTATAAAGATAAGATTGCGACATTTTCTGAAAATAATTAATATCGTATTTCTTAAATGTCTAATTTTAAACCAAATATGACTTCAACGCACCTTGTTGATACTCATTTGATAATTTTTCCAAGTAGTCGTATGAGCACATATGCTTTTTATATTAATTTGATATTGTCGATCTTCTACAGCGGAACCTGGTATGCTTAAAATATTTGCCTGAGCCGCCAGTTGATATATATCTAATCTCAAAGGAGTTCTACAAATTGGATTTTCCGCGTGAGGCGTGATGCGAATTCCATCGAACTGCAATATCAATAAAATGGTTTATTTATCAATTGGAAGTATCTACATTTAATACCGGTATTGCATTTTTACAAAGTACATTATTACCTGAAGCATCAATAGATCATGTTGCGGTTTGAATTTCATTATATTCGAGGCTGGCAACATTAATCTAAGCCCTTTGAAATCCAGATATATCAATGGTAAAGACTCGTTATCAAGACTAGCAACGCTGGCTAAATGTGGTGTTAAATTTTGTTCGAAAGTTTCAGCTGAATCTTTCTCAGACGATTGATAGAAAAAAGTAAACGGCTTTAATAGTTGTATATATTTGCTGACTATAGTAAGCGGAAGAATTACATCCACCATTTGCATTTTCACAACTACTTCCGAAATATAGCTATTAGCAGATAATGTAGCTTCTGTCATTACATCTTTCTAAAAGGTTAAAAGTAAATGGAATAAACTAAAAGTATTATTAACCGTACCGCTAAATATTAAATACCTTCTGAGTTCTGTGTCGTTTATAGGTACCCCATCGTGTATGAACGTTTCCTGACTTTGCTCTAGTGAGGGTGAAACTTAGAAACCCGGAATCATCATCTTTCTCTGAACTATCCTCCCTTCCACAAAGTATCGCGCCTACATACTCACCGATATCCCAAGTCGGCGAATTCAGTGCTCTGTCAACGATTACTTCAATCAATTTGTCGCGTTACTATTATACAAATCATTTACTCGAGTAATTATATACCTAGTGTAATGGAATATGGTGGCTGTTGTAATTTTACTTTTCAATTTAAGATAGACAGGTTGTAAGTCCAAAGAAGTAATAATATCTTCTAATTCGAGGACCAATTTTAACGATGAAGCATTTTCTTTTTCCGTGACATATAATTTAACTGCTATCTTTGTTATAGTCCATTGGATCCATGCCGATAAAACTAATTCATCCGTTTCTATAATAAAATAAAGTATCGCTTATAAAATTGAACAAAAAATGAATTTATTTATAATGTACCTTGCGTAATGTCATCTTTTGAGGTGGAAACAGTTGAGTTTGTAGTTGTATCTTCGGGGTAAAGTAATTGCGTTGGAGTAGATGGAGTTTGTGGTATGATAGGCAAAACTATTTGTGCTTCTGTGTTTATTTGATTACTAGCCACAACATTTTTGTTCGAACTGGCTGAAACTCGCAATACGCTTAACACGTTTGAAATTATTTTGTTCACGAAAACTACCTAAAGTAAAAATATTTTATAAGATTATAGAATAATGATTATAATTATTTGAAATGCTTTCGTTACAATACCTGTTCTTCGGAGATAGAAATGATAATAGGAGAATTGTCGATGTGAACGCAAACACCTAAACCAGTCAATGTGTTCCCTCCTCCTGATTGGGATGTTGTGACTTTGGTTGTAAGAGCAACTGTAGCATTCAATGACACTTTTTTAATGAAATTCTTTTGGGTCTGTTGATGTAACATATAACAATGAAATTCAACAAGACTCAATGTCCATGGAAAACTCTGTAATTCTGAAATAAATTAGAACGATGATAACATTCTATTGCGTATTGGATAGTTTTATCATTTTGAGTTACTTACTATTCGTCCACATTGATTTTGGTAACTTAACAGGCAGCTCTTGAAGATAAGGTGTCAACAATTCAAAATTTATATTAGATGAATGAACGAGAAGAGTGGGTAACTTTATTATCAACATTTGTAAATTATTATCGGATTTTAAAGCTCTATCCTTTGCTTCTTCTATACCTAAATAATTTGATAAGAATATACATCAGAGTGAGTTAAAAGCATATTTTATTCTGTTCGCTTATATGTATACCTACCATATGCACCAATGCCACTCATTGTGGTTGACGGTATGTAAATAACAATATGTCCGACACAACCACTTAGCACAAGACCACACCACCATGGATACAGTTCTGCTAATCTGGCCAATATTCCCAAATTCTGTAAGTTCTACCATAGATTACATCTTTATAACTAATAACTGTATGCCAAAACTATTGAGAGGAAAAACTTAATACACGTTCAAAAGTTACGCAAGTTGAAATTCAATAGTATACGTATAAGCAATGTACCTGTCTTTCACCTTCAATTTTAAAATCGTGTTTCTTTTGAACTTCATCGTTTTGTAGAGTTTTCGACTTCTCTGTTGTCACAACCGATTTTCTTTTTTCTTTGTCCGAAGAACTGTGCACACTTTCGTGCAAACTGGGAAACGTCTTCTTTTTCGTACCGGTATCGGATGATGCACCCTCGAAATGTTGTTGCGCTTCAGGCCGTGTTGTACACAATGTACCTAAATTATAATACGTAACACGATACTCCAGCCACTTAAAAAGTAATGGATCGAGCGAAGCTCTGATGTCTGCCATCTGAAGCGAGATAAGAGGTGGATGTGTTTGTTTCTCGACATTTTTTGGAAACTGTATCACAGTTGTTAACAGTGGTTTGTTTTCTATATCACTAGATATAAAAAAAATTGTCATTAATATAATTTCAACTCATAATATACCCTTTAACGTATACTGACCCATGAATATTACTTTCTGGACCTGAGAATATAAAAGCCTGCTGTAACTCATTCAAAGCAAACATTTTCACAGAACTTATATTTATTTCATTTGAAACTGTAACCAACGATGATAATTTTTTACTATTTATATTTTCCAATAACAACTCCAAATATATAGGATCTGGAAAAAGTAGTCGAATTAAATATTTTTAGTTAATCAAGCATTCTGTGACAGTGGCTTTCGTATTAGTAAAATACATACTGATTTCTTGACAGGCATCTGTAAATAACGAAGAACATACAAGAGGATTTGTTATATCAGTGGGATTGAATACTGAAGTTAATATGGACGCCGCAACCATTAATTTTGCTTTCGTCCCAGTAATTGTAATACTGTCCACATGTATTGAATATGTTTCATGTATTAAATCAACATTCCTCCAATATTGTGGATACAACAATTTCTTTGCTTCACATTCAACCGAGTAAGGCATTATTATTGATGTGTGGCAATTTTTTACTAAATAAAGTTGACTTCTTGCTCCGTTTACCTAATTAAATAAATATTATATAATACAGGATATGTATACGCTTGTATTTTACATTACCTGCAGCGTAATAATCTTATGACATTGGTTAAACATTTCTGTTGAAAGATCGGTTTGCTTTGATGCGCATGCTGCAAGTCTAAATGGATATAAAGGTTGGAGCATAGTTACTATTGCTTCATCACATTCGATACTCATGAAAGGGTCGTCCGTAAGAGCAGGTGTTAAAGGCGTCGTCTAGCAGAATAACGTACAAAAAGTAAATAATCGGTAAAGTATTTCTGTATATGTGTACCAACATATTTATCACATACTCGACTTTCAACGATCTTCCGCTGTCGTGGTAGTCCAGTAATAGAGTGATCTGCTAATTGTAATTGTAGAGATGCTCTCATTACCATTAATTTTGTTTCGACCATAGATACATTCTCTCGCAGAGCTTCATATTCTTCTAACGTAACTGGTGGAAGTTCGTCTACAAGTGGATCTAGCGATGGTTTATAAGTAATGATTTCTTGAATATTTTTCACATATACAACAGATGTATAATTACATAAATACCTGGTTTTGTGACAAGGTATGGATTATAATCGTAATTGGCTGCAGCTTGCTTTATTGTGTCGATACGATGAAAAACACCTGAACATAATCTAATAGTTAAATCACCAATGATATACCTCATCACTCTGCGTTCGTGAAAATTGCTGAAAAAATGTGAATTTAGTATCTTTTATCTTAAATTGTACTAAAAATATTCTGGTTACCTGTATTCAAAATTAGAACCAAATTCTGCTAGTTTCTCAGGGGTAATATCATCTGGTAATTCAACGCAATGAACGTAATCCATAGCAAATGCGGGACATCTTTCTATTAATCGTTCCTCTAAAAATATTTCATGTAAGTATTTGCACATTAAGTTTAATCTTAGTATATTTGTATGTCCATCTGGAGTATAAGATTAAAGTTTTGTTACCCGAAACTGTATTTAGATAATAATATATTCCTTGTTTGTAATCTCTCTTCTTTCCTTTGTTTTCTACAGATTCATCATCGAATAATGAATCTTTTAAATAATCAGTGTTTAACTTTCCAGCTATTAGATACAAAGGTGGCTAAATGAAATAGTTTATGATTAGTCACAGTTTACATCCCGATCAAACATTTAGAAATGTATTGAATATTACTTGTGCTCCATCAACTACTTCAAGATGCCCGCAGCTACACGTCCCTCTTGGGTATATGCGTATACAACCCATTCCAATTTGAAAACTAGTCATTGAAATTCCTTGAATCAACGTGTCTACCACCACGCCATTTAATCGCAATGTTAAGAACGATTTATATCTGAGCTTGCGGGATTTATAAAATAATTGCTCTTTAATATTTTCAACTGTCTGTACAAAGAACGAATTATTTCTTACTACGTGATTACATCTCAAACAAACGAATAAAAAATGTAATGTGACTAAAATTTACGTGATAAATATTATCCTTGAAATACATGCCTTAAAAGTTAAGGTGGTATCTTGCACGTATATGCCTAAATGAATAGTATGTCCAGAATAAGCCATTTGTTGTTCCGTAGACCAATCGTTGTCCCAATCGATAGGTAACAAAGATGATACCATGTTCCAAGCCCATCCACCCCACCCAGTATTGTCTGCGGCAATTCCACTTCCATGATCATGTAAGTGGAACATGCTAATTTCATCTGTAATATTACTGAACGTTAATAAATCTGCCTGCAGTATGACGCAAGACTGAAAGATGTTCTATGAAATAATATAAGACCTTGTGCAGTGTCTTCTCTTTCCTCTACAGAAATTAAAGACTTTTCTCTACTAGATGGAAATTGTTTTGTTTGCAATGCCATTATCAGCGCAGCTAGTCTAAGCAGCATTGGTATTTGTTGTTCCGTTATGCTAAATTCCATTTTTTGGCAATGAAGATCCAAACGTGTAATAGAGGCTTGTCTTGCAGTGTTGCTATGGTAGTTTATGATCATACGTATTATAACAGAACATCGGTATAGAACAGGATCCTAAATAATGAAATAATATTTTTGTACATTTTTCTATAAAAACATGTATAGTTTACTATAATAAGAAATTAGTACCTGATATATTTCTATTTTTCCAGAAGCGTCCATTTTGTCTAAACATAAAGTTAGGTCCTGAATAGTAATAACTTTTCTAAGCATAACTTCGTATGGATTAACATCTGTAAATGTGTAGAATTTTAATATACGTCAATAGATATTATTCGATGATGCAATTACGTACGTACCGGTAAATGCTGGTTGCCATTTATCAACAGTTTGCATACTTAAAAATCTGACATTAACGCTAAGAACAATATCTTCCTCCACATATTTTAGAATTAGATTATTACAATTGATCGTTATGTTATTTACGACTTTGGTTACTATGCTTTTTATGTACCCAGGTGGTGCTTCTTCCCTGTCGATAAAGTAAAAAAAAATGTTTGTAATATCATGTACCATGAAACAATGTTAAACAGAAATATTCCACTCACTGTGGCAATTCCAGCCTCTTCTGTAATACAGAAGTACTGGCTTCCACCTTAGTATCATCTTTTAATTTTAAAATGCATTCTGTAACAAAATAGAACAAGTTTAGTATCGTTTGTTCAATATAATCATTTTAAAATTTAGAGCACCACGCAGATAAGTATGGTCATGTTAAATTTTATATAAATAGATGGTCGTATCTAAGTCACACGCATTTTTGTACTAAGTACAGAAAGTTTTTTATAACGAAGCAGTATTAAACAGGATAGCATCGATCAGAGATTTAATATACCTCTTAATATTTACCTATTGTATTTATTGTAATGACAATGGGTTCTGAAGTAATTTTTACCCAAGGAACATGAATAAGTAATTCATGTATATGACCGCTGACAAAAACAAAAGGGAGATTAAGTTGTTCTTCCAAAACTTCTAATCGTAGATCAAGATTTTGAAACGATGCATCGCCACCCCATAAAGAAACCTGAAATATAAAATAAGATAATATATAAAAGGAAAATTAAATATTATATACTTTTTCTATAATGAATATTAATTATAAATGATCAATATACCTGAGATTGTTCCGGTTTAAAATTTTTCACATACTTTTCAACATAACTAAGAATCACTGGTGTTATATACGATTCCAGCTTAAACATCGTGATTTTAATTTGCGATCCAATGCATTCCACATACTCTTACGGATATAATAAATGTGTGCAAATGTAAAAAGCTTCGCTTAATAATTTGTTCGTTCACCAAATATACATTTCAAACATATTTTTTGAAGAACTAATAATGGAATGGTGGAGAATAATTAACGGACCAAAATATTTTCAATTACGCACGTTTATCTGAAAATAATAAAATTGTTTAACTATTAGAAATGAACTTTCTATAACTATGAATAGTAAACTTAACATAGATATACATGTAATGTATATAGAAGAAATATTCAAGCGATAATACTGTATTTGTTCTTAAAACAAATATATTAAATGTTCTTAGTAGGATAGTGAAGTAGGGTAAACAGAATCAGTAGTCACTTTAAGAAATATTTTTTATTCTGCTTTCGATCCTGTATAGAGTCGGCATAACTTGTATTTTTCATATTCATATCAAAACGTTATCGATATAGTTATGAACAATGAGCCACAGAATATTTGTGAAACACATATTAACCTTAAATTGAGCATCGGCAGTCGACCATGTATCGAAATCGGCTATAAAAGTGAATTTCAAAATTACACATGCTGCATGGCTTTTCAATTAACCAGTAGATTAGAAAATAACACTTTGATTAATTTATGATCGAGGGATTTTAACTATAACTTTATGTCTTGTAAATATAGTTGTATTTATACCGTCTGCCTTAACCTTTACAATTTGACATGCACTGCAGTTGCATTGCATTGCATGTGGTTGCATGTGCAAACTATATACGCATGCGTATCATTGCCATTGTAAACGTTTAAACAAAACTTAAGCTTGTATCTATATGTCTTTGAATGCATGAAAAAAGTCGAAAATATATTTAAAAATATACTTTAATGGCTTTAATATTGTTTAAATCCTTCGTCCTTTACCCTAAACCTTTATTATTCAGTTTCTTAGATTTAAGGTATTTTTTTTTTTTCATTGCACCCTATAAAAATTGATCGAACTTTTCATTTCAAATTTTTGAACTTTCTTTGATGTTCACTTTGCGCCGAATGCAACGTATTTTCCTGTCATTCGTATATTATATTACGTTTTAATACAATGGCGCATATAGCTGCATATTTTGCAACTCGAGATTATACAAAACCTGCGATTGATCGTCGTATCAGCGAATTATTAAAAAGGAGAGTTGGTATAGAAGCTTTACCTACAGAAACTCTACAAGAACGTCTTGTATGGAAAACATATCAATTATTATGAACCTTATATTAAAATATTTTTTCTAATATAAAACACTTTATTTGTATGTGTTGTCGCATATGTAGGCGAAATTTAAAGAAAATCGCAATGCTAGACAAGGATTGTTAAAAGCAACGCATCGGCAAGTCTTGGAAGTTGTAGGTTTCATTTTGAATGTGAATCCTGATATTTTAGAAGAAGGAGTTATCGATAAAGATGAATACATTAATGTATTTGATAGCTTCTTTGCTAAAAATGGAAAACGTGCAATTATTATACACTTTCAATCAATGGACCCACTACCATACGGTATGGATCGGAACACAAATTTATATCAGTTTAATTTAGTCAAAATTCCTTCTTAACAGGAACATATTTTTAGTCAAATATTACATATCATTTTAAAGTTCCCTTTCCTCTATCAGACACATATAAACATTTTGCAATACAACTTGACCTAATCTTAAACTCAGAACACTTGTATTAGTAAGTTGAATCAGAAAATATTTACATACATCTGATGGAGGAAAGAAAGAGCTATAAATTATGTGTTCCACTTTATCAAAGGAATGCTTTCAATAATATATGAAAATAGAATCTGGACGATGGAGCCCGCAATACGAACAAGAAAATGGAGTTATACGTTGCTGTGTTACCGATGGTTCTACAGAAGACATATCTGGTAAATGTGTCATAGTTTATAGATTGAGATCAAACATTGATTTTGAGACTAAAGATATTCTCGAGGTATGTTTCAAATGTAGCTAAATATGATAGACTTATACAAACTTCTATAGTTTCTTCTAAACTTTTTAGGAAACGTATTATGCTTATGCAGAAGTTGACCCTGCATCTCCTAGTGCACTTGCAGCTATATCGGAGTTAATTTTAAGATTAAATTTACCAGCAATAGTCGCTAATACAATGTGGGGTGAATTATCAAAAAATGAAGCTGGCGAAAAAGTGAAAAACAATTTTATCTGCGATTTTAGAGATTTCTGTGAATTTTTGAGTAGTAAGATATTAAAATTTATAATTGTATAATATCTCATTTAATTCTACGCGATGAAACTATTATTTTTATATTGTCTTTAGTGATCAAGATAGATTTAGAGAACACGATAAAATTTGAAATAGATTGGGACATATATAACAAGTATTTAACGCTGCCAATGGATAATATGGAGAGCGACACCAATCTGTTAGCAATCGATGCTATAGAGAATAATGTTAGAATTTGGATGAAAAGTATAGAACGGGTAAAATTTATAATCATTGATATTCATTTTAAGCTACATACAAAAACAACAATAATAATTAATGTAAATATAGGCTGTTGTTGAGAGTCAACAATTACGTAGAGAAACTGAAACAATGGGACCAAACGCAGAGCTCACATATTGGAGAAGACTGTTGGCACGTTTTTCATCGATCATTGAACACATTAAATCACCCTTTACACAAAAATATCTAGACTTCTTAACACGAATAAAATCGAAACATATAAAGGTGTGCTTAATTGTACAATATATAAGTTTCATTAATTCTGTGATTATAATAATAAGTATTTTACATACTTATATCTAGAAATGGAAAATATTGGAGAATAATGTTAGAACGATACAAATCCTGTCGGAAGACAATGTAAAGTATTTATATGCATTGGAAAAGTTTACTCAACCTTTGTACAGGTTTGATCCGACACAAATTGGGAAATATTTACCTCCCCTTATGTATGCTATACGAATGATATATGCTTCTTCACGCTTTTTTAATACAAGAAGGATGGTCACAGCAGTTTTTGTGAAAGTACTATAAAACATATTTCATATTCAAGTTCTATACAATTTAAACAAATTTATTAAAAATTTCAGATGACGAATCAAATGATTTTAGCATGTAAAGCTTATTTAACGGAGGATAGTGAAATAAATATTTGGGACGAATCTAAATCTGTTATGATATCTAAAATAAAGGTAATTATCGGTGACTATAAAAAAATAATAAATTAAATCAAAGTTAAGTTTACAAGTAAAACGATTACTGTTACGTAATTGTTATATTTTAGGATTGCACGAAATTATGTGAACAATATTACGATTACTACAATGAAATGTGTAAACAAGTAAGAGAATCTGCCGATGAAAAGCCTTTTGAAGTGTCCGAGATGTATGTTTTTGGGAAATTTAATACCTTTAAAGCAAGGATAATAAAAGTTAGCAATTACACATTTCAGTAGAAGTATTTGTGTTTATTTGTGATTACAAATACATTAATTATGTTTCAGATTATGAATGTTTTTCAGACAGCATTAATGTATTCGATCCTTCATAGTTCCGCGATACAAGGAATAGATGTATTTGCAAACAAATTTTCGAGCTTTTTTCAGAATATTGCATTGCAAAATTATGATCCATTAGATCACAGAAAACCGTACTTTGACACTGACTATGATAAATTTACAAAATCTGTAGCAGAGACTGAAACAGAATTAAGAAATTTTTTTTATAAATGTGTCTCCGAGGCACCAAATATAACAGAGGCATTGAAGGTAATAGCAAGGTAGTTATTTTATATTGATTGCTTTATATACAAATTTATTATTACGATTTACGATTTATATAGTTAATTTATTTATGCATTCATATAGATTCGAGAAATTGAAATTCAAACACCTGAGAATCGACAGGAAATATTTAGAACTTATAGCATTGTTTCAAAAAGAGATTGAAGATGTACGTGATCGATACAACGAAGATAGATCGGATCCACCAATTCCACGAAATGTTCCACCCATTGCTGGTCGCATTTTATGGATTAGACAGCTTTATAGGCGCATCGAAAGTCCAATGGAATCATATAAAAAATGCATAAGAGTGCTTAGTCACGATTATATGCAAAGGTGTATAAAAATTTACAATGCTCTAATTAGCGTTTTTATACATTATGAATTAATATACCATAAAGCGTGGTATGATTCTTCGGAAATTGTAAGTTAAGCATGATTATCGCATGATTAATAAGATTAATGATCATTTGCATCGTTCGACTTTTAAACTTGAAGGTACGATTGGCATTAGCTTCACCCTTACTTATACGACATCTGGAAACAAACAAATATCAGTTAAATTTTGATTCATATATCATTGAAGTGATACGTGAATCGGAACATATGGACAGATTTAATTTAGAAGTACCAGATTTTATACAAATAATAACATTCTGTAAAAGCAAAATATTTTCATCGTACGAAACAGTAAGAAAATTGGTCGATGAAAACAATGCTTTAAGGTGAATGTCTTTGAACTTTTCTATGGAAATAAAAAATAATTATACACTTTGTTTCAAATTGTAGGCGAAGAATACCAATACTGTTTCTGAATCTGATAAAAATTGTTCTTGCTAATCTTGAAATTACCTTTCAACCTTGCTTATCTGTAATAACGTGGACGTCTTTGAATATTTCTGAAGTGTGTGACAAAATAAAGGAAGCTCTTACATCCATGGAAATTTTTGTTAAAGAGATAACAGACATGAAAGAGGCAAGAGTCGACGAGGTGTTTGAATCTATTTCAGAAATCATATTACTGAAACTTGACAATTATCCGAAAAAGCCAACTCAACTTTTAGATGACAATGTTGCCTATGCAAATATAGTAGGCGATGATATTGAAATAAAATCATCTGCAGCTGAAAATGCTGTTATAACGATTATCAATAAATTCATGGACTTCATAATCGATGAATCTGTTCAAAACATTAAATACAATTGGATGGACCTGCAGAAATTACACAAAAATATTTCAGACACAAAATTGCTAAAAGGGAAATATGAACCAGGTACATACACTTGCTCGCTTCATATCTGAAATATTTCATAAACGTATTAGTAGATTTCACATTCGTTTGATAATTTACAGGTTTTGCTCCCATCGAAAGAACACATAAGGTTCAAATAAGTAAGGTGCATAACGATTGCATGGAATTATTTGCACACTTCAATAATAAACTTATAGACGCTTTAGTGAAATCCACTAAAAAGTCCCTTGAATTATTAAAGAAATATGTTACCGCTTTAAGGTTCTTCTTTTAATTCTAATTAGAATTTACCAATGACACTCAATTATTTAGAAATAATTTTATTTTGTCGCAACAACTGTAGACCTTTGATTCAAGACGAAGATGGCATAAGGAAAGAAAATCCAATTATGTTGACTACATTTGTTTTACAAATCCCCAATATCGTAGTATTACCTCCAATAGAAGAATTACAACATTATTTTGGGAAATTAATAATTAGTGTCCTGGAAACTCATAAACATATTATTATGTGGGGACAACGTTATTCATCTACATCCAGAATGTCGGGCGGTAGCGATAGTATGCAAAATTAATTTCTTATAATAATAGCATAAAAGTGAATTACTGGTAAATAATATTTTCCTTTTTTTTCATAAAGAGAACCATAAAGCATCGATGCAAAATTACTATCAAATAATATCTGATCACAAAGAAATAGTCCGCAGTGTGATGAGCTTGCAAGGTGCGATTATTGCTCTAAAAGACGATATCGCACAAATTGGGAATGTATGTCTACTTTGCTTCTTCTTATCTTTCCAATCTATACTTTGAATATCTTTCGTTCATCAGTTCACACAATTATACTGTAAGTAGATATATTTACGATATTCCTACATATGGACCGAAGCGAGAGACGATATTATTCAGCATTTTGTTGATTCTGAACCCATTACGCAAGAGATTAAGGAAAAATTTGTGGAATATGATGATTTAGTTGTTGAAATAGAAAATCTACCAGACCGGCATATTGTGGGGCCCATAGAAATTAACATGGGTAACAAGTTTACTCGTCTCAGGATAAGGATTTTTATTGTTCGATTATCAGAGTTCTCAAGTAATGTAATATCTTTCAGAGAAATTGAAACTGGCACTTCTAGTTGAAGCACGCGCATGGAAAACATCATTGGGTCAGATTCTGTCTGCGACTTACAAGGAGAAACTAAAAAAGATAACTGAATATATTAACGATAAGAATAAAGTTCTAGCTAGAGAGATCAACGATTTGCAAGATGTGAGAGTTGCAATGAAATGCTTAGGTGAGATACGAGATGATTTTATATCATTGGACATGGAATTAATATTGTTGGAAGAAACGTACGCATTAATGGGAAGATTCAATATTCCTGTCTCGAAGGAGGAACACAATATAGTAGACAGCCTTCGATACAACTTTACAAACATGTTAAATACGGTATTGCTTATGAAAATTATCATTACCGTTCATCGTTATAATAGTATTTCTTTAAATAAATTTTTGAATATTTTTAAGGCGAAAGAAGTTCAAGCAAAAATTTGTGAGATGCAAGAACCGCTGAAGAAAGAACTAACGGATGGTGTTGCTGTTTTTAAACAGGATGTGATTAATTTTGACCTCGATTTTGAACTCAATGGTCCAATGGTTGAAGGAATACCAGCCAAAGAAGCTAGCGATCGGTAATATCAGTATTGTTTGTATTTAATTATTTAAAATCCAAGCTTTTTAATTGCCTTTGCAGGCTCATTCTTTTTCAAGCACGACTCGAAGAATTGTGGGAAAGATATTTGACTTATAGTAGCGGTGAGAGTTTATTTGGAATTGAAGTAACCGATTATCCTGCTCTTCACCAAAGAAGAAGAGAAATAAACTTGTTGCAGAAATTATATTCCCTGTACCTACAAGTGATAAGAACTATCGATAACTATTATGAGATACGATGGTCCGATATTGATATCGAGTCCATTGTCACTGAATTAGCCGACTTCCAGAACAGGTAAACTAAAATTATCGTTATTACTTTATATGGATTGACACTAAGTTGATTATAAATTTTCCTCTAGATGTCGAAGATTGCCAAGAGCTATGAGAGATTGGCCTGCTTACATTGACTTGAAAAAGAAAATTGATGATTTTAATGAGACTTGCCCTCTGTTAGAATTGATGGCAAATAAAGCAATGCAAGAAAGACACTGGGAAAGAATGTCGAAACTATGTAAATATCATTTTGATATCGAGTCAGATGTATTCACGTTGGCAAATGTAATGCAGGCACCTCTATTAAAATACAAAGACGACGTAGAGGTATAGCTTGAATTCACATACACGATATCCGTCATTTATTATTAACACTTTAATTTTCTAACAGGATATATGTATTAGTGCGGTAAAAGAGCAGGATATAGACAGCAAATTGAAGCAAATTATTGCAGAATGGGCCACGGTAAATTTGCAATTTTCTCATTTCAAGCAAAGGGGAGATCTACTCCTGAAAGGCGCAGAAACAGCTGAAATAATATCTTTGCTCGAAGATAGCTTGATGGTGATCAGTTCGCTCTTGGCAAATCGGTACCAAATATATTTACTATAGATTTAAGATTTTCTGATTCAACGAGAAAAAACATATTTATGAATTTTGAACGTTTTACGCAGCTACAACACGCCCTTTAAAAAGGATATCCAACTGTGGCAATTCAAACTCAGTAACACTTCTGAAATTTTAGCCAAGTGGTTAACTGTACAAAATTTATGGGCATACTTAGAAGCGGTATTCATTGGCGGTGATATATCCAAGCAACTTCCAGCAGAGGCAAAACGCTTTAATGTAAGTAAATAATAAAATCTGGAGAACGTAATCATGTATTCTATTTTTAATGTATTGTTGTAGAATATCGACAAAGCTTGGGTCAAGATTATGTATAGAGCACGCGAAAGACTGAATGCTGTGGAGACGTGTACTGGAGATGAAACAATGAGTCAGTTTCTGCCACATTTATTGGAACAATTGGAATCTTGTCAAAAATCTCTTAGCGGGTAATAATATTTAGAATTAGACTGTACCAACAAGGTTTAAACTCATTCAATGTGTGTACAGATACTTAGAAACGAAACGAAGCATATTCCCAAGGTTTTGTTTCGTGTCAGATCCTACATTGTTGGAAATACTTGGTCAAGCAGCCGATTGCCATACCATTGTGAAATATCTTGATGGTTTCTTTGACAATGTGGCGAAGGTGATACAGTGTCATCTTTCTCGTTAAAACCATGCTGTTCTATTGTCTTTAAGGTCGATCTCAGTTTAGATTTTGTCCGTTAACAGCTAGACTTCAGCGAGAAAGAATACGAGAAGATTGTGGCCATGTACTCGCGTGAAAATGAAAAAGTAGAATTGGAAAGAGAAGTTATATGTACAGGAGGCGTAGAAAACTGGCTGAACACTTTGTTGACCGTGCATCAACAGTCTGTGGGTAGTGTGATCTCGCAGGGATTGCAAACTCTCACTTCTGAAGAGTTCGACATGATACAATTGATAGACAATTCGATTTTACAAGTAATGGAAACTAAGAAATTTCAATACGGAGAGATCGTTCTATGAACATGTATATGTAATTAAGTTACTGTTTTTCAGGTAGGGTTGTTAGCTTTGCAAGTTATGTGGACTCGTGATTCCGAGGTAGCGCTTAGAACAGCGAAACGAGACAGAGGCGTGATGAAGAGAACGAATGAATGGTTTCTCGATTTGTTAAACGTTCTCATTGACGTGACTGTCAAGGATTTAACGAAATACTCGAGGGCCAAATACGAGGCTTTAATTACAATACATGTCCATCAGAGGTTGACCATTAATACGAATACCTTTAATAGTGATACCTAGAAAAACAAATTCTAAACAATGTTTCAGAGACATATTCGATGAGCTATTTCGCTTTCGGGTTCGTAATGTATTGGACTTCGAATGGTTGAAACAGAGTAGGTTTTATTACGATAGCGACACGGAGGATGTTCCTATCAAAATTACGGATATCGATTTCGTATATCAAAATGAGTTTTTGGGCTGTTCAGATCGTCTTGTTATCACACCACTCACGGATAGATGCTACATAACGTTGGCGCAAGCTGTAGGTAAGGTTTATCATAGTTTTTACTTTAATGTAAATTATTTCTAATTCTGGTGATATATTTTAGTATGTTTCTGTAACTGTATTTTTAGGGATGAATTTCGGCGGTGCACCAGCAGGTCCAGCTGGCACCGGCAAGACAGAGACCACGAAAGATATGGGGAAGGCCCTTGGAAAATACGTGATCGTATTTAATTGTTCTGATCAAATGGATTTCCGCGGTTTAGGTAGAATATTTAAGGGATTAGCCATGTCTGGTTCGTGGGGCTGTTTCGACGAGTTTAATCGGATTGATTTGCCGGTATTATCCGTGGCCGCTCAGCAAATAGCAATTGTACTTACTGCACGAAAAGAAAGGAAAACATCTTTTCTATTTAGGTATACAGACTTCTAAATTCACAAATGGTGTGCTCCCGAGTAACTTATGATTTACATTTATTAAAGAGAAATATGTAATTCGTAGCGACGGCGAAGTGTACAATTTAAATTACGAACTTGGACTCTTCATTACAATGAATCCTGGTTACGCTGGTCGCCAAGAATTGCCAGAAAACTTAAAGATAGAATTCAGAAGCGTGGCCATGATGGTTCCTGATAGACAGGTAGTGGAAATATTACGCAGCTATCGTTTATTTGAATACCAATTAATTTAATTGCATAACACTTGTAACTTTTTAAATTGTTTGTACAGATAATTATGCGCGTTAAGCTGGCAGCTTGTGGTTTCAAAGAAAACATTTTACTGTCACGGAAATTTTTTACACTTTATAAATTGTGCGAGGAACAGCTGAGCAAACAAGTACATTATGATTTTGGTTTAAGGAATATATTGTCTTGCTTAAGAACTCTCGGTGCACAGAAACGAGCAAATCCCACTGACTCTGAAGAAACTACTCTGATGAGAGTGCTAAGGTAAAACTAGACGCTTCGATGATTTTCAAAAGTGGGGGAAAGAGATGTTGATGTTTTCTTTATTATAATCTTGCAGAGACATGAATCTATCTAAATTAGTGGACGAAGACGAGCCGTTGTTTATGTCCCTTATCAATGATATGTTCCCAGGAATTAAACTTAAATCTCATACGTACAAAGACTTGCAAAAAGCTATAGGAAATGCAACCGCTGCGCTTGGAATAATGAATCATCCAGAGTGGAACTTGAAAACAATTCAAGTATGCTTTGATCTCGAATGAATCAATGTATCCATCGGACAGCTTGTAAAATGAGAATGATGATATTTATGTGTTTAGTTGTACGAGACTAATCTTGTTCGTCACGGTCTGATGGTGCTTGGACCAACGGGATCTGGAAAAACGCAATGCATGTGGGCGCTCATGAAAGCTTTAACAGAGATGGGTATGCCGCATAAAGAAGTTAGAATGAATCCAAAGGTTAGTAACGCTTCTTTCCTTCGACTGTAATAATCTTTAAAAATACTTTAACACGATTGACAATTTTCAATAGGCCATAACAGCTGCTCAAATGTTTGGAAAGCTCGACGTCACGACCAACGACTGGACAGACGGTATATTCTCCACTATATGGAGAAGATCGATACAAACAAAGAAAACAGATAATTTGTGGATAGTTTTGGATGGACCGGTAGATGCAGTTTGGATCGAAAACTTGAATTCGGTCTTGGACGATAACAAGACTTTGACTTTAGCGAATGGTGATCGCATAATAATGGTGTCGAACAGCAAATTAGTTTTCGAGCCAGACAATGTTGATAACGCATCGCCAGCGACGATATCACGCATGGGAATGGTATTTATCAGCGCTTCTGTACTAAAATGGAGTCCTATTCTAGAGGTAATGTTTAAATTCAAAAGCTAATAATTGAAACTTTAAAAGTTAATAATGAAGTATCAATTAATATATTTTCTTTCTTATTCAGGGATGGTTCTTGAAACGACAACCTTCGGAAGTAGAAACATTGCGTAACATGTTCAACAAAATATATGACGATGCTCATACTTTTGTTCAAACGAGACTTCCAACAAAAATGACCATTTTGGAAGCAATCTATATAAGGCAATGTATCGATTTATTGGAAGGTTTGCTCTGTTCAGACAAAGATCCAGCAAGTACGTTGTTTTTACTTTCGAAATTGCAGTTCATTGTTTGAAAATTGGTTTCATCTTGAATTCATAACATTTAGAAGTACTGTCGGCCAATCACATCGAGAAGATATTCTTGTTCTCTCTTATGTGGAGTTTGGGAGCGGTATTGGAATTAGAAGAACGTAATGCATTGCAGGAGTTCTTAATTAATCATGCTTCGAAGTGCAATTGGCCACAGTGCAAGGTGAATATATGACGGACAATGTGTTTAATAGAAAAGTGCAAAAGTAATAATCGCAAACTGTTTGCTACAGGAAGATGAAACTATTTTTGAATACTTAGTATCGGATCACGGGGAATGGTTACATTGGTCTGAAATGGTACCAGAGTTTATATATCCACCGGATGAAGTTCTACAGTATTACACGATACTAGTTCCTAACATAGATAACACAAGAACGATGTTTCTAATCGATACTATTGCGAAACAAAGGAAGGCAGTGCTATTGATAGGCATGGGATTTTAAATATATAATTTCCAATTCAGAATCTCGATCCAGTACATATCTATTATTTTTTCTGTGAATTGCAGGAGAGCAGGGTACTGCGAAAACTGTAATGCTCGAAAGCTACATGTCCAATTACGATCCTGAAGAACACTTGCATAAATCTTTCAGTTTCTCATCCGCATCTACACCTAATATGGTTCAGGTGGCTATAATTTCAAGCGTAACTCTGTAAATGGATATTAGTGATGTTGTATAAAATATATGAGATATATTTCACAGCGTATATTTGAAAGCTACGTGGAGAAAAGGGTTGGGACCACTTACGGGCCCCCAGGTGGTCGGAGAATGACCATTTTCATTGACGACATAAATATGCCAGCCATAAACGAATGGGGGGATCAAATTACAAACGAGATTGTCCGTCAGCTAATGGAATACAACGGCTTCTATTCTTTGGATAAGCCGGGTGATTTCTGTATTATACAGGACATTCAGTTAGCTGCCGCTATGATTCACCCAGGCGGCGGTAGAAACGATATTCCTCCAAGACTGAAGAGGCAATTTAATATCTTTAATTGCACATTGCCTTCGAACAAATCGATGGACACGATATTCAGTAAGCACAATGCTGTGTTTCCCATTAATCGATTCAACTACATCAATACTTTTGCAATTTGCAGAAACCATTGGTCAAGGATATTTTTGTGATAGCAGATTTGACGAGATTATCGTGAACTTCTTGCCCAAACTGATACCTTTAACCAGAGTCTTGTGGCAGCAAACTAAGTTAAGGATGCTACCGACACCGGCGAAGTTTCATTATGTATTCAATTTAAGGGATTTGTCTCGAATTTGGGAAGGCATCCTCAGAATAGAGAGAGCCGAGTGTGATTCTATAACCAGATTGCTGAAACTTTGGGAACACGAATGTACCCGTGTAATCGCAGACCGGTTTGTCACTTTACACACAGAATTATAATGATTTAAGAGATTGAAACATCATGAGAATTATTTCTTGTTTGTCAGATTCACGACAGAGACAGACACGCAGTGGTTTCAAAACACATTAAGGCATACGGCAGAAAAGATGTTGGGCAACGATTTTAAGCACTATGTTCCTGTTGAAACATACTTTGTGGATTTCTTACGCGAGCCACCAGAACCCACAGGAGACGAGCCAGAAGATTTTGTGATAGAGGCGCCAAAGATCTACGAAGAAATGCCAAGGTACAATGCTTTGCAAAACTTGCTCGAATGTAAGATTACGATGGCAATGCGTTATCCTTTCAGTTATGATGCTGTGATCGTGAAAGTTCGACAAAATATGGAACAATTCAACGAGTACATTCGTGGGATGCATCTGGATTTAGTGTTTTTTCACGATGCATTGGTACATCTAATACGTATATCAAGAATACTTGGTGTTCCAAGAAGCAACGCCATGTTGGTAGGGGTCGGAGGATCAGGCAAACAAAGCTTGACACGGTTGGCATCTTTCATTGCGGGATATAGCTTCTTCCAAATAATATTATCCAGGTAACGGATAAATAAAATTTTAATTTTGATAAAACTCTATTCTATTTTACTCTGTTGGTTCCCCTTTCAGGAGCTACAACATTGGAAGTTTGATAGAGGATCTACGAAAGCTCTATCGCACTTCTGGCACTGGGAGCAAAGGGCATACATTTATATTTACCGATAACGAAATAAAGGAAGAAGGCTTTCTAGAGTACATCAATAATATTTTGAGCGTCGGAGAAGTCGCTAACCTATTTCCAGCCGATGAACTCGATGACATCTTAACGACAGTTACTCCGTTGATGAAGATTGATGATCCAAGGCGACCACCAACACCGGATAACCTTTATGACTATTTCATATCACGTGCACGGAATCATTTGCACGTAGTATTGTGCTTCTCGCCAGTAAGTGATCCTACTACATCACTGAACAGTGAAATCATTCGAACATGCGATTCTCTGATTGTTTGATTATATTTTAGGTTGGAGAAAAGTTCAGATCTCGAGCACTGAAGTTTCCAGGCCTGATATCCGGCTGTACAATAAATTGGTTCTGGAGATGGCCACGGGACGCGCTGTACGCAGTAGGTGAACATTTTCTAAAGAAGTTCAAAGTAATTTGCACCCCGGAGGTGAAGCTACAGTTGATTGAAGTTATGGGAGATGTGCAAGATGATGTCAATGACATTTGCACAGAATACTATGATAGGTAAGTTTACATTTCCTCTCTTTATCCTGATCTATTTTCATACATCATCCTTTTTCTTTCAAACAGATTTCGAAGACAGGTGTACGTCACTCCAAAATCGTTTTTAACTTTCTTGGAAGGGTACAAAGCGTTGTACAAGCAACGGTTGGATAACATTAATACCCTCGCTTTCCGTATGAGCAATGGTTTAAATAAATTAGTGGACGCTGCAGCTCAGGTCGACGAGTTGCGAAAAGTGTTGGAGAAGAATCAACAGGAGATTGCAGAAAAGAACGTGCAAGTGGAAGCTGTTGGTATCTTCTCCTCAAAAAGGATAAATTCACTTTTCTAATCTTATTAATCTAATTTTAAATTTTCTTTAAAATTGTTTCTAGATTTTGGTTACCGTTAATGAAAAAAAGCGAGAGGCTGAGGCAGTCAAGGCTCAGGTTCAAATTTCCAAAGACGAGGCTGAATCTATTTTGAAAGTAATAGCGAAAGAGAAGGTAGTAGCGGAACAGAAACTGAAAGCTGCTGAGCCAGCGTTATTGGCAGCAGAGGCTGCATTACAAGTCAGACTTTACTTCAGAAACTTTTGGATATTACTTTTCAAGCTATTTCTGATTTATATAACTTTTAAAAATTCTGGTTTTAGACCATAAAAGCCACAGATATTGCTACGGTTCGTAAGCTAGGCAAACCGCCATATTTGATTACTCTTATAATGGATTGTGTGATAATACTGTTTGGAAGAAAATTGGAACCAGTTAAGCCCGATTATGAACGTCAGTTTTTAATGCCTTCCTGGCCAGAAGCATTAAAAGTATAATCATTATAATTAATTCTAGAGGTATTTATAATGGAAGATATTTATTAATGCTTTGACCGTAGGTCTTGGCTGATACTAGATTTCTATATCATTTGCAAAACTTCCCGAAAGACAATATCAACGCAGAAACTGTCGATTTGATGCAACCATATTTAAACTATCATTTGTACACCTACGAAGCTGCGAAACAAGCTTGCGGGAATGTCGCTGGTCTGATTCAGTGGACAATTTCTATGGTTACATTTTATGGAATAAACAAAGACGTCCTTCCTCTGAAAGTAACTTCTGTTCTAATCAACGATAAGATTCAATGTTACAGACGTTTTTAGCTGAGCGTAAAATGAACGTTTTGTAGGCAAATTTGGCTGTGCAAGCAAGTAAATACGAAAAAGCGAATCAAAATTTAATGGAAGCTGAGAATCTTCTCAAATCTAAAGATGAAGATTTGAAGATCGTTCAAAGCGAGTTTGATGCAGTAATGGAAGAACGTCAAGTAATTCGCGAAAGCATTTATTAAACAGTATCGAATACAATGGAACTCATTAAATGAGATACCTATTATCAGGTAATAGTCGATTTAGCTGATGCTTGTCAAGCGAAAACAGACACAGCGACAGCAATGATCGATGGACTTTCTGGGGAGAGGATCAGATGGACAGAACAGTTGATTACATTTAAGTCTGAAACCGATCGTCTTGTTGGGGATATATTAATTTTAGTGGGTTTCTTGTCCTATTGTGGACCATTCAATCAAGAATTTAGAAGTCTTCTGCAACGAAAATGGTTTGATTTTGTCCAAGGTAGAAAGATTCCAATCTCCCTCATAATAAACATTACGACCACTTTGACTGATACCGCTACAGTGAGTACTATGTTGGAAAGCTTGTCGTTTTTAATATTTAGTAATTAATCAATGTTTGTATTTACTCTTTTAAAGGTTGGAGAATGGAGCTTACAGGGTCTGCCGAGTGATGATTTATCCATTCAGAATGGAATCATAGTAACGAAAGCAGCCAGATATCCACTTTTAATTGATCCGCAATTACAAGGTAAAACATGGATAAAAAATAAAGAGGCAGAGAGTAATTTACAGGTAAAACACTGATATTATAGATCAATTCATTGCAGTATTCTAATGCGGGTTAATGTTTGATTCTAGGCTACACTTCTTACTGATAAATATTTTAGAAACTATTTGGAAGATTGTGTTTCTCTTGGTCGTCCCTTGCTTATTGAGGACGTGGCAGAAGAATTAGATCCCGTTTTGGATAACTTATTGGAGAAGAATTTCATAAAAATTGGAACTTCTTTGAAAGTAAAATAATTATACCAATGCCTACATCAGAAGATAACTAATTATACGGCTCTGAACTATTTTAACAGGTCAAATTAGGTGACAAGGAAGTAGATATTCACTCAGATTTTAGACTTTACATTACTACAAAGTTACCAAACCCATCGTACACACCAGAAATATTTGCTCGCACTAGTATAATTGATTTTACTGTCACCATAAAAGGTAGTCGAGACAATTACAATGTTTAAAGCGTAATTTCGTGAGTGTATCTTACTTTCTCCTTCTACGTGCAGGTCTAGAAGATCAACTTTTGGGAAGAGTGATTTTAACAGAGAAAACTGAACTTGAGAGAGAAAAGACTCAACTGATCGCAGATGTAACTGCGAACAATAGGAAGATCAAAGAATTGGAAGCCAATCTTTTACATAAATTAACCACTGTAGAGGTGCGTGCTTAATTTCACTCCAGATGTATTTTGCAAACTACGCACACTATTCTTATTTCATATGCAGGGTCCTTTAATAGAAGATGTAGAATTAATGTCGGTGTTGAACATTACAAAGCAAACAGCGGCTGAAATAACCGAGAAATTAAGTATCGCGAAGGATACGGAATTAAGAATTGACACTGCACGAGAAGAATTTAGACCGGTTGCAACGCGTGGCAGTGTTCTATACTTTTTAATTTGCGATATGGCTTTAGTAAACACTATGTATCAAACGTCGCTCGTCCAATTTTTGGAGCGTTTCGACATTTCTATGGAAAGGTATACTTTGTACACGCGACGTTCATTCTACAGAAATATTAGATGCAAAGATGTTGGTTCGTTATAGATCAGAAAAAAGCCCGGTCAATATAAGAAGAATAAACTTCATTATCGAATACCTCACATACGAGGTGTTCAGATATAAAGCACGAGGCCTTTACGAAATCCATAAATACATGTTCATCTTATTAATGACATTGAAGATCGATTTGCAACGTGAAGCTATCACTCATAATGAATTTCAATTTTTCATCAAAGGCGGTGCAGCCTTAGATTTAAATACAGTTGCACCAAAACCGTGCAAATGGATTACCGATGTCACATGGCTGAATTTAGTTGCACTGTCTGCTTTAACACAATTTCACTACATTACGTCTCAAGTGCCAGCTGCTGAGAAACAATGGAAACATTGGTTCGACAAAGAGGCTCCGGAAGAAGAAGTGATACCAAACGGATACAACAGTTTGGATACTTTTCGACGTCTGTTGTTGATAAGGTTATTATAAAGTTGTCATTTATCGTTAATGGAAATATCAAAGTGTATTTGTTCATGATTACTTTATAGAGCTTGGTGTATGGACAGAACATTGTCACAGTCGAGGAAGTATATAGCGAGTTCTTTAGGAGAAGAATACGCAGAACCTGTAATTACTCTTATGGAGATAATGCACAGCGAATCAAGACCAAATACACCAATGATTTGCTTTTTAAGTATGGGATCTGATCCCACGCCCAGCATCGAACAACTTGCTAGAAAGTTAGAGATTGCGTGCAAAAGTATTTCAATGGGACAAGGACAAGAAGTTCACGCACGACGGTTACTTCAGAGTGCAAAAACTGAAGTACGTTTACACGAAGAGAATCTATGATATTGCATTTAAAAAGCAGTACAAAAAAGTTCTAGCAATAATCTTTTAGGGCTATTGGGTATTATGTCAAAATTGTCACTTGGGTCTAGACTACATGGAAGAAGTGGTCAACTTTCTGTTGGAAATGGATGGGTCGCATCCTGATTTTCGTATGTGGATCACTACAGAACCGCATAAAGATTTTCCAATTTCTCTTCTTCAAATGTCTATAAAGTATACTTATGAGCCTCCGCAAGGTATAAATGTATATCTTTTAAATTCATACGTTCTATGTAAAACAGTTAATTTCGTTTAGGTGTACGGGCTGGTTTACTCTCCACTTATACCGGTATGAATCAAGAAATGTTAGATCAATGCGATGTGCCACAATATATACCAATTATATATACAGTATCATTTTTGCATACTATTGTACAAGAACGACGAAAATTTGGAGCACTCGGTTGGAACATACCGTATGAATTTAATATGGCAGATTGGTTGGCATCTTGTATATTTATTAATAATCACTTGAACGATTTTGATATTAAACAAGGCATAAGTTGGCAGACTGTGCGGTAATGAGAAAAAAAAACTACTTCCTCTTAAACAATAAAATATACTTGAAAATAAGCAAATTTATTTGATGCCTAGGTATATGATAGGAGAAGTGCAATATGGAGGACGTGTCACAGATGATTATGATAAACGACTACTAAATACATTCGCTAAACTTTGGTTTTCAGAAGCACTTTTTACAGAAGATTTCGTATTCTTCAAAGGCTATCCTATTCTTGTTTACAAACAAGTTACAGATTACGTAAAAGTAATAGATGAAATGCCAACTGTAGATCCACCACAAGTTTATGGCTTGCACAGTAACGCAGATATTACGTACGTACAATTCTCTCGTAGAGCACTACATTTAAGTATACGTATAATTGCAATAAATTTGTACCATTGTAGATATCAGAGTAATACTACAAAAGCTGTTTTAGATACTATAGTATCTGTGCAACCAAAAGAAGCAGGTGTTGGTGTTGGTGAATCTAGAGAAGTAGTTGTAACGAGACAAGCGAAAGAAATGTTAAGAAAACTACCACCAATGTATGATCCATTCGAAGTTAAACAAAGGTTGGTAGAAATATATTTTTAAATAATTATTACAATTACAAATTGATTAAAAATATCTGTTATGTAGATTGCAGGTATTAGGTGCTACTACATCGATGACTATTTTTTTGAAACAAGAAATTGACAGGATACAAATAGTTATTAAATTGGTGAATGTTATTCTTAAAGATCTTCTTCTTGCCATAGAAGGTGTTATCATAATGAGTGAGGTAATTTTGTTTGTGTATTTCCATACAGAACAATAAAACTAATGGATAGAAATTTATTTAGGAATTAAGAGATGCCCTCGATAATATATACGATGCAAGAATACCACAAATATGGAAAGCAAAATCCTGGGAGTCATCGTCCCTTGGATTTTGGTTCACCGAATTATTAGACAGAAATAATCAATTTTCTACTTGGCTATACAGTGGTAGACCTGCAAAGTTTTGGATGACTGGATTCTTTAATCCTCAAGGTATTAATTTATATATATGTGTATTTAAGTAACAATAAATCCTACGAATTACTTTAAATAAATTCTAATCTTTGCTATACAGGATTTTTGACTGCGATGCGACAAGAAGTAACCAGAGCTCATGCAGAATGGGCTCTAGATAATGTAACATTGCATAACGAAGTTATACGTTATATAGCAGAAGAAATTAAGACTCCACCCGTAGTATGTTCATTATACAATATCTCATCTCAAGAAATTAGCTCGGTTAATGCAAATTATGTCTGTGTATTATTAGGAAGGAGTTTACGTATATGGATTATTCCTCGAAGGGGCTGGCTGGGATAGAAGGAACAACAGATTATGTGAATCAGCGAATAAAGTTTTATACGTATTAATGCCTGTGATTCACATTTTTGCCTTGTACAACACCCCTGATAAAGACCCAAAGTTGTACGAGGTATGTAGATTTGATAAAAACTTTTCGTTTCGTTAATTCATACTAATCCATTGATACTGTATTAATTCTAGTGCCCAGTCTACAAGAAACCGATAAGGACGTACATACAGTTGATAACACCTCTATGGCTACAAACAAATAGACCCCCCGAGTTTTGGGTCTTACGTGGTGTCGCGTTATTATGTGATATTAAATAATTCATTTCAATAAAATTTTCATTCTGTTTCCACTTGATCAGCTTTGTATTTATCGATACATGGGATAGCTACTGAAATTTTTCGGAGAAATTAAAAAGTTTCAAATCGTTTTGAAAAAATTATGTTCGCTTGCGGGCGTCCATTACGATCATTTTTGGTGAATAGACATACCCTCGAAATCCTACGCACTTTCGAGAAAAAAATTCGAATAGGTGCCTAAATTTTTCGGCAAAAAAAAAGGGTTTCAAATCGTTCTAAAAAAATTATTTTTAGTTGCGGGGGTCGATTACAATCATTTTTGGTGAATAGACATACCCTCGAATTCCTACGCATTTTCGAGAAAAAAATTCTTTACCGAAAATATAATTTCAGGCCCAGAAATGCTTCCCCGAAATGTCGTGCGTATCTTTAAAACGTCATAACTTCTGAACGGATTGAAGGATTTTAATGTTTAAAAAGGCAAATGTCGCGTATTTTAATGGAGATTATGTAGAAATTATAACAATAATGAAAAAGTTGTTCCTTGACCCCGTAAAATGAGAAAAACCACATAAAAATGGTCAAATTTTCAAACAGCTATAACTCCCGCAATAGTGAATATATTTCTATGAAACTTATTTCCGAAGTAGAGCTCATGGGTACCTACAAAAAGGTATTAGACAACTTTTCTGTAGGACGTCAAACACAATTACTAAAAATTAATAACGAATTTTTAAGAAAAATCGTAGGGGGTAGGGTGCCTAAATTTTTCGACGAAATTGAAGAGTTTCAAATCGTTTTGGAAAAATTATTTTTGGTTCCGGGGGTCAATTGCAATCATTTTCGGTGAATAGACATACCCCCGAAATCTTACGCACATTCGAGAAAAAAATTCGAGTAGGTGGAGAAACTTTTCGACAAAATTGAAAAATTTCAACTCGTTCTGGAAAAATTATTTTTGATTGCAAGGGTCAATTACAAACATTTTTGGTGAATAGACATATCCTCGAAATCCTACCCATTTTCGAGAAAAAAATTCGAATAGGTAGTGAAATTTTTTGACGAAATTAGAAAGTTTCAAATCGTTCTAAAAAAATTACTTCCATTTGCAGAGGTAAATAACAATCATTTTTGGTGAATAGACATACCCCCGAAATCCAACCCACTTTCTAGAAAAAAATTCGAGAAGGTGTGAAATTTTTCGACGGAAAAAAAAATTTCAAATCGTTCTGGAAAAATTATTTTCGGTTGCGGGGGTCGATTACAATCATTTTTGGTGAATAGACATACCCCCGAAATCCTACGCACTTTCGAGAAAAAAATTCATTACCGAAAATCTAATGTGAGGCCAGAAAGAAATGTTCCCGCGAAATTTCATGTGATCTTTAAAACGTCATAACTTCTGAACGGATCGAAGGATTTTAATGTCTCAAAATGCAAACAACGCGTATTTTGGTGAAAAATATTTAGAAATTCTAAAAATATTCGGAAAATTGTTCCTTAACGAAACTAATCTAGCAAAGAAGTTCTATATTTACGATAACCTATGCAAAGCGGATCGCAGCCAATTTGCTAATATTATTTAGTTTTTAATTAATAATTGTATTACTCAGCTAAGAGTGATTATTAATTAAATGCTAAATAATACTACCCAGGTCTCACCACGAGGAGGTTGCTGCGAATGGAGACCCACCCTAACCGAATCCCAACCACCCTCCATATTTATGTACCTGCATAGATCGAAAAGCAAAAATACCTGAGCTGTCGAAATTCAAAATTGTATACCGTTAACGCGTAGTCGAATTTTGGAAAGTAAACGAAAGTATTAATATTAGATGGTAACGACTACATATTGCATAAATCATGATCCAATATAGATACATATACATGGTGTAACTTAGCGTATCATTTGGCGCGCTTTTATTTTCTCGAAATTTTCAATTAAAAATTGAAAACATCGGTGAACATGATCGCTCCAGGAAAAATAAAGAAGTTGGATACCGTCGTGGTAAATCGAATTGCAGCCGGTGAAGTGATTCAAAGGCCAGCGAATGCATTGAAAGAATTAATCGAGAACAGGTTAGCTATTTAAAATCTTGTAAATGTTAAATTTCTTTTATGATACACATTTATTTACAAACATTTTAGTCTTGACGCGAAGGCAACTAATATTCAGATAATCGTAAAAGAAGGAGGATTAAAATTATTGCAGGTAAATTTTTTAACTGTATGAACAAAAATATTGTAATAAATTGAACACTTAATATCGTTCCCAGATTCAAGATAATGGTACAGGCATTAGAAAGGATGATTTAGAAATCGTTTGTGAACGTTTTACGACAAGCAAATTGCAAACATTCGAGGATCTTCAATCGATATCGACTTTTGGATTTCGTGGCGAAGCCTTAGCGAGCATTAGTCACGTAGCACTTCTAACTATCACAACAAAAACAGCTGACGAGAAGTGTGCATATAAGTATGTAAACTAAATTTTTATAAGCAAAGTTGTTAAGACTTAAATAATCAAGTATTCTTTGTTTGCATCAGAGCACCGTATATCGACAGTAAACTAAAAGCAACACCGAAACCATGTGCTGGAAATCAAGGTACTACCATAATGATTGAGAATTTATTTTACAATGTTGCGACACGAAGAAAGGCTTTGTCGAATACGTGCGAGGAATTCAACAAAATTACAGACGTAGTTACAAAATATGCAATACATAATCCTATGGTAGGATTTGTACTGAAAAAACACGGTGAAATAACACCTCAGGTATTTCATTATATAAAATAATATTGTAAGACAGTTTTACATTAGCAAAACAGTTTCCTTAAACATTTAGGTCCGTACACCGCATAATTCGACAAAGATGAGTAATACAAGAATACTCTATGGTAATCGAATCTCTCGTGAATTACTAGAAGTAGAACTTACAGAGGAAAGCTATAAATTTAAGATGCATGCCTTAATAACAAATCCGAATTACTCGTGTAAAAGGATGGTATTTCTTTTATTCATTAATAATCGATTGGTAGACTCATCTTGTAAGTACAAAATATTAAGTTAACGATATTTGTCAATGAAACATATAAAATGAAATTTCATTTCAGCAATTCGTAAAATGTTAGAAGAGCTTTATGCTTTTTATCTTCCAAAAAAGACCCATCCATGGTGTTATATATCACTAGAAATTGATGCACAAAATGTTGATGTCAATGTGCACCCGACAAAACACGAAGTTAAATTTCTTCATGAAAGTTCTATCATTGAAAGGATAAAATTTGCTCTAGACGAGAAACTTTCTGGGAACAGTGCTTCTAGAACATTTTATGTGCAAGCACGATTACCTAAAGCTGATATTACTAAAGAAGTTCTAAAAGAAGTTTTGCCAGAATATGAAAAGGACAATAATGATAAAACGAGAAAAATTCGCCCTCAAGATATGATTAGAACTGATTCGGCTGATCAAAAATTGGACAAATTTAATTTTACCATTCACGCATCAATGAAACGTGCTAGAAATGAATACAATAACGAAACTGATGAACTTGTAAATAATTCAATATCCAACGACTCTCAATCAAATACAGTAAATGAAATAGATATCGATAAAAGAGACGAAGTTGATCTACAAAATGTAAATGAAGTAGAACACCTGACACCAGACATAAGTGATGTATATCAAGACAACAGATTATCACCATCTGAAGTAGCAAAACCACAAAAATTAAATACACCGTGGAGTGCTATTGTAAATGATGCGACTCCATCCACATCATCAAATTTAGTAATACCCGATACCTGTGATATAATTTCATCTGCTGGAAATGACCAATACATAATTTCAGATAGTGAATTCGAGGAAAGTATATCGGATAATTTGACAAAGGAAAAAAGTATCGATGTTGTTGCAGAAAAAGCACGTAAACGAGTGCATCAATATTTTGGAAATAAAAATACCATGGCAGAGAACAAATCTGCAGAAGAAACTAGTCCTTCTAGGAAAGAAATAAAAATTGACAATAAGATTGACAATAATAATAAATCTAACAAAGACACAACAAATGTAAATACATCAGTGGAATCTAAAAGTAATAGAAATGATAGTATTAACAGTAAACAAGAGTTTAAGTCTTACTCTGTAAATAATTTTAGAAGAGAAGTAAAATTAACAAGTATTTTAAGGTTACGGAAAGAAGTAGAAGACGAATGCCACGAAGGGCTAAGAGAAATTCTATCGAATTTAACTTTTGTTGGCTGTATAGACCAATCTTCTGCTCTCGTTCAAAGCGGAGTTAATTTATACCTTTGCAATACCAAAAAACTGGCGTAAGATTATTTAAAAATATTTATAAAATATTAATAATACATTAGAGTGATTAAATTATATTTGGTTTATTTAGAGAGGAGCTATTTTACGAAATTATGCTTTACGACTTTGCCAACCATGGAGTTATCAAATTTTCAGTACGTATTATAAAGAAAGACAAAACCATTCTCATTCTAATTAAATTTATGTTCGTTTTTAGGACGCAATCCCTTTGTACGAGCTAGCTATGTTAGGATTAGACACAGAAGAAGCTATGTGGACAGAAGAGGATGGAGAAAAATCGGAATTAGCAACAAGCGCTAAAGAATTGTTATTAGAAAAGGCAGACATGTTAAAAGAATATTTTTCTATTGTTATAGATAAACAGGGAAAATTGAAATCTTTACCAGTATTATTAGGTGAGCATATCTGGTACATTACTAATATTCAAACCGTAATTCAAAACTGTTTATTCTTTTTTTTCCTCAGAAAAATATTTTCCACACGAAGCAGGTCTTCCTCTATATGTACTACGTTTAGCTACTGAAGTCAATTGGTCGTCAGAAGAACCATGTTTTCGAAATATTTGCAGAGAAACAGCGAAATACTATAGTCAAATGAATCCTGTACATAATACTCATGATTGGAGATACATTACAGAGCATGTTTTATATTTTGCAATTAGAGAGAGCTTACTACCCCCTAAACATTTTACACACGATTCAACGATATTGCAAATAGCCAGCTTGCCTGATTTGTACAAAGTTTTTGAAAGATGTTAAACGTATTTGAACCGTATTAAATGTACCAATAAGCCTATAAGATGACAATTCCGATTTTATTATTATTTTTGATACCTTGTTTATTTAACGAATTATATTTAAAATTTCCTAATTAAACGTATATTTTGTTGCATCTATAAACTAAAATGTAATAGATACAAAAGACAGTGTAATAAAAGGAATGATCTGCCGAACATATATATAATATATGTCTATTTGCAGTAATTAAAGAAACATCAAAGTTTAAATATATGTTACATTCTTTTTTAACATTAACTAAAAACTATTTCTTAGTAAGAAAGTTGCCTCTCGTAAAATTTGTATACTTCGAACATTAATTTTTCAACTTCCACATTCTGTATTCATTTTACATTTGAATTTTGTAATATTATAGCAGATATTTTATTTGGTAGTACTTTCTGATAAATCGTATCCTCGTTCTTCTTTAAATCCCTTAACACGAAACCATAAATTATCCTTTAGCAACACCGACTAACGCTGGTCTTACTACTCGTTCGTATAATTTATACCCCAGTTTCGATACAACTACAACCGTTCCTGGTTCTTTACCTTCAACTTCCTATATAAAAATACATTTCTTGTTACTACTTATTACACGACTAAATTACAAACTACTAGTATAAATAAAGTGTATCGTTCTTGCCTGTTGAAACAATGCTTCGTGTTGATTAGGATCAAATTTTTCATTCAATGGATTCAACGAAACTAAACCGTGTTTTTTAAATACCTATAAAGAAATATTTAAAGGTAATAATTCGATATACATAGTACACATTACCTGAAGTTAATATAGCTAGATCGCAATTTCTTATTTACTTTATGCAATTGTGCTTCCGTCATCCTTAAACCCTCGTACAAGGTTTTCAAATGTGGATTCTTTTCTGTGAGTTCGTCTTTCGGTACACTCTCCGTAGCTTTACCTAAAATGTCTGCTACTTCCAAGAGATCTTTGCAGAAGCCTTGGATACCAAACAATTTAGCATCTTCGATTTGCTTCATTAATCTAACTCGAAGATTTTCACCGTCCGCGAGTGCTCTTTTATATTTGCCGTCCAACTCGTCATTATGTCTTCTAAGCTCCGTCAACTCATTATTAAGGAGTTCAAGATCTGCTTTCAATTTCTTTTCATTTTCTGTAAACTCTGGAATTGCAGGTTCCGGCTCTCCATCTTTTGCCTTCTTTTCTTCTGTAATTGTACTATATCCTTGTTGCCACGAAATGTACGATGGCTGGGATAACCTATAAATCGATTAAGTGGTTAGAAGAATCTTAAATCGATTATTCTTTTCAAGACGAAAAAAGCGAATAAACGAAAATAGAGTCGGTTTTTATTCGGTGTATTACAATTTTACTGGCAAAACTTTTACGATACTACAATCACGTTACTACGTAAATAAGCATTACTTAACCTAATCTTCGTTTACAAGTTACAAAACGCACGCAATAAATTGCATGTATTTTGAATTTATAAATCCAGAGAAGAAATCTTACCTAAGTAAAATATTTTTATTTATATTGTGCAAACTATCGATCGTGACACGAGTGAATCTCACTGCAACCGGTACAACGAACGATGCCATAGTCCCCTTGTAATTTCACGAAAAAAGTGATCGGTTAAATGATCCAACTACGCGACGCGATCCTCGTGCTTTCTCAGCGGTTCTCAAATACTTTACGTAACGTGATAAGCACACGGTCAGACTCTCATCTCAACCAAAACAGCATGAAGCTATGCAACATTTCCACACATTACGTAAACATCGTTACAATACTTACAATTCGAGTATTTTGTCACGTAAATACAAAGACTGAAAATTAAACATATTCATCAACAATTATCACGATCAAATCATGATATTTTCAATGTTTTATTGGAATGAAGTGATACAATACAATGAAATCTGTTTGCGATCATAAATTTTTGTGATTTCTATACGCACATTTTAATACCTGCGTAATTTTTTATTTACAAAAAACTGAAACTAATTACTCAACGTGTTAAAACAAGCAACACCCGTAAACAACGAGACCGTACTCTTAATTAGGAAACAAAATTAATTTCGTAGCGTGAACGCGACTTCCACAAACTGCTATATCTTTTCAAATCTAAAATAAGCTAGAAAATTTACCGGTGTTTTTTTTTTAAACGCATGCGATGCTCTAGATCAGAGATAGCGAACGATCGTTCGCTTGTGTAACAACGTGTTATGCTCCCGTAAATAGAACTTAATAACACTGTGTTAAGTTCTTTCTTAGCAACAAGAGTGAATTGCAATTTCTATTATGCTAGATATTTATAAATAAGAATTTGATTTTTGCCAAACCTACCGCGTGTTCTTTTAAAATATCTTTCGTATTATAATTCATGGTATTATTCCCATTTCTTTATAACTGCTCCTTTCACTGTTTGTAATACCGTTTGTTTTTGCAGCGAACGTTTACTGTGAAATTATTGTGACGGTGCAACTACGCTAATTATAAAGGAAATGAAAATATTCCATAAGGTGGCTAGTTTGTTTGCACATTACAATCGTAATAAATATAATGCTCTTAATTGTACGTACGTACTTGGAAAACGTGTGAAACATAACCCGTAAATCGATGCTATTAAATTTGCAAGGAAAAACATTTAAACGGATACAATTTGTTTTGAAGGTTCTATAAAGTGTCATTGACCTTCGATTGCCCATGATCAAGCATTGTATGCATCCTCTTCAGCATACTTGTTCAACATTGAATACAAAAATTAATCTATCTTTTATATAGTATTACATTCCAAGTGTGCAAACGTCAATCAACAAATTCTACTGATAAAATTACTTAATCACTAAATTTTTCTTTAATGTACATAAATAAATCATTTATCAATCAACTATACCTTTCACGTGCCTCTAGCAGATTAAATGTCAATTTTCGTTTCGTTTTATGTTAGGATAGGACGAGGTCTACAAATGTTTTAAGAAATTTGTCGGCACACGAGTCTAAAAAATGCACAAGTCGTTAAAGCTTGTACGAAATTATGAACGTTCATTAAAATTTGTCTTTTTCTTTACATATTGAAGTGAAGGTACAGAGTAGATAGCTACTCTTTCGACTGTTACTCAAAACATTTAATGTTTTGGTATTATGTTTGAAAGAACTGTGTGTCGGGCGTAATGCCGAAAAAAAAAAAACAGACTGACCACACATTATCAACCGTTTGGCGTCATTTTTGAAAATATCTAAAATACATAGAGGTTAGAATCCTTCTTGATACTGTTTCGAGTCTAGCTTCGCTTGAATCACTTCCAATTGTCTTTTTGCTTCGCATTGTGGGAAATTTTGTAAATCATAATATTGTGGTGCTATCTTTAGCAACCAATCGGCTGTAAAACAAAAATTCGTTAATTATTCTATAATTTTTATACATTTTAACGACATCGTGATGTACAAATGTTTCGTTACGACTTACGTTTGATATCGGTAACTGTTCTGATATAGTTTTTCGTCGTAAGCACAAACTCGTTATAAATTACCCATTCTGGTTTATGGTCTAAACAACTACTCGGGTGAAGCTGTACAATTTGATTATCTTTAATGGTCAAATAATGGCCAGTTCTTTCTAAATGAGCAACCTGTTTACAAAGCAGAAGAAATTAATGAACAGTGAACAGTGTTGATAACACAGAGGCATTCTTAATTACATCGAGGATCTGTTGTGTAATTACCTGCATAAAGAATCCGTTCACAAGCGCTTTTCTGATATTAATGTAATAATCTTTTGATGTGAAGTCCGTTGAGGTACGTTTCAAACAAAATCTGTCCATTATTCTGCTCAGCTGTTGTCTGACGTTGTCACCGCTTTTTAAGGATCGATAATTAACGAAATTATCGTAACACCATTGTGGGTCTTCGATGTCTGTGAAAAAGGAATGCATCCAAGTTACAATTAAATGAAGAATCATGTAATTTAACACGGTCACAGTCACATCGAGTCTCATCTGTCCCTCATCTAAGAATATAAACATACTCTCTTCAATCGCACATAAAAAAAGTGATGAATATGTTCTATAATACTTCCTTAGCTTTTCATTAGTTTTGGAACAGTTTTCTGTTGCAATAACAGTTGTAAATAACTCATACACAAATTTAAACATAAACTGCTTTCTACATTAAGAGCACGTAACTTCTAATTCTGTACTTGGCCTAGATACGGGTCAAGGTATGTGCGAGTATAGGAGTATGCCGGTCCAAATATGGGTCAATGGACTGTGAATGTGTTCATAATTCTCTAGAAAGATTACGTAAACACTTACTTTGTTTGAAAGCATGATACACGTTCAGCAACGTTAAATGATCCCCGTCGATGTGCGCAAAACGCATTTTAGCGTCATCTGCAGCCTTCTTTGATTCATTTGGCCTCACAAAACACTGTGGGACTAATACAATATCAATCATCAATATAAAACACCATATTTCCTTACCACGATTCTGACTTTATATTAATTTTTATTTTTATTACATTACAATTATCTTGCTTTTAAACGGTAAGAGATGTCGAGCGGATGAACCTAATATCATTTCACGGAAACATAAAGCGTTCTTACTAATACTTTACCTGAAAGCATAGCAGTAATGCTAAGTATCTCGTTACTGCAGTTATGATTGCAAGATGCGATTAGCATTTTCGCTAACTGAGGATCTAACGGGAATTCAGCCATCACAGCCCCCAAATCTGTTAGATTTCCATCGTCGTCCAGCCCTGCCAAATAATTAAGAAGCTCCAAAGCTCTCATCAGAGTTTCTGGCGCGGGAGGATCCATAAAGTCAAAATGAACCTACAGAAGAACATAAAGAAAAAAATTATATGTCCAGCATATATGTAACACCAAAGAACAACGTTTTAAACAAACGTACGACGTACCAAATCATCGATGCCAAGTTTTTTCAGTTGCAATACAACGCTACCAAGGTTTGATCGCAATATCTCTGGATAAGTGTTTTCCTGCATTTCATTTTTGTACGCTTTCTCTGTATACAATCTGAAACATTTTCCGGGTCTTGTACGACCAGCTCTGCCAGCTCTTTGTTGTGCAGAAGCTTTGCTGATAGGCGATACGAGAAGAGATTCTACACGAATTCTGGGATTATATACCTATTGAGAAAAACAATGAAATTATCAAACAATGTATAAATACATAGCAAGAAGAAATCGCAGTGTATTCGTACCTTCTGTTTTGCAAATCCAGGATCTATTACAAAGACAACACCATCGATGGTCAATGATGTTTCTGCAATATTAGTTGAAACTACTACTTTTCTACCTATAGCATCGTTAGGCTTTGTAGGTGGTGCTGGTTCAAAGATTCTTTGTTGAAGATTTGGAGGCAATGTAGAATAGAGTGGTATACATTTAAGTTCCCCTACTTCTGGACCCAAATTATCCATTTCTCTTTTGATTCTCTTACAAGCTTCTTCGATCTCTTCTTGACCGGTCAAGAATAAAAGTAAGTCTCCCACTATGTCTTCGCACATATGTATTTGAATAACTGTTCTGATAGCAGCCTCTAAGTAATCTCTTTCAGGTTCGGGTGTATAAAATATCTCAACAGGATGCGTTCTGCCAGGTACATTCATTAAAGGTGCATTATCAAAATACTGTTGAAATTTTCCAGCGTCTAAAGTCGCACTCATAATCACAAGTTTTAAATCTGGTCTCTGTTTAATCACTTCTTTCAACACGCCCATAAGTAAGTCTGTAGCTAAAGTCCTTTCGTGAGCTTCGTCTAGTAGTATCACTTGATACGCGTCGAGCATAGGATCGGACATGCCTTCGCGAAGAAGCATACCATCTGTCATATACTTTAAAACAGTTTTCGGAGAACTACAGTCCTCGAAACGAATACTATATCCTACTTCTTGACCTATTTGGCAACATATAAATCATGTATAAATATTAAACTGTTTAATTCTGTGATATGTACAATTTACCTAATGCGACGTCCATTTCTTCGGAAACTCTCTGCGCTACAGACATAGCCGCTACTCTTCTCGGTTGTGTACAAGCAACACCCTTAATGCCAATACATCTTGAATATTCTACGCACCATTGTGGTATCTGTGTGGTTTTACCTGACCCTGTTTCCCCAACGAGTACGATACATTGATGTTGCGCTAATAATCTCATAAAATCAGTACGATATTCGAATACGGGTAATGTGATTCTTTTTTTGTAAAATTCGTGATATCTTGGTGTGTAAGGCAGACCATTGTAAGGATTGAGTTGAACTTGGTTTTTTGGTGCTGTTGAAGGTGCAGTCGTGCTGTTAGATGTCGAGCCATCCCTGCAAGAAACAATTAAACTAAATGTCTAACAAAATTTATATATTATTTAAAAACAAAACTTAGTCGAATAACGAGGCGCTGAAACAATGAAGGTTGAGAACACTTGATTGGTTAGGAAAACCAATTAGATAAAAAACAAATGATTTTTATATTTTCACTCGTGCATCTTTGATACGTGTCCATAATCGATCGTAACACAGAGACACTATCTTTGTAAAGAAGTTTTTCTCTAATTATAATTTTTTTCGCAAATATGTTAATGCATAATATTCGATCGTTGCAACGAAAATTCAGTTGAGAACCTTTGCGACAGAGTTGACCAAACAAGTCAACAGCAACCGAGAAAATTTACACCACAAATTGAAAACGTTGACGGATAAAATTCTTTCGTTGTATTATTAATCAGGATAAATGGAATCCTTTTATGGGAATTATTTTAAGGATACAATATTTGTTCAATGTGATGCGCGGTAGCATTGAAAAAACTTGTATCAATGCACATGGCAAGATGTCTCGTTCAATTTTTCAGCTTTTTAAATTGAAAATGCAATAATGTACTCACGCCTTCCGCTTAACATACGGATCCACAACCTCGATCCTCCTTTTCGACATAATTCTTGTCCCTCCGCAGGCAAGGAAAGCAAAATCTGTTTACGAATTTTCACAGAAGGCGTCACAAAATGGCAAACTAACAGGCTAAAGCTTCCTGTATTCGTAATGGTGTAAATCAACGAGAGATGGAGCTGCCGTTCTCGCAGGTAACTATGGCGCAACAGTGCGCAAAAAATACATTCTTTACGTGTTAATTTGAAATTTGAAATGAACACGATACCCGTCCATTGTAAATAAACGGATGAATTTGGAATAAAAATGATATTTATTTATAGATATATTACAATTAAAAAAAATATAATTGAAGCAAAGTAGCCATTAAAGGGTTATATTCCTGATAATGTACATTGCTTCGTTATCGCATCCAAAAAGCAAGGTCGATCTGTTAATGTCAATACTGTTTATTGGTTTGTGCATAGCACTACAGAGCGACATTACATTAACTTTTCCATTTGTTCCTATTGTGTTTAACCAATGCGTGTTTGTAGTATCTAAAACAAAGATCACGCCATTTTGCCGTATATGCATCGTCAAATTTACGACAAGCATTTTTAATATATAAAACCTACCCAAATTCAACTTTGAATGTTGAGCGTTATTCCAGTGCCACAATTCGCCACTTGTTGAACACGTGAATAGATTTTCGGGTCTATCAGGATGAAAAAGTATTTCGCTAACGGCTTTAGCGTGAGCATTCAGTTGAGACATGGGATATGTATTGTGCCTCAAATCCCATACTGTTAAACTACCATCACCTCCACCGGCAACAACAATATGCCTCTGTGTTGGATGATGCGCAATGCTTGTAGCTTCAGTCTGTAAAAGACTTCATTTTGTTAGTAACCTTCTGCCAGAGACTGAGTACTTGGGAAGGATCAACATATACAATACTTAATTAATTTGCCAGAAATAAAAATAGACAACTCGTACTTTTGTCTGATCCGAAAGCATAAAGGTTGTGGCAGGTAGATCTTGGTCGCTTCTTAAATCCCAGACTTTCATGTGTCCTCTTAAGTTTCCTGTAAGTATCTCATTATGCCTTAAGAAATCAACGCAGTATATAGAACAACTATCAGCCTCGTCTATAAAACAAATTAAACATTTATGAAATGGATGTTGTACTAAATACTACATGTTTACATTAATATTATATTTACCTATGATTCTAACCGCATCCTTTTGCCCAGCAGTTAAGAGATTAATTTTCCCATCTTCTCCTACAGAAACTATATCTTGCTCAAAGGTAGAAAGTGCTGTACAAGATGCGTAATTAGACGATTTTCTATAAGAATAAATTAATGGAATATATGACAGTTGATAAATTATGTCAGATTCGACTCTATTCATGAAACTTACTTAAATTTATGTATGAATTCCCAGGACATGTGTTCTTTAAATTGAGAATATGGATTTTCATGGATTTGTAATAATTTTACAGTGCCTATGGATGATGACGCCACAAAGAAGTCTCTCGATATAAACTAAGAAAAATGATAGAATGCTGGTACAGAAATATCAAACAATCTGTTACGATAATCTAGTTCTTACAAGAGTTCTAAGGGCTTTCGCAAATGTTCATGAGCTATAAGGGAAGGTGTTACATTTTGTCAAACATTAGAAACCTTTATTTCGGTTACATCTCCAAGGATCGCATGGGACGAAACCACTGCTGGATAAGATTCGCCATCATCGTTCACTTGAAACGTCCAATGCGTTAGTTTATTCACCTACAGTCAAAATTTCAATATTATGAAATTGTTGAAACACGTGTGTACATATTTTATTTATAAGACATAATAAGGCAACTAATGATATAATATAGTATTTATTTATCACAATTTAATCATCAGAAGGCGCATCTATTTCGGAAGTTTCACTGTATTTATGTGCATATGAGGAAAATGGGTTTACTGGAGATAACCTTACCGGATCATCCCAACTACCGGTCAAAAAGTTGTTTGCCTCCTCGAAATCCTCATGTTTCCAACGGATCTTGGAAATTTTCTCCGATACAAATGTTCCTTGTACATTTTCGCTCATCTTATGACATGGATTACGATTTAATTTAGGATACAACAGTAAAAAGCGAGACCAACCTAACCAACAGCAACTGACACAAGAGATTGATAAAAAGACCGCGAAATGCGATCGTCGCGACATCACCTTTTTCAAAAGTTCACGTGCATATCTTTTTCCGTATTATGGAAAGTAAACACGTTCGAACAAAATTTCTTGACATTCTATTCGTTGCATTTCTTACGTTTTCTTCGTACTTTTCGTTTCTTTTTAAAAGTTGACAATTTCATAAGTTCGAGAGAAGAACTTTTGAGAGATAAAAAATCAATAACAAATGTTACATGATTCGGGTACGTATGTAAACAATGTTCTCGAGGAACGATTTCTACAGAAAAGTCGATTACAAAGGGGTAGGGATTCATCTATTTTATAAATCACCGGAGACATAGAGAGCAGTTACGTGGCGTCAGGTCACGAAATAGGTGTGTATACCTAAACGTGCATACTTGAATCTTGAATTAAATTACTTGAAAAAAAATTTGTAAGATATTTTTAAAGTTTTAATTATTTTAGTACGCTGAGCTATTTTTAGGAACAACGGGGAGTAAGACTTTTTTTAACTGGAGTCGATTTCGAGCGATTTTTTATTGAACTTTTTCTCGCGATGACATCGAGCGTTTTATTGTTCTTCTATCTCAGTACGCTCTACTTAACTTGGTGTGATGCAAGCGATGCAAGCCTACCCAAACTTTGTAAGTATTAGAACTATTAAAATACAACAAACGACTGTTGCTTGCTTTCGAAAAATTGTGGACAAATTAAAAATTTTTTTTTTAAATTTCAGCTATTCTAGATGTAAATGGAACAACCGAAGAAGACGTGACGGAAACGCAATACGCGACTTGTAAAATCGCAACGGAAGAATTGGTCGCTAGTGCGCGCGCCACTGTTAGAAGTGTAATTACCGGAGCTTGCAGCGCAAGTGAGGAATTATTTTTCAAATTCAATTCCGATAATTATTATCCATGTTAACAAAAATCAATTTTTAGAAACAATAGGCAAGAGACTGCAAAGTTTGGAGAATAAGTTGACCGGAGAATTGAGGGAGATCAAGACGATACTATACTCTATTTTACAGAAGAAAGAAGATTCACCTAAATCCTTAAAAACGTCCACGAACGAGAAAAGTATAAACAAGAATAATTATCGCGAAGACGAAAACGATGCTCCGTCACCGAGGCAGTTAGAAATTGACAAATTCAACAGTACCGTCGTGACGAATTTATCAGTAAACGGTTCGTCTATCTCGTATAAGAGTTAGGCAAATTTTAACAACGAATAAAAATTTTCGATTTATTCGTGAGTAAAATTTGCTCGACAATTGTAACGATGAACAAGACGAAAATGTAATAATTTCGATGGTATTTTGATATGTCCAGGATCTACGAGTTCCTTTTTTTACTACTGGCAAATAAAGGGGTTCAGCGAGAAGCTTGCCGGTTGGAAAACTGCTCGTTCCGAGCGTAGTGGGACGTTTTATATCGGTCAAAATGGATATGCCATGTACATCAAGGTTACACCAAGCTATTTTTCGAACGGCACTGTCTTCATGAGCATTGGACTGACTCGTGGTCGTCACGATTCCCTTCTTAAATGGCCGTTTTCGCATAGGATACGCCTCGAGGTAACGCAATTTCATTTCGACGACTTTAAAACAATTTTAAATAACAAATAATAATATATAAATATTAACACATTACCGACCGATAGCCTATTAATCGACTTTTTTACCGACCGATAGCCGATTAATCAATCGCTACCGGTCGGTAAAGTGTTAATAATACATAAATAACAAATAATAATATATAAATATTAATAATACATAAATAACAAATAAAGACTACAATGAATGAACTTCAGGTTTTAGATCATTCGACCGAGCAGCCGCGGCTAGATCGACGATCGAGGATCTGGGATCCGTCTACGCTCTGCTCGGAATATTTTTGGGATCGTCCAAAATTAACTGGAGAACCAGACAATCCAGAATGCGTCGGATTGAGCGTTCCGCGAAAAATTCTTTTTTCCAAGATATTTTCGATCGATCGCGCCTCGAGACACACCAGATACCTTTGGAACGGAACTATCACGATACAGCTGACGGTTTTCCTTTAAATTCACCCTTTATCCGTAGATCCTTGGACGCGAAACTAATTCTGTTTCTCTATTAATTTAGCGAAGCACCACTAAACACAATAAGTTTCCAACAAACATTAGATTTAAGGAAATAAAGTAACCGTAGAAATGTCCTATTTAAGTTTGAATCAGACTCGTAGTTTGAATTGTCTATTTAATACCGTTGCTTGTTAACAGGTTGACAAATGAAATACATACAGTTCGACACCCTCTAAACAGTGCCTAGACCGTCTTACCCTAAACCTGGTTTTGCTGCTATGCATACGTATAAGTACAACGTAAACAATGAATCGTGATCTAAACACTATGTAGGTCGCTAGGTAACGGTAATAGATATATTCTACTTACACTAGAGACGCTTTTTTTTTTATTAATTTTCATTTGAGTTTCAACAAAGGTAGAAGCAATTTCACGAAAGGAACACGTCTAATCGTAAATCGATTGTGTATCTAACGTCGGAATAAATTCTGTAATATACATATAAAGAAGAAACGTGTAATCGATGTGTTTCTTTCTGTTCACCCAGTTATGGCATAACGAGATCCGCATCGTCGGTGCATCGAAGCGTTCGAGTTACTCTAACGAGGACGATGGAACGTCGAGCCTCTTGTGCAGAGGGATTTTGCCGGACAAGTATACCTGCGGGACGTCCGATAACTGATAATCGTTCGTGTCACGATCAATCGTGTTTCGTATGTTCTGAGATGCGATTCTCAGCAACGCGTTGTAGATAGAAAGCGGCAGACGAACGCTGCCAGCCGCTTGGAAATCTTGAGAGGACGGGTTTTCCTGGTAATTCCTCTTCTTCCCGCATCCTGTGAACATTCAAACGCAACAGAATGATCTAGGGAAGCTAGGAATGATCTAGAAGTTTGTTTTAAATATGTCTCACCGGTGAAAGCATTGCAGAACGGTCTCTTCATCTTGAGCGACTCGTCTGGCGTAAAAGCGTCAAAGAATTGTTGTTGGATCTGAATATTAAATTATTCGTTAAATTATCGATAATAATTGCTATTCTTCGTTCACGAATATATTTTACCTTGCTTTGAGACTTCTCGGTGTGTGTCATTTTGACGATACACGCGAATGCCAAGGCGCAGCAGACGTAGTTGATTGCCTGATCAAGCGAAACGATTTATCATTCGTACAAGAGCATGTAACTTTTCATCGATAGCCAGAAACAAACTGTTATTTCGTTAAATGTCGAAGAAAGTTGTTGGCAAACGGTAATGAAAACGCTTAAAATCCATAACGAAATCTCGATAATTACACGGGCCGCGGCGTAATTTCTAATAAGCACGCTGGTTATATAAGTGTCGCACGTGAAGCTTTCGAACATGTTAACTGTTGTAATCTGCTTATGACTATAATCAGGTTTCTACTGCGGTTAATTAATGTCCAACGATACTGTCGGTCGATCGTTCCTTCGAGCGATACGTTCGTCATCCGCGCAAATAATGATTTTAAACGGAACCGACGGCGCGACTCAAAACGAGCAAAAACACCACGCATCGATAACAGAGATTAAATCTGTACTCTGATTACAAATAATCGCTTCGTTATAATGTAATAACGTCCCATTAGCCGGATATTATCTCAGATATTTTCAACGAGCCGATCGCGCCTTTCGAAATCCTGATAGGCAATTTCAAATATAATTATATGGCTGATAGAGAAGGTGAATTGGAAAACAACGTGGCCGTTTAAGAACCTGTCAGTCAAAGAATCGACGCGCGATAATGCTGAGAGTTTGCTAAAAAAAATAGAAAATATATCGAGAAAACGGACAACTTCAATGTCTTTGCTTTTTTATATTTTTAAAATACCAAGTACTATTGTGAAATAATTTTGGCGATTTCTTTGCACGTTAAATATTTTTTTAAAACTGACTTTGTACTTTCACTTTTGAGAAATTGGATATTCTATTATTTAACTGTTTCAGTGTCTTTCTGTTTAGCAACGCTTAGTGTACCCTGGCGAATGGCTTGGAAGAATGCAAACACTACCCCCGGATCGCAATATGTGGTTAAAATAGGGAAGATTTTGCAAAGGATAAGTGTAAAATAAATATTTTAATTTGATGATCTTGCATGGAGGAGAAGCATACAAATTGAGGTCTTTGGAAACTTTCAAATGCTGATAAAAAAGTACTTTGTTAAATCTATTTCCATTTTCAGAAACTAATTTTGCAAACACCTGGAAACACTACAGAACATTTTCTTGTCTGATACAAATTCTATCGAAGACGCAGGCCTAGTCAAGTATAAAAGGACGAAAACAATACGAATGATTTGGAAGCTACTGGAGAATAAATTCAATTCAAAAAACAAAGTTAATGGGTTTAATTATATAATCCATTCGACGTTGAAAGGTCACACGTAGTTCTCTGCGTAGTTATAAATTGAAAACTGCATCTTGGGAGTACAAAGTTTCACGTCTTTCAGGCTCCAAAAGAATCAAGAGAAGAAAACTGAGTAAACCAAGAGGGAAAAGTTACCTTCATTGCGGATCTTTTGTCCAGGCTATCAGGTTCCCACGGTACGAAGAAAGATATCTGGAGATGATCTGTCCCAAAACTCTGTAACTTCCTGTCGAGCTGCGTCTTCCGGCAAAGGGTTGTCGTTCGCGCGAAGGAGTCAAGTCTGCGTGTGAGGGTTGAAAACGCGCGTCGGCTCTTCAAATAGCACCCCCTCTACTTCATATACCGATCGAGGGCGTAAATACACACGCCCCGAAGAACGCATGACCGTTCATAATGGTCCTCGCGACCGTACATTTTATGTTCCTTGCCCTGGAATGCGGTTAGTTTTGCGTATCCTCTGCAACTTGGTCATGTAAATTGCTCACCAGTACGCGTTACATCCTTCGACGTCTGTTTCGTGCAACCGCTGATGCGTCAAAGGGCAAGACCATTCTCGAGACTTGGTAACTGCGTTTGTGAAATAGGTCGAAGAGCTCTGACCGCTGAAAACATTAGAATTAATGTATTTGATGAACCGAAAAGAAGAATTTCGAGTACAACTTACTGACAGTGTTGTATCTACATACAGGGTGGGAATTGTTTCAAGTCATAACTCCGTTATTATTGCATTTCCGAAAAAATGCCAAAGGAGAAAGATACATTGCTCGAAGAGCACTACATCTGTAGGCGTTTAAATTTTTTTTAGATGCAGCAGTGCATGTGCAATTAACAATTGCATCGTTTCTTTAAATTGAAATGCATATTTTTTTTTAGACAGATCGATTCTTCTGTTCGTTCTGCGTAAAAAATGATTAAGGTACCATGGCAAAAGAATTATTAGATCTCGAGATATTTTCAAAAAATGTCTTTATCGAAGAAGATGGCTCAAATGATGAACAGTTCCGTTAACCAGCAAATTTTCGTGTTACAAAATCTTAATGATTTAAAATGTATTAGTAACAAGTTGCTTCAGAATGAAAAGATCATGTAAAAATGTAACTATTAAGGTAGCCATCTCGATTTTGTTGGAAAATGGACTTACGCCACTTTCAAAATAAACGGCACATATACTCTACTAAATTATATAGATACAGAAGACTGCACAAGACAAAAAACCTTGTCGGGATATCTGAACAACAGCAGGAGTATGCGGCTAGATTCTAAGATAAAACTACTTGAATTACTCCGACCGTTTATTGAGCTGAGAATTACAAAGCTAAACCTGACCCCGGAATACATCTATAGTTTAAGTTACAGGTCAGCTGGTGAATTATAAAAGAAAAAAGGCGTTACTGCGTTTATTCTATGTACAGTGAAAGACCATTAAAAGGACAGTAAATTAATTTGTACACGAATAAGAATTAAAGACCTATAAATAAATAAATACATAGACAATTTAGTGTCTATTGTCATTTCAAACGGCGCTACGAATTAAAATAACGATTTAATCGAATTTAATTCCTGAGCGAATCGAGTTCCATTTTCGACGATTATAATAACGTTTCTTTTACCGAGAAATCCTCAACGAGTGCTGAGAGATGTAAGTGCTCCGGGAACGTGGTACGAAACGCCTCGATAGTTTTCAACTCCCCGTGGTGTACACGTTGTTTTGGTCGTGTAAACGAGGCGGTAAAGTAGAATTCTGAAAATATGCAAACACCGAAAATGGAAGATCGAAGCGAGGATGAAATCGAAGGCAGGAAGCGGCCCACGAAAAACCGACCGATAAGAGACGTTCTGTGTGTAAATCAAATGAAAGCAGGCGGGGTTTAAGTACTTACAACGTTCGCGCATCAGAACCCGCTGAGTTACGCTAAGGTCGTTCAACCCTTGGCAAGATCGTCCCCTCTCCCTCGTTTCTTCTACATTAAAATTTCTTAATCTCAACGTTGTACGGCCAATTCCACTTGCACCGCTCTAAACAAAACAAAATAAAATTATCATAAGTCGAATTCGATTATTAATCTTTGCATATCGTTATCATTGTTCCTTTTAATTTTTTTTGTTTTTTTGCTATTCAAATGGTTTTCAACGTTATACCAAGTATATACATGTATAGCCAATATTAAGTTAATCGACTTAATATCGTAAATCACAACGGATTCATGCTTCATGAATAAGACATGCGTCGAGAGTAGTATTACCGTTGATATACGACTCTCTTTACCCATAAAGTGAATGAACGATGCCAAAGGAACTGCTATATTTTCTTCGATAAAAACGTTTCTATGCAAATTGTTTTATAAAAATTGTACAAAAACGAAAAATGTTTAAGTAAAAGATCATTGATGTATATTGTATCTAATCGAGCCAAAATATACAAGAGAAATAATTGTAATTTATTTTTAAATAAAGCTTCCGATAAAATTGAAAACAAAAGTTTTTTAATATGAATCTACGATACTACATTAATTACGAAAATTGAGACATCAATTGCCCGGATAGCTCAGTCGGTAGAGCATCAGACTTTTAATCTGAGGGTCCAGGGTTCGAGTCCCTGTTCGGGCGCACCTTTTTTATAGTTAAATTCGTCGAAAATAATAAGAGTTTCAACGTTACTCACGATAAAAATATTCAACGCAATGTTTAAAAAATCAATACCAAAAAATGGACTTCTAAAAAAAATGGATATCTTACGATGTTCGATATAATCGATTACAGTGATAATATAGGATTAAATGTAATTGTAATGGGATTGAATATTTTTGGAAGTTATTATGGGATAAACAACGAAACTGTTTGATGTAGTATAGAAATATATACTTCAGTATATGTTCAACTTTTTGTTTACATCACTATTTCATTGTTTCACAACCCGCTTACATAATTATTTGATCACGTTCCACAGCATACTTAAGACAAAACAATTGGATAATAAGTATATACCGCTTTTCCATAAATGACTACATAAATATCTAAAACCAAGTACAGAAAATATTTCAGTCTGTATAGCACAATCTCCTTGGAATTCCATTTGTAGGAAGAGTAATGCAAAATCACGATATGTACAAAACTATGAGAACAATGAAAATAAGTATGAATGACAAATAAATATAAATATGTAATATCACTTCTGAGGTAGGACAAATATTCCTTTTGTCGCACATTATGAAAATAAATTTGAGTCAATACACGCATATCGTAAAACTTATCCCTAACATTTAAATCAATGTTATCAAAAGACCTTAAAATTGTTCTTTAATGCTGCCATCGGGCATACCAAAGAATGCTTTTTTAACCATGTTTATAAAGAGGCCTGTTTCGACGACTCCAGGCATCATTGATATTTCGGTATTAATATTTTTCCAATTACTCAAATTTTCTGGAAAATCCCAGTCCAGAATAAAATTACCATTATCCGTTATAACTGGACCCTGGACAAAGAACATAACAAGAAATGTACTTAATATAATATTGGTTAATATTTCAGAAAATTGTAAGAAAGACCTACAGCCTTAGCTAAAGCCATTCTAACTTTTACAGTTCCCCCATAAGTACTTTCGATTCTCCTTTGAATGGCAACGTACGCCATAGGAACTACTTCGACTGGAATACCTTTTTTGTAATGCTCTCCAAGTTTCTGAGAATTCTTCCTAAAAAAAAATGAGAATATGTTAGCGAAAATAAGTATCGGCAATAAATTCCTTAAGAACCTAACGCTTACGTATAATCAGCTATTATAACAAATTGATCTGTGCAAGAAGCAACAATTTTTTCTTGAAGCAAACATCCTCCTCCACCTTTGATAAGATTCATCTCAGAATCGACTTCATCCGCTCCATCGATTGCGCAATCCAACTGTTAATATTTAGTAATATAACAACATAGAAACTTAATTCGTAAACAATATAAAAAGAAAATCCTTTATTACTTTGGGATAGGTTTCTAAATCGCCCAACGTAAGGTGATTATTTAATATCAACTGACGAGCCTGAAACGAGGTTGGAATACAAATAATGTTAAGATTCTCTTCCTTCACACGTTCGACTGAAAAATACAATTATTTAAAGATATTTTTTAACGACTCGTTACATTTACAAACAACGTATACCGCCAATAACATTAAGCATCGAAATAAAATTTATTACTCTTACGTTAGAATGTACAAGTCATAATTTCATTCAAGAAATGTACAATCTTATCTCCTGACATGGTCAAAGATCACATTCCGCGATTATTAAACGTAAAATTAACGAAAATGAATTTATAGCACATTAGATCACTTTATCGTAAACAATCGCACGTAGATGCAAGATAAAAAGTTTTTACCCAGTCGAAGGACAGCATAGATAATAGTAGACCCACTACCGATTCCGATAACGCTATTATCCTGCAAAATAATCGTGCGGAAAATTCAAACAATATTATACCGGTGCATCCGTATAACCTGTAATTTCTCGTAACGCGTTTAAGACGAGAATTACCTTTACATATTCATCGACGGCTTTATAAGCCGCGACTTTTTTAGCACTTTCGAGAGGTCCCATTTTCAATAAGTTCCTTGTAATCCTCCTAAAAACTTTTGTAGTTGATCGAAACTGCAAGCGTGAACCGCGAACGGGCACCATATATGCACACTACATGACCGAATGTCGCGTGTAATCTGCAATCATTCTTTCTAACCGACGGATTCGTGCGCCTGTCCGGCGCCAAAATTCAAATTCAAATACGCTTCAGACCGTCCTGGATCTGATAAAGTAAACATAAGCAATGCGGCTTAATCGAATTTCCATTATATTCAGCATCAGAGTTTACATTTCAACATTCAACACAATTTACATTTCAATAATTATTATGTATAAGATTTCACTTTAATTCTCTATTAGTACTTTAATAATAATATTCGTCTCAACACTTTCCATTTCAACGTGTCACGCACAGTATTTCTGTTTATCATTGTAGTCTCTCTCGCTCGCTCTTTCGTTCATCACGCTCGTATATTTTTTATATCGGTTGATTCTTAAAAATCAGGTAAAAATCGGCGAACAATCGTCCGCGCTGGTAATTTTATTATGTACGTATTCGAGCAGGCTAGGAAAAAATCGTTAGCAAAATCCATGTACGCCGTTTAGACGTACTTTCCTGAGCGGCAGCATCGTCAAGAGTAAAGGGGGCAATCCACTTTGTCCGACGAATGACAAACTTTGACCGTCCGTGTCGACGCGCAGGGCCGAATTAAGGTAATTTCGTGCAAACTTAACGCTATACCGATTATGTAGAGGTCAGCCTTGCGTAATACGACCAGGACATCTATCGCCGATTCGTCCTACGAAAGTATCGAAACTTGCACACACATGATATCGATGAATTCTTTTAGTTTCAATCTTTTTTTTCTTAATCATTTTTATTATTTTTTTTAAATCCTAAGCGACGCGTTACGCTTAATGCGGCCGTGCCGACGAACAAGTCCGTGATTTCGATAAGTTTGCAACAACGCTAATGCAGTGTGTAGGTCAATGTCTGTGTCCAAAGACGCATTTTCGGTCTCGTTTTTTCTCTTTTTTTTCTTCTTTCTCGATAGTCTTTTCCCCGGCCACGGGGACAATCACTTTCGAGACAATCGAAGACCCCTTCGACCGAAAAGTTCTCAAAGCGAAAAATCTTCAAAGATAAAGGGAAAAAATGTGTTCTCTTTCTAACCCTCTCGTACAGGGGCGCACACGCACGCGTAAACATATGCACACACAGTCTCTCTCTCTTTTTTTTTCTCTCCTCTGCTTGCTCGACGAACTAGAAAGGACTTTGTAGAGAGGCGTCGTCTCGTCGGCTTTCTTTTTGATTCTACCCTCCTATCCCGTACACCACCCTTTGATTAAATAAAACGATAATATAAAAAAGGAAATCGGTGTCTAGGTGTTAAATGGCCACGGAAGCCGCTACATATTTGTTAACCCGCTCATCTTTCTAATGTTGATACATACATATATATGCGCTTTGCTAGCTCCTACAAATTTTTCTCTATCGTGCACTCCTCCGTACACCACCCGCTTCTCTCCTTTGGCAAGGATTACAATTAAAAGTTATCAAGCTTTTCGTGGAAAATACCAATGGCTTAGGATATTATTGATAATAATACGCTCGAACGATCGACTCAAAGAAAGATAACTCGCGCGAGTTATTTTTACTTATTTTTTCACCCATCATTTGGATCTGGACGAGGAAACCTGCACGGCACACGGCATGATATCCGCCCAAAGTGACGAGATCTCGCGCGGATCCAACGACATTAGGCAAATTCGCGCGATACGTTCGACGAGTTAATCGACGATCTTTATACATATATATGTATATGTATACGTAGGAATCGATGTCCCCCTAAAATTATTTTAACGCGTTCGCTTATTTAAGTCTCATATTCTGTGTTACCTCCGTTCGTCGCTCGAAAATTTCTCGATTGCCCGTGTTCAATGTCGATCACCACGAAATTCCTCGAGGAAAAGAAAACTCTGACGTGAGGAAGGCAGCGGCGACGGTTCTTGATCGTGCATACACGTATATATATATATATCACAGTACAAAAATACTGTGGAAAATATAGTATAATAAATATCCTTAATAGAAACGGAAGTTTCCTTTCTCACGTTTACAATTTTTTTTGCTTTTCTTTTTTAACCCTTTTTTTGTTTGTTTCTTTGCTTATTGGCGATAGAGTACATTGATCCGAGAGTGATTTCGATCTAGTCGCGCGTCGTTGAACGGCAGAGTGTCATTTTTTATGTAAACGACACGTCCCCTTCGTTAAAATTATCGTGTCGGTATGTTACAGTCGGACTCCCGTCCCGCTCGATTGGGCTACTATCTACATTACAAGCCCAAATATTATTATTTATTAATAAATCGATTATAACGATAAGAAACGGTATCGCGATAAGAGCGTACTATACGATAAATCATCGAGATTCAATTAAATTTCAGAAATTTCGTTTCTCCCTACAGTCTCGGTTCCCAAAAATTTTTTCTCCTCCTCTTTTGCCATTGTTTTTTGTTTTCGGTGTACCTTCAGCCGCATATTATTATTAAACTTTTCCTTTCATACGTGTACACACGTACGAGTGTTTTATGTTTACGAACGTAGCTCGCGCGTGTATTCGTGTATACATATAAATATATATATGTGTATGTATATCTATATGTATATGTTTATTATTCATATATTTATATTTATACGGTAGGCAATGATACGTAAAATATTGTTTAAATACAAATCGAAATTTCGTTCCGCTCGAAGGTGAAAGTCTCTTCGTCGAATAGAAAAGAGGGGAAATGTCGTATGCATTCTATTCGTCCTTCTTTACGTAACGAGATCAAAATTTTACTTTTAACGTCTGATTTTCATGAAATTCGTTGTCAAAATTTTTGTTCCTTTACTTTTTTTTTTCTTTCACGAAAATTCTCGTCGTTTTGATGTTCGTCGAGGCGCGGATAAGGGCGTGATAAAAACAACCGTTTAAGCCACGCAAAAATATCTTTTTCCTCTACTTCGTGTTCACAAGATCGATTAATGTCTTCACTTTTTTTTTTATTTTTTTTCTTTTTTCTTTTCTACGGACAAAGGATATCTAGGAGAATCGTCGATCATCGACAGAAAGCGGACAGAATTGCTTCCAAAGACCCTTTAATTTTTTCGAAAACTTTCGATACAATAATCGTAATCCTGGAATATTACGTAATGGATTTTTTTTCTTTTCACTTCCTCTACGTCTACGAATTTTCAAGAGAAAACGAGTATTAAATTGTGTATTACGTTGTTAAGAGAAGAAACAAAATAAAAGAAAACGGAGAGAAACACGCGAAACTTACGACGATACTCCGAGGCACCTTATCGTTCTTACGGATAAATATATATTATATGCGTATAATATATATTTACGTATAATGTAAAAAGCCGTTTCGTTAAGATTATGCTGAATTTTTCGGAATCGTAGTTACGGGAAAGAATTGTAACGATAAAAGTCTAACAATATTAATACAGTATTCGACTGTTCGTACAGGCATTCGGTCACACTGTTCCACTGTCCCACTTGTCAAGGTATGATTTAGGGGACGCCCCTAGTACATCGTATAGTACATAATAGCGATAAAAATAATAATAATAAAAAATAATATTAATAGCAAAGTAGGCGTGTGTGTAAAAGTTTAAGATTTTACAATCCCGAAGTGACGTGGAAACAAGGGGGAACGTAAACTCGCTACGCTTTAAAGCTCAAGAATAAAAACTGAACGCACGTGTCGAATTTTCGGCTTTATACCAACAAGTTATACGATATACATAGCAAATCGGAGTTGTTTTCGTTATTTATTAGCTTTATCTCTCATTGTGATTGATTATTTTGTATTATATGTGCGCGGAGTCTTGCTTCGTTCTAACGCGTAGGCTCGTATATTCCTCTTAAATTCTCTACAGGGTGACTGAATCATTTGTTACAAGTCGTAGAAGCGTGGCGATTAACGCGATCGATCTATCGTCTTTTCTCTTTTCGATAATAATCTGCATTATTCTTACAATCTCGGATATGCGCGTTTTTATTTAGTTTAGATCGGTATACAAGTGTATCGTAACTTCATCCAAGTACCATGCGCAAAGATTTCGTCGAATTAAACACACACTCCTCAAAAAAGGTAAAAGTTTCGAGTCTCCCCTTAATTTCTCAGGCATTCCGTGTTAAGGCAATTAGTATACTTTTTTTTTCTCTTTTCCTTTCTTTTCTTTACATCGTTACTTCCCTATTTTACACACCACAAACTACGGGGACATAAATAATAATCGTTCGACTGTTCGAAGCATAAGGCGCGTATAGCTAAGTGACACGTTCGAAAGGGATTGAGGTAACAGAAAACGAAACGTCTCGACTTTTAATACCTTTGGTTATTCGTAACGTTATAATCATAAATTTTATAAAGCCAAACATGCGAGAGCATAAGACAATTAAAAAAAAAAAGAAAAGAAAAACAAATGAAAAAAATCACACACTACATATTTCATTCAATTTTTTATCTGTTTATGTGGGTATATATATATATATATGGGCACACACACACACACATATATATATATATATATATGTGTTTATATAATTTTACTTTGTTTTTTTTTTTATCATCCACGACTTGCAGATACACCCACAAATTAAAATAACTATAAGAAAGTGTTATAAAGGAAATTAATTACAATACGAAATGTACACAAACGATAAACGAGAAATCTGTGCAAAAATTAGAAGAAAAAAAGGGGGTTTGGGCGGTGGACGACGAATATAATCGAAACATAACTGTTACTCGTTTTTGCGAACGCCTTCGATCGCACTTCTACTTTCAGTAGACTCGTCGCGGATCTCGAATGCATTCACACGCGTCATACGCACACACTCGATATTCATACAAATCAACGAACATCCCCTGTATCGTGAATTCTTTCCGACTCGAAGAAACCAGAATGCAAACGTTCACGACTTTTTTTTTTACAATTTTTGCGCGTAGCAGACCCAAGTAAAACCTCTGTTACCGAGAGAAAAAAAAAACAAAACACACGTACAAGTATTTGTCTCGTTTCATATCGTAAAATGGAGCGATTAGATCCGCGAACGATCGTTACGAATAAAAAAAAAAATTGTATTTCGAAATAAAGATGCGAGTAAACACTTTCAGCAAACACAATTATATTTCCATAGAGAGAAGCGACACGTTTTGATCGATACGTTGAAGCTCAGTCTAATCCCTCCATTTTGTAACACCAATTTCTAAGCAGCTTCGACGAGCTGGCCAAGGAACGGCCCGCCAACCTAATATTTACGATTATTGATTCTGTAACACCTATCTGAAACAATTTGATTAATTAGAATTGCTTGTACAATTGCCTACAGTTTTTTTTTTTTTTTGCATAACAAAGCATCTATATACATTAATTTACGTAATTCTGCAAAGCATGTAGATGACTTTATTATTACGTAACGTTTAAAAGTATTTAGTCAATCGCCGCCGTAAAAACATTCCGCCCCGACAAATTATGATTTCTAAAATCTGAACGGACCAACCCAGGCAACGGTAGATTTTTTTTAATCTCGTATAAAACGTGTTCGTATCTTAAAAATACAAAATATATCAGCAGCTGAACGACCAAAATAAATTTTACCAATTTATAAGAAAAAAAAAACACACACACAAGAAAAACGTGGTGCGTATGACGGGCACGGTGTTGTTTTTTTTTTTTCCCAAGTTTCTGTCCTCGCGAGGCATTCGATGTCAAATGAACTATAGGTTACAGGTTACAGGTGTTTTTTTGAGTATTTTTTTCGCATCGACCGATCAACCTAACCTCTCTAACGTTGCCCGATACAGCCACCAGATACAATCAATATGGAAGAACGTGGCAAGACTCGCTGAGGAGCGTGTACGAGATGTGTATATGACTGCAAGAAGTGAGTTATGTACATTATTTGCATGTGTCGGCGAATCAGCCCTTGCCCTTGTTCCATGTCACGTAACGACAAAAGATGGCGAGATTAGAGTTTAAAAAGTGATAGATAGGGAGGGTGAGGAGGAGGGCATTCGAATAATTATTAATATATAATATTATAATAATAACAATAATGATGAGGTGTTCTAAACAGTGCTAGGACTAGTGCTAGAGGGTCCTGTGAGGAATCAGGGTGGGTGGGTACGGGCTAAGGAGAGGTTAGTGTGGGGGCGGAGGTTCCGTAGATTGGTTTCTGCCATCTACAGCCCTAACCGGCTTCCTACGTGAAGGACCTGTTACTCCAACTGGACCAACTCCACCTCTAAGGTATGCTGGTGCCGGGGTTGCTATCGGTTCTCTGATAGATCTACTAATTGGTAGCGGTAGTGGTTGCTGCAATACCTATGTAACAGAATTACAAATACCGGATTACATTAATCGGGATCCTAATTCTCTGTGTAACAAGGAACACCCACAAAGTGTCCCCGTCCCGATTCCGACGAAACCTTGCGATTTGTGGAGCAACAACAAAAAATAACGTATTCGTATTTTTTTTTTTTTAACGACCGGTAACTCAAGTTTAACGAGCGAAAATTATTTAGAGAACTATCACGAACACAAACAAATTCTCTTATGACGTTCGATGAAAAATAATATCGGTAAAAAAAAAATTAATAAAAAAAGTCAAAAAATCACTTTCACCACTTACACCCTCCAAAATTTATGAAAAGACGATACAGTGAATTATTTTTATTCGAAATTCACAATCAGCTACAAGTATATATTCGTTTTTACGTTGACGTTGTATACATATCGAGAATTAGAAACATAAAATTAGTAATCGTGGAAATCTCCTTTAGACGATAGACGGCAGTCAGTCTTACATGCGTAACGCGAACGACGGTATTTACAAGTGATTTTTTGACTTACTTATTCATTTTTTTTTTACCGATGCCTTGTATATCCAATAGTTTTGAAGATAGGATCGAAAGGTTGAAACCTTGATGGGTAGTTTCACCTCTTTAACTTGAGTCACCACAGCTAAAAAAAAACACGTATTCCTTACTTCTCGCCGCTCTAGAAACCAGCAAAGTTTCATAAAAATCGACGAGCAACACCGCGAATGTTGCTTGCGGCGTAGTCTTCGACTGTCCGTAATTATGTGTTCGATTAATTTATACATACTTACCAATGGCTGAGGTAATACACTGTGCATCAGTGTTTGAACCATAGGTGTATTCTGTGATGCAAGGTTATTCGAGTTTGGGGGCAATCCTTGGCTTTGCAGACCCGTCCCCATACTACCAGCAGCGGCCTGAACAATATGCGACTGTTGCGTAGAAGTTTGCGTTACGTGTTTACTCGTCGCTTGATCCCTTTTTGCCTCTTGAGCTAGACTTAATTTCTTCGTGGAAACCGTGGAAGAAATAGCATTTGGTGTTTCAGGACTGGTTGTGGCGGTAGTCGCGCTCGACACTGGTGTTTGCGCCGCAGACTGCTGCTGTATCAACTCCGGTAATGTTTGCGAAAGAGTTCCGACGATAAGTTCGCGCGTAAAGAGGCTCCTATTCGCACTTTCGCGTTCAATGTCTTGTAACTGCGAGTCAGACAGAGTAGTCGTAATGCATCTGTAAAAATAAAAATATGAACAAAATTGTCAGTAAAGATAAATATTGCTGTTTAATAAAAATTATAAAAAGCCACACGTCCGTTTTACGCCCAATGGGATCATCTTAGAATATAGTTTTTGGCAGCCGATACACTGACCATGACATGCAGTTTTGCATGTTTCGGACAAAGAACCAGCATGTATATATTACGTACGAGTGTATGTAAACAGTCACACGGATATCACATATTTTAATAAATACTCGTTTTCTTATTCAAGTAATTTCAATTTCAATAATCGATGTTACAGTAAACACTCGAAATAAATTTTGTTCGCTTTTAGGTGCATTATCGTATATCGTTAACATACCTTGGCAACAGAAACATATAGTTCTGTGAATTGGTGGATAATACGCCGGACGGGTTAGCCACATTAGTTGCATTATTGTTACTACTCGTACTATTTGCTACCACACTGGTCATAGTGCTAGAATGACCACCTATACTAGTAGTTCCTCCACCACTTACAGAACCAATAGGCTGAGCCTGCCTCCTAGGTAACCGTTCTAATTGTTGCCTAGCAGCCTGGAAAATATATTTTTATTGTACTACGTATTCTAATTTAACGAAACTTCGTTAAGAATTTTTACCATCGATATCAAATTATACGCACTCTAACTTGTTGCCGCTCCAATTGTAGCTGCATTTGCAATTGTTGTAACTGTGATGGCGTTGATAAACTTTGACCAGTTGCTGCACCACTTCTACGAACACCGGATAATTGAGAAAGTAATTCTGTAATTGGATCGCCACTATCCCGACTACTTGGACTCAATCCCCCGGACGAACTGAAATGCATATTGGACCTGCAGGTCCAATGACACGCCAATGAACATTATCTAAGATGAGATGACGATGATAAACTAAAGCTGAAATCTTATTCAATGTCCTTTTTAAAAATATTTAACTACAGAAATGTGTTATAGATTTTAAGAAAAAAATCGATTGCAATATCCAAACATGATTACTAAGAAATTTTAATGAACGCTAAATAATGACTGGTAATATTAAATATTACAGTGCAAATGAAAAAAAATGTTATTCAATAAGATCACATGCATTGAAACATAACACGTTTGATAAATTGGCACATTTACGTACACAGAAAAATGGACAGTATTCCATTTATGGAATATTCAAATAAACGATAAATATAAATAATTATGTCTCCAAATACAGTACTCTACCTCCAAGATATACTGTAATGTTTACTTTAAATTTAATTTACTATGTACATTGGCATACATACCTGCGAGGTCGTGGCCCATTAACACCTCTAGATGAATTTGATATCCGTCTAGGATTGTGTCTACTTGTGGACGGTTCATCTAGGAAAGAGATCAGATCTCTTGGTCCACTACGATGCTCCACACTCAAGTGTGCTCCAAAATCGTCGGTCACGGCATTAGGATCTGCTCCTGAGGTACATGCACATACTGGACAAACCTGTAAACAGAAATTTTTTTTATAGCACGGTATTATAAATATATAAATGCACAAAATGTGCAATTATACGTACAACTTCAAAAGAAGTGTCCGGGTGATCTGCAGCAACATGTTCTTGCAATGTAGCTTCGGTAAAACCCATTCTTGTACAGAAAGGACAAGTTAAAGATTGCGGCTGCTCTATACTTACTCCTTCTCCGCCATAATATAATTCTATCGATTAATAAAGAAAAGAATTAATTGTCACGACCATGTTGTATATAAAGCAATCGTCGCATAATAGATTTCGACAATCGTCTCACCAAAGTCGGATCTAGTAAGTATACACTGCATAGGATGATCAGAGAGGTGACTTGTAGTATTGGCACCCCGTTCATAGCAGCTGGCACACAAATCATAATCATAGCACACGAGGCACTTGTATCTGCGACCCCGAAAATTCCCCTTTAAGCAGGAGTCACAACTTACCCCTGGAATAAACATAATTGTACATCGATGCTTCATAAGTAATTCATATTTCATAACGATACAACTGAAATGGACATGCTACTGGACTCGCAAAAATAAAAAAAAAATGTTTACATACAATGTCATATACAGTATCCGATAAATAATACACAAAGGAAAGATACTGCACAATGTATATATTTAGAATAAGAGCTTCAAAAGAAAAATACAGTTGTTCCTACAAAAGATATTTATATATACTGTATACATACATATGTGTGCAGTAACCTTGAACCAAATCTATAAAAAGTAACTTGCTTAAGTCTACTTTTAAATCTGTCTGCAAATTCATACAATTCTCATAACAAAGGTTGTTTCAGATTTTCATAAAGATACCGATATAATTTTATGAATATTAATAATTAATCTTGTATAAGCGATAAAAGTAATTACGAACAAGTAATGTAAGAAAATCACATTGAAACAAATATTAAACAAACGAATAACATATAATTCTTGATAATTAACTATAGTACTAAATGCAGATCCTCTATTTTTCACATTGAGTGTAATTATATTTGCGTCTGGAACGTTGTTCCATCCGCAATATTTTTGTAACTTGATGCATTTCTTTACTGTTTACTATTTACTGAAACTCACATTTTGATATATAACACGCATATACACGCAACAAAGTAATATTTAACCATAGAACTGTAACTTATGCACGCGACACACGACAATATATCAAAATAAGAATGGTATTGGCTTCTTGTATTGCACACGATAAAGATTAATATATCTATACGAATATAATCAATAATAACACTTTTTATCTTTAATATGATAATTATAATATCAATTATGTAACATGCATAGATGCAACTTGAATATAAAAAACCATGTATATCGATTCTATTTACAAGTCAGACTGTAACTATTTTGGCTTTACTAGCGTCGTTGTAACATTTAATCTAGAAAAATCCAGCACACTGTATTGTTTAATATCAAAATTATGTTATTACAATAGGATAAACAATGTTGCAATAGTTTAAAATTAGATCTAAAATTTAAGAAAAGGTCAACAAAAGAAACTAACTCGAGAACGAGGAATAAGAAGAATATGTTCCAATATGTTTTACAGGTCTAACATTATCAGAAAGAGAAGGGGATTGAACAAGAAAACTAATTTAAAAGGAGTCAGCTGGTAGAGTATTCTGACAGCTGGTCAACAAATATATTCCCGTAATTTTATTTATCTCATAAGGATAAGGCATTAAAATTTGATGACATTGCAAAAAAATTCACTGAAATCATCAGAGAAGAACATTGCAAATTCACAGAAATTGGAGTAATTTTTTATAAGTGCTGCCATCTGGCCTCTGACATTAGACCCTTTGGTACAGGGCTCGCAAGAAATGTATTACGAAAAATCTCATGCTTTGCAGATTTCGTAACCTCGACGACGAATCTGCATAAATTTTTCTACGCGCACTTCCAAATTCTCATGATCAAAAAATTCTACCATCGATGTAAAACAAATTTAGCGAATGCAAATTCGAAGCTGACTTGCTGGTCGGGAACAGCACACACGTACGTACCTTCATGTCGATTCATTTTCCGTTTAAAATCTCATATACGCCGATAGCGCGGGGTCTCGCGATCGAACGGTTTACGAAATACGATTACTGTTCGCCACTGCGTTAGCTCTTCACGTCGCTCAGTGCAGCAGACACGATGGGAAAAACATTAATCGTCAAACAAAAAATTTTTCGTTAGAATTTCCAGCGTAAAACCTAACCCAACTAGGCTACCGTGACGTCACATTAGACCTACGCTCCCGGAGAACGTTGCAGGCAGGGTCTCTGTCATTGCGACGTTGCCACCTTCTTAACAAACATACGCGGGAAATTCAAACGTTACTATGTGCAATCATTCGTTAAACGTTTTATCATTATATAAATTGAAGCAATTTCAATCAATTATCTTAGCGGTGCAAATTTTGTCTTTTTAATACTTTGGGGGAAAACGATTTTATAAGTAAGACAAGCGATTATATACACGCTATAATAGACGACACTAAAGTGCATTTAAAATATTTGGAAGTAATAATTGACATTACTTTTATTTAAAATAATACGATATTTGATTCAATTTCAAATACAAATCTTATTTTAATTCTTACTTCTTTGTTATAGATAAATATTTACTAGCATTGATCATGGTGCATTAATGAGATCGTGGAAAGACAAATATAATATAAATAAAACAGAATAGTACCAAATTAACGAATACTTGATTGTTAATTATACCGTATTAAAAAATGTTCGAAGTACTTTTCGCTGGAAAGATACTAACCACCCGGTCGACAATCTATTTTCGTAGTTCGTGCCGAAATCTGGCAATCCGGCACTCCTTTTACGAACTTTTCCGAGAGTGTCTCGTACAACTTCGTACTTTTCCGTGTGTGATCGGAAACTCCCGAAGCCTATTTCGCGAAGTAACTTCATTTATCGAACAATGGCGACGACACTTGGACGCGTTATTATATATGGTGGCAAAGGTGCTTTAGGTTCCACTTGTGTTTCAAAATTTAAATCAGAAAATTGGGTAAGCGAACAATATTAAAACCTAAATAAAACTGAAAAATTCAGAATACGATTACTTTACTACCGATTGTTGTATTTCTTGAGAAAAGTTCCCGGCTTTTTTCACAGTATGTCTAATATTAACTTTACAAATGTTAACGATTAGTTTCATTCGGCTAAAACCAAATTGTAGAGCACTTCTGTATGAATAAGTAATTAATTTATTACATTTATTAATCGCTAATTCTAACAACTGTTAAGTGAAAGTGTGCGAACACAGATTGACATTACGCAAGATTTATCATAAAAGATATCTAAAGACGGATGTTTGTAAACTATTTAACGTTTCTTTTAATTATCTCGTATTCTGATTATAACGTCTACGCTAATAAACCACGGACGAAATATTTTTTAATGTATTTTGGTATTTAATTTTTCGCGGTTAAATTGTACAATTTAAATTTATCACAGAAATTTCGCGCACTATTTTCTATATTACGAAATACAATATTCTGTTTACTAATAGTAATTATTACACGCATATATATGGTATTGTAGTTTATACATATATTGTTTTCTTAAATGTGAATAATTATGTTTATAATTATTTAAGTTATTGTATAAATTATACATATTTAAATAGTTAAAGAATGATACTGTATATGTATATTTCCAAGAACAGAATGCAATAATTGCTTGGTAATCTTAAAGTATGCAAGAATGTTGTCAAGGTCATAACTACTGAACTAGATCCTTTCACAATACATCGTAACTTGTATCTGACTAATGATGTAAAAACTTGAAATTCTATCCTACTATATTGTAAAATAATTACAAACTTTTATAAAATTGTATATTATATATAATTACAGTGGGTTGGTTGCATTGATATGAAACCAAATGAACAAGCTGATGCAAATGTAATTGTAAAATCAGAGAACAACTGGGTCGAACAAGTAATTTTATAAATTGCTATATTAGATTAATCAAAAGTATATATTTGCATATAACAATGTATTTATATATTATCTAGGAAACTAATATTTTACAACAAATTACATGCATTTTAAATGGAGATAAAGTGGATGCAGTAATTTGTGTGGCCGGTGGATGGGCTGGTGGAAATGCAGCCCACAAAGATTTTATTAAAAATAGCGAACTGATGTGGAAGCAGAGTGTATGGAGTTCGACCATTGCTGGTAGCATCGCTGCGCGTCATTTAAAAGAGGGTGGATTTTTATCATTAACTGGTGCCAAGGCAGCATTAGCAGATACACCGGGTAACAAATTTTATTTAATATTATAAGTTATTTGTCCTTATTCGAGTATAAATTATATCATTTTATAAAAATAGGCATGATTGGTTATGGAATGGCCAAAGCTGCAGTTCATCAACTTACCAAATCTTTGGCGGTCAAAGAAAGTGGTTTACCGAAAGATTCTTTGGTCAGTGCTATTTTACCTGTTACTTTAGATACGCCTATGAATAGAAAATGGATGCCTAAAGCCGATACATCTACCTGGACTCAGCTTGAATTTGTAGCAGAGTGGGTAGTCTTTTTTTTATTCCTGTTTCGTGTTGTTCCTCTTGTCTATTATAAACTTTTGTATTTGACTTAATAGCCTCTTCTGGAAATGGTCACAAGGTAAAGATCGTCCTGTTACCGGCAGCCTTGTGCAACTCATTACCAAAGATAACAAAACAGAATTAATCGTTGCTTAAAGAGAGGAAACTGCATTTTTGGAAACAAGAATTTGTGGATGCATTCATGACAATATACATACCTGTTGTAAATGTTGTTTTCTACTAATTAAATCTTATATCTTGGATATGTTTATGTTTCACGTTCTATGTATTTAAAAAATATTTAATATTGTAATTTATATAAAAATCCAGTTTTGTCTGCGTCTTCCAATATTTACAATAATACTCTATATACATTTCAGTATGACAAACCTGTAACAATGAAAGTATGTAAAAAGAAATTATTTTGAAAGGATTTGTAACAAATTTTATATAATTTTCTGTGTTTATTTTTATATGGATATAATATATTTTATATTGTAAAACAATAAGTACTCTTACATTCCGTAATGTTGTTTTGAGACAAAATGTAAAATAATAATGAAAAATATTAACGTTGTTAATCATTGTTATTAATAAATGTCAACAAGTTAAATAAAAAATGATACTTTAACGCATTACAGAATATAATGTTTTTATTAAAAAATTCTGTATACCTTTTATTATTAGATTTTCAACTTTTTTTTTAAATTACAATTTTAATATACGCAAACACTAGCATATGAACTGTTTCTTAAATATAATCGATGTTCAAATTGTACTGATGTAGTTAATTGTAGTTTGTACTAAGTAGTAGTTTGATTTGTAAATATATATATCGATTATTGACGTTAATAACAATAAATAAATGTATTACGAGTGTAACACTCAATCGCCCGGATAGCTCAGTCGGTAGAGCATCAGACTTTTAATCTGAGGGTCCAGGGTTCGAGTCCCTGTTCGGGCGAATTTTTTTTTCGTACAAAAACTAATTACATTTAAATGAAATTGTACATTCATATAACCAATGAAGGTATAAATAATAAAAAATATACTGTGTAGTAAAATGGAATAACTATTTGAACTAACTTGTAAAAGAAGATAGGTATTAAAAAAATTTAGAATAAAATATTAATGTTTGATATTTCGTTGCAACATATTAAGAATTTTGCTTATAGCGTATAAAATGAAAAGGTTATGCTCAATTACTGAAAACTTTAAATTTATATAATCGATCTTTTATTTAGTAAATAAGAACACATTAATTTATTAATAATAGGAAATGTAGACTAACGAAATAATGGTATTTTTTATTTCTTAGCAGGTGTCAGAAAAAGTTCCTGGATCATTTTCTCTTGAGCTAAAACAGAAAAATATATAATTGTATGTATTGGGTAACATATGAATTATTGAATTTATTACAGTTGATTTATTTGCATTGGTAATTATTTTAATAATGCTTTTACCTATTAGTTCGAGTCTCTTCTCCTCTGCAAGTTTTGCATCTCTCATAGGCTTTTCTCTCAGTTCTTTCTCACGACGTGCGTCCTCTATTTTAGAGAACCTACGTTGGTGGTAAAGTCCATATAAAATTCCCATTCCCAGAAGACTCCATCGAGCGAACTGTATGAAACATAATTATTAAAAACATTTACTACGATATAGCCAAAGTATTAATTAATCTAACGGAAACGACCGAATACAACGCAAATAAAGAAATAAAGAAATCGATAAATTTTTCAATGCCACTATTTTTTATTCGCTCATGTAAACAATATATGTTATTCGAGTAACATTTGTACAGTGTTTGATTTATCGAGAAGGTTAGAAATTATTTTCAAAGTCTTTGTGGACAATAAATCTCTAAACCTATAATATGACAAAGTAAACACGAATTAATATTTTTTACAATGATTTTCATGTATATTAATTTAAAATCATTTCATTAAACTCCATAAAAATTATGTAATATAATCGACTTAAATCAATACTCATAACAGAAAATGATTCGATCAAGTTTCCTTGCGAACGTTTTTTAAAATATTGTACGAATATAATTTTTTGACATTCGAAAAAGAATTGTAACAAATAATGGTACTAACTTTAATCAATGGTGACACTCGCAGTGGTTTCGGACCTGCTTCGACCGACGACATTTTGCTACCAAGGGCTATACACTCGGTGCACTCTTGCTGAAAGTAAGGTCACGCGTTATATCCGAGATACCCCGCGAGCGGCGCTGATGTAACTTTTTGTCGTCTTCGTTACGAGAGTCTCGTGCAGCATAGTGTGTAGTTTGTGGTGTAGTTGCTCAGCAACCATTCCCCTATGAGAAATTTTGGTCGAAAACGATAAAATATTATCCACAACGAAATTCATCGCCAAAAGAGGAAAAGCTATACCGCTAATATTTCCATAGTTTATCTGTATCCTCAATAATAACCTCTATTACTTAAGCTCGGTTCTATCAGAAAATAGACACTCCGATCATGACTTTTATTTGTAAATTGAGCTTAACAGACGCAACTCTATGGGGTGTACAAATAATAAGATCGTTAAAAAAGGCGCGCATTGTAGAATTCGTAACACTTGTAGGAATTGTGACTGTCGGGACGAGTTTTGTTTTGAATTAGGTGCAATTTGAGCAGGCTCGAAGCCCTGAAATTTCTTCGTCTTGAAAGAAAAAAGCATATATTTTATTAAATTCTTACATTTATCGTTAAAATATATAATCAACGATTGTTTATTATGTCCTAATATAAAAGTTGTTGTATTCGTTTAGGTTATTTTCGTTAGGTAAGCTTGGTTCTCGTTGTATTTTAATTCTTTTACCGATTAATATATAGATTTTACGTTGTGTCAGTTCTTACTCACAGATCGTGTTATAATATAGCTTTCTACGATTTAAATAAAATGGATCTGGACAAGCAAAAGTCATGGGTAGAATTGAACGACGAAGACGATGCTCTGCTCGATGAAGCCATTTGTATGAGCTCGAACGAGCTCGGTAAAATAATCGAGTCCACTAAGAAAATTGCAGAAACTCAATGTGTGGAAAAAACAGAATCAACGGAGACAAATTTATGTAGCAATAACGATGCGAAACACGACGATGTTAGTTTGCATGTACAAGTCAACAATAAAACTACAGAAAAAAAGTACAGAGAAAATAAAATTAATAATGGGAATGCCATAAAATATGAAGATAATGTGATAAACAAACCAGAAGATTTGCACAGTTTTCGCAAAAGGCCAGGGAAAAGTAATTTTTATTACGAAGATACAAAGGTATCGCGCACCAGGCGTTATAGCGATTCAAGTTCTACTACAAATTCTTCGGACAGTAGTAGAAAACGCATAGAATATGAAACAAATCCTAAGATATTAGCGCAAAGACAAAAGGAAATAGATTATGGAAAGAATACCATTGGATACGATAGATATATCGAGATTGTACCTAAGTAAAGATTTTATATACAGAATGATTAAAGATATATCCAAAAGTAGTGTATTTTATTAATTATATTCGTTTTAGAGAAAAACGTTCAAGAGAACATCCAAGAACACCGCCGAAGCATATTAAATACAGTAGAAGAGGATGGGACGGTATGGTGAGATTGTGGAGGAAACAACTTCATCAGTGGGATCCGCCGCAAGAGTAATCCTGATTAAAATGAAATTGTGTTTGAACTTAATTTTATTACATAAGTATGTTACAGTGCTCTTTGCGGTTCCATGTTTTTTACATACATGTATAAGATTAGAATATAGGTAAATTAGATGAAACATAGTATAAAGTTTGCTATATTCTTACATGTAAATATTTAAATGTATTGAAAATATTTTATTGCAATATAAGGTGTAAATTATTAATTTAAAATCTTTGTTGGAACTGTCATGCATGCAAATTTGGTATGCATAATTTCGCGTTACTATTTATGAAAATTGTCTAATTTGGAGATATTCGAGAAGCAATTGCAAAGGATATTTGTAAATCGAAAAATTCAGATAATTTTTAAGTATCGTGCGATTACAAATTCTTTCATAATAAAACCATTTGTTATCGCACCTTATAGATATATAATGCAACTTTTTCTTTTTTCTGGAATATCTTCGGAATAACGAGAGATATCGAAAAACAGTTTCAATAAAAGTTACATTTTTTTTTTATGTTTAAGAAACGAATGGAAAACATGTTGGTCGATTTAAACACTTGCCCGCGTTCGATTAGTACAATTTTTTGAATTTTCAATTTTGTAATTGTCTTTTGTTAAACACGAAGTATTAAAAAGACAGTATTATTTTCAAAATCTTTAGTTTTCCTTTTATTGTACATACTCAGTTACATTAAATACATATTTTGATTATTTACAAATGTATTTTGTACATTTAAATCGTATGAAGTGATTATCACTTAATGCTAAATTGTGATTCTAATTGTTTTAATATGATATCGAGTTTCTGATTGGTCTTCTGTTCCATTTCTTCGATTCTTTTCATTACTTTTGTCTCCATATCATAAAATTTATTGTCGATGTAAATTTTAAGATGAATAATATCATCCGATACTGCATTTTCGCTCATACACTGTGCCGTCTCTGGTTCATTACTTTCTTTATTACTACTTCTATTTTTCGACGAACTTAAAACATTCTTACAATATGATTTGACATCGGTAGAGGCATTACGTTCTTCGTTATTCAAAGTAAGTTTGGTTAGAAAATTTTTAATTATTTCAGGATTAAAAATGTCCGTTAGGGAATTTTTAGACTCGTTAGTACACTCTGTTAAATAGAGCTTTATACCATATATCCATATGACTGAATTTTTGCTCTTCATTTTTGTAAACTAAAATGAACATTCTAAATTGAACAACCATCCTCTGAAAACTTTTTAAAACTTCATTTTACGTAATTCTTATACCTTAATACTAGCTTCCGTGGCAGATGGGAAAATTGTTGCTTCCGCAAAATAAACGAAATTATCCTCAAATTCATCTACAAGTTCTGCAAATTTTGTTGTTTCGTATTCTCCAAATTCTTTAAAAAATTCTAACACATATGCCTCTGAAACTATGGCGATACGAGATATCCTTTGTCGATTAGTCAATTTTATATTCAACATGCATGGCTCGTTGGATTTAATCGGTTGTAAAGATATACACGTATCCAAGGAAACAATATCGTCAAAATTGGTCCTGTAAAGAGAGTCATATTGCTTTCTTAATCTTATAGAATTCGTACATAAAATTTTAATGAATATATATACAATAAATTTATGTCAAAGTAAAAAATTAGTAGTGAACTTATCGAGCAATATTTATATATATTTGTTTTTTTTAAATATACGTTAAAATACTGGAAAAATTGTTACGATATTTTTATTACTTCTCAAATTCTTGAGACGGAGCTGCTACGGTGAAGGCATCGTGAAATTGTTTATTGTTATTCATTTGCCAGTTGCACGAAATTTGTAAAAAGTCCTTATTTAACAATAACGGATTATCAACTTGTACATCGTTCGAAAGTTCCATTATACGCAGCGACAAACAAATTCTGTTACGAATCAACGAATGCTAACATTATTACAAAATAAAGTAACTTTGACGCTTGTTACTTTAATGGAGGTTATCCTACGCCTGTTTATAATCGAATAGAAGAACTGTTATAAAAATCACGTAATTATTTATTATATAAAAACTAAATAAATACAGTTAGTAATAATTATATTTTAAGCATTGTTGCCGAATGCTCTTAAATATTATTGTTGCATACGTATCGTATCGAATACAACATGTAACGAAAACTAATTTGCTACGATGGCGCGAAATATTTCGCTTTCCGAATAGATAAGAAGTATAAGAACAGAATTGGACAATAATCGTAGTTGATTACTGAAAGTAATCATAGTAATCATATTCATCGATCAAATAATCGTCACAGAGAGTAATCTAATAATCTTGTACAATATTTGTAAATTTCTAATTGTACAATGAATGATTATTATACAGTCATATTCATTATTGCAATAAAATCGAAATTTAAGCATACTGGAAATTGAAATATATCTTCCAAAATGATGCCCTTTAATACGATAAAATTTCTGTGGCTATATAAGAAATTTCTGTGTTTCGTAAACGTTCGCAATCAGTGACAAAATTTGTATGAAATCTTAAATAAAGTACTTGCGCGAACGGAAAGCGACAAATAGTGGGGGTTTACGAATCAAACTTCAACCCAGTGATGCCAGAAAAGCACCGTCGGGTGCACACTCCACATGCTAGGTACGCGTACGTGAGCTCGTGGAGTTTCGGAAAGACGACAAAGGCAAACTGACGCATGCCCTCTTTCTCGATTCTCCGAAGCTGCCCGAAGTAATTTCGGACCGCTTCGTGGGAGTCGAGAGAGAAAGGCTCACATTTGCCTTCTCGCTCCCACACAACTGAAATCCGACCTCCCGTCAACGGCATACGATTTGGCTTCTCGACTGCCCAGGCATTTTTACTTTCCGACCTATGTAGGCGCACATAAGCAAAGTACCCATAATGAAAAAAAAATGTTGTAAAATTTATTTTACGGAAATACACGTTTTAAGACCTCCTGATCATATTTTAATTATTGAAAAAAAAGAAATTTTTTTTTATTCCCATGTATGAGCACACATATGTATATTATTAATACGATTTTTGAAAATAAATAAAGTAAAACTTATCTGATTGAAATTTTTTGTAGAAGTTGAGCTGATGAATACGTAGAAAAAAGTATTAGACAACATTTAATTTTGATTTCGATTAAAAATCAAATTTATATTGTTTTAAATTCGCAGCCATTAGCTCGGTGTTACCCATAATGAAGAAGTTCTTCTTCAAAGGTAACACCGATTACCAGGTCTCACCACGAGGAGGTTGCTGCGAGTGGAGACCCAAAGTGAGATCGATGGAACAAAGTTCGATCGACCTTCCTTTTTACACACTAGATTACGCAAAAAAAAAAGATGCCAAGTAATTACTGTTCTAAAACAAAGGAGGAAGCTAAATTGTGGGAGACGCGACACGACGAAACGCGACACAATACTGCACAGTGCAGTAGGAATATGAGGTGCGACACGTACCGAATAGCGGGTCAAAAGGGGCAGCTCGTTGCCTCTCAGCGAGTCCAATTGAAGGGGAGGAGAATCGACGCACCAGACACGGGTTCTCCATTTCTCCCACGCATCCTGCTGGGAGCCCACGGGACCCAACTCGGGATGGCTGACAAAGGAGAGAGATCCTGAATCCGGGCTACCGCAGACAGGAACAGGTCCCCTCTACGGCCGATGACTCTTTCCCTAGAATTGTCTCACCAGAGGACGGCAACCGACCCTTCGAACCATCTAAACGGCCGATCACTTGCTTTTTACATTAAAGCAGCGGTGACCGGAGAAACGAGACTGGAAAAGAAGCTATTAATGAATTCATTACTTGGCAATCTACGCAGTAAATAAAATAATATACAATGTAAATTGAAAATTAACGTCGTAGGTGGAATTAATGAGATTAAGGAATTGAAATAAACATAGGAATGAGAAAGAAAGGAAAAAGAAATATTCGACGTTAATTTTTACACTCGCGCCGCGCCTTAAATTTAATGCCCTTACGTGCAGATGAATCCGAAGTCCTCCCTCTAAAAATTGATCTGAATAAAAACTAAAATAAAAATTAGTAGTTAAACAAACAAATTAGAATTAATTATACGAACAAATATAGGGGCAAATACAAATACAAATAAACAATCAACATAACCAAGAACAGAATAAGTCAAAAAATAACAACCCCACGATGAAAACAATGAGGAACAAAATGATTTGAAAAATCACAACCCAACGAAGTAAAGAATGAAGAAGAAAATAATTCGAAAAATAACAACCCATCGATGTCGAAAATAAAGAACAGAATAATTGGAAAAATTTCTACCCAACGATGTAATATATGTAGATAAAACCTGAAAGAAAAAACGAATGAATTATTGGAGAGAGGAACAGAAACAACGAAATAATACATCCCTATATATAAATAAAAAACACAATAATGGTATTAGTTATATGGATATAAATATATGTATGTATTATACCAATCGGCGACACCAGTCATCATCGCAGAATCAGAGAATCTGAAACAGAAAATACGCGTGACAGTACCCCTGGCGGTTCCAGGAGTACTAAAAAGAGTCGACCAGCTGTGCCCGTTTTTATGCAGTCGGACAAAAGTAATCCCTAGCCAATCAGCAGCCAGTCCGCTGGGGGCGACACTCCGATAGGGCGATACTTGCTTCACCTAAGTTTATAAGAGACCCCCCTGAGGCCCGCGCGGGGGAGTTATCTCCCAACCACCAAGCAAGACGGACCGTATCGAGATGAAGAATTTAATTGAAGACTTACATTCGATCAAAATCGAAGATGGCGGCCAAGAAGATGTTTCACGAGCAGCGGCCAAGGGACAAAACCGGTCTTTTTAAAGACCAAGAAAATCTCATTTGTGGGAACAACTTATGCAATGAACTGAACAACTTTTATATTTAACAACTCAGAGACACTTTACATCTCTGTTTTGTAACAACTTTTATATTTAACAATTCAGAGACACTTTACATCTCTGTTTTGTAACAACTTTTATATTTAACAACTCAGAGACACTTTACATCTCTGTTATGGCACAAGTTATGCAATAAAACTGAACATGGTATATTTGCCTATATGTATAGGAAGGAAATTCGTCGTTAGTATTGTCGCCCGTCAATGCACTTAATTATGCAAGATCAGTATACTATCTAATTTTATTTTTTATTATACCGGTTTGTAATATCCTAAAGATCAATGCAAAAACATTATGCACAGCTCTTGTATTTCTTTGATTTATCCAAGTAGTCAAAGTATAATATTTAACAAACTTTTGATTCAAATAAAATAACGAATGACACAAAATTTGAGTACCTGTTACATGCAACCTATGTATAAATGCATAATAACTAATATTGATATACGCATAACGAACTTAGTTTGTGATATGAAACATTAAGAAAAGTGTAAATTAATAAATAGGTTTCAAAATGGGTATTTCAGGTTTAACAACTTTTATAAACAATCGTTCAGATCGTTATTTGGAATAGTTCGAGCTACGTGATACGTATTTAGTTATTTAGCTGTCAAATATATAATTCGTACAAGTGCAATTGTGTTTTTGGCGGTGATTACGATAAATACGCTCAACGAGTATCGGATTTTTTTGACGATTTGATAAAGTGCAATGCAGTACCATTAGTTTTGATCGATTGTGGTTGCGAGGATAAGAAACTGCAAACAGTTATATCTAGAACTAGAGAAAAGGTTCGTACAGCATCATCTTATTCTCCGATCTGTCAACAGAAAATGAAATTTTTTCCTTTACATATTTAGGAAGTTTTCAAAGATGTTACGAGAAAGAAGAATGTTCGTCATGTGCAATGCTTATTCGAAGCTGATAATGCTATAGCTACTGTAGCAAGGGTATTGAATTGTCCTGTATTGAGTTATGATTCAGATTTTTATGTGTTTGGGACAATTACACGGTGAAAAGTTCAACTGGAAATGGTTACACGAAACGTTGTAAAATTTATAAAGTTGAACACTTATTAAATTCTTATAGAGGTCTAAGTCAATCTACACTGCCATTAGCTGCAATATTACTAGGCAATGATTATGTAAAACGTGGTACATTTAGAAACTTCTTTCGTTATTTAAAGTTACGACGAATAACAAGAAAAAGGTATAGTAATCAACAGTATTGTATAGAAGCGACTTTACAATGGTTGATACAACCACCAAGCAAGACGGACCGTATCGAGATGAAGAATTTAATTGAAGATTTCCATTCAATCAAAATCGAAGATGGCCAAAGAAGATGGTTCACGAGCAGCGGCCAAAGGACAAATCGGTCTTTTTAAAGACCAAGAAAATCTCATTTGTGGGAACCACTAAACTGAACAACTTTTATATTTACCAACTCAGAGACTTTTTACATCTCTGTTTTGGAATAACTTTTATATTTAACAACTCAGAGACTTTTTACATGTCTGTTTTGGAACAACTTTTGTAATAAAACTGAACATGGTATATTTGCCTATATAGGCGAAAAATATACAAATACAAATTGAATTTATTGAATTGATATTAAGTAAACATTCTTTGCTATAAGATCAAAAAATTATTATTTGAAATAGTAGAACAATTAGAAAATAAATCGTTTGAAAATAATTTCGAAAGTCTTACTTGATAAACTATATTCAAACGATTTATTTCCAAAGTATTGTTTTATGTCAAACATGATCAGGGGGTCTTGAAACGTGTATTTACGTGTCAATTTTTCATTCATTATGGGCTTTGGTTGTATATTTGTGTCTATATAACTTGAATTTAAATTCAAATGGTAATGAAAAATTAATGACGCATGTTTGTACATTATTTTTTAATCCTGGACTCGTTAATGGTACTTCTCTAAGATTAGATAGGGACAGTAATGGGGAAGAAAATTTAGTGTCAGTGCCTTCTAGTTCGTAACATTTAAGCTTTTTATTACAGTCTCTCATCATGTATTTCATGAAACCTCTCCTTCTATTCATTCCTGATTACAGAAATGCATACATAACTCTAATAATTTTTAAACTTATTACATTGCTCAATGGATAGGAATAATCCTCTATTTGTACAGGACAAATATATAAACGTCGAACCAACAAGTCCATAAAATATGCAGGATAGTTGCCCATAAGATATTCATCTACAAACAAATTAGGTACATCAGCTAGTGCATTATTGGTAGCAGATTCTGACCCCTTTAAGCATGTCTAATATTTCAACATCGTTTTCTTCCTCTTCTTCTTTTTCTTCAGATGATTCAAAGTCTCCATTTTTATCAGTTTCTTCCATGTACATTAGACTATTAACATCTCCATCAAATTTAAAAATTCTGTTTATGGAATGTGTTGTGGCACGAGCTGCATATTCCTGTGAAAACCCCAATGGAAGTAAGCAAGTATTTCTGTAGATGCATTTGTATAGCCATTTATATTGATTTCTATTATGCTTAATATTTTTTGTCTTACGGTTTTAGGTGATCTACATAGTATTCCAATGACTGCTCTGTCCAAGGTGTAAAATCCACTCAACCATTGTAAAGTCGCTTCTATACAATACTGTTGATTACTATACCTTTTTCTTGTTATTCGTCGTAACTTTAAATAACGAAAGAAGTTTCTAAATGTACCACGTTTTACATAATCATTGCCTAGTAATATTGCAGCTAATGGCAGTGTAGATTGACTTAGACCTCTATAAGAATTTAATAAGTGTTCAACTTTATAAATTTTACAACGTTTCGTGTAACCATTTCCAGTTGAACTTTTCACCGTGTAATTGTCCCAAACACATAAAAATCTGAATCATAACTCAATACAGGACAATTCAATACCCTTGCTACAGTAGCTATAGCATTATCAGCTTCGAATAAGCATTGCACATGACGAACATTCTTCTTTCTCGTAACATCTTTGAAAACTTCCTAAATATGTAAAGGAAAAAATTTCATTTTCTGTTGACAGATCGGAGAATAAGATGATGCTGTACGAACCTTTTCTCTAGTTCTAGATATAACTGTTTGCAGTTTCTTATCCTCGCAACCACAATCGATCAAAACTAATGGTACTGCATTGCACTTTATCAAATCGTCAAAAAAATCCGATACTCGTTGAGCGTATTTATCGTAATCACCGCCAAAAACACAATTGCACTTGTACGAATTATATATTTGACAGCTAAATAACTAAATACGTATCACGTAGCTCGAACTATTCCAAATAACGATCTGAACGATTGTTTATAAAAGTTGTTAAACCTGAAATACCCATTTTGAAACCTATTTATTAATTTACACTTTTCTTAATGTTTCATATCACAAACTAAGTTCGTTATGCGTATATCAATATTAGTTATTATGCATTTATACATAGGTTGCATGTAACAGGTACTCAAATTTTGTGTCATTCGTTATTTTATTTGAATCAAAAGTTTGTTAAATATTATACTTTGACTACTTGGATAAATCAAAGAAATACAAGAGCTGTGCATAATGTTTTTGCATTGATCTTTAGGATATTACAAACCGGTATAATAAAAAATAAAATTAGATAGTATACTGATCTTGCATAATTAAGTGCATTGACGGGCGACAATACTAACGACGAATTTCCTTCCTATACATATAGGCAAATATACCATGTTCAGTTTTATTGCATAACTTGTGCCATAACAGAGATGTAAAGTGTCTCTGAGTTGTTAAATATAAAAGTTGTTACAAAACAGAGATGTAAAGTGTCTCTGAATTGTTAAATATAAAAGTTGTTACAAAACAGAGATGTAAAGTGTCTCTGAGTTGTTAAATATAAAAGTTGTTCAGTTCATTGCATAAGTTGTTCCCACAAATGAGATTTTCTTGGTCTTTAAAAAGACCGGTTTTGTCCCTTGGCCGCTGCTCGTGAAACATCTTCTTGGCCGCCATCTTCGATTTTGATCGAATGTAAGTCTTCAATTAAATTCTTCATCTCGATACGGTCCGTCTTGCTTGGTGGTTGGGAGATAACTCCCCCGCGCGGGCCTCAGGGGGGTCTCTTATAAACTTAGGTGAAGCAAGTATCGCCCTATCGGAGTGTCGCCCCCAGCGGACTGGCTGCTGATTGGCTAGGGATTACTTTTGTCCGACTGCATAAAAACGGGCACAGCTGGTCGACTCTTTTTAGTACTCCTGGAACCGCCAGGGGTACTGTCACGCGTATTTTCTGTTTCAGATTCTCTGATTCTGCGATGATGACTGGTGTCGCCGATTGGTATAATACATACATATATTTATATCCATATAACTAATACCATTATTGTGTTTTTTATTTATATATAGGGATGTATTATTTCGTTGTTTCTGTTCCTCTCTCCAATAATTCATTCGTTTTTTCTTTCAGGTTTTATCTACATATATTACATCGTTGGGTAGAAATTTTTCCAATTATTCTGTTCTTTATTTTCGACATCGATGGGTTGTTATTTTTCGAATTATTTTCTTCTTCATTCTTTACTTCGTTGGGTTGTGATTTTTCAAATCATTTTGTTCCTCATTGTTTTCATCGTGGGGTTGTTATTTTTTGACTTATTCTGTTCTTGGTTATGTTGATTGTTTATTTGTATTTGTATTTGCCCCTATATTTGTTCGTATAATTAATTCTAATTTGTTTGTTTAACTACTAATTTTTATTTTAGTTTTTATTCAGATCAATTTTTAGAGGGAGGACTTCGGATTCATCTGCACGTAAGGGCATTAAATTTAAGGCGCGGCGCGAGTGTAAAAATTAACGTCGAATATTTCTTTTTCCTTTCTTTCTCATTCCTATGTTTATTTCAATTCCTTAATCTCATTAATTCCACCTACGACGTTAATTTTCAATTTACATTGTATATTATTTTATTTACTGCGTAGATTGCCAAGTAATGAATTCATTAATAGCTTCTTTTCCAGTCTCGTTTCTCCGGTCACCGCTGCTTTAATGTAAAAAGCAAGTGATCGGCCGTTTAGATGGTTCGAAGGGTCGGTTGCCGTCCTCTGGTGAGACAATTCTAGGGAAAGAGTCATCGGCCGTAGAGGGGACCTGTTCCTGTCTGCGGTAGCCCGGATTCAGGATCTCTCTCCTTTGTCAGCCATCCCGAGTTGGGTCCCGTGGGCTCCCAGCAGGATGCGTGGGAGAAATGGAGAACCCGTGTCTGGTGCGTCGATTCTCCTCCCCTTCAATTGGACTCGCTGAGAGGCAACGAGCTGCCCCTTTTGACCCGCTATTCGGTACGTGTCGCACCTCATATTCCTACTGCACTGTGCAGTATTGTGTCGCGTTTCGTCGTGTCGCGTCTCCCACAATTTAGCTTCCTCCTTTGTTTTAGAACAGTAATTACTTGGCATCTTTTTTTTTTGCGTAATCTAGTGTGTAAAAAGGAAGGTCGATCGAACTTTGTTCCATCGATCTCACTTTGGGTCTCCACTCGCAGCAACCTCCTCGTGGTGAGACCTGGTAATCGGTGTTACCTTTGAAGAAGAACTTCTTCATTATGGGTAACACCGAGCTAATGGCTGCGAATTTAAAACAATATAAATTTGATTTTTAATCGAAATCAAAATTAAATGTTGTCTAATACTTTTTTCTACGTATTCATCAGCTCAACTTCTACAAAAAATTTCAATCAGATAAGTTTTACTTTATTTATTTTCAAAAATCGTATTAATAATATACATATGTGTGCTCATACATGGGAATAAAAAAAAATTTCTTTTTTTTCAATAATTAAAATATGATCAGGAGGTCTTAAAACGTGTATTTCCGTAAAATAAATTTTACAACATTTTTTTTTCATTATGGGTACTTTGCTTATGTGCGCCTACATAGGTCGGAAAGTAAAAATGCCTGGGCAGTCGAGAAGCCAAATCGTATGCCGTTGACGGGAGGTCGGATTTCAGTTGTGTGGGAGCGAGAAGGCAAATGTGAGCCTTTCTCTCTCGACTCCCACGAAGCGGTCCGAAATTACTTCGGGCAGCTTCGGAGAATCGAGAAAGAGGGCATGCGTCAGTTTGCCTTTGTCGTCTTTCCGAAACTCCACGAGCTCACGTACGCGTACCTAGCATGTGGAGTGTGCACCCGACGGTGCTTTTCTGGCATCACTGCTTCAACCTATAATATGATTCAAGCTTTGAAGCAGTTGTGTGGAAGCAGTATTGAGCTTAGGTCTCTGTTCGTAAATTGTGTTTCACTCTTCTGTAACTTTAGTTCTTTTGACACAAAAATGTCGAAATACACGATTGTTATGGTACGTCATGGAGAGAGCGAATGGAATCAGTTAAATCTTTTTTGTGGATGGTATGATGCCAATCTATCCGATAAAGGTGAGTAATTTTGAGAATAATCTTCAAGGGCAAAAGGTCGATCCGAACGAAACTGTTTTGTTCTTTTATTTCGAATATTTATCTGCGTATTCTGCATGAATGCAGTTTTTTATCATACGCGTAGGAGATTATGATTAATTGAAAGAAAAGGATTGATTCCCTGTGTTAAATAATTCAAGTTGTACGAGAGTAATTAATCTGACATTCAGGGCGAAGTTGTAGGATTCGATTAAACTTTATTTTTTAATGTTTAATCTCAACAGTATGGTCATTGGTTCTAAAATCTTAAAATAAAAAATACATAAAATGCGGTATATATGTAATTCGATGATCTAACCTAGTATAATTGCAAAACTAATGATAATAGAGTCTAAAGAAAAGAAAATATAATTTTTAATCTTTGTCTCTTGCAAGGTTGCAGAACTCTTCGATAAACGTCATACATAATTCTAAATTGAAAGATTGTGGAAAAAAATAATGCTCGCTTAAACGTATTTAAAATTTTAGGAAAAAATGAGGCACTTTCTGCAGGGAAAGCAATCAAAAATGCTGGTTTAACTTTTGATGTTGCTCATACGTCGGTATTAACAAGGGCTCAAGAAACTCTGAAATCAATTCTTAAAGAAGCAGGACAAGAAAGCATTCCTGTTAATAAAACATGGCGCTTGAACGAACGTCATTATGGAGGTTTGACTGGAATGAACAAAGCTGAAACAGCTGCTAAATACGGCGAGGAACAAGTACAAATTTGGAGAAGATCTTTCGATGTACCGCCTCCTCCTATGGAACCGGATCACAAATATTACGAAGCGATAGTGAAGGATCCAAGATATGCTAACGAACTCAAACCAGAAGACTTTCCTAAGTTTGAGTCTCTAAAATTAACAATCGAAAGGACATTACCATATTGGAACAATACTATTATTCCACAGTTGAAAGAAGGAAAGAAAATTATCATCGCTGCTCATGGAAACAGTTTACGTGGCATAGTCAAGCATTTAGACCGTAAGTAATAACTTTGATAAAAAGAGAGGTTTGTTCAAAGAGATATTATGTATCAACTGCTTCTTTTTTTTACAGAAATGAGCAATGAACAAATAATGGGTTTAAATCTACCAACTGGTATTCCATTCGTTTACGAGTTAGATGAAAATCTTAAGCCAGTTGTATCTATGAAATTCTTAGGCGACGAAGAAACTGTAAAGGCTGCTATAGCTGCAGTCGCCGCGCAAGGAAAAGCTAAGTAAAACTAAAAGAATTTATCGTAAAATGCGAACTCCATCACTGTGCATACATGAAAACTGTTAACTTGTTTTTAGTTTCGTTGTTATAACACACTTAGCTGTGTACAAAAAAAACACGTTTATAAAAGAAAACAAAGTAACAAATTTAAGTATTGTAATTTATTGATAAGAATATTTATTTAATACCACTGTAAGGTATAAGAGAAGTGTAAAAACATAAAAACGAATAGAGTGTAATTATTTTTCCTTGCATGTTTAAAATAAAATGTTCTGTTCGTAATTATTAACATATTATTTTCTATGAAATAATAAGTAGATCGATAGTTGGCATTATTTAAAGTTGTTACAGTAATTATCAAAATGCAGTTATAATTTTATCACGATTATTGCATTAGCAGCACCTCTCGGGCACACTTCGTGCACGAGCAAGATAGCTGGTCGCCGCTCATAGCGCGATATGCACCAAACAAAATTTCGAGATCTGCGCATGATTGACAGGCGCGCGCATCGATTTTCCCGCCTGCCGATCGAGACCTCGTACTTAGTGGCCAAGATCACGGCCATTGCCATTGTCTTGTTCTAACCTCTCAACCTCTCGATTTTACTACTGGATTACGTTAATATGTACGCTCGTTTATTATTATTACCGCATTATAATGCATTTTACAATACACTTGCAATATGCTTGCATTACTCGTTTTATATCTTGGTGACATTGATGGCGATTGTGGATGTTTACAAATGATCGTATTGGCGACTTGGTGGCCATCTTTGTTGGAAACCTTGATTGATTCTTGATTCATAAGATGAATAAGCGATTCACGCCTAAAGCCAGATGCACCGTGCGTATTTAGCATAATAGACAATCTGCGGAGATTATTCTAACCTAAATATTGTAGAAGTGAATCGTATTTATTTTATTTCAATACTCTTGTATTTCTGATGATTCAATAATATTTAAGCATGAGGCGAGTCGATTTAAAAGTAGTTTTATTGGGTGATTCTGCTGTTGGAAAAACAAGCCTTGTCGAACGTTTCGTGAATGACAGGTTTACCGAAGAAATTCATTATCGAAGCGTAAGTGTACAAATAAAAACAGTGTAGTACGCGGAAAATTACAGTTTTGTTCCGCAATAAGCAATTCGCGCGAGATTGGACGAGAGAGAACACTGAGAGCGAGTGAAAGACTCGATTAAGTGGCAAACCATGACGTGATTATTTTTCGAAAAGGGATTAGCGAGTTGCTTATTACGGATCAAAACTGCATACTTTTCGTTATTTTTAATATACACGATAATGCATCGATTATATTTGTTCTGTAATAAACTAGTAATTTGGTACGAATTTTTATCAAATTTTTATAGGGAATATGAAAGATATCGATATTAAAATTTTGTGAGAATTGCAAAGAATTTGATTCACTCGATTGGAATCGATACTAATTTAGGCTGTCTTGTTTCTCTTAGTCCGTCGCATGGATGGAATATTCTAAAATAAAGTTATTAAGATTTGCGCTGAGAATAATCTAGGAGATGCGTCATAAAACAAATTAACTCAGTTCCACTTTCCTTAGACTTTAGGTGGTGTATTTACAGCTAAGCAAATGCAACATGGTGGGCATAAGATCATTATGGGAATATGGGACACAGCAGGCGAAGAAAAGTAAGCGTTCGTAATGAACATAAGTGCGTTTCATTTTTGTAACGATAATCGTTCGATATTTCTAAATAAAGAATTCCAAATAATTGTGCAAAACGCTGAAAGTTAAATATAATATTTCTTATTGTCAAATTAGTGTTTTATTTTTGTAGATATGATGCAATGACTAGATTATATTACCGTAAAGCGAACGCTGCCATAGTGTGTCATGACATTACAAAATTAGATACATTTAGAAGGGCAAGCTTCTGGATAAGGGAGCTTAGAAATATTGAAGAGCAGTGTAAAATATACATTTGTGGTACAAAAAAGGATCTCCTAGAGCAACATGCAGGTGCATCCCCTGATACAGATGTTTTAAAAGTATACGCAGCTAACATACAGGCTAAGGTTTTCATAACATCTAGTAAAACTGGGGGAAATGTTGGTAAGGATATATATTAAACATGCAACGGTAATATAACATTTTACATATTTATTATTAATTTTCATAGTTACATTGTTTGACGAAATTGCGAAAGATTTTATATCTTACCCAAAAAATATACCAGATGTACAAGAAATAATCGATGTAAGTAGTAAGAAGTCTAAAAGAACATGTTGTTGATTTACGTAACTTACAATATCAGTATTCAAAAATATTACAAATGCAGATCAATGTTCAAATATACTCAGTCGTAACACATAATTGCATATACGTGTAAAGGAAGTCTCTTTATCCTTTAGAGTTGTTTTTAAATATATTTTATACTTTTGTAATACTATATGTACTTTTTTTACAAAGCTCATACCTTTAGAGAAAAACGGCAGCAAATTCGGATTGCCTCGATGTATCATAAGCTTACAATTTACCACATAAAAGATCATTTTAAATTTTATAAAGTCGAGGAGAAAATTTATTAAAAGTTAGACTGCATAGATTACTAATACTAATAAAAATGTGAAAGTGCGGATATCTTTAAAAATAGCCTTATATTTAATTGTATGACATTCGTTATTGAAAAAAATTTATCGCGACATAAATCTTGATTTCCTTTGAAAGCTACAACAAATAAAATATAGTTACTTGATAATAAAATAAAACATAGTTATTTTCTATCGCGGGTACGTTACCTTTTGTTGTAAATCCCTATCGATGGGTGCTTTATTATCAACATTCATCGCGATGCATTTGACTGTGCAATATTATGTATTTGATAAGAAATGTGTTCGTCTCTATATTTAGTTTTTATTGTGTTATGGCGGCAAAACTGCAATACAAATTTCTCTAATTTTTTCGTAAATGCCAAAAAATACAAATCCGCTGATGGAGAAACCTCCCACTCTTGGAAGGAAGCCCGCAAAGAGCCTGTAGACATTTGTCAACAATTATTGTTCGTGTACCAAAGGAAATGACGATTTTAAACAAAAAAAAACATGTCTATTATGTACCCTCTGACACCGCATTCTCGATAAACCTCTTTTAACATTATAGATATTTTTACTTCCTCTTTATCCGCCGATGTATTAGACAACATTATTCTAGTTTTTGCAACGTCTAAGGGCGTTGTCATAGCTGCAGATATAGCCACTATAAAAAATCAATGATGACACGAATACATATTTCATTATGACATTTAGAAATATACCACAATTTTTTCTTCTTTTTTTTTTACCTGACAATGATCCGCTGATGGCACCTTCTATAGGCGTGCATTCACGTTCTACGTGCCTTTTCCAACAGAGTTTAAAATATTCCCAGAGCGGCATTTGAACCAAACCAAACGGTAGATCTCGAAGTACAGTGCTTCCATAGCCACGGTATAAAGTTCTCAGCGCTAGTCTGTGCTCGTCGTGTAAAAGCGCTTGTTTTCTTTGTTTTATTACTTCAACCGGCACCCGAATAAGACATGCAACCTGTTAGCCAAATCACCAAATATTCAAGTCATAAATTACTCTTAAGAGTCATAAGTTTTAAGAACGTAAAAAGGTGAAACGAGTGGCTCTTATCGATGGTATCAATAAAACATAATATTACAAAATATCCTGATGCAAGAGACATTCACGGACCTGAAAATATAGAATGTTTTTTAAACATTGTGTGCAAGTAAATAGTTCAGTTACGATATAGAATCATTTTTCGTTGATTCGAAAGAATGAAAAATACTAAAAATATTTGTGTAAATTGTGTATAGATTGAAAGTTAAAATATAGTTCGCCAGGAGCGTACAATAAAGTACTCTTTCCCGAGAGCGTACATACTTGTTGCGCGCTGATAACTGTACTCGGAAGGAAACAAACGAATTTAATTTATTTCTCAATTAAAAACTTTTTTAAATTCTAAAAAAACAAAAGGAAAGTATTTTATTTTAATTAATTTTTAATTTTTCCTAGTTCCGACTTGCACGCGATGTTGAAAAATTTTTCCAACTTTTTTTTTCTCGAAGAGGGGTCGTGAGTATTGTTTGTTAGTGAAAATTGAGTGTACGAAACAATTTTACCATTTCTCCTAACGCCGCGGCTGTCATATGTATAAGCGAGTGATACTGTTCCGGTACACGAGGTTCAAAAACTTCTTTCATTCCTTCGTAAGTTATAAAAAATATGGAAGCTGTAATTAACACGCTTATTAATACGAAATAGATTGCACTGTTTCGGAAGATAGGCTTAATCGAAAATTTACCCGACGGGGCAGATCCTATCATCACGGGAACTAAGCCCTGATACAATCGTTTGAAACCGCCGGATTTAACGAAACCATGTTGGCTTTGTAAGCGTGTTTTAAGCGTATCCAATGGAAAAAATGTTACATCACAAATGGTTCCTGCGAGACCACCTGACTGTCGTGAATTTAAAATAATATTTTGTATGTATCGGATCAGTAGATAAGTTTATTCATATTTAGATCATTTTTATTAAAAATTATCTCTACCAACTAAATATACAACAAAAATTATATGTATCCTTTTTCACGAATAAAAAGAAAATATTTCGCCAAGGATTTGGTTATATGTGCATAAAAATTTATATAATTTGGATTCAAATTTTTGTAATATTTAACAAATCGTTTTTAAATAACTTTCATAAATTAACACGCGTTAATTAGTAATATTAGTAATTAATGCATGCGTTTACTGCTGATCAATTGTAAACTTTTCTTTTTTTGTTTGTTTGTTTGTTTACTTACGATAAGCGATGTGAGAATAACATTTGTCGTGCTCGCTCTTCCCTCGGAATTCTTTTCGCGCAACATTTCTGGTTATTCTTTTATCACGTTAACATCTTCGCACAAGGAGGCAGGAATTTGAAGCGCAACGATAATAAGTATCAAACTTGTCATTAAATTATTAAGTTACTAAAATATCGTGTGAGCGAACAATTAACCATAAGTTTCTCGACGGAACGTTGAACACAATTATCGGGAATCGGAGTAAAATATTTGCTTCGTAATTTTACCATTTTCTATATACAGTAAAAAAATTTCCACGTGACGTCGAAGAGCACATGTATTTATTACGTAACGACATCACAAATTAATTATCGTCTGCTTTCGATGAACTCTTGATTCTAGCCTTGTAGTCTGCTAGCAAGACCTAACCTAATCCTACGTACTTCGATGAACTGCACTGTCCACGGGGTTAGGAGAAGCTTTTGTTTTTTAGAGCAATTTCTCACTAGCGGGAATACAGGAATAGACAAAGATGCGTGACAAAAAATTACTAGATATGATATAATATATGTGTATATATATATACATAGGGAATCACGACGCAATTACGTCATGAAAGCCGTTGGATTCAGTATGAGGAAAATCTTGGCTTTTATATTTGCTGTATTCTGGTCGGTCGGGAGCGCGAAAGAAATTTCCGAAAAATGATTTAATTGATGTTTTAGGTATTATTTAAGTGTTCACATAACCTCGAAATTTCGTTGACACCTCTTTGGGCGGGAATCTCGAAAGATTTTATACTTTCGCTCGGTTGTCCATAAAAATGACACAAACCATTTTGAAAAGCAGCTTGGAAAATGCTTCCTTCAATATTATGTTTCAGGTATTTTATCAACTTAACAACTGTTAAAATTATCGTAATTATGTCATGGTGCAGACTGTCGTTTACAGCTTCGTTAAGAAAACTTATTGTATTTATAAATGCATATCGTGCTACAGTCATTTCTATCTTCGATCTATCGTCGTTAGCTATGGATAAGTTTCATAATTTATTTCTACAAAATGGCAGGTTTTGCGGGAAACGATTATAATGACCTTGTTTGTAGATATTATGCCGAGGTGTCACATTCGTTTTAAATGCTTTCGTTGTTCGACACGTTGGTCAAGCAGTTCTGGGAGTTATAAATGTGAGACTGTTGTTGTTGGAATCTATGATCCTGTTCTTATCCCGAGAACCATTCATGAAAGCATGTTTAACAAACACAGCAGAACATAATTGGGCCCAAGTTGTTAATCTGTTATGGATAACGTCAGTTTTCTAAATCGATCGATCATAAAATATGTAATCTGTTACACCAAAAAGTGATACGCAAGTTTGATATGTCTTTTCAGGGTTCCTATTTGCCTTTTAATGTCATTAACGTTTGGATACATTTGGCTATTTGTCTTAACAGCATCCGAAGCACTACCTGCGTATTATACGTTTGCAGTTTGGGCAGTAGCTTTATCTTGCATTATCGAAATGTCATCTTTAATCGTTCAACTAGTTGCAAGCGCATTTTTATTCGTCAGGCTGAAAGTAAGAACTTTGCAAAAAAACTGTTCGAACTGGTCGAGAATACTCTATTCACTGTCTAATATTTTTTAGATTATACTTGACACTATCATGATCGCCATTCGAACTCTGACATTCGTACCACTAATACTTCACAATCCAGAAAATGCATTATTTGCATTTGGTGTGGCTCAACTGACAGCGGCAATATTTCATACTACTAGTCACTATGGATATTTTTATTATTATATTAAAAGAATGAATAAGTGTAAGTTAAAGCGAAGAATGTCATTGAAAGACAATAGCGACGAATATGTTGTTAGAGAATTTCCATTTCAAACGATAAAAGACTTTTTGCCTGGACATCTGAAGAACAAAGTACGTATCGTATAATATTCTTTATATGCGTCTGTACAAATTACTTATCTTTCAGGAACCGTACGTAGATAAAAAATTGACTATCCTTACATGGAGTTTCTTTAGACAAGGGATTCTGAAACAAATTTTGACAGAGGGGGAAAGATTAATTATGACGGTAATGCCAGTATTGACATTTACAGAGCAGGTATTTAACTACGAATAAGTATTTAATTACACTTTTTATTTTAAAACTAAATACTATTTTCTTATTTACAAAGGGAACGTATGAAATTGTGAATAATCTAGGTTCTTTAGCAGCAAGATTTATTTTCCGTCCAATAGAAGAGAGTGGGTATTTCTATTTTACCCAAATGATCAAACGGGATAAACAAATTAACGATCAAAATCCTGTAAGTAGCTTACAAATAATATAAATTCAATGTAAATTTATTTACCATAGAATAATTAATAAAGTATCTGTGTTTTAGGTAAAAATTCAAGAAAGCGTAAACGTACTTGCACATTTATGTTCAGCTGTTTTATCTATTGGTTTAGTCGTTTTGGTATTTGGACAGTCTTATTCTAGTACTCTGTTATGGCTCTACGGTGGTACGAAATTAACGTCCCATCTACCGATACTTTTAATGCGAGCGCATTGCCTGGCCATTCTACTATTAGGAATAAATGGAGTAACAGAATGTTATACAAATGCAACGGCTGACAGCGCTACTATAAATAAAAGCAACTTAATTATGATTTACGAATCGATCGCGTTCCTAGGCGCATCGTATTTGTTTGCTATTTGGTTCGGTCCAGTCGGTTTCATTCTTGGAAATTGTGTAAACATGAGCTTGAGAATTTTTCATTCTACAGTTTTCATTAATAGAAGATACAAAGATACAGTGTATCGTCCATTGAGTGGATTAGTACCAAAGCCAATGTTTTCTGCTTCGCTTCTTATAGCAGCTTTAGTCACCAATGTGTCTCATGTAAGAAAAAATCATTTCTTACCCTTCATTAGGGGCGTGTGAAAATTCCAGAAGATCAACATTACATAGAAATAACGTTTATAAACATTTTCAATGCTCAGTCATATGAAATGCAGAAGCAGGGTTTCTCACACACCCTTGCCTTTCATATATCATTAAACAGTTCTGCAATAACATTTTACATTTTTATATATTTATTTGTAGGCTTACTTCTTCCCTGGTGACAAGGTCTTGCACCTAATTATCGGAGTGATAATGTTTATAGTTGTACTTGTATCTTGGATCTATGAACATCACGATCTGATCAGGCTTGGTACAAATAAGTGGTACGAACGAAGAAATAGACACAAGAAAAGTGACTGACCTTAACTCGGTTAATCATAATGGTTTATTGCTATTAAACATATGAATTATCTACAAAGAGGCTGCAGTGCAGAACTTATGTAAATCCTATGAAATTTAATAATTATGTATTTTCTATACTGTTATAGTTCAAATCAACCAAATGCAAGTTCCCTTATCTCAACGAAGTTACATAAAAATTATTTATTCAGAGTTTACATACACACACGCGCGCGCGCGCGCACGTGTGTGTGTATATATATTTATACATACATGTATATAATTAACAAGATAACTCTAAACATAATGGAACTTAGCTTAAATATAACCAGTATTATTAGTTTCAGTAACAGACATTATTTTACACAGAGACATCCTTATAAATTGCACCTACTACAGGACCTTGGCGTTGTATAAGGCACATCCTACAAAATTGTTTACATTGTTTTTTGTATTTATAATTTATTACGATCTTCCGTTTAAAAAAGTTGTTTAATTTAAGTATTGTTTTAATAAATTCCTTGATCATTAATTTAAACGTTAGATGTCGATTTGTTTTAATTGCGTCGAAACATAGACAAATATACAAGTATAAAAATTTGTCTTGTTTACCTGTTATCGTTCTGAAGCGATATGACAGGAGTTGATGATTTCGGCTCCAACTTTGCAACTTGATCTGCAATAGCTGCAATTATTCCTGCGCTATCGGTGGATGCGTTTCCTTTTACTTAAAACATTTGTATTTCATTGTTCTATTTGATGCCTATGTTACATATAAAATGTGATTTTAAAAAAATACCTCCTAAACATAGTCCTGCATGATCCGCCAGAATGCAACCAATAATGCCATCTGTGTTTTTTCTACAACAAGAATTTTTTATCATTTAACAGTGTGAAAATGGCAAAGCTCAATGTACTTGACAAAATCAAAGGTTTAACACGTTCGCGATGGGCCTGAATTTGTACCATGTACAATGTATCACCAGTGAACGTGTGTTCAGCCCGTCGTGAATGTGTTAGATTGCAGCTGTCAAACAAACTACTGTGGCCAGTAATTAACAAACAAGCCTGCTACATTGTGTACATTCTAGTATTATAACTCGTTCTAAAAGTAAGTAAACCTTACTAGAAAAGTAAATTAACCGGATTAATTATGTTTCTATACATTGGTTAATTCAGTTGCGTGGGTTACTCTACGAAATTGAGAATCGAATCAAGTTCGGGTTAAGGTTAGCGTCTTAACTGCAACTAACGTAAGTGCCATGCCATGTTTTGCAACGATTAACACTGCAAGTAATACTGTACATACTGACTTTTACGCTTTCCCTTCCGTAATAATAATATTTCCTTTGTATTTAACTTACACATCGTCTAGTGTTTTTTCTAAATTCTTTTCCATGTCTCGATATCAATTTCGGTGTTTATGAATCACTTTGGTCGGAGATCAAGTACTTGTTAAAAGCAATTCGACTCGACAAACATACTAGTCACGAAATATTAACCCGCGTTTTTGTATACTTTTGCATATAAACCAGAACTCGTCGCAACAGGTATAAGTATAATCCACGAATTGATTATTGTATGCACAGGGTGTACGCGAAGTAAGTGTAAAGAATTACGACAATCGACGATTTATAGCTGTACCCTGTATCCGCATATACAGTTTAAAGATTTAACCGTAAATGTTAGATAGTGATTGTAAGAGCTAATATGTATTGTAGGCCTAGTACCGACATTGTAATACGATAAGAAAAATTACACAATATGGTTGATGGATGTTCTTTTTGTTTCTTATTCTATTCATAGAGTTATTTATAGATTTTTTATATGTACAACGTTACAATCTAATCATGAATAATGTTGCATACGAGCAATGTAGAAAACCATCGGTACGATTAAAGAAAATAATTTGTATTTCAGCGAGATATTATAAAGGTTATCGTAGAAAAAATGTATAAAGGGCGAATGAAATAACTCGTCCACATTGAATATCTTATTTTGATTTCATAATTAATTAATTATATTCGGGGAGGCAAATGTAATGGTATGCCATAACTTTTTTCAGTAGTATTATTTTAGATTTCAAGGTCGTCGATACTTTTTCAGACAAAATGATTCTATGGTTTTTACATGACCTTCAACAAGAAAAATATCAAAATGTTCTCCTCAAATAAATGTACATTGGCGATAGAAAATTCAAAATTGATAGGCACGACTGAAATTGAAAAAAACAACTTGAATTTTTTATGTTTTATTTTTCATTACAAAAGCTTGAGAAAATAATTTTTGGTCAAATTAATGAATAATCAAAAAAAGAAAATAATTTGTGGTCAACTTGTTTCGTTCACCTTGTATATAACGTTTAGATACCCGATGGAACATTTTACACTTTATCTCGACTCTTTCGAAATTTTGCGAAGATACAACTTCGAAGACATATTCAAATAAATTATTTCTACGTTAACAAACATTATATCAACATGATAATGCTTTAATTACCATGATGGTCACTGATGACCAGCATTTGAAACTTACAATGTGTTTTAAAATCAAATATTTCTATTTATTTTTCACAGTTCATTAATTACGAATAGGATAACCTTGTTTATTATTTTACTGGACCGTGTAACAACTCTGTGCCAGTAAATTAACAAATTATCGACTCTTTGTTCCATCAAACTCTTATTATAATTCTATCTCGAATGTTACGAATTTTTAAAATGTGTCGGTCATGGAAGAGATCTCCTAAACATATATTTCTACCACCCTGTATAAGTTCTATCACGTCGTACGTGCGTCGTAAGCAAACTGGACGACGTGACTGCTACAGTGACAATCATGGCTGGTAAGTGGAAAGATGTGTATTGTTTGCTCGTAGTTATTTTAAAAACGGTTTGTAAATTTTAGCAAAAAATAATACGTGTCGTCGTTAATTTAGTACCTTAATATAATCGTTATTTCGAAAACAATGAAAATAACACTGTAACTATCATGGTATTAGATTTGCATAATATTATGCACACCGTTTTAATTTTAGAGAAAATAGTGGAAGACGAACGTTTCGTACTCTGTATTCTTGCATTATTTTCTAATGACAACGCATAGCGATATCGGATTTATAATTGTTCTGTTATGTGAATAGAAAAAAAATTAATTTTAAAGTATGAATAAAACGTGACATTTGGCACGAGTCATGATACTATCAATTATGACACCTGTTACATGTGACAAGTGCATTGCAAAGGTACTTTTTGCACATTCATTTATTTCCGAATAATATGTTAAATGTTACGTTTAAACGATCATTTTCAATAGACCGGCTCGTCGTCCGCTCGGTAACACGTTAATTTTATTTATGCGATTAATTAAATAAAACGTGGTATAATTCTAATTAAATCACGTTTATCCGTTGCAAATAACAAAGTGCAACGATAAAGGAACAAATTTACATGTTCCAATATAAAGATACAAGTGTAAATACATACGTACTGCTAATTGGATCGCTATAAACAAATTCACAAGACAATTATTTCTCAGAGTATGATACTTAAAAACACATACATACTATGTAAACGAATTATCGTATTTGTAAAATTTCCAATCGAATTCAACCAAAAGGGTTATTCTATAAACACGGATCTTTGTAATATTTAATTTATTCCGCAGGAAATATTGTTTAATATAATTTTAATACAAAAAACAATAAACTTCTGTTATTTTCAGTTGGAAATCCATACGACCACTTACTGAAGTCCATTAAAATTGGATCTAAAGAGTGTAAATACTATGACATCGCTAATCTCGGAAAGAAATATGGTAAGTGTCTAGATATTATTAAAGATTATAAAAGAAATTTTATTGATTATAAAAGAAATACAATCGTTAAATTTAATCATCCTTTACAGATAGGTTACCATTCTCGATTAGAGTGCTCCTTGAAAGTGCCGTTAGAAATTGCGATGATTTTCAAATTTCAAAATGTGACGTAGAGAAAGTATTAGACTGGGAAATTAACCAAACACACGAAGAGGGTATAGAACTGTCTTTTAAACCATCCAGAGTAATATTGCAAGTAGGTATCTAAATTGTTAAATGTTTGTATGTTTGTATCAAATTCATTTATAATTGAACGTTTAATAAATTACATAAACTTTGTCTAAAATCCTATTTAAATTTCATTATAAATAGGACTTTACTGGGGTGCCGGCAGTGGTGGATTTTGCAGCTATGAGAGATGCTGTTAAACACTTGGGTTCAGATCCAGATAAGATAAATCCTATCTGCCCATCAGATCTTGTTATTGATCACTCGATACAAGTTGATTTTGTTAGAAGGTAAATTATACTCTTACTACATTCAATTAGAGATGTTTAAGAAACTTATCTTCTTATTTAATTAACATTTCAAAAAGAAGTATGGTGATCTAACGTACAGATTTCAAAGTATATGCAAAATATAGTTAATAGCTAGAAAAATGATTTTCAATAGATTGATCGTAGTCGTTTTAGATTGCAAAATTAATTTTTCTATGGAAGTCGAGTATTCTTACATTCTACTACAAAAATAAAAGGCTGAAACAGATACCAAATTATGAAGATAATTTGTTATTTTTCACTGTAATATAAAGTAGTTACGTAATGAGGATCCAAGTCTAAAACCAGTCGTGCTTTGTTTAGAATAAAAAGCGGTGGAAAGATAGTACGCAGACATTAAAACTAATGATAATACTAGTCTTATCGAGCGTGATAGATAAGCATTTTGACACACGTTTCGTCTTCTTTTTTAGCAACGATGCTGTGAAAAAAAACGAAGAGATAGAATTCGAAAGGAACAAGGAACGATTCATGTTTTTAAAATGGGGAGCCAAGGCGTTCGAGAATATGTTGATTATACCTCCAGGAAGTGGAATAGTCCATCAAGTTAATTTAGAATATTTGGCAAGAGTTGTTTTCGATACCAATAGTTTGCTCTATCCCGATAGCGTGGTCGGAACAGATTCTCATACAACTATGATTAATGGCCTCGGTGTACTTGGTTGGGGCGTTGGAGGAATCGAGGCTGAAGCTGTTATGTTAGGACAAACAATATCGATGTTATTACCAAAAGTTATAGGATACAGATTGGACGGAGTTCTAAATCAGTATGCCACTTCGACGGATCTTGTTCTCACGATCACGAAGGTATAAATCTTCAAAACACACGGTACAAATTAAATCAGTTGCAATTACTACATTCGTAGACATTTTCATGTACTTGCAGAATTTGCGTCAAATTGGAGTAGTTGGAAAGTTCGTAGAATTTTTCGGACCGGGTGTATCTCAACTAAGTATTGCAGATCGTGCTACGATATCGAACATGTGTCCTGAGTATGGCGCTACAGTTGGATTCTTTCCAGTCGATCAGCAGAGTTTAATGTACCTGAGACAAACAGGTAAATAATAACTCTTATATTTTATTTACGAATAAAATTTTAAACGCTTAAACTTGAACGGCGAAGAATATAGTTGTCTTAATGTTCTAGGCAGAGATGAAGATCATATAAACAGAATCGAGAAGTATCTAACCACTGTACGGATGTTGAGGAACTACGACGACGAGAACCAAGATCCCATATTCTCCGAAATATTCACTCTGGATCTGGCCACCGTGGTGTCCAGCGTCAGTGGTCCAAAAAGGCCTCACGATCGTGTTTCCGTCGTGGACATGAAAACCGACTTCAGGAACTGCCTTACTAACAAAGTAAGAATCGTTCAAAAACTAATATATTCCACGACGGTCAATCGTTGAATCGAATTTGCCGGTGTCGGTGATGTAAGCGTCTAAATTGCAGTGCAGAGTATTTGGCGATGAACAGGCAGTATTCGTATGGGACAAACATAACCCAGTGACGATCGATCAGTACCGTCAAACGGGATCACGTTCATCTCATGCTGTACTTTCAGCCACCCAAACAAATGTGTTGTTCCCCGTGCGTGTCGAAGCGTGACGTGTTCTTTGTTGTTGCGGTGGCAAAAAATGAAAGACTCCCAGGTAACTACTGCTGTGATATGAATTCTTATCAGTGGACACATCGCAGCAAGAGTTCCTCCGAAGTCTTTCATCTGAAAGCCGTTGTCTGCGGTGTACGTTCAAAGCAGAATCTTGCCGATATCGTAATCCCATTGAAGACGGAAAGAAGTTTCTTTTACCTTGTCTATCATCGACGATGTTCTCTTGCATGGTTCAGCGTGGTGCCGTGAGGTTATGTCTCCGTACATTTTGCCTTGCTGATCTAGCTTTATGATTTTTCGATACACCATACAGTTAGATCACCAAAGAAAAATAAACGGGACGGTTACAGTTACACGGGGTTGATTAATCTCGTCATCAGGGACGAGTATTTCGATCTAGTCACGACTTCGTTCCAGCGTTGCACTAGACGAATACTTCGTCACTGATAATAAGAGATCCAATGCTCTGCGTTGAGGTTGGACAACCATCGATGAGTTAGGGGCGGACATTGGATGAATCCTACCCGGTGAGGCAATTTTATTTCAACCACACCGGACGAGATTTCATCCAACAGCAGCCTTTGTTGCTGCAACACCTTGTGTAGTAGAATTCTTGTAGTTAACGATAGAGAAAAGTGTTTTGTTCACGCAAAATGATTTGTATTAACTGTCACTGTTGCGTTCAACTTCCAGTACGTAGGAAGAACCGATAACTAAAGCGGAAACGTGGAAACCGCACTCTGACTTGAACCACCACGACCGTCGTTGACCGTTCGCGCCGTTAATTGTACACTGATGAACTTTCACGCTCGTCAAGCTACCTTTATACGTGCCCCGGAGTACCTTCTTCCCCTTCCAAACCATTTTCTAGCGGTACATCCGCGCCAAACCGGCAAACGTTTCACAAATTTACAATATCTAACACAATCAGGCAAAAAAAGATTTTCTGTTGCAAAACTATTATTCTGTTGTAAACAATCAGTGTGATGAAATCACATAGTTTACAATAATTTCAAATTTTTTAATTTCTGAACGCTTGACAAGGACAACTGAATATTTCCATTTGTTTAAAGGAGCATTTTGGTGGTCTGGAAGGTAAATGTTTAAACTTTTTTAGGTCTGGTAATTATTTTTCACAAATTTAATCATAATTCTGCTATAGTTTCAGAGACATACATTTACTGCAAGAAAATGGAAAAAAGAAAAGGTCGTTTTTTTCCAATTTCTTGATCAGAACATCCCCTCGAGGTGGAATATTTCAATTGTTTTGTTCAGAAGAAATTTGAGTAGATGATAACCGATGGAAAACCGAACGACTGATCGATTATTATATTTCAGCGTCGAAGCAATTGGCTACGCGTTGAATCAAATTGAAAATGGTAATCGCGCGAACGCGATAAAGCACCAACGAGCGCCTGTGATTTTAAAAACAAGGGACCGATCGATTTCTATTGAATGATGTTCAACATCGGAGTCACGTTACTATGCTATCACGGCAAGGACATTGCTGAAAACTCATCCACGTGAATCATAAAGAGCTGACGTTTCACCAGCGTGAAATTCAATACCTTTTTGTCGCCGTTTTGTCGTTCTTTTTTGGACTCTCAATTTCTTCTTTAAAAAATGTTACTAACATTTCAGAATTAAAGTCAGCCTCTTATTTAAGTACGTTAAACACTTTTTTCTATTATTACAAGCAAACGAGTTATACAGGTGGCCATTTTTAACTATCTTGCTCTGTATAACACGCATTTTATTTGCTATTGTTCAGTATAAAAGTAACAGTATCCAAAACTGATATTAAGAGCATACTATATTAATTATACTTATAACAGAATAATATTTTATGCTCACTTGATATCTAAGATTCGAATACCATAAATACTTTGATATTAAATTTTCTATTTATTTGATACTTTATTAATATAATAGTAACTAATCGCAATAGTATAATTTAGTGATAAGCAGACTGAATTTAATGAATTTATAGCGTATATTAAATATGAAGAATATAAAAAATAGTATACAGATAAATATTTCATAAATTAATATAGTAATATTAATGTTTTATTTTATAGTTACCGGCGATCGATCGATCTTCAATTTCGCGAAGAACGCGAGCCACTGTATTCGATGAAGCCACGAACGTCGTGTAACCTCAGTGAAATTGCTGACACGACGTCAAGTTCATTTTGCAAAGCTGTACACATTTTGTTGCAAACTGTCGTCGTTCTTACGTACAGACATTCGCTGTGCTTCGTATTGCAACTATTGGTCTCTACTATCGAGTTACCGTCATTCTCGTCGATCTTTTGTAATTAAGAATCGAGAAATTGTTGTAATCGAGAAAGTTCGAGAACAATTAATAATTGCAAATAATGTTAGAATAGCTTGATAGATTTTCTGCGTGCCGTTAAAGGTTTCTGTTACGGTAAATGTCCCCCCATTAAATGGCCCCCCTCGGACCATTTCGATTGTACTCGGTTTCTCGAAACGAAAAGAATAGGGGAAGTAACAGTCCTCGGCGGCTATAGAATTAGTGAAAGCAACCCTCGGCGCGAGGAAAGGCCCAACTGATGACGTCGACTGTCTAAAAATACAAAACAATGCGTACCCCTCGCTAGCAAAGGGTCACCCTTGAACATTTAGACGTCGACTTCGATTTACTTTCCAGGAAGCAATTATAATGCCTCTAATAGCTTTTCAACGAGTTCGTAAATGAGTAACATAATTTAAAGAAAATTCGAACTTCCAGTGGTGGTCTATTTTCTATGTATCACTCGGGAAAATTTTAATGGGAGATTCTAAAGGCCAAAATAAGACGAAAATCAAGAATACCAATTTGTTGATCGAGGCTTCGTTAAAAAGATATTAACAAAATTATTAATAAAATTTGTCCACCTGCTTGAATTTTTTTCTCGAAACTGCGTAGGATTTCGGAGGTATGTCTTTTGACCAAAGATGCTTGTAATTGACCCCTGCAACTGAAAATATTTTTTCCAGGACGATTTGAAATCTTTTAACTTCACCATAAAGTTTCAGGAGTTTCTCGAATTTTTTTCTGGAAATTGAGTAGGATTTCGAGGGTATGTGTATTCACCAAAGATGCTTGTAATTGACCCCTGCAACTGAAAATATTTTTTCCAGGACGATTTGAAATATTTTAATTTCGCCATAAAGTTTCAGCAGTTTCTCGAATTTTTCTCTGGAAATTGAGTAGCATTTCGAGGGTATGTGTATTCACAAAAAATGAATGTAATTCACCCACGCAACAGAAAATAATTTTTTCAGAATTATTTGAAATTTTTTAATTTCGTCGAAAAAATTTGTGGACGATATGGAACTTTAAACGTTAATAAGTTTTTAAGGAAGCATCGATCAAAAAATTGGTATTCTTGATTTTCGTCTTATTTTGGCCTCCAGAATCTTCTATTATAATTTTTCATACAGAACTGTTTTATGGAAATTTTGCAGAGTTTCTATAATTTTGTATCAAGATTCTCCATAAATAGTAAAATATTATTTCGTTAAGACGACTGTGATATGCCTTTAAATATCGAGTGTTGAAAGAATTATAGAACTGCTGGTTTATCATGTAAAAATGCTTTTTCAGCAGACCATTCGTCGGATAATGAATTCTAGATGGTAAAGGTCATTCACATTCTTGGGTCGACAAATTTTTTTTGAATAAAGATATTCAGGTGTTTGCTGTGAAACAGCTCTTTATCATGAAAAAACTGCATATAATTTCTTTAACGTTTATGTGGCAACATTTAGCGTTGCAAATGTACAAATTTATTAAAACTTTTGAACCTGTTTTCAGAATACAGAACGAATGTAATACAGGGAACAATAAAGGATTTTTGTTTTCAGGTAGGATTCAAGGGATTTGGCCTAACCCCTGCAAAGGTGGACTCCGTGGCCATGTTCGAATTCGAAGGCAAGGATTACAAATTGAGGCACGGTTCGGTGGTTATTGCTGCAATTACAAGCTGTACTAATACCAGCAACCCCAGTGTCATGCTTGGAGCAGGTAAATGAAACCATAGAGTCTAAACGTTCTTGGTAGATGCATATTACTCTTCAATTAAATTGCAAGCTTTCTACCTATATTTATTATCATATTGAACATTACACTAAGCGGGCATTGTTTAAATTGTAGGTCTGCTGGCAAAAAACGCCGTCGAGGCTGGTTTGACCGTCGCTCCTTACATCAAAACATCACTGTCCCCTGGATCTGGCGTCGTCACTTACTACCTGGAGGAAAGCGGAGTGATTCCCTACCTGACGAAATTAGGGTTCGACATTGTCGGTTATGGATGTATGACCTGCATTGGAAATAGTGGCCCTCTCCCTGATGTTATTGTCGATACTATTGAGAAAGTAAGAACCTGAAAAACTATTTAAAAATAGAACTTGCTATACTCTACTTATAATCGTTGTTTGTTCTATTTAATTAGAACGAGCTCGTATGCTGTGGCGTTCTATCTGGCAACCGAAACTTCGAGGGCAGAATTCACCCTAATACACGAGCGAATTACTTAGCATCGCCATTGTTGGTAATCGCGTACGCCATTGTTGGAACGGTGGACATAGACTTTGAAAAGGAACCACTTGGTAAATATACGACTTAGTCTGAACCGTGTGAATCATTGCAAAGCTATAATAATGTTGGAAATTTTTAGGTCGCCGACCAGACGGCTCTCCGATATACCTTCAAGACATCTGGCCTACCAGATCAACCATTCAAGCCGTAGAACAAAAATTCGTGATCCCAGCTATGTTTAAAGAAGTTTACAGCAAGATAGAAACGGGCAGCAATAGCTGGGTAAAACTGGTCGAGCCTGATGGTAAATTGTATCCGTGGGACTCATCGTCCACCTACATCAAGAGTCCACCGTACTTTACCAATTTAAGAAAGGTTTGTTTAAACTTTTATTTATAGAATTATTTAACCTTTGATACATTGTTGTGAAATATTACCGTTATTTAAAAATAGCATATTTCTTTGCCAATTTATATCATTTTGATTATGTCTAGGAAATACCGATAGTGGAATCAGTGAGAAAAGCGCGCGTTCTTTTGAGTCTTGGAGATTCCGTTACGACGGATCATATTAGTCCAGCTGGTAGCATTGCACGTAATTCTCCAGCAGCGCGATACCTCGCGAGCCGTGGGTACGTTTAAAATACAATTTAGGAATTATAGAAACGTCCAAGTTTGTTTAAAATTATTTTGCTTTTCAATTTTATTCGTAGACTGACGCCGAAAGAATTCAATTCTTACGGGTCACGAAGAGGTAACGACGCTGTGATGGCACGTGGCACGTTCGCTAACATTCGCCTGGTAAACAAGTTCATTGGAAAACCTGGACCACGTACCATTTATATTCCTACTAACGAGGAGGTGTGTAAGAAACGTAAATGAAATCCCAATTTACAGTAATAAATTTATTATAAACGGAACAACAACTTAGAAAAATGTGTTTCTTATTTTCGTTTGAAATAAAATTGACCAAGGTATTAAAATGATTATTTTTTTATTTGCAGATGGACATTTTCGACGCAGCTGAAAAGTACGTGAAGGATCAGACACCGTTGATTATTCTCGTTGGCAAGGAGTACGGATCTGGATCTTCCAGAGATTGGGCAGCAAAAGGGCCTTATCTTTTAGGAATTCGAGCGATTATAGCAGAGTCTTACGAAAGAATACATAGGTAAATATGATTTTCTATTTTCAAATGAAGGATTATTTTTTAAAGACAATTTTATTCAATATCTTCGATATAAATTGCCCGTTTTATAAAAAGTGACGATTCAGGCAAAAATTAATAACACTTCTTATACAGTGGGTAATTTATAGAATAATTTTTGAAGAAAAGAAGCTTTTATTGTCTACGAAACGTAGAATTTTCTTGAAAGTTTCACGTTTAAGGATATTTTATTACCGTTCCTATAATTTCCGCAGGTCAAATTTAGTAGGTATGGGTATTATTCCGCTGCAGTATCTACCTGGACAAAATGCAGAGACTTTAGGGTTGACCGGTCTAGAGGTATATGATATAGTGATTCCCGATAATTGCCAGCCAGGCCAGAAGATTACCGTTACCACCGAGGATGGGAAAAAGTTCGAAACGAACGTACGGTTCGATACTGACGTTGATTTAACGTATTACAAACACGGTGGCATTCTAAATTACATGATCAGAAAAATGATTAGCTAGGAGTTAAAACATACTTAACGAAATACTTAATTTTGGGTTTGGATTTTACAACATATAACGTACGAATGTATCTACATTCTTTACAGTAAAAGAAGTAAACAATAAGAAACACGGTATGGCTTCTTTTTCCGATAAAACATAAAAAAAAAGGCGATGGAACAGAAATATTATTTCAAGTTGGATATATGTATTTATTTTTACGTATTACAAGTTTCTAGTTGAATTATTTAAAAACTTCCGAGGACTGTTATTAATAGACATTTCTTAATAGTATCGTTTGTTGCGAATTTATAGTTAAAACGAATATAAAAAGCTTCGTGCAATCGAACAAATTTAATTTTTTATATTTTATAGTCATTGTTTTAAATAAATCGTGGGAAAAAGATATTTATTAACGTAATAAAGTGTTAATAATTGTTTCAATGTGACTCGCTTTTTAAACCTACAACTTAAGATTCCAAATTACAATGTGTTTAAGTCTATGCGAATCCTAGAATGTCTTTATTTTTGTATATAACAAGTTTTGCTTCTAAAGTTTCACAGTTTTCAACATTTATCCATTCTAAACGATCCAATTTGTATTAGTATTTAAGAATTTCTTTGTAATTAGCCTCTTTATACGAGTATCCTGAAAATGTAAATTCAACTAAATGCTGATCCATTGCTCCATATAAATGAGTACTATCGAAACTTAAACAGTAAACGGGACTTGTCATTCTGCATAGATCCATGAAATAGATCTGGAAAATAAAAATTAAATATAAACAGTACTGTGTAATTATCAAGTTATCGATGAATATTGTTTATAAAATATTCAACTACTGACTTGTATGTAACCTCTTTGTCTTTGATCCCAAAGAACAGCTTTGCAGTTGAATTGCGTTCCACTGACCATACTGTACCGATAATCCGACGATAAACAATATACAGTCGCATTCGTTGGATCTGACCACGAACACACACATGTTCCAGTTCTAAAATGATATCGATTATTAAAATAAAATCTGACAATGGCTTTAACATTGCACTTATTCTTGTTGTTAAATAACTGTGAATCCTAGAATTCGTTTGAAATAATTACCTCAAATCCCATTTTCGAATGTAAGTGTCATATCCACACGTAAGCAGAATCTGCGGATTATCCCAAATCATGTCTAATATTCCTGCCCCCCTTTGCCAATTGTATTTCAGTATATCAGATTGGCTGTAACTGAAATGTTTTTGTTATACTATCGGACCTTTCATGACTCTGAAAATATATAAAAGATATCTGTATACTGGACGCACTTTCGACAATTTGCTTATGTATTTGATACGTAAATTATAACGCACCATTCGAGATCAAATATGTGAAGCGGGGGGCAGTTATTGTTTCCGGCTGAACCCACTGCAAACTTTTTGCCCAATGGATCGGCAGATAGAGACCACACCCTGTCAGTAATGTTTATAGTCGTTAAAGGTACATTTAAGATGTTCTGGCCAACGGGAGGTCTCCAAACCTAAACATTGACATTTTTTTAATATCGCATTAGCAAAGAACTAATAATTTGCAACATCGATTACACCGTTCGATGCAAATCTTCTACGATATTCATTAAATGAACCTCGTAGAGTTTTTAAACCGTAATACAAATTACCTTCACCGTTCCGTCCCCAGAACCAGATATAATTGCATCCCTAGTCTTATCTATTCCATTTATATCGTAACTGTGCGCTCTGCTTATGTTGCAGTCGAAATTTATAAATTTGTAGCTTCCTGATTTTGTCCAGAATTTTATGCTACCGTCTCTGCAATATAATTTATAAATTTGATGCAAACCGAATGACAGTGTACATTAAATATTGTCAGCGATACAAATTCTTGATACCTGTGCCCAGTTACGATGCATTCGTTTCTGACAACGAACTTGCATATATCGCTGCAGACATGAACTCTGAACAAAAGTTGATTGCTTTTGTGCCTGGACTCGAAACGTTTGAAACAGCACAATTGACTTCCGCCGCTCCACCATAAAGTGTTGTTGGTCAATTGTATCCATGGCATGAACTTCGTTTTCTGCGAGAAGATGATCCTCTTCTCGTATCTGCCGTATTGCCAATTGTGCGAGACATGCCATTTTTTCCGTAAACATAATAGTGGGTTACACCTGTACGATTGAAATAATTTACATTGAATGATAGAATTCAGATTTATCGAATATCTAGGTGCGTAAATAAATCCTGTAAGGTTTGGTATTTTTTTAACATCAGACATTACACCATTACGATAAAAGTAATAATAAGAAATAAAAGTACACGTAGCGATTTTGTAAATTAATGCATATCGGCATATTCGGAATAAATAAAATGCACAAATTAAGATACGTCGTTCGTAAGTAACGATTTTGTTAATGATATAATTACAATATTTGTTAAAAAAAGATCAAGTATAACCTAACGAACCTTTCACGAAATTTCCTCGAAATTTGATTCGTTACGATCGGTTGCTTGCTCTTCCTGGCCCAAAGCGTTTCTTCGCGCACGATATCGTAAAATCGCGTGCATACTTCGCTGAGTCGTACCAAATCGAACGCATGACAGTAATCGAAAATTAATATCAAAATTTCGGTTGGCAAAGTGTTCAAACGCCACGAATCTGCCATTTTTGTCGAACTAATTCGTCCGACGACCGCGAATAGAACAGCTGTTGAACTTCGGTCTTCGTGTAAAAGCTATCTCCGACAGAAATATTATACCAAATAATACGAAATGTAGTTTTCACGAAGTTTAAAATTTACGGGACGAAATATGATAAGCTAAACCTTTGTAAAAAATGCCCTATTATCAAAATATATAAATATTCGATCGATCCTCCTCTTTGAATTCAAATTCAATAAATAATAAGATAATGTAAAGCCTAATGCTTTTTTATAAACAGCTTAATTTTATAAGACAAAATTTATACGGTAAATGGGGCAATTAGATTTAGAATTTTGGATTCGGGTTTCATGAATAATTAAGTTTTGATCCATCTCTTATAATAAATATTTCTATTCTTTATTTTCATTTTTAAAACATTAACTTGTACAATATAAAAATTGTAAAATCTATAATTGTAAAAACATTATTCTAGTTAGATTTTTTTAATCAAGACTAGATATTTTTAATTTCGAAAGAAACGAGAAATAAAAAAACAAACCGCACTTTCCAAGCTACGCGTGTCTAAGAAATTTATTTCCCGTGTACTTTCGCGTTTCCCGAGCCCATAACGTGTTGACGCGGTCAGGATATAAAATAATAAACTTAAGACACAAAACGAACAAAATATGAAAACTTAAACATTTGTAACTCGAACATTCTCAACGGGCAATGAAAGTACATCTATCCAGTGCCTGAGAAATAAACTCGTCCTTTTTCTTAACAATAAAAAATTTAGCTTCTAGCAGTGACGCACGCCTCGTTTGCTTCTTGAGGCAGTTTCCACTCCACGTTGTTCTTCGTGCCTATAAATAAAATAGATAAAATATTTAGAGATATATTGAAAACGATTAGAGATTAGAGAACAATTCGTTACGTCTAATCGAAGGAATATTTTTCTTATACCGGGCGTTAAATGTTTTAAAAACACCAGATGTAAAACAAGGTACACGAGTGCAGACACAGCGGCGGTAAACGAAAATATTCGTAATGTGGTTACGCCTCCAAATATTTCATATAAAACTCCACCTATCAGACTACCTATTGCAAAACCTGAAACAGAACAATACCGTGTTGTATATGAATGGATATTAAACACAGTGGTGGATCTGTTTTATAGAATTGAATTACCAAAACCGTCGTCCATGCCAGCTACGATTCCCTGGACAGTGGCGGATGTACCGGTTGGGGCGACTTTGCTCGCATATGCAACGATCGTTGTATAACAAAGCGCATAAGTTGGTCCTTGCATAAATAATTCGATCGAAATTACCCACCACGGGTTTGACGCCAAAGAAATTAGATAAAGGCGTAACGCGTAACATGCGAAACAGAATGTAAAAGTATACCCGAATCCTAGCTTCTTTAAAATTTTACCTGATTAAAAAAAAAAAAGGTAACGCTTCATTGAAAGGATTTTGATTGTGTAAAAGTAAAAAGTACATATGTATACATATAAAGCATACCGGAAAACGAAAAGAATATCACTTCGCCAACCAAAGTTTCCGCAGCGACTATTAAACCTTCTATTAAATTAATTTCGTTCATATGACCAGTTACTTTAGCCAGATCTTCCAAATACCTGTTTAGAACATATTGTTTCTATGTAAGTGCGATTAATTTCTGAGTGTCTGTTATCCTACAACGTACATTTTATAATTCTCCAAAGTATTTTATTTGTTAAAGAGATATTTAACCCATTTGCATCCAAGCGCGGAATATTCCGCGAGCCGCGACTGTCTACTATCACCAAGCGCGGAATATTCCGCGAGCCGCGACTGTTTACTATCGTCAGTTGAACGTCGCCGATGTTTCGATGCGGAAGCTTAAGTAGAGCGATGATGCAAATGGGTTAATGAACGGCGGACATTTAAAGGAATGAGAGTTACCAAAATAAAAAATAAATCATGAAGCTGTCAAGTATGCCAGCAAGTGTCGCGAAGCAAAGAAATATAATTATATGTTTTAATTTTAAAAGCTCATAAACGTCTTTTATTATATTTGTGGACCCTCCCATAATCGGTAGCTGTAAAACATGTTTTTGATCAATTACAATGAATAAGAAAGAATAAGAAATATTGATCGATTGTCAGTGAAAGTTGCGTAAAGTACTCACTTTTAATTTTCTGCAACAAAGTAAATCGAAGAGTGAAAATACAAAGACAAGTAAAAATGCAGGCGTGTAAATCTTCAGGGATTTTCCTTTCGACCAATAATCCACTGCACAGCCAGCCAAAAGGGCAGAAATTCCAAAACCTATCGTTCCCCATACGCGTTGTCTACCATATCCCATTTCACCACCTGCTCCTATAAATTCATTAAATTAATAAAGAAAATAAATAATACCAAACGCTGACAAGGAACATCCACAAAGTGTTCTTCCCTGATTTTAATGTTTAATCCTTTGACCTTGAAAAGAATATGTACGTGGGAGTAATATTTGGTGAATGTTCCTTGTTAGTACAGAATTATATTGTAAATATAGTTATGTTATACCTAGTATATCAAAGCAAACCGCGTCGCTTATACTGTTGGATACGTTAAAGCCAATATTGCCAAGGCACAATAAAATGACAAAGCCCCAGAAAGTAGAAGATGTATACAGGCAATGCTTTTCTTCGAAATTATCACAGACAACGTTACAATTAATATTCTCCGAACAATACGATGTAGCATTTACATCCATTAAACACGTGGTGTTCGAGGAAATGCTTGCTTCTCCTTGGACTGCTTGAAACAGCATCGGTGTAGAAAATGTATCGTTAGCGCAAGTCCAGTGACACACTGTAGCCTTTGCTCCGGTACATGAATCTAGTCTTGAAATGTCCTTAAATAAATCAGGAGTCACAGATGTATATTTAAGAAAGTCAAGAATTCGTGCTCGTAAGATATCATGAATGTTTGACTTTAGAAAAATGAGAAACTTCCAACGGTTGTAAAAGCTTACTTCTGACGAACAGTGTGACAACGACATGCAAGATACGTTAACGAATCTATGGTCTGGTAAGACTGGTCCCGGCATTGCTGGTAAAAGATACATGCAGACGAAACAAGCACTCGTAGTCGCTAGTAATGCTATGAAAATGGCTTTTCTCCAGGAATCAAAATAATCTATGAGAAAACCAAAGGCTGGCTTCGCGATTAAAAATAAAATTGGTAAAATGGCTGTGATACTGCCCATAACTAATACGGATATTCCAAGTTGTTTGCCATAGACTTGTAAAAATGGAAGAATTGGACCCATCGCTGGAACAAGAAATAAATATGTAGGCATTGTATCCGTGTAGATGCAAAATATTATCGTATAATTATATTTACCTGCCATGAAGAAAAAGTAATGTGCCTTTATAGGCAACTGTTTGTAATTTAACTTCATCTTTTTTGTGATTCCCAGGTGATTCGACGGAACATTAAGATTTTGATTCTGATTCGACAGACAGAAAATGCAATATCTAGAGACGCGGTAGCGTCTCGACGCCAAGTACATGAAAGATACCCTGTATACAAGATATCGATCGACTGTCGCTACCGCTATCCTTTACTCGTCGCCAGGCTATTCTGAAACTTATTTCAATAATATCTCATCACCCCTGCAATATTTTTTAAATTTAAAGGCATTTTTCTTATGTAAACCGCATATAAGCTTTCGAATAAGACCAATTCCAAAAAAATCGGTCCACGCATGCTAGAGATATCGTAATATCGTCTCATTGAAATTTGTCAGAAATGTGTGCGTGTGCATATGCTACGTATTATATTAGAATTAAATATATGTAGAATAAATCTGACTGCGTTTCTAATATATGTATGTATATGTTTATGTATTTTAGATTGTAAGGGAGTAATTGTAAATTATTAATACTAATTGTAAGACAATTAACATTTTTTCGGTTTCGCAGCGCCAAGTATTTTGAATAAAATATTTATTCGTATTAAAATATTTATTTGTATAAAAATATATCTGCTTAATATTATTTAATACATTTTTTCTTTGTATAAATAGCCATTATGGGTAATGGAATTTTAGCTGTGCATATGTAGCTGTGTCATCTAAAGCGTAGTTGGAAAGCATCTTTATGTACTGACAACTCATTTTGATTTCACATCTTTTTTTAATTTTGTAATTATTATTATCTTCTATGTTTTGTGATTTACTTGATTTGATGTACTTGGCGTAATTTTTTTACCTTTTTGAAGTTTTTGAGGGGATCATATTATACATACAGACACAGTCTAAAAATAGAATTCACAAATTTGTATTAAAAGCGTGTAATCTATTTTACCGAAAATATATCGGAAGTTTTTTGGTATAGAAAATTCACATTGGATTTGATGGAAATTAATCACGGCTTGTGAGATTATCACAGTGTCAATTGTTGCCTGTTGTTCTGTCGAGAACTACCGAAGCAACAGACGTCTTCTGTATATCCATTATCCGACAGTTCCTATAAAGTGTAATCTTCGTCTGCTCGTAACATTGATTTGTTTTAATGCATTTCACGCGAAAGTAGTTAATCTACTGTGTCAGACGAGGTTAACATAACGTGATATTACCACGGTTGTACAGCCACAGCGATATCAGCCAGGTCTGCCATTGTCTGATAATTTATACCCATCCTCAATAGCTTCCATGTTGGATGATAGAAATAAGTTTGTAGAGTACATCAAGAAACAACAATAAACACTAGATTTACGAACATTGATTGTATCTATTGAAACCTATCTTGTTGGTAATTACATTAAAATCCGATTTTTAACATGTATATCCATATGTGTAGATTCGAAAGGCCCTAATGGCCCTAATGGCCGATCGACATTAAATTTGGCAGAGGGGGAGGGGAGAAGTACGGATTTTGAATATAAAATATTAATTTCTAGTAATTAATAGTTTCCAAGAAATTTGATTAAGTTTGGCTAGTTTTCATCTCGAAACGAGTGCGACGCTACACATATTTAGGTTAGATTCGAATAGTATATTACAAACTAACATGTTCCGGTCATCAAAATTGAAATTCGATATAAAAACTCATTTTCTGCGGGATGCCTTATAGAATGAGAAAGAACAGCAAAGGTTGTGAATATTATCGTTCTTTATTTAATTCATACATAAGGTATAGGGTTAAAAAGGCAACGTATATGTATGTACATATTTTAATATAAAATATGGTTTTGATGCATACATATCGATGATTAGAGCGAACAAACTGCATTAATCATTATCAACAGATATCACAACGCCCCCGTTAATGCTATTTACAATTATCTGTATCGCAGGAAGTCTGTTTCAGAGGCCAAAATAAGACGAAAATCAAGAATACCAATTTGTTGATCGAGACCAGTTCTGAATTTTTTTCTCGAAAATGCGTAGGATTTCGGGGGTATGTCTATTCACCAAAAGTGATTGCAATTGACCCCCGCAGCCGAAAATAATTTTTCCAAAGCGATTCGAAATTTTGTTTTCCGTCGAAAAATTTCACACCTTCTCGAATTTTTTTCTCGAAAATGCGCAGGATTTCGGGGGTATGTCTATTCACCAAAAGTGATTGCAATTGACCCCCGCAGCCGAAAATAATTTTTCCAAAGCGATTCGAAATTTTGTTTTCCGTCGAAAAATTTCACACCTTCTCGAATTTTTTTCTCGAAAATGCGCAGGATTTCGGGGGTATGTCTATTCACCAAAAGTGATTGCAATTGACCCCCGCAGCCGAAAATAATTTTTCCAAAGCGATTCGAAATTTTGTTTTCCGTCGAAAAATTTCACACCTTCTCGAATTTTTTTCTCGAAAATGCGCAGGATTTCGGGGGTATGTCTATTCACCAAAAGTGATTGCAATTGACCCCCGCAGCCGAAAATAATTTTTCCAAAGCGATTCGAAATTTTGTTTTCCGTCGAAAAATTTCACACCTTCTCGAATTTTTTTCTCGAAAATGCGCAGGATTTCGGGGGTATGTCTATTCACCAAAAATGATTGCAATTGACCCCCGCAGCCGACAATAATTTTTCCAGAACGATTTGAAATTTTTGAATATAATTGTTAATAACTTTTTAACGAAGCCTCCATCAAGAAATTGGTATTCTTGATTTTCGTCTTATTTTGGCCTCTAGAATCCCTCATTAAAATTTTCCCAGGGGTAGCCGAACACCAAAATCAAAATCAATGTTAAAAGTTACCACTAAACAACTTTACCGAAAAAACGAATGAGATTAAAGTTATAAGCGTTTATAAATTTTTGTGGCAAGTTGGAACACTTGGAATTTTCAGAAATGACACTGCAAAATTGCCCTGCAGTTGTTAGTCGATAATAAAAAAAAATTCTTGGAGTGCGAAGGATTAAGTTTAAAACGGGTATTTTGCATTTAAATCATTTTACGACAGCGCTGACTCATCGGGAAAACACACACGGAAAATATAAAGTTAAACGCGGGGATCTATCTACAAATAGATAAATGTCCTTATGGATTATTGCATACAATAAACACGTAGATTGTAAATAGCGTTCTCGAGGCCCGGAACGTTGGGTGCAATAAGTGTCGAGACCCCATTGTTTCCAACGAACAATTCTGCCCAATTGTATTCGATTTGTACCAATAAAACCAACATATAGGAATGTTATTCTTTACACTTCCTCGATGGAACATTTACACTTTTATGTTTGTACAACGATTAACAGATAAACAATCTTTTATTTATTACTCCAGATAAGAATTTATCTCATCTCTTAACCGCAGGCATATTGCCACATTATTGCAAATATAACTGTAATATTTTTTATTGTATGAAACTTTAGACAGGATATTTAATTACGTCACTGTATAGCTGCGTGCGATAGAGATGCGTCGAACGTATGCGTTGTAAGATCCCCTCCATCTTTCGGTGAATTCGCTCGCGCGGTGTCACATTATTGAATTAAAAACGCTCGATGTCGTCGAGTCGGTCGATCTATTTTTCATAATCCGTTCGTTCGATCCTCCCGCGTAAGCGTCGTTCGCTTTTGATTCCATTCGAAACATTGAACCGTGCCGGAGATCAACCAGCAAATTGATTGCATACGGAGATACATCGACAAAGCAAACCAGATAATTGTTGGACTTAAAACGTTGTTGGCGGCGCTGCATCTCGCAGCTTTTCGTTACACGTGTATTTTTCTTTTGCGTCGCGTTGCGAAGAATTTTCAAGGTTAGACGAAAGTGGTCGGAACAACTTCTACCGGCTAAAGTAAATTGCTACATATCATTTCGTTGCTTCGAACGATTGTGATCTATAGGGATGATCCTAAACGCTATTTCTACTGTGATTCTATACATACCTATTCCGATCGAAAGGTGTCTTTCGACACTTTTGCATTTGGATGTAAATATCTTTACAAGTTAATAGAAACAGTGTTGAGTCAGAATCTATTAAAGTTTTATCGACCGTAATCGCGTTTCAGTGGAAGTGTTGATTGCATCGTTACCGATCCAGCATTTAAATCGCCGAGCATGATCGAGTGATAACGATCACGTGTAAACTTTTAATCGTGAAAACAAACAGTGATCAAAGGCTTAATATTTATTTCTGGAAGTCATGCCGATCGAATGGATATCGAAAATGTACGTTCGATTGTTTCTTTCGCTTATCTTTATCCTGTTCATCCGTCAACGTGCTAACGCTGATAAATGTAAAGACTGTAGAGAAACTTCTGAACGTGAGTAAGAAATCTTTACCAACGATAAAAGTACTTACATATACGTATAGTCTTCGACCGCTATTTCTACACAGTTAATTTTCCACGATTCGTCTCCACTCCCATATTTTTCGCTCGATGTCCGAGTCTCAATGAAACCGGATCCGGCAAAAAAGCAAAGAGGATAAAGAAAAGAAATCATAGCGTCTCGCTTCCTCCTGTTATCCTACCATTTTCTTTCTCCGTCAAGCAATGCTCGGGTTCAATTGTAAAAATAGCACTTTTCCCCAAAACGCTTTAACGAATGGTGAAAACGAAACTTTCAGTGAAACTATGCGTCGTCGAGAGCGTGCACACGGCAAAAGACATCCGTTCTCTCTGCCCGCAATTGTCTTCCATGTCGAATCCACTAAAATGTGTCGTGACAACCGATAGGCGAGTATAACAAATTAATAGTCGTGTGAAGCAAGTATAGCGATCTTCTAAAAAGCCACGAAACTCGAGCCCTTAAATGTCACGGAGGTTGTCAACAATCAGGAGTGATACTATAGCCAACAAAGATAACAATAGGCCTGAATATACTTCGAACAGATCGCTATATTTGTATTTGTTTAATCTTTGCGAAAATAACAACGTGGTTTCGTAATATTTAACGAGCGTTCCTTCGAACGGTTTTTTCAATGGTACGTCGTAAAACTTTCGCCATCTTTTTAACGGGAAGACCCAAATTACGTTCACTCAGGTCCAATTGCCTGCGGCAGTTGGCCACGGGCCTCGCTGATTTTACTGTTTTGGAACCGGAAGATCTGATCGTTGCGACCGCGTACAAAGAGTTCAACGTTCTAGTCACCACCGAGCTAAGACTATATCCAAACGGTAATTAAAATATGAATCGTACCGCGAGAGGGATTGTCCAGAATTTACACACACGACAAGTTCTTTGAATACGAAAATCAACGTTTAGAAAAGCAACGTTTCGAGATGGTAGTTCTAACCAAGAAAAACGTGAAAACCATATGGGACGTTAAGGAGAAAAGGTTCTGTCATCCTGGACACGATACGGCCGACGAGTGGACCAAGGTTTTCTCTACGGTTAATATTTTCATGATCGTTTACCAGAGTCGGGCAAATTTTATTTACGAATCAAAAATATTACGTACGTTCGTAAACACTAACTTATATTTTAAATTCATTCGTAAATTGGTATCCACCGACAGATCTTTAAAAAAGTCAGTTTACAAATGGATTAAATATTTTTATTCGTTGTTCATGAATAAAATTTGCCTTGTGTACCATAAGGCTGATTACTAATTATGATATGTGAACACACACATGTGTCGTCAATTATTACGGATGAAACACTACGCGTGATGCGATAGTGCTCTGTTGACAATGCAGGTAACAGATAAGATAAATAAATTCTTGAATATCAAATTTATAGCGATATAGTTCTCATCCTTGACGCTAGATAGCACCACCAAATTCTATATGTTAATACTGCAGATACCTATGCACATTCAAATCCTAGATTAACGATTTCTTTATAATTCTTGCTATTTTTATTCAATCCGTGTGAAATTTTTTCTAGTCGCTCTGAACAGAGATAATCGTTAAAATGTACCCCCTTTTTTTCTTCTAATTTTCTAATTTTCTAATGAGTTATACGTAATTCGATACATTATTGATATGCATTTCATTATCCGCGGAAATTCGTTATTTTTTTATAAACTTGTAAAGTTACAGTAAAAAAGTAAGGTTAAGTATATTTTAGCATTATCAAATTAGATCGATCATTTATATTTGTAACACGAACGTAGCAACGATGGTCACTTGTTTCTATCTGTGAACCTATCAAAAAATGTACCTAACCTTACTTATAACGAATTTTCACAGATAATGAAATGCATATCAATAATGTATATAATAATGAATATACCCGCGATCCTTTCTACCTTACCTCCGTTACAGTATTTCGAGAAATGGATAATGCCCAGAGAGTGCGATCCGGAGAAGACGATGCAGGAGAACAAAGCGATTGAAACGTCGAAATTCTTCGAGTCGGCGTGTATCGCCGGTCCTTGGTCAGCAGACACTAAATTGGACGGTTTATTGAGTACGTACTCTGTGTTGGACAACAAAGAAACCGAATAAAATGCAATCACATTCCCGCTCGAAGCCTATCGATACTTTTTTCTCGCAGAATCGACGTACAAAAATCTTTGCGCCGCGTGCGACGATCCCGCCAACTGTGACTCGAATGATAAGTACCACGGGCGCGAAGGAGTTTTATTGTGCTTTACTGATAATGCAGGTGATATCGCGTGGGTACGATTGGACGATGCTCTCGAGCACTTCAAGGTACGTGTAATCGAGTAACGGTTATTTTTGCTCTACATACGATTAGAAAACCGTCTGATCGTCGTCTGGCGTATCAATTGGTCCATCGTGTTCATTGTACCAGAAACGTGGAGTTGGAAAGGGTGTTTCTTTCGACCGTTTTCCGGTTTAAAGATATTTAAATTTGAAACTTTTTCCACGTTTATAAAGCTCATTGATATTTAAAATTCTACAGATTATTAAAATCGTTTGCAAATTTATTTCTATCGTTACCGGCGCCGGAGAAATGCGATCTTCTAATCGGAGATTAATAAAATGGTGTACGCAGGAAGAAAAAATCGACAAAGATGATTACAATTTCCTTTGCCCGGATGGTACGACGAGGCCCATGAAGTTCGACAGACCCTGCGCGTGGATCTCGAAACCATGGCCGGTGGTCGTTGCTAGATCGTTAGTAAAGATATCGCTATAGAGAAAATAGATCCAACTGTCGATACATTGTCTTTTAAAGTGACTTTTCGTTTCGCCAGGGAGACAGCAGCAAACGTTCAACGGATAATGGGCTCGTTCGAGGCGGAGAATTCCGGCTGGGTTTTGCGTTCTTTGTTGGAGAACTATCATCCAAAGTCGGTGAACATCGATACTCCGGAAACGCCTAAGGACTACCTGACAAGATGTAATTGACAACTAATTTAAGAAAAAATTATTCGTGATACAAGGTCACGTAAATCGTAGATCATTAGATTTGCCTTGACCTAGACTCTTATGAAAAATAAGGATGACCTTGAAAACGAAACTTGTACTTCTTAACATTAGAGCTACCAAAGCAGTCAATATGACCTATTCGTAATTTCTAATAAAATTGATAAAAAATTTACTCGACTGAATTTTTGAAAATTTACCATAGTTTTCTATTATTTTAATTTCTTCGGTATAAATAAGTATGCTATAATTTTCGGTAGTTCCAGCGTTAAAACAGTGTAACTTTGTCCTAGATTGTCCTTAGAGTACAAGATTAATGGTGTTTTATTATAGTTCCTGCTTTGTATGGCGCGAACAACACTGCAATAGCGTGTCGGCCCTCGCGAAGCGTACGATGGTGCGTCTCGTCAAAACTGGAGGACAAAAAGTGCGAATGGCTGAGAACAATTTCCTTCGTTTATGGCGTGGAGCCCACGATTTCCTGTATACGGGAGCCAACGAGAGCATTGTGCTTGAAGGCGGTTGAAACCCAGCAGGCGGACATATTCGTCGCCATGCCGGAGGAAATGCTCGACGCTAGAAAGTGAGCAAAATCGTTGTGAAACGATTCGAATCTTCATAGTCTCAAAAACTTTGAACTTATACTGATCCTAGTGTCTATGGAAAATAGAGTTTTCTCTGTAGCGTCCACGGTGGTGTTTCAGGATGCGTCTGAAACCGATCCTACAGACGACATTCAAGAAGAATAACGAGTTCGACAGAATTGTGGCTGTCGTCAAGCAGGATTCACAGTTCCACAGCTTGAGGAACCTCAAGGGAGCCAAGGCATGCTTCACAGGATACAAAGACGTCGGTAAGGACAAGTGTTCAAGAAGCAGATCACCAGTTTACCCCTTTTTGAGCAGTCTTGAACAAAATTCTAATAAAATTTTCTATTACAATGTTGACAAAATACAGATTACCCCTTTGCTGCATATACAAGGTGTTCAGTCACCCCTGGGAACAATTTTAATGAGAGATTCTAGAGGCCAAAATCAAGAGTATCAATTTCTTAGTCGAGGCTTCCTTAAAAAGTTATTAAAAAGTTTCAAATCTTTCTGGAAAAATTATTTTTGGTTATGTGGGTCAATTACAATCATTTTTGGTGAATACACATACATTCGAAATCCTACGCAGTTTCGAGAAAAAAATTCGAGTAGGTGCGGAAATTTTTCGGCAAAATTAAAAAATTTCAAATCGTTCTTGAAAAATTATATTTAGTTACAGGGGTCAATTACCAGCATTTTTGGTCAACAGACATACCTCTGAATTCCTAATCAGTTTCGAGAAAAAAATTCGAATAGGTAGACAAATTTTTCGGCAAAATTAAAATATTTCAAATCGTTCTGGAAAAATTATATTTAGTTACAGGGGTCAATTACCAGCATTTTTGGTCAACAGACATACCTCTGAATTCCTAATCAGTTTCGAGAAAAAAATTCGAATAGGTAGACAAATTTTTCGGCAAAATTAAAATATTTCAAATCGTTCTGGAAAAATTATATTTAGTTACAGGGGTCAATTACCAGCATTTTTGGTCAACAGACATACCTCTGAATTCCTAATCAGTTTCGAGAAAAAAATTCGAATAGGTAGACAAATTTTTCGGCAAAATTAAAATATTTCAAATCGTTCTGGAAAAATTATATTTAGTTACAGGGGTCAATTACCAGCATTTTTGGTCAACAGACATACCTCTGAATTCCTAATCAGTTTCGAGAAAAAAATTCGAATAGGTAGACAAATTTTTCGGCAAAATTAAAATATTTCAAATCGTTCTGGAAAAATTATATTTAGTTACAGGGGTCAATTACCAGCATTTTTGGTCAACAGACATACCTCTGAATTCCTAATCAGTTTCGAGAAAAAAATTCGAATAGGTAGACAAATTTTTCGGCGAAATTAAAAAATTTCAAATCGTTCTGAAAAAATTATATTTAGTTACAGGGGTCAATTACAAGCATTTTTGGTCAACAGACATACCCCTGAAATCCTACGCACTTTCGAGAAAAAAATTCGAATACGTAGACAAATTTTTCGGCGAAATTGAAAAGTTTCAAATCTTTCTGGAAAAATTATATTTAGTTACAGGGGTCAATTACAAGCATTTTTTGTGAATACACATACCCTCGAAATCCTACGCAGTTTCGAGAAAAAAATTCGAGTAGGTGCTAGAATTTTTCGGTACTAAAAAATTTTAATCGTTTTGGAAAAAATTATTTTCAGTTGCAGAACATTAGGCGTTAACTTTTTATTTCAGCCTCTAAAATCTCCCATTAAAATTTTTGCCAGGGGTGGTCGAATATCCTATATAGAAGTTAACTCGTTTAAAAAAAGTCATTTGTTTCTTACAGGATGGAACGTCTTTGTAGCTATTTTGAGGAATATTTCGGATACGGATTCTGAATGCTCGGATTCCGACTACTGGGATGCAGATGCAGTTGGAAAATTTTTCAGTGAGGGCTGCGTTCTCGGGCCAATAGACAGCCACGCGAAAATTCCTTATAATTTGTATTCCCTGTGCAAACAGAGTAGGTGAACGCGTGCTGCTGTAATCAGAAACGACGATTGACATACTGATTAAATAGCGAAACGAATTTATAGCGGGCAGAGTCGGTGACGACATAAAAACATTCGACTGCTTATCATCTGGCCTTGGAGACGTGGCTTTTGTCAATTTGAAGAACATCGAGAAAAAGATCGGTATAAATTTGTTGTACAATGTATCAGTAAAACGAAATTCTGCATAATGTCGGTCCGAGGTCGCTTCGTGCCATCAACAATGTATTTTAATTTTATCTTTATAGTAGTGTTATTAAACAGTTTTCGAGTTTCGCGTTATCTAAGATTGCACCACAGATTTAAACTATAAATGCTATGTATACAGTTGCTTGCTTTAATATTGAAACACCAAGATACTTTTAAATTTCAATTTTGTATAAAACTTATTTATTATAGACAACAGAGAAATAAGTTTTTTTTCAAAATTCTAGACCAGACCTAACCCTTCAAATGTTAAATAAAAAACGTTATAATTATTCTAGGTAATTTAAACTCGGAAATTGGATTAGAACGATTCTTTTGGGAGACCAATCGTGATTACCGAACACTATGCCTCGATAAAGAAGACAATTATCAAGGACACGTATGTGAGCTCGCGTGGACGCCATTAAGCACGGTAATTTCCTATTATAACTTTATTGAAGTTAATCTAATTTCTATTGTAATAAATCCTACGCAAATACAACTTATGTTTTTGAAATAAACAAAAATTTAATGCCTTCGTATATTACTTTTAGATCGTAGCACACGAAAACATGTCGGACTTAAGGCGCGAAGAAATTTACACGATGCTGCTGGATATGGATGAACGTTTTGGAGTTGATTTTAAGGGCAGAGTACCAGCGTTCTCCATGTATGGACCGTACGATTCGAATTACAATGTTATATTCCCGGTATGTAAAAATATAAGATCATCCATTTGGTGCAATAATTATTTTCGAAATATCAAGCTTACACGAAAATGTGTACACGAAAATCGTTTCAATCCTCGTCGGAAGTGTTGCACATGCAGTCTAGGGGGCGCTCGAGGATAGTTACTTTTTCCCAATACTTTTCATTTTGCGCGATTCCGTAATAAACGTAACCGTGCCGACAGAAAGCCCAAGGAAAGTGCATACACTTGAACGAAACGCAAGGATCGCCTTTCGCGTTCAACGCAACAGCGCCGATATTCGATTCCCCGGTTTCCGTTTCGAAGTTCTCCAGTTCTGCACATATCGAATAATCGATCGACGCATCCGCAGACAATCTTTGTATTATTTTCCGCGCTGGCGCGTAGGAATAGATCTTGGTGTCGTTTCCGGAGACGGAAACGCAGCCATCTTTGTCCGCGTAGATACCGCAGCCAATCACCGTGCCGATCGCGCTCACAGAGCCAATGGGCTTTCCAAGTTCTCCCGCCGTCGAGGTCCCGCTTGCTAACCGTCGTTTTCGATCGTACGCGACTGCGCCGACCGCGCTAACCTGAAATATTTTTAATAACTTACGTTAAATTTCGAAATAAGCTTAAAAATAAACACCTGCAAAAAGGCTGGTTCGTCCAATAATTCGGTCGAATCGATCGACGACGCGCAATAAGGATTTGCTTCCCCTTGGTCTGATCGTATCACGACGCAATCCGAATCGCAATCTTTCCTCTCTTCGTCTTTCCATTCGTTTTCGTCGCAATCTTTATCGTTCAATAGACTCGCACGATCGGTGCAGTATTCGTAAATTTCTTCGGCCGTATAATGAGATGTCATGGATTCATGTACGTTTAATGAGCCCGGCGGTAAAATTGAAATTCCATTGTTCAAGGCAAACTTCTGAGCGCCATTTTCGACGATCAGAATGTGTTCCGTGTTCTCCAATACTTTTCTTGCTGAACAGTTTTATTTTTTCGATTTAAGCGTTAGTTTTGATAATTAATCATCGTGATTTTTAGTGAGTCGCTGTATTTGAAACGAACCTAGCGCGATAGGGTGTTCTATGTCACGAACAGCACCCACGAAACCGGCATCGTTTATTGTGACGATAGCGGCGTCGGTAACAACTTCGTTGTTAACGTCCAGAGAACCTCCTTTCGCGCAATTGAAATACGGTTCACTTTCCATGTAAGAAATTGCTTTCTCGACCGCGTCTACCGCTGATCGACCGTTGATAAGGTCGCTGTACGCCTCGAGCGCCGCATTTTTAACCTATGAAAATTCATAGAGACTCTAATTGGCAGTTTAATTCATAATCCCATTAATTTGGCTGCATTTTTATAATGTTTCTTAAAAAGATAATTCGTGTAACCTCGGTTAGCATACGATTACGTTTCTTTCGTGGAATTGTTCCCGCTCCTCCGTGAACCACTATAACCGGATCTACGTGTAGACGAGGTTTCTTTTTCTCTGGTTTGGTTTCCGTTTCGATCCTTGCCAAGATCTGATCGATCCACGAGCAATAATCGCACATCGTTCGTATATAACGTAAAATTTGTTAGAGTATCAACAGAAATTTATTATTTAACATGCTAGTTAATACGAGACGCTAGAAACAAATGCAAATGCCCTTTTTGCAGGGAGAAACGCAACGTCTAGAAGCCGACGTTCATCAGATGCAACACATACTAAATTACAACGATGTTATCGACGAAATTTTGAAACAAGTCCCTTGCAGCGGTGTAAGAAATTCGAGCGTTTATTACAGTAATATAATTGTTGTATATATTTCGGTTCTTGTTTCGAATAAATTGATGTATGTCTAATGGCGGATGTTCTTTCATCGTTGCATAACAATTTTATATGCCAGTCGTTATAGGTAAAGTGATATGTGGGATAATAATTTATTACAAAACAACCTTTTCCTTAATAGCATGTTATTTTAATATTTTTTTACATTATAAAACCATTGTATACAATTCATGGACGGATTCGTATTTGTGAATGTGAATAACGTGCAATAAATAATAGTTATTTTATACAGATCTGATGGTGTTGGTTCATGAGATTAATAAAACTTATAATGAATTACTTCTAATCAAGTCAATAGATTTGCTGAGATTTCCTTGTCACTTACAGTTCTATAGTATAGTATTAATAATAGTATTAAATTTTATTATTACGTTTGCAAGATTGTCTTCAACTAAATGCCAAGTATGTACTGTTCACTTGGAAAATCATAGGTGTATGGTCGATAGATAAAAAGTATAGATATTAAATCACTGGAAGTACAAAAAATTCAATTCCTTTGTGTGTTTTTCATTAATAATCTCAGATCGGTTATAAAATTTCGATGTATCGCATGAAAGTGTTCAATTCCTGCAAATAATCTTCTTTCTTTGCGTAATAAAAGTTTGTCTTCAATTTATGTATTTCTACATTTCCGGATTCCGTTCCAAGGGCCTGAAATACACATTATCATATATATAGTACACTTTTAAATTTTGCATAGAGAATATTTAACATACCAGATATTGATGAGCCATATCACGTTCGGTTTTACAGGACGATAATTGCATATTATTAATGGTACCGCATTTTTGCATACTCGCCGAGTACGTTGAATATAAATCACTGTTGCTCAAGTCCCATATATGTATTCTAAAATATATAATGAAATTGAGCTCATTTCTTCAATCAATCTGTTCTCCTAGTTTTTATTTACCTCGAATTATTGTCCAGTACGAAGATTGTAAATGGTTTCGACTTTGACCATTGCACAGACTTCACCGTATGAATATTGTCTTCGTCCCTTAGCTGTAAAATTGGTTTTTCGGTATTCAAAGAATGTAATCGAATCGTTCCATCGTCGCAACCGACCTACGGAAGACAGAAAAGAAAAACTGTAACATCGATCGAATCGAAAAATAACGATCTAGAGAAAAATCATACCAGGAAAAAAGAGTATTCGAACGGGCACATTTCTATGCAGGTTACGTTTCCACAGGGACCTGAAATATTAAATGCAATAAATTAATGATAGGTGATTTGGAACTTGCACGAGTGTCACTGATAACTTACTAGTATCAAATTTTGTGTACACGTTAGGACTAGCTTTTTTACCAATGCAGGTAGCATGCAAAATATTGCTACTGTTAGTGGCGATATAAAGATTATTACTATCAACACAATCCACATGCATATCAATAAATGCAGCCGCGTTGATTCGTCTGAAGGGTTAAAAAATTGTCAGTAAGGACGGTATTCTATATACGGTATACACAAGGTTCTAGAATATTTACTTTTTAAAGTTATCAGTTTGCAAAAGAAGTTCTCGACTCTTAACAAGCCTTATGCTACCCCAATACGACAGTCCTAAATCGTCGACATTTATTCCCATGCTGTGTAAAACGCTCCATATAACAAGACGACCCTTTTCATTTAAGCTACATATCTATTATGTTAGTCGATAGAAAAATGTTAGTAATTAATACCACCAATACGTGTAATACTAGAAATTCCAACGCACCTGAATGGGTACAAATTTATTGTTACACCGTTCTAACGACTTTCCTTCAATCTTAGATAATATACGTATTGCAACAATTTGTGAGTCATAAATGTTTATGTCTGCGTTAGCAGCAGTCGTGTAAGTAGGCGTTCGTATTGTCCAACTTAGTCCGTTGGCTTTATCTGTCATTTTCTGATGCCACATTTCGTCTTCTTTTAAATCCCAGAGACTTATCGAGCTGTCGATTAAAACGTTCGTTATTCTCATTAAAGTATACATATATAAAAATGTTTAAAGCGTATAAAGTAAAAGGTATACCCATCTTGTAGTCCGGCAAATACTACATTGTAATTCGTTAAATGAAAACAACATGCGGTGATAGGACATGTCGAATAAAATAATTTTATCGGCATCGATGGTTCAGAAATACTCCAGACACAACCGATGCAACAATCGGTTATGTAATCTTGTTTGATAGACGTCTCAATTTCCTGTTACGGATATTATTATAAATTAATTGCTCGAATGCTGCCTCGCGATAACTAATTTCTTACCTCTTCGGCTGGAGAATGAACAGTCACCAATACTTTGTTTAAAACTTCTGAACAATGAATTATTGTCACTGCTCTGCCAGCTAGGAATGTTACCGAATTTACAGAAAGCTTCACAACACCGTCACTGAACGGAACTTGCTCCTCGTTTTTGAAAACATTTCCACCGGATCTTCGTTCTTCCAACAGTGATAACATAACTCTTCCAGCACGATTTATGAAATCGCTTAACCTCAATATATCGAAAGATGATCGTGGCAAAGAATTCATAGTTTCTATGTCGTTGTCATCGCCGACACCAATTTGATCCTGCAAATTTTAATGTCACTGATATTTCTTAATATATTAATACAAAACGAAACACTTGAGACAACCAGTTCAATAACTCATTTACAATAGTTAAATATTAGGATTATTGTGTGTACCATTCGAAATAAGTCCAATTCCTCTTTCGTTCGTAAATTGCTTCTACAAGTTATCGGAAATTGAGTCCACTTATTTTTAAACATAGTCTTCTCCGTTTGTGTTTCTGCGTCGATATTATCTTCACCGGTTTGAGTGGACATCTGCGATATTAAACACATTAGTTTCAATTTAATTAAGATTCAAGTATAAAGGTTACTGTTAAGTGGTAGTTATACCTGTTGAGCATTTAATTTCCCATAGTTTCTAATAAATTCTTCATATGGTATAGGTGAACATTCTAGGAGAGACCATTCCATGACATCTAATTTTATCATTTCCAAAAGCTCTTCGCCCCTGCTTAAACATTTCTTGGATTTCTAAAACCATATAAGACAGTCACAGATAGTAATATACCATCAATATGGCATCCCACAAGTATTACCTTTGTGTTTTCATTCTCTTTCGTTTTACGAAAGTCGATGAACGAAATCTGAGAAAGTGGCGGTGATTTTGTGAAATCGCCTGATCGACTGTCTTCGAAGCCTTCATCGGTAGACAACGGTAATGATTTAGTTTCGGATCTGTCCTCGCTGCACAAAAATAATAACTAGAAAGAATGCCACGTCTCGCACGCCAATGTGAAAACTAATATTCTTTTTACTTGATAGTTCGATCGATTAAAAATGTAACTAAATTTATAAATTGACCAATAATAGCTTTGTAGTTCTGCAACTATTTAATGATGAAATAATACAAACGATACAACAAAATCAATTTAATCGTCTTGAAACTTGATTTTCGTTAGAACAAACCTATATGCTTTGTTAACTGGTTGTCTCAATTCAAGAAGAGAAGCTAGCTTTGGATCGCTAGCAATCGATTCTATTCTTGCAGCCCTCTTCCTGGCCTCTGCGAGCTCATAATGACCAGAATCATGCATATGCTCTTCTTCTTTTTGCTGCTCAGCACTGTTCATGATTTTTGGCTGTGGTAAAATTATTATTTAAAATAAAATGCTATTGTCAGAGATAATAAAAAATAAAGTGAACGTTCGTGCCTGTTTGATACTATGTAATTCAATGGGGTCTAATAACGAGTGAACAGGACTGCTGTTAATCTCTTCGTTGACTTCCGACGTTTCGCTATCACTGCATTCTTGGAAATCAGATTCGTAATCCTAGAAAATATTTCAAGTTTATTAAATTTTTAACAGACTCTAACTGTTTCATTTCAATACCGTATCTTACCTCAAAATCATCTTCGTAATCGTATTCGTTTTCTATCTGAAGCGTTTCCGACTGCTTTTTTTTACTTTGATTCCTTTGTGAAGAGTCTGATCTGGGTTTAGCGGAATGTAGCATTCTCACTTCGCTCGGACTCAATGTTCTGGACAATTTACGCTGTCTAGTCTTCAATTTTGAGTTGCTCGTTTCCGATGTTCTTGAATCTTTTCCTGCTTTCTCTTTTTCTTTTAAAGCGGCGTAAGTATCTTTATTAACCGGTTTAGTAGCTAGTTTGCTAGTGAGCGACGATGGTATAAATATTGTACTCAGTCCCCCCTTCTCCAAACGACTGTTTTGTACTTTTCCAGCAGACGATTTACCGCTTTTCATTGTGCTACTGCCGCTTGACCTTTTTGCAGGATCAGATGCTGATGCTTTAGACGTTAAAGATGTTCTGGAACTAGATACGTTCGATTTCGATACAGCAGACGCATTCTCTCTAATAGATTTATTTCGAGATGATTCCATCGATCGTTTTGTAACATTTCTGCTGGGCTCAACATTCTGTGTTAATCTGGAACGTATATCCCCTTCTCCTCTTCTCTCGGAACCAACAGACTTTCTGTTCAACTTTTCTGTACTCTCTGATTCTTTGGTAGACAATGAAACTTTCGATTTGGTTATAACATTTGACTGATGTGCATCTTTGGTGGCGGAAACTTTTTTAATTGCTCCCTGAAATGCGTGAATAAAAATAATTAAAAATTTTCAGCAATCCGCTCCCTTTGATCGTGATTATGAAAACGGACCAAGAGAAAAATCTGAAAATGTTTAATTCGCGGTTTATTGCGTGTTTTATCGAACCGTGATACGCTAATACGGAATGAAAGAAAACTATTCGAAATTATTGACTTTGGTCACTTTTATAATCACCGGCATATTTGTGTCATTAGATTGACGTGTCACCGTCGTGATATTTGAAAAAAAGTCGATAGATTCGAGGTTGATGGTTAAAGCGAACTTTCAAGTTAAAACATCAAACTCGTGAAATCATAATGATTGCTCGTAAACGTTTGAATTATGTGTACGCGTGACGCACGTAAGAATAGGGAGAACATAAGAACAGAGAATGTAAAATATATTTTCAATTATAATGAGATATCACCTTATGAGACATAATTCGCTTGATTGATCGGTGTTGACAGTTACAATACCACCATGATGTAAAGTGTAAACTACTGTCATTGCTTTAACAGCGCCACTTGCGGCAGTCGTCTGTGGTTGCGGCCGACTCTAGTACTAACAACGGCCGGTAAAACAGTAAAACTGCAAGAGTCTGATTTTGCATTCGATAGAAAGAGTACGCAGCATTTGTGCATCTCTGTCTATCCAGTGAAAAATCGGACTCTCGGTTCGCATGGCTCCTACTCGAGCCAGCTACGATAAAATAAAATGATAAACAAATTTGATATTTAACATTTCCATGTAAGCATACTATTTCAGAATAAAATCATTGTACATTCCCAAAGAAACGATGATAAATTAATCGATAGCGTATAATACAAAAAGTCTCCTCTCGACGAATTAAATGTAATAAAATAGTTGAAATGACACGGAAAATTAGAGGTTATAGGCGCGAAAACGTAAAACATGGAAGAACCGAGGAACCCAAAGAGAGGTAAATGGATTAATAAAGTTTATTTGTCCTAGCCATTATCACCAGAGTATAAAGTAAGTTTTATAAACAGATCAGCCACTGCATTTAAGAATTCTGGATATCGTTTGCGAAAATCGGACCAAAAATCAACAGTGACCGATCTGGTTTATGAATATTTGAGGAAAGTCGCATATTCGGAGAGCGTTCGAAAGCAACGCAACTGCGCCTGCAGTAGATTTCGCAGAAAGAACAGACGGAAGAAAAGCATCCACCCTACGCGAAAATATACGAATGCAGGTGTAAATATTAACGGAACAAAAATATTTCAGTCGAAAGAAAGATTAAGTTGATTGGGCGGGAAACGTAACACTGTCGCCAATCTGTCCTACGCCATCGTTTCAAATACTTGGAGCACAGTAAACGTATTCGAGGTAATAGTAATTTTTAGTTTAAAATTTCACTGTTTCTCTTTCACTATTTAGATTGCAACGAAACGAGGAAATATGTACGCGAGGCACTTTCGTTCGCCATAGATTTCGGATACTTGATTCCCGCCAATCGAACCGGAAGGATTCTCCGTATTTCTTCGTGCATGAGGTTATGTCCCCGTTTCGATAAAGAAGACTAAGTCCGAAGAAGAACAAAAGCAATAATACAATTACAAAGAACATAGTTTTTATTAAAATTCTCATATAACAAAAATGACGTAGAAAATGTTCCATTAAATTTCAGCGTTCAGTTATTCGATGGTCGTTGTTTGCCTCGTCGTACGCACTCTTCTTGACAACGTTTGATCCATCTTTCCAGTTCTTTATCGCGTTGATCAGATTTTCTCGTTCGAATCCGAGCTTGAGATTCCTCGTGAACATTGCCCAAAATGTCAAGCACCGTTCCATCCCTCGCAGAATCCTTTTTTCCTCTCTTCCTTCCATTTTCTATCGTTCTATTTAACTTCATGCTTGCGACGCCAGCTCTCGTATTTCTGTTTCTTCCTTGATCACTCGTTCTTTCTTTCCTTTGTTTGCGAACCTCATCTCTTCTTCTGTCCCTTCTTGCGCCATTTGGTGCATGCAGTACCACCTGTAACTAACCAAATAAGTTTCTATTAAAACAGGGTTGCAGTTTCTGCGACGAAACGGAGGACGCCATCTTTGAGAACAAATCACGAACGTCATCTACACGGCGACCGAAGTATTACTACGGCAAAAGGGGTAAATTGTCAGCTCCGATGGTTAAGCTTAGAAGATCCCAGTGTGTAAAGATCAATAATGGTTTGGAAGTAACAAGTGTGCCAACAAAAAGGATAAGAAACGTTTCGATCTTACTTCTTCGCCAGGTACAGTCAGGTTACAGGTGCACTCTGGATTTTCGTAAACGATGCCCTCTTCGCCGTCCTCGAGACTCTTTTCTATATCTAAATCATCGCATCGACACTTCTTTTCAGGGGCTGTCTCGTCAATTGCAGATATTTCGCAGCGACAGTCGTCGTCGAGGCTCTCTCGTTTTCGACGTCTCGGAGGGATTTTTACCGACGAGACCGACAGACAATCTCCTTGATTGTTGGAGCACGTGACTCGATTCATCGTGATGGCGTCCGGTCCCACCAAATGGTACTCGTTGTCCAACAGTTCCATGACTAACCTGTCACGAAATTCCATAAGAATAATTATGTAATATTAATTATACATATACTATAGAGTTTCTCCAACAACAGCATCGTGAGTTTGCTAATTTTGACCGATCGAAGCTAATGACGAGAAGAATCCGTTTTTCGCTTGGACAAAAAAGAAAAGGCAATGATATTTTGGATAATCCGACATCATTTTCCATCAACGGTTGCATCACGGCAGAATCGTTGCAATTAACAAGGCTGCACTGGAAACGTAATCGATAGATGCACCCGGGGGTTCTTCGAACGAGATAAACGGTTTGCAGTTGCCTTTGAAACGCGATCGTGTCTCACGCGAGACACGTTCTCGCCCGTAACGCGAGCGTTTGTTGTTACGCCGGTATCGCCTTGACGTGGAACTAACCCTTGGGAACAGAGCTGTTTCAGCCCGGTCCGCACCTGAGCATAAAGGTCACCGTCGTCGCGATAGTTCGCCTCGATATAGTCGACGACGTCCTCGATCGTCGAGGTCAACAGGAGTTCATCTTCTTTGCACTGCAACGACCGCAACGCCTCCATCAAGCGCAGCAAGAATCTCGAAGAATTCTCCGCGATGCGCAGGCAGTCGCAACATTTCTGCAAGCAGTATCAACTTTAATTGTCTTTTGGACTGGTTCACAACGTTTTTCCCTTGCTACCAAACAATAAAAAATTTTAACCTTATATGTATCGATATTTCGTTTCAGCGTTTGGAAGTAAAATGGTAGATAGTGTAGAGGATGACCGGATGAGGAATAAAATAATCGTTGCTAGACATAGTGGGAGACCCATGCCTCTTGAGTCTCATAATTATGATAACTTGCTTATTAATACTAACCTCCAAACACTGCATAGTAGAAGAAGAATTGCAGATATCATGTTTGCAAGTAAGCTAATCAAAGATCATATTTCGTGTTCAACAATTATTCAATTGTTTCATTTGTATGTACCATCTAGATATTTAAGAAATCACTTTTTATTTTACTCTGAAAGTTACCGCACTACGTTTTTTATTTTACTAAAACAATCATTAGAAAGTCTAAGATTATCCTTGCAACGTATTGTAAATTAATTTATTTTGTTACATTCGCTAAGCGATAATGTTTTACTATGTAAATCCACGTCTGTAGTTCCTTGCATATTACATCTTTATAATAAATAAATAAATAATATTTCGATGTTACGTGGTCGGTGTCTGGATCGAGACTGGTCGGTCCCTTGTCTCGCGTGGCTTTTTAAACAGAACACGGACACCGACACCTTCTCGAAGGTTCGAGACCATTCCAGAATGGACACCGGCGGTCTTTGACGAGATTAGCGCGCCGCTTACAACAGACAACATTAAAAGTATTCGCAGAATCCTACAATACTAAGAAGAAGAAACGCTTGATAAAATTTGAACAAAAGGATTGGTCCGTCTGAAGCTTCTCTTAAGTATGATATTCCAAGAAGCATTTTGTTCCACGAAATAAAGGCATCAGACTTTTTCTACAGGCAACTATGCTTCGCTAATTTTAAAGAAACTAACAAAAAGAGTGTAGACACGCTTTGGATCTGTTCAAGTTCCCCAGAATTATCGAAACATTTTTTTAACTTGATTTCAGACCTCGATGATAAGTTTCTCGTTAGCGCAAGCTGCTGGACAAGATTCTGTGGAGACGTCGTCGGTGAAATCCTCTTGCTCGTCTTCTTTGAGGATCTCGTCGAGTATCTGCTGCGCCTCTTCGTCCGACAACCTCTCAGAACGACCACGATGTCTCGTGGTGTCCATAATTGATAGAGTTTGAGTAAAATAACCTGTACGAATGCCAAATATGTGAAGTTGTAGGTTATGGTCGTGGCATCGAAGGACTCTGTCCGAAATCCGTGGCTAGAGTCAGTTCGTAGAACGGAATTTGACGATCGAAAAGTGTAATTGGGGGCCATCTTGTAAATACCAAAAACGTATCCATCTTGTTTTCGCGATTACATGACCGGGACAGTTCGCTCTGTAACTGTGTTTTCTTCGTCGCTGCGGTATCGATTTGCGATTTAAAATAACGCTGCGGAAACGCGGCACGGCCAGGGGGCGGTTGCGTTCTGTTGGAGAGGAAAAAAATAGGAGGAGCGTTTGATCGGCGCAGGGAGGACAGCTCGCCGTTAAATATTAACGAGAGCCAGTGTCTGGGACAATGTCTGTACACGGAAGTGTTCCGTTCCAACAGAGCTACTATAATATTGGGTATAAACCGTTGGGAATTACTCGGTCTTTGACGTGCTGTCTAATGCCGCTTCAACGACAAACGTAATTAAATTACTCGCCATTTTTCTTCAGCGGTCGAGTCGATAATGCCTTCCTCAGCCCTGCTAACTCCGGGTCCGTTTGGACCCAAGCCAACTATTTCAGCTGGTGGATAACAGGTGGTTTACCCTATACATGCGCGTAATATTATATAAAAATTTAAATAAGAATATTTTCCTTTCACCTGTTAAGTCAGTATGGGTGAACAAATACATAATATTTTATTATACATAATGTGATGATCACAAGAAATAAAAGCAGTTGGTTCTACTTTCTAGGCGACTAGTAACCATCCTAAGAAGTAGCTTGGACTTTTTAGTATTTGGATTTTATTATACATAATGCAATGGTCACAAGAAATAAAAACAGTTGGTTCTACTTTCTAGGTGACTAGTAACCATCCTAACAAATAGCTTGGATTGAACTTGAACCGAGCTCAAATTGAAGAAATGCAATGGCTACTGAAGGGTTCTGAAAGCTAGAATGAAGGAACGAGAAGTTTGAGTTGCGTCAGAGCGACGGTGCTTCTAATCTAATCTTTCCATCTCAGTTCCTGCGTTCGATCACATTTGCTCATCGTCCTCGAGCGAATTAACTGGAACGTTTCGCGGTTCATCATCCGTTCGCCGGAATGCGATTCTTCA